AGGCATGTTCTGCTGCCCGCGGTGGTGATGTTGGCATTGTGGTTGAAACAGGAGAGCCTTTGTTGAGGGGTCGTTTTCTCGTCATGCTCGCGCTTGGTTGGCTGAATATGGTCCTGTCTCGAAGTTGTAAAGTCTTACAGTAACAGCGACTGAAGAGAAAGCAGTGCGGCTCGTTAGTCCGCAAGAGAAAGCATGGGGTGGGCAGGCTTTTCTCTAGTACAGTAATTTGTACCGACCATCGCCAGGCCGTACGGCACTGGTGGCGAATTTTGGTCTGCTCCAAGTCATCCCGTACCACTACCATATTCCGGAAAGCCGCTACGAGTGGCAGTCTGCAAACTGTTGAGGATGCGCACGCGTGCATTTGTGGTTATTCACGCCGGGTATTCCCACCTTTTCCCACGCGGATCCTGATAGCATCCTCTAAGCCAACATAGGCTCACTTCCTGAGGTAGACGAAAAGGACATTCATTGAACTTTCGTAGACATTAATAGTGAAGAACTCGCTGTCATAGTCATATAGGGAGCCTATGGCGGAGAGGACGTTGCGTATGGATTACCGAGCGTTGTCGACAGTCCATCGAGAGAGCTCCACATGGCGTGGATGATGGTCTGGCGCTTGGAAATTGTCAAGAGCTCTGTCGCATAGACAAGGAATCAATCATAGAGGGCGGTGTCGGTAGGGCGTTGAAGGGAGGTGGCTAACAAGCAAGGTTAGCAATGTCACGCGCGCGATTACTCCCAAGCTAACGAGACATCCATCGATTCATTGCGGAACGTTTAAAGTACAGGCAGCATGTAGCACCCAATCATTATCCAACCGCTTTTCTTTGTGCACCGTACGGCCCAATCGCAGGTATGCGAGGCGTTTACCGGGCGCAGTAGCCACCGTCGACGAGGAGATCAGCACCCTATGAGCAGTTAGCCATGTTATCTGAGAAATTGAACGGAGTCGGCTTACAGTGGTGTAGGAGGAAGCATCCGAAGCGAAGTAGAGGAAGGCGCCCTTGAGCTCCTTGGCCTTGGCGTCACGGCCCATAGGGATCATGGAGTGCCAGAGGTTCTGAATGTCCTTGGGAACGAAGTCGGAGAGACCAGTGTCGATGTAGCCGGGAGAGATGGAGTTGACACGGGCAAAGTCCCTCCACTCGTTGGCGAGCGAGCGGGCCAGGTGGATGCAGCCAGCCTTTGCGACGTTGTACGAGGTCTGCTCCTGGGGGTAGTTGGCGATGTGGCCGGACATGGAGGCAGTGATGACGAGGGAGCCGGTCTTGCGCTCGCGGAAGTGGAGACCAACGGCGCGGGCGCAGTTGAAGGTGCCGGTCAAATCGGTCTCGATGACCTCGTTCCACTGCTCGACGGTGGCATCGAGAATGCCGTTGTCGGCGGTTTTACCCGCGTTGGCGATGAAGACATCGATCTTGCCGAAGTCCTGGATGACGTCCTGGACGAGCTTCTCGACGTTGGCGTAGTCTCCGACGACGCACTTGTAGGCCTTGCACTTGATGCCGTACTTCTCGCTCAGCTCCTTGGCGTTCTTCTCAGCGCCAGCGGCGCGCGAGTTGTAGGTGATGGCGAGGTCGGCGCCGAACTCAGCACAGCCTCGAGCGGCCTCGATACCGATACCGGTCGGGCCAGAAGCACCAGTCACAATGACGACCTTGCCCTTGAGGGACAGGAGGTCCTTGAGCTCCTCAGCTTGCGGGACGGGAGTAGGCATGTTGAGCGGTGGACTGGAGGACGAATTGGCAAAGAAAGGCTTGGAGAGAAGGGATTGAAGAGTGGGAAGGACTGAAGATAAAGGGAGAAAGACGGGGCGATGGAGGGGTAGAAGTATGCTCAGCAAAAAAAAAGGTTGAGCGAGCCGCCTTTGCTTTTGGTTAGTGAGGGGTGCAGTGACGTGGGTGCGTCCGTCGATGCGAATTCACGTCATGAACGGCCGCATGATTCGCCAATTGGCGGAACGGTGGGCTCGTCTGGGCGGATAGCGAAGATTTTCGGTCACAGACCCAGGCCCGAACAGGCTGGCGAAGTGGGTGTTGGAGCATCCGGCGTTGCTTCTGCCCCGCCGCCGCCCTGGGCGTCGCTATCGATAAGCGCACAGGCCCTCCTCCGAGCCCGGGCGGGACCCCATCCCACCTTGCGCCATCTGTTTCTCCAGAAAATATCTCACCACGCGCTGCTTTCGCACTCAACTTCTGATCACACGGGCAGAAATTTCTGCCTCCCTCGGTTCTGGTCTTGCTCTGCTCGGAAAGCTTCTCCACGCCGTTGCCTCTTCCGGACGGCTATCCCAACCGCCCGGATGCACAGTCAGCGATTACGTTCCTGACAAACTCACTCCATCGCATCTTGAATCACCTACGCAGGGCAGCAGGGTTCTCACATGCATCTACCCTGCATTAGCCCGCCTCTTGTGCCACATCTTAATCAACAGCTCCACTCAATCTCGGTTCCGCAGTGCTCGTGGCCGTTACCAACCATTGACTAACTAACTCTACATCTCCGCGATCGAATACACTGGAGCCCTTCAGGAACCGCTATTCTCCCTTGAGAAAGAGGTAGATCTTAGCTTCCATGACTGACGGTTAGTCACCAGATGCACTATCGGTCTCTGCTCCGGGCTCTGTTCCAGCAGTCGGCTATTCGGCCTGCTGCCAACCTTACCTATTTGCCACCAGGGGATACAAGAACCGACGATCGCTCGGGCATGTGTTTGCCTCTGAAGACCTTCTGGCAGCCCAATCACGCATCAACTCGGTACAGTACCGTCCGTCGCGTTTGCAGCCTTGGTCTGTGGACGTCGAACTCCGGTCTAGATGGGATTGCTTAGCTTAGCTTAGGAAAGGGAAGTATATCCGCGGCGCGCCAGTCTACAATATCTCGCAGGGAAAAGCCAACTCCGAGGGAAATGAGGCTCTAAATCACCCCGCGGGGTGTCTCCCGCTTCAGTCCATTAAGATTCATCAGTACTTTTTCTAGACCTTAGGTCGCGAAGGTCCACGCCAAGTCAGCCGCTGCGCTTACCCAGATAGTCACAGGCCCTGCACGTGATTGACAGACATGGTAACCGTGGTATCCTCTTCATTAACCGTGTAACCGCATCCTCTCAACAATGCGCGCAACAATCTCTCCAATATCAACGCCGCAGCCAGGAACGTGAGGCGGACCCTCAAACACTAGTCCCAATTGATCCAAGCGGCGACCAGGGGTTCCGCGCCGGGCTTCGCAGCTGGAGCAACATGTCAGCTCTACGTCTCACTGCCTCACCACCTTTCCCACGACCTCAACCCCTTCCCTCCGCCCTAAGTTGAGGAGCAAAATCTGCGTATCTCGCATTGCGACCTCACTACGTCACCTAGTCTGCAAAAATTCGAATCGAACCACCCAAAATGGTCCTCCACGGCCTCCTCCCAAAACCCCTAGCCGCCAACGACGTTATCGTCGGCCAGCTGCTCACACATCCCCTGCACCCCGAGCGAGATGGCTTCTACTCGCAGCAGGCGCACGAGGAAGTCGACGAGCTCAATGACTACCACATCCAGCTGCGCTACCGCGATGTCTTCTCCGTCGACCAAGAAGGCCGCTTCATGACCAACTACGGCGCCAAATTCGATCTCGGCAGGATATACAGACAGCCCAACCTCCTCACCGTCTGCGCCGAGCAGATGATACAGCGCACGAGCATGCACCCGAGACGAGCGTTCGAGGCCGTGTGCAGCGACCCCGAGGCGCAGCAGTGGATATATGAGCTGGCGAAGGAGCACAAGGACTTCTTCATGGTGGTGGGCGTCACAGAGTTCAAGAATGCCGTGTTCAAGCGCGCGAAGCTTCGGGATGCAGGCGCTTCTAACCTGCTGAGCGAGATGCCGCTCGAGAAAGGCGCCAAGGTCCCCCGCTCCATTGCACGAAGAGACTCGACGCTCGGTGCACTGAGCACCGAGCCGCACATTTCGGGCGTCTTTGGGATGGATATCAGACGGTGCATGGCACGGATCACGACACCGGCGGAGCCTCACTCTCTGTCTGATATAGGATATCATTGGGTCTACTACGATGTCCCCGGGAGTACAAGCAAGGAGCAGCTGATGATCGGATTGGGAGGTGCGCTGAAGGCAAACGAGCTGCGTCTGATGCTGGACCTTAGCGAGGAGGATGTCCAGACGAATCTCGACGCCATCAGCCAGCTGAGCCTGGACGCCTTGAGCGCGGCTGCGAGTCCCATGCTCCGGCCCCATTCGCCGGCTCTCAGGGGCAGGTCACCATCTCCGCACCCGACTCTGAAAGCCCACTCTTGAGCTTCTACGTGGAGAGCTTCTCGGTTGTTTTACGGACACATAACACTACTTGGGGTTCTGGGGGTCGAGTACCCTCCGGGTGGGGCATCATCGTAGGTAGGATAGAACTGGGGGTGTTCTGAGAGAGTTACTCAACCCTAACGGCCGAACCTTTATGTTTTCAAGACTGCAAAATATCTTTCTATACCCCCTGATATGTCTAGATCGATGCATATCTGGTTGTCATGCTCTGGCGTTGGGCTTCCTATAGCAACTACAAATATCACTGAATATACTCACGGTTGCCCTTAATCTGCAGTATTCTACGTACTCCCCCGAGACAGTATAGCGAAAAGTCCCCCCATGGTATATTTAGCTTTGTAGTCAGGGCCCCACCACGCCTAGACAAGGATGGCCTCGCGTCCGTCGATCCTACAGCCAGCACCTCACGAATCAGATAAAGCAGCCCTCCTCTCTTTTCTTTTTTCCTCTTGCCAGATCATCGTCGAGCTTCGACACTCGTTCCATTGACCTTGCTCGCACGTAGTAGCCAGCATGGCGTCGTCGCCGTCGTCAGCACAAGGCACCGCCACCTCTCAGGTGCCAGAGCCTCAGTACTCCGACGCCCTGATCCCGGAAAGCGATGTAAGATGAGGGGCCGAAGCCAGCACGGCGGTAGCGAATGCTGATGCGGGTTGTGTAGGACAGCGGCGATGCGGATAGCGCGATTGGCGGGCTGAGCTATGCGTATGTGCGGCACTACCTTACTTTGTCGGTGTGGTGGAGTGCGTGGTTGGGTACTGAGGGACTTACTTGCACAGGTCGTCGACGACGAGTGCGCGCTCGGAGATCTATGCCCTCGTTGAAGAGTTCGGACGCACGTATCATGGGTATAAGGCTGGGAGTAAGTTGCTACAGGACGGTATTATGAGATTTGAGGGTGGCTAAGATGCGGTGCAGAATATGTTATGCCTAATGATGAGGTACTGTACATGGCAGCTGCGTCACGTGTTTCCCGATTCTTCGATGTGTTTGCTGATGAAGAGTGCAGAAAGAAAGAGATAGATTGGATCTCCAGCACATGCTCTGGCTGCTCACCGTGGATGGCGCGTTGGGCCTCGCGCCCATAGAGAATCCTAGGCATGTCCTGGACATTGCTACAGGCACGGGGATCTGGGCTATGGACTTTGGTACGTACTATGACTTAACCCGCTATACTATCTCACCTTTCATACATGCATCCACTCCATCTCCCACCCCATTCTCGTAACCACTAACCCCTCCCACACAGCGGAACAACACCCCACCGCCCGCGTCATCGGCACAGATCTCTCCCCCATCCAGCCCTCCTACGTCCCCATAAACTGCGCCTTCGAGATCCACGACGCAGAGGACGCCTGGAATTTCTCACGCCCCTTCGACTACATCCACGGCCGCGCCCTACTCTCCTGCTTCGTCTCGCCGCGCAGCATCCTGCAAAAAGCGTACGACGCCCTCGCGCCCGGCGGCTATCTCGAGCTGCAAGACGGCCTCTTCCCCTTCCTGTTCCTAGACCCGCAGCCACCCGCGGGCCATCCACTGCGCGTGTTCTTAGACAACGCGCTAGAGGCTAGTAGGCGGTCCGGCCGGGCCTGGGACAATGCCCAGCATTACCGGCGATGGATGGTGGAAATTGGCTTCGAAGCTGTGGAAGAGAAGCGGTTTAGCTGGCCGTGCGGGCCCTGGGCGAAGGGCGACAGGATGAAGAAGCTGGGCGCGGGGTTTCTGGAGGATTTGACGCATGCGGTGGAGCCGATTTGTATGAAGCTTTTTGTTAAGGTGCTTGGGTGGGGGGAGGAGAGGACGAGGAGGTTTTTGGAGGACGAGTTGTTGCCGAGTTTGGGGGCGAGGAGGACGTATTTGTATGAGACTGTGTAAGTGCGCGGTGCTTTGACTAGCCGGGAAGGATGAGGGTTGTGTGGGGTGGAGTGCTGACGTGCGACAGGTTGTTTGTGTATGGGAGGAAACCATTAGATGCGTGAGGGAGGGGAGTGAGCGTAGGCAAGGTGCTAGACGAGCAAGTATACGCATTTGAAAGCAGACGGTGTATAGTCGGCAAATCGGAACCTTCGAAACTCAGTCAGAACGCATCGACGTACTTGCGAATGCTAATATCTAGCGACTGGAGGTTCTGAAGCGTCGATAGAAAAACGACCAGTCTACGGATATAAACTCTTAACTTCGGACTGTTCGCGTAATCAGCTGGAGATGAGATGCTGCCGTCGCGGCAGACAGGTCGACTGAGCCCCTTTGATCGGCCTGTGCCTGTTTCGAGCAGACTATCAAATCCTTACTAGAAGAGCGACATATCTTACCCTTGCCTTCCAAATTCTGCATGATAGCGATGCTCACTTTCCAGACTCAAACTCAATCTGCACTCCCAGCCCCTCTGGCAATATCTTGCTGACTATCATCTCGCCAGCACCAGTCGCAACCATAGTTTGAAGGGCATTCGCGGCGCTCAATAACACTTCGCTCGTCACTTCTGCCGTTGGTAACTTGGCCTTGAGCAGGTCTCCGAACTGTTTAGTGGACGAGGCGGTCATCAAGACATAGCCAACGATGAAGGGAAGCTGGCTCTCCTTCTCGATGTAACCTGGCCCGTAAATCCTGATGAGTTGATCGCGGCAATGGTCTTTGACTACGCGGAGCAAGCGCCAGCACTGCCGATGGTGCCTGAGATAGTCGAAGGAGATCTCTACCATCTCGGCATGAAGCAAGTCCCGGAGCAGTCCGAGCAGTTTGGCGACGGGGAGCTGCTTCCTGCTTTTCTGCTGGCTCGCGGGCGTAGCGTCGATGTCCTTGACCATAGTTGTCGACCCGTCGTTCTCATCCATCTCGTACTCCCAGTTGCTTTTCTCGATAATCTTCTCGACATCTTCAGCCCTGAGATCGCGACACCCATTCATGTTGCAGTACCGTCCCTTGAACATCTGCAATACCGCTCCAAGCTCCTTGAGACCTTGAGGCCCGCGCTTCGACAAGACAAGCCCCTTCTTCTTGCGTTTCGACTTCGCCATATTCACCGCCGATGCGCCCATGGCAATCGCAAACCGCTTGAGGCAGTCGTCCGGGTCCTTGGGCGCCTCGCCAATGAAGACAACGTTCCGGCCTTGCAAGCTGGTGGCGACATCCATGTCCTTCCATTTCTCCGGTAACATGTTCTCATTCTGAACGGCATTGTACAGATGCGCGCAGGACATGATGCCGCCCCACGCATTGGCGAAGGTGATGCTAATCTCGTGATGACGCATCTGGATATAGTATTTCCATAGGCCGCACGACCAGGGGTGTTTTCGGAAGAGATGGTAGGGTTGCGGAATGTTGACGCGGCCTGCCCGTTCAGCGATTTTGCGCTGACGATCCTCTTGAACCCATCTCTGCACAAAGCCGACAAACTGCTGCAAAGCGTCGTCGTTTCGCTTCGGCCAGGTGTCCATCTGGATGTCCTTGTGGAAGTCCAAATTCATATTGATGTTGTTCCGGGCGAAATCAGCCGCGTCTGCGAGCTTCTTGAAACCAAGGTCTACCTGGTCGCGCAGGATGTGGTGGATGTCCAGGAACAGCGTGGTAGCAAACACCAGTGGCAGTGTTACTTGCTTGGTTTGGAACATCGTACTGAGGAGCCTCGTCAACTCGTCTTCCGCGGGCGGATTCTCGTTGAAACCAGAGAAGTAGAAGAATTCGGGGAGTATCTCTAAGAGCAAGATCTTGTCCTCCTTTAGCTTCTCCCTATCACTCTTCTTCTGTCGGTCACTGGAAGGATCGTAGACCCCATAAAATCCAAGCTTCATCTCGGGAGTCGGATAGGCTTTAAGCACACCACAGAACGCACCCAACAGAGAAGAGGCTGTCCAGAAGATAGCCTCCGCGAGATCGTACATCCGGTAGTTGATTTCGTCATCAGGGCGCGCTCTGAAATTTGGATCGGTGCCTTCAGCAAAGCAGGCCCCTGCATAGTACATCTCTAGCATCCTGTGCGCTCCTCCGTGTTTGGCAAACATCTCTTTGTAGTCGTCTATCATTGCCCGGGCAAGATCAACGGCGGTGTTGGTCGTGATTGAGGCAGCCACAATGTCGTGCATGCCATGCTTGTAGCCTTCCCAAGCGCGAGTGACTTCTGTGCGCAGTTTATTGAGATCGTGAAGCAAGAGATAGAAGGCAAAGAAGCTCTCCTCAGAGTCATCCAGACGCTCGGCCTTGTAGATTGGTCTGGCTGCGGCACCGGCGGATGGCACTTGCACATCTGGAGCTTGTTCGAATTCTTCTGAAGGCTCTTCCAACTCAAGATGTTCGAACACGTTGATGACCTCTTCAATGTCCTTGGGCTTATCCGGTAGGACTGCAGATTCCTTTGGAAGCCTTGGAGCTAATATCTCACGAACCTTCTTCAAAACGCTCACGAAGAAGGCATGGCGGTCATCCGAGTCGCGTCTCGCTGTGGTGTCCTCGAATGCATCGGAGACGACGCCGGAGTATGACTGTCGTAGAGCGATTGTAGCGTCGAGCAGGGCGGCGAGCTTACGCGGCACATTGATTGGCGGATCATCCTGTCCCGCGATGTGTTCCGCGAGAACTGTCCAGTCTTTGATCGCGATCGTGTACGTGTGCTGTCCTTTGGAGGCTTTGGCTTGCTTCTTGGAGTTCTTTGCCTTGGACGAGATGTACCCGAGTCTCCTGGCGGTTGATGCTAGCCATTGAGCAATGGAGTCGCTATGCACTTGGTTAGCTTCGAGCCCAATATGTACAAGTCGGATGGTTAGATTTACGTATAGTTTTTATACTGCTGATATGTGCTCGAGAGATTCTTTGGAAGCATTCTCGCCGTCAGCTGGCCGTCGACTAGAAAGTTTGCGCGGTCGGGTTTTGCGGGCTAGATATGCCCAGATGTTGCGTCGGCCTTCAGAGTAAGATTGGGAACCGAACGAGAGCATGTGTGTAGAAAAGGTAGATAGGGTAAGCTTTCTGTGTCACGCTTGCAAGGATGGTCCGCTCCAGAAGCATTCCTGCTGTTTCCGTTTTCACCGCTCTGCTCGGAGCGGCGCAAACGGCTACCCGCGCTGGACCTGTACAAGGGTTAGGCTGCGGGTGCATGGGACAAGCATTTGAGGCTGGATGAGACGTTGTGTCGCCAACCGAAGCCATATGATTGGACAGCTTAACCAAAAATGGGCATATCAACAACGGCCATTGACGGACGGCTAGAGACAGAGAAGCGGTCAGCATCAGATTAGTAGTGCACTGCTCTGCGCATAATCAAGGAGACGCATTTTTGCTCTATTACATGGAGGACATGTCTACATGGAAAAGAACTATTTGCTGATTGCAAGAACTGTTATTGGCTCAATGAGAGACCATGAAAATGAGAGAACACCGAATAATCGCGCCCTAGCCAGAACCGGCCGCGATTGGAACTCCGACTCCGGAATGAAGCCGTGTGCATGCACTATCCCCACATTCAACCTGCATTACCCCACGCTGACCGCAATTAGAAGAGCAGGGCGGCGCCAAACACAACACTAGCAGCAATCATGCCGACAAAGCGAAGCGGGATCTCTACACCAGCGGCAGCTCCTGTGCCATTTCCATCCGAGGCCGAGCCGTCAGGGGTACGGGTAGGTTCGCCGGAGCCAGGAGTAGCAGTCGATTCGCTGGGCTCGCCAGAGAAGTGAGATCCGTCACCCTCAAGACCAGGGCCAGTACCAGCACCTTCATCCATGTATTTCACAGCGCCCTGAGGGATGGCCGGGAGGAGGGTGGTCTCGACCTCCCAGTCATCGTCCGCGGGTGGGCACTGCGATGCTTCGCCTTCGCCTTCGGCCTTTGCACCGCCGGTGCCAGTGGGGTTCTGGGCGTTTGCGTAGGCTTCCTTGAGCTCCTGGAAGTCCTCATTGGGCTGGATGCCGTTGTCGGTAACTTCGACGATACCAAAGCCGTTGGGCTCGACGGTGTACTCGTAGGCAAGACCGCCGGAGTAGACTGCGGACATCTGGGTCGAGAAGAGAGCGGCGACCTCGCCCCACTGGCGATTGGGCTCGGTGCAGCCGTGCTCGGACAGGAAGATAGGCTTGGCGTAGTTCTTGTACGTCTCCACCTTCTTGTCCCAACCAGCGCCCTTGAAGGTCTGCAGCCTGTTTTCGAAATCGCACCATGAGTAGTCGTTATAAGCGAAGAAGTCGGCGCGCTCATCGTCGGTGCCGCAGTCGAAGTAGAGAGCTTGCTGCTCGATGACCTCAGCGACGTCGGCGGCGGAGTAGCCGACGGGGATTTGGCGGGCGTGGCGGTTGGAAATGTACTGCTTCATGTCGCGCGTGACGGCCTTGATGTAGGGGGCAGCATTGGTGTTGTTCTTGGCGTTGATAACCTCGTTTCCGGAGAAAAGGAGAAGAAGGTTGTTGTAGTCCGCGAAAGCGTCGACCGTTGCGAAGACTGATTGCAGATACACATCGTTGTATGAGCGGTGGAGGGTGTCTTCCGACTCTCGGTTAAGCGAGTACTTGGGCGTATTCGCATCGAGGGCTAGGTAAATGCCGGCCTCGTCGAGCATTGCCATCGCTTCGTCATGGCTCTGCGAGTTATCGATCGTGTAGATGCGGATTGTGTTGATACCGAGGTCTTTGAAGTTTTCAATGTCGCGCTTCAAGCTTTCGGTGTCGAGAAGAGGATCCTGGGCGTCCGCCGCACCACCTGTTGAGATTAGCAGCCATATCATTAAGTACATATGGCGTGAACATACCTGGCTGATAAGCGACTCCTCGAACGTAGAATCGCTCATCGCCTCGATAAAATGCATTACCCTTCACTGTGACCGGCGTAAGATTTCCTCGCGATTGTCGGGGCACGATTCCAGCGAATGCAGGGGCAATGGCAGCCCCCAAGACGGAGACGGCGATAAAGGACTTCATAGTGAAGACCGGAGGAACGAAAGAACAATTAAAAGTAGTAAATGGCAAGTCTCTAGTCTAACGAGTGACTGGTAAGTATGGACGGTGGAAAAGGCTCAAACAGAAAACATGGAGGAGAAAACAGGATCCGGGTCGACCGGTATTTGAGCCAGGAGGCCCTTTTTCTTGGAAAACCCCATTGCCACGCATGTGGAACGGGCAAGAAAATGCCAACCCTCCCGTGCCGCCTATCTGTCTGGCGTTGCCCGATTGCCAAGAAGATGAGAGTTGGCGGCCTGCGCGAATGGCGGAGCGGACGCGAGGGCCAAGAGGCCCAGCACCGGGTAGCTAAATGATGAGAGGCGGTTACGCATCCGCCCAGGCTTGATAAGGGGTAAGTCTCCAATAGCTGCAGAGTTCGGGGATGGAAAATGAACGCTTTGATTGCGTGGGTGTCTTCCCGCCGCCGACACAGCCTCGTTCTATGGACCGTCGGATTGGCATTCTGATCCTGTTGCTCCAACGGACTATTTGTGTGAGATGAAGCGCTGGGCAACCTGAAACAAGGTGAGAAGTTGAGGATTGCACGGGAGATGAGACACGCAAGTGTAACCTGCAGCTGGCGAGAATGGGCGTCCTGATAATCTTGGCGCCATTTAACAGCTGAGTCTATGACGACAACAGCGTTTTTTGATATCTGTGATGATAAGTATAGTCTTTCTCCTGGGAAGTGCGCGACGTTTGGCACTTTTGGGATTTATTTGGCGACTAGGACACGGTAACGGATCCGGGTCCTGCATGCCGTCCGGAGCTGGACGCACTGGAGAGGCGCAGAGGGGAGTGACCGAGAGACGTCTCGTTGACTTTTGCAAGTCCCTGGTCTGTCACTAGACCGGTTTCGACTAATCACGTGCCGGCGCGTCCGCAATCACCTAGGTCCAGGCCTCCATGCCCCATTCACTTCGTACGGTGAAAATAAGTCGCTATTTCACTAACAGTGTACCACAACAGGTGGTCCGTAGAATAATGCTAGTGCTAAGTAGGAATAAAATTCACCAAGTCGCTGGCTCCTCACGCTGCTTGCAGGGAAAGTCGTACCGAAGGCAGACATGGAAGCCCTTCCATGACTTTCCACTTCACCGCAGCCTGCGCCGCCGGTCACGCTACTTATACTTCCCAAGTCGCGCACAAACTCTTCCCACACATTCATTATAGCAAACCCCCTCAACAGCTGCTAACCCACAGTCTCCTCACACTCGACAACCGTGCAGAGCTACCCCGCCATGGACCAAGCAGCCCGCGGCGCAGCGGCCCTCAGCGCAAGCAAGTACGATGAAGCTATCAAGCACTACACCGACGCCATAGCTACGAATCCGCAGGCCGTCGACTACTACATCAAGCGCTCCACCGCCTACCAACGCTCCACGAAATATCCCGAAGCCCTCGCCGATGCCGAAACCGCCGTCGCTCTCGCGCACAAACGCGCACGCCGCGAGCTTATCAAGGAAGCACAATTGCGTCGCGGCATTGCCCTCTACTTCGTCGAACAATATGCGAACGCCGAATACATTCTCGCTATCGTCAAGAAGCTGAATGAGAAGGAGAAGACGTTGGCAATTTGGAATATGAAGGTTGCCGCGAAGCTAAAGGGTATACCCGAGGACGATGAGCGGAGGAAGGTCACAGCGAAGGAATGGCCTGAAGTTGAGGTACCGAGCGCCCCGTCGGCTCCGAAGCCAGCTAAGAGCGAGGAGAAGGGGAAGGCGAAGGTGGAGGCAGCTCCTGTCGCACCGAAACCGGTTGTGCCCACGCCCGCAAACAAAATCAAGCATGACTGGTACCAAAACAACGAAAATGTGACACTCACGCTGCTAGCGAAGGGTGTGCCGAAAGACAAGGCGACTGTGGACATCGACAAAGATTCTCTCTCCATATCGTTTCCTATTGAAGGCTCGAGCTCTGACTTCAACTACACACTCGATCCCTTCTACGCTGAAGTTGATCCCGCCCAATCTAGCTTCCGAATCACGCCTACTAAGGTCGAAGTCACGCTCAAGAAAGCCACTCCGGGTGTCAAGTGGCATGCACTTGAGAGCGACCGCAAGACCGAAACTCCAACCGAGGAGAAGGCCACCATCCCTTCTCATGTCCTCACGGGCAAAACCAATGAGGCAACACCGGCCTACCCAACATCTTCGAAGAAAGGAGTGAAGAATTGGGATCAGATCACAAAGGAGGATCTTGCAGAAGAGGACGATTTTGAGGGCGATGAGACAACGCGCTTCTTCAAGCAGCTGTATAAGGGTGCTGCACCAGAACAGCAACGCGCCATGATGAAGAGCTACCAAGAGAGCGGTGGCACGGTGTTGAGCACGGATTGGAGTAGTGTCGGCAACAAATACGTGAAACCTGAGCCTCCCGAGGGCATGGAGGCGAAGAAGTATTCCGGTTGACCACTTCTTTTCCTTGCATTCAGGAACGACAGGTCCACGATGGCACGAGCGGGGACTATGATTACCCGCAACCTTTTCCAAAACGCATGGCGGCGGTGTTATGGGGTCATGGCGTTCGTTCGATTTCATGATGGCATGAGCCAAGCTATCATCTAAAAGGCATTTGCCTCACAGAAGAGGGTTGAGCAATGGTATGCAGCTACCATCACCCTTCAGAATGGGATTATTTCCGCATATCTGTTCCTTAGCATTTGTAAAGCTGTGTGACTAACGGCATATTGACCGCGATCTTAGTACCGTCTCGGTTTCCTCGCTTTCTAATAACCAATCTATCTTATTCAGCATGATCTACTTCGCCTTCTAGGTCGCTTCCCTTCAGCTTCGTCGATATGTATGCTCTCGAATTGGCCAATGGAGTTCCTCCCCTGAACGGTTTTGTCATCCAGAACTCCAGATCTTGCCCCTCTCATCCTGACTGGATGCCGCCAGTTGTCCTCTCCCTCTACTCTATCCTCTCTCCTTCCCTTGACAATCGCCCTTTCTCGCGCGTGTTGTCCTGCCAAGCTGTCTCCAAAGACTAGACCTCTGGCACCCTTACTAAGCTCGTGGCCCGCAGACGCCGAAGCTCCGAGCCAGGCGAGCTTGAGCTTCCCCGCAACGTCATCTTTGTCAAAAAACAACCTTCTTGCAGCCACACGGGCCGATCCTGTGAGCATGCGACTCTTTCCGCCTTCAAATCGCGCGCTTCTGGACTTCGATGCGGGGTGAAGCACTTGTCGCAAATGTTCGCCAGAACTGTTCATATAAGAAAAGCTTTCCTCCCCTCCATATTGAGCAACGCGACTCGATCGAGAGCCACTACGATACATCGAATTCCGCAAGAAAGTGACAGAGGGCAATTGAGAAGAATGGCTACCGCGTCGAAGATCCATCTTGAGGCTTCGCAGCAGCCGGAGTTCTATGTGCAAGGGATTACGGGGGATAGCGCGAAGACGGCGAGCGAGCTGTTGCAGGAGAATCATGAAAAGTACCATATCTTCTTCAACCAGGATGGGTTCCATGTACGTCTCCACCCGAGTGGCTTACAGCTTTCCACAAGCTAACATGGAGCTCGACAGAACCACATCGTCCACCACCTCCTCACCATCTTCGCTCTCAAAGCCACCCCCGACCAGATCAAGAAAGGCTACGATAACAACACGTCATATCAGCGTCCTCCCGTCCCGCTCCACAAGAAGATTGTCGATGATCTGCATGACCCCGAGAGATATAAAACGTATTTGGGCAACGAGAAGTCCTACCACGATTTCATGGTGTTCTTCCAGGCCGAGATCGAGAAGAAAGGATGGGAGAACGTGCTGAATGAGTTTGTGTTCAAGGGAGACGAGAGGGCAGACGATATGCTTGTGCGCATGTTCGCAGGCCAGTAGAATGCGCATCTCCACAACTGGTCTCAAAGCTGACAGGATTGCATAGGCTTTCTACACCCCATTATCCACCTAGGTTTCGGCGTCGAGTTCCGCCAACCCGCCATCATCGCCGAAGCTCTCGCGCAAGCCGCAGTGCACGACAGCTGGACGAAGCCCCTCTTGATTGGCGCTGAGGAAGCCGCGAAGTCCAATGGTGCCGATCCAAAGTCTACGAAGACGGTAGTCGAGCTCCTCAAGGACATGCAGGCGGATAAGAAATTGAAGGCTGCTCCACAATGGAAGGATGGCAACAAGATCCGTGATGGCATCTTAAAGCGCGCACCGGACGAGATGGTCAAGTACGCTGCGCAATACGTCATCTCGGAAGACCAGCTTGAGGAGAAGACGGCGGAGATGATCAATGCTGCTGGTACGATCCCTCTCCACCCCTCTTGCAATCGAAATTGCTGATTGATTGGGTATAGTATACTACACGGCAACCGCCCAACACCCACCCAACCAAGTAAAATTCGACTTCTTCTATATGCACTGCGTAAACTGCAGCATCTTCTTCTCCTCCTTCCTCCACGCCTCCTTCCTAACCCCCGCCACCAAACGCCGCCTCCTCGAATGGAAAGTCCGCAACGACCTCACCATGTACGTGTCGCGCGGCTCCCCAGACCTCTCCCTTTCCCACATCACTTCCTACAAATCCAGCCAGGATTCGTCATGGGACGACATCATCAAGAGGGCCAATAGGCTCGAGGACGATGGCCATACGAGCAAGCTGATTAGGGCGCTGGCGAATGGGGAGAAGGTGTGTAAGGGTTTTGAGGACAGGGAGGGGTTCTTGGTGAAGGGCGATATGTGGAGGGTGATTAGTAATATGGTGATGGATAGTGTGGAGTCCGGGGGTCCGCATTGGGTGAGGGGTTGTGGATTTGAGGAGGCGTGGGAGAAGATCCCTGAGAGGGAAAGTGCGAGGTTGTAATTGTAGCTCTGGTCTCCCAGACGGGGGAACCTTGGAAGAATACGCACGTTCTTGCACAGTCGCGCGACTGATTCGTTCCTTCCAAGAACGCTACCTGCGCAAGCTGTACTCCGTCGCATGAATGAACCACGACTTTTGCCAGCAAACCACGCCGCAACGGCTTGTCCGCAAAGCACAACGCACCGCGTCGCACTCTCCCTGAGCCTATCCCCGAGCTGCCCTATCGTGACCTCTCCTTGGCATATCTTTTGCACTCCTTCCTCATTGCCTAATCGCACGAGAACGCTTTCCAAGGTTTTGCACCATCCCTTAGCGACCTTATTTCCAAGCGACACCCTCCCATCGAGGCCAATCAGATCGCGCTGCTCCGTAAGTGCTTATCCGCTTCGACTAACTACAACTTCCTTACACTGTATCCTTCTTCGAACAACACGGGGCGTTCGGGCGCAACAATCACGGCGACGGACGAATTGTCCCTCCGCAGGAATGCGCGTGTGGTGGAGGTATCGGCGTCCAGCGTGCGGACTGCCGAGCGAACGTGTGGGGCCCAGGCCGCGGGATGAGTAATCCATGGGGGATACCTGGTATAGGTTGGTAGTGTCGTGTCGGTGTATTGCTGTAGCACGAGAGGGGGAAGTATCCGAAAAGTGCCCTGGGTAGCCCGCCCCGAAAAGTGGCCGCCGCCGCCGCACCGGGCAGGGCATAGAGGGGTACGTACGTAGGTATAAAGGTACGTTGGTAGGCGTCGTCGCTCTTTCCAGTCTCAGTCAATCAATCAACTCTCTCGTCTCTCTCCACATCTCGTCCATCTACAGCTCCCACCGAGCCCACAGCGCGCGTCGGAACCGCTCTACCCACTCTCCAACTACCCCAATCCCCCGCCTTTCCAAAATGCAAATCAAAGCCGTCTTCGGCGGCGCTGCCCTCAACCCGCACGGCGCCTTCAGCACCGACGCCGCCGTCCAGGAAGCCTTCGCGCTCCTCAAGCGCGAAGGCGTCACCACCCTCGACACCGCGCGCCTCTACCCGGGCTCCGAGGAGACCATCGGCCGCAGCCCCGGCCACGAATCCTTCATCATCGACACCAAGCTCCTCGGCGGTTTCGGCCCGGGCTCCCTCAAAAGAGACGCCGTGCTCGCCGACGCCCAGGACAGCCTGAAACGCTGCCAGATCGACCAGTTCGACATCCTGTACCTGCACGCGCCGGACGCAACCGTGCCGATTGAAGAAACGCTCGAGGCCGTCAATGAAGTCTACAAGAAAGGACTATTCAAGCGCTTCGGCCTGAGCAACTACACCGCCGAGCAAGTGCAGGAGGTCTACGATGTCGCCAAAGCGAAGGGCTATGTTCTCCCTAGCGTGTATCAGGGCAACTACTCGCCCGTCGCGCGCCACCTCGAGTTCCTGCTCTTCCCCACCCTGCGCAAGCTAAACATGGTGTTTTACGCCTACTCGCCCTTAGCTGGCGGCTTCCTGACGAAGACGCCGGCGGACCTCGACGCCGGCGCCGGCCGCTTCAACGCCCAGGCCATCGGCGGCATGTACAAGAACCTGTACGACAAGCCCGCGCTGCGCGAGGCGCTCGGCGAGTGGAGCGACATCGCGGCGAAAGAGGGGACCAGCAAGGCGGAGCTGGCGTACCGCTGGGTGGGGTACAATTCTGCGATGAAGGCGGAGCTGGGCGATGCGGTGATCTTCGGAGCGAGCAGTCTCAAGCAGATTGAGCAGACGGTGCAGGGGCTGAAGAAGGGTGGGCTGAGCAAGGAGGCGGCGGAGCGGATTGAGCAGCTCTGGGAGAAGGTCAAGGATGTGGCGCCGATTGATAATTGGAATTCTACTAAGAGGGACTGAGTGGAGGAGGAGTAGGCGAAGTTACGACTATAGAGATAGACGTCATAGGTCCCCAGGAGGACAGACGGAATGAAATATATGCTTACGACGACGATTGGCATCAGTAGATGCTCTGTGGATGGAAGAGCGTACCACCCAGGGCACTTCGACCAATAGGCGAACTGCGTCAGATTGAGTATACCGCATAATGGAGGATAACTCTGTTGCATTGATCCTGTCTGCAGATAGATTTGATAATAATACAAGCTGTCTATTCATACACCTCAAACCTTTCAAATACCCACCGACCCTGCCCTGTACACACAAAGGAAACCCAGACCGATTTAATAAGTCCCAAAGATATGCTTTTCTCGATTACGCGGCCTCTATAGACTATGCCGAATAGCATAGCCCTGCGCCAGTACAATGCCATGTTTCCATTCCATTGCAACGCCCCATCCCGAGTGACAAAAGAGATCCCAACAGCGAATGGAATAGATAGATCGATTACCCGGGGTATACCATTACTCCGCAATTAGTCTGGTCGAAGTCGCTGATAATGGAAAAAGAGAGGGAAAGGAAGGAGAAGTTTACAGCGCCGCGATCTTCGGTAGCGGCTTATTCTTCAACTCATCGAACGTCATTCTCCTCGCTTGGGCGGCGGGCATCTGCGCTCCCGCACTTGCGTCCGCGCTTCCTCCGCCGCCACCGTGCTTGGGCTGCATGTTCGCGTTCTGCGGCGTGCGACTAACTGTTGTTGACGCAGCTCTTGCTACGTTCGCGGCACCAGCCGGGATATCTGAGTGTCGCAGTGGGCTCGCAGAGCGGTACTTGCGGAAGGGAAGAATTTTCTCAATGCTCAGCCTTATATCGTCTAGTTCCTTCTCAAGCTCTTTGCGAAGGTTGACTTTGTCGTCGTCCGGGCTGCTATCGGGACTAAACTTGCTCAGCAGCTCAGCAGAGGAGCTCCTGACAAGTTTGAAAATCTTAGCAGGGACCGCCTCGTTGCTCTCCTCTTGACTCGCGGACTGCGCTTTTTCTAGCTGAGGCGTTTCTAGCTGAGGTTTCCAGCTCCTCCATTTGCGACCGGCTTGTTGAGCACCCGTCGTGGCATCGGGTGCGCTAGCAGTCCGAACATGGCCCATATTTCGAGGCTTTGGAGGCTCAGTACCCGGTATATGGGTGCCGTTCAGGATGGCGTATGCGATCTCGTTGGCGCTAGCTCTTCGCCTGGAACCTCCGCTTCCGGAAGAAGGACTTCCTCGGCCTTCGTCTGGGCCCGTCGACCCGCTTCGCGTGCTCCATGCGACGCTGCCCACCGGTGTGGTCGAGCTGAGGCGATGCGGACGCGTGAGAGAGACGGATGAACGTGAGTAGCGACTGCGGTAGGAAAAGCTGTAGCCGGAGTTTGCATCGCGCAGGTGCGGATGAGAGCGTGACGAAGCTGGCCCTAACGGGGAAGGCGCTGGCGGGTGGACAGCACGCCATGCAGACGCTGAGTACTGTGCTGGAACCGATAAGGGTACAAACCCCGAGGGCGCAATAAGAGCAGACATACGAGGAGGTGGTGGAAGATGTTGGTTGGATGCGGAGGGATAGAAGACAGGTGGTGGGGACTCTACCGACGGAGCACGTGGCGGAATGATGAAGGCCGGAGGGAGCGGCGGGGGCTGCGCATGGGATGTGAAGATACCCAGCCCTATTGACCGGATGGGCGACGGAGCGTGGATTGTTGAGGGAGGCGACGCCGAGTTCAGGTCCCATGTCTCGACATCGGTGTTGGAAGTGTTCGAAGGGGTGCTCCTATGTGTTGACGCAGATACCCGGCCACCTTGATACTTTTCGGAGGCAATAGAAGCGCTGCGGGATGGTGACGCCCTTCGAGAAACACCAGGTGTGAGGCGAGGGTTGGCGGGTGGTGGTCTATAGCCGTGCTTCAGCAGGTGGGCTTCGAAAGGACGGCGCACGATCGAGAGCATGCCGAACAACGTACAGGAAGCCATCCTACGCCTTTGTTAATGATATCGATACAGTGCCTGGTGGCGGTGACGTACAGCGCTATCATAGCAAAGGCAATGCCCGCACGGCCAACCCGACAGGGTGTGCCAGATTCCCAGCCTTTAAGGCCAGGCGCTTTCGGTAGGCATACGGGCCGACGAGCGACAAGGATCATGTTCCAGCCGGAAGTCAAGAGCCATAGAACACATAATGTGACAGCAAGGCGGATGGCGACATACGAAGCCTTCTTCACCATAGATGGGTGTCGTCTTTGATGTTTCCATATTCTTTGCTTGAGGGAGAAGATAGTGTGGAGGACGATGTATGCTATCGTGACAAGGGCCTGGCGGGTGTAAGTCACGCGGCATAATAGCAAGGGGAGATACATACGGATGTCAGAGTGAAGACTTCCGAAGGGATGTTGGTTGTGTCGTCCGGCTCGGATGCGATTTGGAAAACAGTGGTGATGAGACAAATGAGAGAACTCCAAAGCAAGACATTCAACAAGACGGTGATGGCGACCAGTGTCAGCTGTCGACGGGGGATCTTTGTGTTGATCTTGATAGTGATGGTCGTCAAAGCCTCGGATTTGCTGGGCCGCTGGCTACCCTCCCCGCCGCTGCTGTAGGACCCAGCCATTAAGTGACTGGCGCTTCAGTCACCTAGATGTGACGGGCCTGAGGTGCGAAAAGGACAGACCGACCGTAGGAAGGCAAGGGCAGGATGAGGCAGAGAGCAAAGCGAATGACGGGCTCATCTCGACGATGAATAGGTTGCCAAAGAGCTTCGAAGCTGTGGAATACAGCTGCTATTCAAAAGAAAGTGTCGGTCGTCGCTAGCATCCGGTGCCTGGTGGTGTTAAGATGGGACAGCGTTGACAATTAAGCCTGAACACGCCCTCCGACCCGTGGCGTCTCAGGAGGAATGGTAACGACGGTTTAGAGCTTAATGGTACGGGATGTATTAGAAGCATTCCAAAGACGCGGATAAAGAAATTGGAGAGAATTCGGAAATGTCAGGAATGTTGCGCGATGAATAGAAGCGAGGAATGTTGTTGGACAGGAACGAATCTCAGGCGCGCAGGGCGATGAAGTTTGCGGCCCCGAAGGACACATTTTGACGAGCTTAATTTAATGCGTATTCCGATTGGAGCTCGCCTTATTGACTGATGAAGAGCATAGATGGGTTGAGTAGTCGCAGAGATAGTATTCGTCTGCTGCGCCATCAGTCTTCGATCGAGGAAGATTGAGAGTGCGCTATGCCGAGACCATTCTCGGGACACGTGCAAATAAAGGGTGCTGGGGGTACCTGCATTACCGCATAGACTATATTCCCCAGACAACCAATAATGCCGACCATGCTGGCCAAGCCCAGGAGCCGGTAGTGGTGACGACGCCTGTTCCCATAGCATCCTCGCATCATATTTCCGAGGCCAAAGGGGACCTCTTAGCGATGGGCACAGATGAGAGCACTCCTCATCCGGCTAAGATTTAGTCTCCAAAGTCGCACTCTTCCGCATCCGAGCCCAACTGGAGATGCAGCAGCAGGTGAAGCAGGGTTTGGAGCCCCATCGTCCCCAATAGGTCGAAGCATCGGACGAGGCTGGGATTTACGCGCCCCATTCCTCGAAGTTGCTGCTATGAGCGATATTTCGATATTAATCCGTTGAATATGCCCTCACTGCCACGGCTTACCTAGCCGAGCAACGAGGCCAGGGCAGCATCACGCGAAGACACTTTCATTCTTGAGAAGAGAACAGTGTCAGAGAGTGTCGTGGGCTGGCGACTTGTCGCTGGTTGCAAAGGTTGCAACTAAGGGCCAAGACTCAGAGGATGAGCAGCAAGACTAGGAGCAGTATGAGGACGAAGATGAGTACTGCAATACAGCAGCTGGACCACCGATCTGCAGATTGGCGAGAGGGTCAGTAGTGCTGCCAATCAATTCTTAAAAGGGCAATTACCTTCGTTCTTTTTGATGACCCAGCCCACCTTCTTAATGCCAGTCTGCAGCTTGCCGCCGACCCTGTCGGCCACAGTGTCGACGTCATTCAGGAGCTCCCCCTGCTCCTCGAGCTCGCGGCCCATATCGTCGGCTTGCTGTCGCAGGTTGCCCACGGTTCGGAAGACGCCATCCAGCTGTTCGTCTTGTTCGTGCATCAACTCCATCTGCCTCTCTTGCTCGAACTGTGCATAATCGTCTTGCTCTTCGAAGGAGTCTGGGTCGGGCAAGACGTCTCCATTCACGGCGGCCTTGCCCTTGTTCTGGGCGTCGTGGACGGTCTGCAGGAGCTCCTCGCGCATGTCTTGAACCTCGTCCCCAACATCCTTCACCAGCTTTCTCCGCCGCTCTACTTCGTCTATCTCAAGGCCGAAGCGATAGGGGTCATGCTCAACCGCCTTGACACTCTCGATCAGGTCCTCGAGGTCCTGGCTGAGGTCCTGCAGCGTCTGCTCGAGCTCGATGCGCGCTTCTCGAAGCTCGGGGGAGTTCGCGGACGAGGCGGACGAGCGGATTCGCCGGTACGAAGCAAACAGGGGCCGTGAGTTGTTCAGCGCAGACAGCACATCTCTGTGACGCGTGTCAGTATTCCATCCAGGCAGGCGCCCGGAAGCCGGAAAGGAGGGGCCTCACGCCTGAACCTGCAAGAAGGGGTCCTCGTCGTTCGACGTAGACATCATGTTGGGCCAGATGACACGGGAACGCCTGCAATCAAAGGCTGGCGAGGCGGCTCTGGGTAAAACGGAGCGGAGTCGCGAGTTGAAGCTTGCCGGCCAGGTCGTCAATGCGGAAGATCAGCCACAGCTCGCGAGGCGCACGGGCCACTCGGGCTCACCTGGGCGGGAAAGGCGAATTCCGCACACCAAGAATTCGCCCTCATTTTCCAGATGAAGCACGCAACTTCCAGAGTCGAGAGTCTCGTCACGCAAATTCGCCGGAGCGAAGACTGCGGACAACACTATGCGGCCCGCTGCGCTTCTCCCGCTGCCGGTCGGATTTTCTGACGTAGATGACTTCGTGGAGTCCCTCCTGGAATTCACTACTTCCTCATGGCTGCTGCAGACGCTATGTGGAGGCGTCCACATCCTGGATTTCTACACGAGATCGCCAGACATCTACTCCTCTATCCTTCCCCAGCCATGGAGGACATGGTTCAAAAGCCGGGACATAATGGATATCCTGGACCTGCTAATGAGAGAGGACCTGACACAATTCGATGAGAAAAGAGACGGGGAACTTACGTGGCGTGGCGGATCTCCTCCGCCGAGAGATCTACTGAAGTATATCCGAGATGTGCGAAAGCACCTGCTCGGACGCGAGTTCCCTCCGCCAAACTCAGGGTTGAAGGTTCAAAAGCCCAACATAAGCCGTGACATCGCAGTTGGCATGAAAGTCAAGAAGGTGCACGAAGTGGACAACTTTGCTCGCTTCGTCGACAGACTGACTTCCGACATTACAGCGTCAGGAAAGAGCGAGATCACACATCTTGTGGACTTCGGCTCAGGCCAGAACTACCTTGGTCGTGCACTTGCTGCACGCCCATACTCCAAGCATATTGTTGCTGTTGAGAGCAAGCAGCATAACATTGAAGGCGCTAAGAACATGGATATCAAAGCCAAGTTAGTAGCGAAGCCATTGGTCATGAGAAATAAGAAAGAATACCGAGCCGGCCTGAGAAAGGGGCAGAACGGGAAGAGCAGCGGGTCCAACGGCATTGATTCTTCGTCGATATCGGAGAACACCGCTCGCGAGGATATCAACGGTGCGAGCAATGCTCCGGTTGAACAAATGGCAGAGTCCGCATCGGGAACTTCCACGCATGACCGGCCTCTGAATAACGGAGCAAGCTGTGAGGACAATGGTTGCGCAATAATACCGCAGCCTTCACAAAACGGCGACACATTGGTGGAGAGCAAGACTGTCACAACCACCCTACAGATCTACACAGAAGGCCATGGCAGCGTGCAGTACGTCGAGCACATCATCAAGGATGGCAATCTTGGGCCAGTGATCGACCAAGTGCTCGACAGTTCACGAGTCCAGGAGGATAATGTCACGTCCACGTCCGGCGTGGTTGAAGAGCCGTCCAACCTGGAAGCCGTCCCAAAGCCTACCAATGTAAACGCCATGGTCATCTCGCTCCATTCTTGTGGCAACCTAGTCCATCACGGGCTCCGCTCGATGCTCTTAAATCCGTCGATATCCGCCGTAGCAATGGTAGGATGCTGTTACAACCTCGTAACCGAACGCTTAGGGCCCCCAACCTATAAACTCCCAACACTGCGACCGAATCATCCTCGCCTCGCGTCGACGTCCAACGCGTTTGACCCGCATGGATTTCCAATGTCTGAAAAGTTAGCAAACTATCCGTTACCGCACGCTCCGCTTTCGCCAGCGAACAGCACTCCTGCCTCGGATAGCCCACCAAAAGGTGTCCGCCTCAATATCACCGCACGCATGATGGCCGTCCAGGCGCCCTTCAATTGGGGCCGCGAAGACAGTGAGCTCTTCTTTACCCGACACTTTTACCGCGCGCTTCTTCAGCGCATATTTCTGGATCGGGGTGTAGTTTCCGCACCTGTCGATGTCGATGGCCTGGTAGGCGGCGGCGTCTCAGCAAATGGCCATACCAGCAAAGTGAACTGGACCCCGCCGAATGGACGCGGACCAGGTCTCAGCTCTGATGGTACATCCACGCCGCTGACCATCGGCACGCTCCGGAAGTTTGCCTACAGTGACTTCCGATCCTACGTTAGGGCCGCTATTGCGAAACTCACGACGTCGAATACTTTCTGTGAGGTCGACCCAGAATTCATTGCGGAGAAGATGGGTGGTTTGTCTGACGAAGAGATCGAGGATTACGAGGAGAAGTATGCCGAGAGAAAGAAAGAGCTAAGTGTTACATGGAGCCTAATGGCCTTCAGCGCCGGCGTGGTCGAAGCAGTCATTGTGACTGATCGGTGGCTGTGGTTGAGGGAGCAAGACGAGGTGGAGACTGCATGGGTCGAGCCAGTCTTTGATTATGCGATGAGCCCAAGGAATCTTGTCGTAGTGGGCGTCAAGAAGTGAGGCATTGAAGTGCTCGTTAGCCCTCATCGCTGCAGGAAAGTCCCAAGAGTAGTAATCGTCCTTGGGTCACTAGCAGTACTCTTGAACGGTAAATGCTTGCGCCACGTCGGGAACCGCCATCCGAGTACGTGGGATCACAAACCGGAGAGCCTATCGCGGCTAGTTGATTAAATAAGAATCTGGATAGATGTACTCAGTGGGAATGAATGCTCTGGTGGATCCGGCTTGGCTGTACACGTGGTGACTATTGTCGCGCCGGCAGGCCAAGATGCAAGTAAGCCCGCTCGCTCTCCGTAGGACTAAATTGACTTTCAAGCAGGTACGCAGCGCCTGCTTAGCCTCAAACCCATATACAGTGTTCGGATGCGCGGTCAAGTCCGCCCCTGCTAAGGTGCTGACAAGGCTAGGCGCGTATCTGCCCAATAGCCCAATTCGGACAATGTTCCATCGTCAACTGGGGAAAATAGCTACTGCCAAGAACATCATGATGAGCCGCACGTCAAGCTGAAATCTCCTGAGGCTCATGTAATTTTACTTCGACGGCATGCACTGGGGCGATGGCTGTGCTTGCAACGCACTTTCCTCATCGCGAAGGCGTGGCTGCGAAGCTCGAGTATAAGAAGTTGACCTACGTACCTCAAGGAACTCTTCTCCACACAGCTTTACAGTTCTCCATTGATCTATATTTCCAGGTGTATTTCTTTCGCTCCATCTCTTCCGTTATAGCTCTCGTTGCTTCCATTCGCTATGGGTCGCCTCGCCTCACTCCTGGCCGCAGGCCTTTTCGCAACGGCATCCGCTCGTCCATGGTCTAGGGATGAAGGGCACAACACCACTGCGACGAACACTACTGCACCAACCATGGTCAACGATTTTGCAGATGTGCGTTTATCTCTCCTGCATTCCTTTGGAGTGTTTTTCAACTGAGCTGACACTAGTGCAGATCGAGCCGTCAGAGGAACTGACCTGGGTGCCTTGCTTTGACAACCCCAAAGTGAGCTGCGCAAACTTGCTCGTACCGCTAGATTATGCAGATGAGAGCGCTGGTATGACGAATATTGCATGGGTTAAATACATCTCTGTCGACGAGTCTGCGGAAGACATAATATTCAACCCTGGTGAGTGCTCAATCCTCTCCAGAACGGCCATCACTGACTCGAAAAGGCGGCCCCGGACAATCTGGTCTCAGCCATGTGGCTCTCGGAGCCGAACAACTTCTGGCTAGCTTCGGGTCCCAATACAACCTCATCAGCTTCGAGCCGCGGGGTGTGAACAACAGCGGCCCTGCGCTGACCTGCTTCCCTGGAAAAGTAGAGGCACGGGAGGCGTTTAAGCAGAGCGGCAGTAATACCGTGCCTCTCCAGGAGATGTACCAACGCAGCAAGGCTCACGGCCAATACTGCACGAGGGCAAATGCAAACACTACAGCTAAATACGGCGGCACTGTCGCCGTCGCGCAGGATATCATGCACTTCGTCGACCTGCGCGCCGCGGAAAAGGGCACCCCAGATTCCGCTAAACTATGGTACTACGGCGTGAGCTACGGCACCGCGCTCGGCCAGACACTTGCAGCTCTCTTTCCCGAGCGCATAGGCCGCATGGTCCTCGACGGCAACGTATACGGCGTGCAGCACTACACGGGCGTGCTCCCCTCCGACGTAGACGACTCCGACGCAGCCTTCCATGACTTCTTCCAATCATGCTTCAACGCAGGCCCGGAAAAATGCACCTTCCACGGCTCCTCCACCTCTGTCGAAGAAATCGAGAACCGCTATCTCACGCTCCTGCAGAACCTGCGCGAACTCCCAGCCATCCATAACACCGACGACGCCCCAGGTGTCATCACCGATGCCCTCGTCTCCAACCAATTCTTCTCCCAGCTCTATAACCTCGTAGGCAACGCGGCCAGCTTGGCTGAAACCCTCGCTATGCTCGAACAGGGCCTCGCGGACGCGGCGTGGGAGACGTACTTTGGCCCTGCGGCAACGGGGCCTGCGCCTTATGGCTCTGCTGCAGCGGCGTTCGACGACCAGGAGGCTCTCCACCTCATCACGTGCATTGATGCGAATAAGAATTTTCCGATTACCACCTATGAGGAGTATCTGGATGTGAGAGAAGTCTTCCGCAAGGAGAGTTACTACGCGGGTGCAAACTCGGCGGCCACTAATCTGCTTCTCTGCTTGGGCATGGACATCACGCCGCCGCCATCCCAACAATTTCCTGGTAAGCCCTGCTCATCTTATCTAGCCCTTCCCTTCCCCTCCCAAACGTCCTCCAATTTCCTCCTCCGCAGACACCCTGCTAACCTATTCGTTTTTTCCGCAGGTTTCGACCCTGCCGGTACAACAACAAGCTTTCCTATTCTCTTTGTAAACTTCCTCCGCGACCCCATCACGCCGCTCTCCAGCGCCCAAAAAATGTCCGCCTTCTTCCCTGGCTCTGTCGTCCTCGCGCAGAACTCCACTGGTCATGGCATGTCGGCTGCGGAATCGGAGTGCACGTCTGGCTGGACGCGAGCGTATATGGCTGAGGGGACGCTGCCGCCGCCGGGTACAGTGTGTCAGCCGGATGTGAGGCCTTTTGTCGATACACCTACCAAGAGGGGGGTCGTCTTGCCAGGGGTCTATTTTTAAGCCGGGAGGTGGGGGCGTGGATAATTAGATGATGAGGTTTGTACGGTGGGATCAAGAGGAGGGACCGCCTGGGGTAATGCTTTTATATTCTTAATTGTTTGAGTTTGCGGTAATGAGCACTGCTTAGTTCTTCACAACCCGTTGCTCTTTTTGGGCCATGCCCTGGTTTCACGCTCTTCATCAATCTCACTTTGGGATAGGTGTGGTTTTCAAGGTTACAAGGGATTGCATGGACTGTGATGGTTGGGAGGTGGGGTTCCCCCAGCACGCATGGGTCTCAGCCTTCTTGAACTTGCCCATCATTGCCTGAAAGCAATTATCCTCATGAATTTCGACTGAGCAGAGCACGTGCGGGAAGAGTTGGGATCTGCTTTTTCCCGATGAACGGAACTATGCACCATTCACGTTGTATCTTCCTACACCTGGGGATGCGCCTCAGGGACGAAACATGAAACATTGGGACGTTCGCGCCCCAAAGAGGGAACTGTGGTGGGTTGGATGGAGAAATAACGCCTGAATTTTGAGACACCAAGGCTTTGGGATGCGCAAACTATGGCTTCGTATCTGGCGTGTCGTCGGCCGTCGGACGGACCCTCGTGCAGCAAGGCTGAGCTAGGCCAATTCCGGCCCGAGTCAAACCGCCACCCATTTCGATCATTGGTATCGAAAGTCTAAAAAAAGAGAGGTCGGCAGCATAAGGACATCAGAGCTACCCTCCTGTATATATCACGGTGACCAACAGACTTTCGGTCTCGTCACCGCTTCATGGAAGCATCGCGCACAGCAAATACGTCCGGCTGGTGACTCCGCCTCCTGCGCCGGCAACCCGTCTATTGCTCAGGCAGATGTGGGAGCCGCTTACCAGGCCAGTTCGAGCGGCTCGACGACGCTACTCACCCTCCTCCCAACGGCAGAAGTATTGATAGGAGCCCCGGCCAAAGAGCTGTGGGTGCTGTCTAAGCTGGTACCCTTGGCTGGCTTCCTATCCATGGCTCTCTCCCTGGAACGCAACATCATGCCCCACCAGGTTGGCGACTATGCCGATCTAGCTGCTACGGTGTGCGCACCTCGTTCGTCGAATAAGGAGCATGGGGCTTGCAGAGTGGAAACGATGTCGTCGGAAAGGATGTAACAACCTATCCACCAAAGTCATCTGCATATCTCACTTTTTCTTTGCAGCCCACCGTCGACTTTCCGTATATGTTCTCTCTAGTCAAACACGCCTCTCTTTTCAAGCTCGGTGTGTGCGCACCGTTCTAATGCTTTCATCGCGAGAGCATTGGCTTATCCTATGCCTGAGTAGTCGAAATATCGTGCTTCATTCACATTTCTCCACTCATCACCCGACATATCAGCGGTATGCACGAATGCAATGGGGCCAGTAAGCTACCCAGGTAAAATGGCCCGATTATGTCATTGTCAAGCACGGTGGTGCTTAGAAAATACGAGAGCCCATTTAACGAAAGCGGCTAGCTGCTCGGCAAATCACCTAGGTAGGAGCAGCTCCTTCATGTCTTCGAGACTCAACTCTTCCTAGGTTACACCGGGAAACACTCGACGATTGGCGCATAAAATGTTTTCGTCGCTGGCCCTGAGTTCTCGTTCCGTCTCGTTCCATCCTTCTGGTTGTACGATGCTCGTGTAAGGCTCGTACCCAATATTGCCGCGCCGAACGCGCTGAAGAAGGATGCTGGGCATAAGATGGAGCGACTTTCTTTCGGCGCCGGTGGAAGTCCTGACAACGACCAGAGTGGGTATATAAACTGGTAGCTTTGCTCTCTACAAGAAGCAAGTGATTGAGCGGCCTCCCTCCACTTCACATCAGATCCGCACTACCACCACCACCACCAACCGCCAACCGCAACCCATTCACCATGAGGCCCCAACACCTCCTCCTCCCCCTCCTTACCGCGCCCCTCTCATCCGCCTGCCTCATCTACTCCGCCTGGCAGTCGCGCGGCCTCAGCAACCTCCACGCGACGCTCACCGACAACGGCCAACAAGTCTGCTGGTTCGACGGCGACGGGCCCGACTCCGGCGGCGCATACCGCTTTAACTGCATCGCGGCAAATTTTGCGGCTATCGTGTACCAGGACGCTTCCACTGGAACACATAGGGTTCTGTACGCGAACCCTGGGGGGAACTTTGAGTTCACCGCGCTTTTGGGTGGTTCTGGGGGGACGTATACGTGGTATGCGCAGAATTATGGGTGTTAAGGGAAGCGGGGAGCGGGGGAAAGAAAGAGGTGGGGGGATGGGGAGAGTTGACAGGTCTTTGAGTTGATTGTTGGGGGGTTTGGGCATAGCCTAAGCTTGTGGATGGAGGCTGTGTGCGCTTAACTCATGCTATAAAAGAATCTTAACGCTTCGGGTTTTTTTTGGGGGTAATTTTTCTTTTGGCTTGCACGATCGATTATTCGTAATTAGCGGGCTAATGTAAAAGTTGCAACTAAATCTCTGCTCTAAACCGCTGAACCTTTTGATGATACCCCTTCTGCCTGCGGATTTTGGAATGTAGCGTCTTTGTTGCTGATACTATATATGTAGTATTGCTCGCATCTTCTTTATGACGAAGTCGAGCGAATTTATGACTGCGCGCGCGTAAATATCTGCACCAAAGCCTCTTCTGGAGGACTTCGACTACAGTGGCATACAACGCTTCACTACAAGCAAGAAATCGTTAAGTCACAAATCCAGCGGGCTGAGCGCGGACACGGCATGCGGTCAAGACTCCGAACAAATCTTCGTCTCCGTAGCCGTCTTCATGATCTTGAGCGCCCTCTTCGCCAGCTCCTCGCTCGTCACCATCCAGATGGCCATCCTCGTCATGGCGCTGACCCTCGTCGCGGGCGTCTTCGGCCGCGTGACGGCCATGTGGATCTCGGCTGTTATCATGCGGGACAGACCGGTTCTGCATCGCGTGGCCAAGCACCAGGACGACGCGAGCGTGTTCATGGAGGCGGTGCTGCGCAAGGAGGGTATTGTGTGCGAGGTTATGGGTCATGCTGTCATCGCAGCCAGGTGTGTGAAGAGGAATCCTAAGTGGACTTGGAGCGCCTTGTTGGGGGTGCTGGCGCGGGCGTTTGACGTGTCGAAGATTGCGGTAAGGGCGCTTGCGTAGTTTTGGGGTGTGAATTGGAGGTGAGACGCCTAGGTGAGACTGGGGAGTAATGAGACGTGGTCGTTGCGGCGCATTGTATGGTTATTTCGGCGTAGCATCTAAGGGTTTCTATGCTTCTCTGTAAATTATTGCTTCTACGCGACTCGCGAATAATGGACCCTATACCGAAGTAAACATCAAGGATATAATCAGCTCAATCTGAACGGAATATATACATTCAAAATCGAACACTGCTCGTACATACACGCACAAGCAAGCCCACCCATTACACGGGTATCTAGCCCAATCCAATCCAATCCAACCCATCCCATCCATCTCCCCTTTTCATGAAGCGATGCCATGCGATGCCATACCATGCCTTACCCCAATCCCGTTACCCCCCGAAAAAACCATCTCAAAAACGCCAACCTGATGCAAACCATGACCCACCCATGCCATCCATCATCAAACCAGGCTCGCCCCAAACGCCATGGAACCCACCACCACCGCCCCACACACAACAATCGCCGTCCAACTTCCTTGTGGTGGCCTCGCAATGCTCGAAGCAGCGCCCTTCGAGCTAGAGGGACTAGAGCTTGTAGTGCCGCTTCCGCCGCCTCCCGATGTTGGATTGCCCTCGCCCTGGCCCTGCTGTGCCTCTTCGCTGGTTACCGAGCCGGAGATGCAGGCGTCCTCGTCTAGGCCGCCGTCCTTGCCGAATGCTACTTGGGCGGCCTTGTCCCATAGCGCGGTCACGTTGAGCAGGTGGCTTGGCTCGTACCATATTCTGCAGCTGGCTGTGTCGTTGAGGAATTGCGTGGGGATGCCATCTTGCTCGAGGCCCTTGCGGATGTTGTCCTGGAAGTTGATGGACGCGTCCGTGGCCATGATGCCGAACGGATTTGGCAGGAACTCGGCCCATTGATTTGCCTCGGCGAGGCTGGAGGCGAACGATTGGATGACGTAGGCTGATATGGAGACTAAGTAGTCGGACTGCAAGACGAGCGAGCCTTTCGTGCCGCCGACGGGCTGCATTGGTCCGGCTCCCGGTCGCCCGCCCACTGCAAGGGTTTTTACGCCGGATTGCTGGACCATAAGTTCAGTGAATAGGGAGCAGGTGGAAGCGCAGATGCCGTCGGAGAGGAGCACGATGTCTTCGGCTTTGAAGGGATCGTCTGTGAAGTTTGAGCGGTCGCCGTATCCGGTCATGGTGACGCCAATAGAGTAGCGATCGGACGAAGTGGTCAGCGGGTCTGAGAGGTTGTACCGCAGCAGGTCGGTAAAGTTGTCGCTGTTGAACACCGAGGGCGGGTACATGTCCCCCCAGGCCGTGTATTCGTTGTTGTCCTTATCGAGGTAGGAGTGGAAGTTGAAAGGCGAAGTATATAGCTCGCCATCACTGCTCGTCAGACTCGAGATGGAGGAGATTGTCTGGCCGAAGAGCTCGGAGGCCTGGTTACCACGCCAACGGGACATGAGTTGTGGCTCTTGAGACGGGAAAAATTGCAGGTACATGTCGTAGCCGAGCAGGATCTTGCCGCCGCCGTTGGTTCGCAGGTCGATGATGTGCTTAGCAACATTGCGCGATTGTGCCTCGGCGATGTATTGCTGAACAACAGCTTGGAATTCCTCCGAGTCGGAGTTGCTTTCAGTGTTGAATGTCTGTGCCATGAGGATACCAATTGTTCCTGCGCTGGTGTCGATGAAGTAGCCGGCCAGTGGAACGTCAGACGCCGAGTGCTCAATAACGGGAGTCGGGTACTCTTCAGGAACGTAGCGGCGGCTAAGTTCAGCTTCCCTAGGATTCTCCAAGTGACGCGGCAGACTGTGCGGGCTCCTCTTTAGTCTCTTCGAACTAGTCGACGGTACAACGAATGTCTCATAGAAGCTTTCCCCGTCCGTGACATAGCTCCATGCATTGGAATCCAAAACGATAGCCGCATTTTGAAACTCGTTCGAAGTCCCGTTTTCGAATGTTATGTTTACCGAGGGGCCTGGGTAGAAGCGGGGATTCGTGAAATACCCATAATTCTCCGCGGGCTGCATGTAAAACATTGCGTTGTACCTCGTATCGGGGTCGTGGTACGCGTTCAGTAAGCTCTCCTCTTCCAGAAACTGTGCCGCATCCTTCCCGTCAATCTGCGTGATGGCGGATGGTGTGAAACTCGCTCCAGTTTGATTGAAGTCTTGAATAGCCCAAACCTTGGGCGCTTCCTTGCCATCACTTGATGCCGACATGAGCGCTATCTGCCTGTTTCTCCGCCATCTGAACGCGCCGCCGTATGCCATGCCGCCAAACGAAAGATGGCCATCATGCGCCTTGACAAGCAGGGCCGCGATATCATTCTCGAAATCGTACTCGTTGTCGTAATCGCCATTGGTGACTTTGCTGTCGATATCGTCCAGACCTGCCATGAGATCTACGCCGTCATTTGGATAGCCTTCCGGTGGGCTTTTCAGGTACGAAAGTGTCGACTGAAATTCTAGCATCTGCTTTAACGAGGTGATGGTCAAGGACGCGGCGCTCTTAATGATAGGTACAGATTTGAGGCACGCCAATGCAAGCTAAGTTGAGTCAGCCTACGGCTTGTTAAGCGCCAACCCAACGGAAGTTGCAACTGACCTCGGCCTCCACGCTTGGATACTCTAAACTGCTATCATCCACGAATTGTGCGATCTGCGAACACGCTCTTCCCGTCTCGATAGGTCCAGACAGCGTCTCCGTAGCTGTAGGCTCCACATTCCCCAACGAAGTTTCCACCTGCGTCGTCGCAAACGAGAAAGACTCTGCTTGTGCCGCCGCGACTGCTATTAACGCCGGTAACACTGCGAAGGGCCTCATGATGAGGTGGGAGGAACGAGGCTCTGAGGCCTCAAAGGACGGTAAAGAAGGCCTGCGATACGAAGTCGAATATGCGGCGCCAGATACTTAATATAAGTTCTAACGGCTTTGCAGTCCAGGGAAGCGCAAGCGGATTGCCGATACGATAAAGTCGATACGTAGGGCTGAATATATCCAGATTAGAAGAACCGCGGTGGCAATGGTTCGTATGCAGTCGCTATGCGTAGTTCCCAATCCTCTCTTGTAGCCTCGAAATGAACGACTGGATCTTTTTTCGTCTGTTCCAGGCAGACGCCGCAAAATCCAACAGGAATCAATACTTTTTTATTGCCCGTAAGCACACAAAATCCCAGCTCTTGAAAACAAGTCAATTACTGCGCCCCAAAACAAATGTTGACAGCATGAACAAGACGTCCGCAAAACAGACGTCCGTATCCTCAAGGCCCACGCGGGGACCGTCCCCATTTTATTCAAAAGATGGGCTGTCCGGCAGCTCATCTCGCATCCACATGCATGCGCCCCTGCGCATCCCACCATCCGCTTTCGAGATGGAAAAGAGAGATGGCGACGAATCAGAAGGAGAAAGTGGCACAAGGCCGCAGCGCCACATGCCGTTTCGACACAGGGCTGGGCCAGCTTGGGCTGATCCTTGTGGAGGGCCAAGCGCGTTCGGTGGGCTCGAGGCCTCCTGCAGCTGGCAGCGGCTGAATTGGAGGCCGCAGCTGTGCGCATATCTCCTGGCTCCCCGACAGCGCGTCCTCCTCGTCCCCATCGCTATCCTCCTCTTTCTTATCAACGGAATCTGAACGGACAGCTGTACAATCGAAGCATAGATTAACCACCTCCAAAAATAGGACGCGAAAGGAACCGAGCCGAACGAAGCCGCCAAGCATTTACCCGTGTCAATAGACAAGCGGAATACGAGGTCATGCCCGGTCGCTTAATGCCGAGGCTGCCGGCGCCCGGCTCAGCCTCGCTAGACGGACTTTTCGCGACGAGCAGGATGCGATGCATGGAGAGGCAGTGGGATGCTCGATGGAATCTACGGAAGTCCGAAGGAGGAGACGATGCGCTGGAATGACGTAGCGGGGCCTTGGAACGTTGGGTCGTACCGCGACCGTAGAGACATTGAGTTTTCGTCGCGAGAATTGAAGCCGAGTTTGAATGCGAGAATACGAAGGAAACCCCTCAGCCAACAGGGTTAATTAATAATAATGCGGCTCTACAGTGGAGGAAGGAATGGCCAGGGTACCTTCGCCTTTTGCGACGTACGTATCGGACATTCGAGGCCTGGCGGAGGATGTTTTGAAACCGGGATGAAGAAAACATCGGAGATATTTGAAGGACGGCTGCGCCCGGATATTTGGATGGGATTCTATCGGGTTCATGCTTTGCTGGACATGTACAGGCTATGCAAAATATGCGTACACCACGCCAAAAACGTCACTTCCCAGAAGTCCCCAATTTAATGCCTATTCAACTCCGCCTCTATGCAAGCAAGCAAGAACCTCCCACAAACCTCTTCCTCCAGCCCAAACCCTGCTTCCCCAAATCCTCACTGCACATTCACAACCTTAACATCCTTCCTCTTCACCTCCAGCTGATCATCCCTCCACCCCTCCACCTCCTTCAACGCCCTAGAAGGTTCCTTCTTCCGCGTCAACAGAAACCCCTGAATCTCTGCTGGACTGAACTTCCCCTCGGGCAACTTCTCCGCAAACTCCTCCGCCATCTCCTTCAGCTTCTCCGGTTCTACGATATCCAGAACAGGCTCGCGGTTGAGCAGTTCGAGGAACTCGCCGTCTTCGCGCTTGCTGGAGAACTTCCTGTCCATAACCTTTGTGGTTGGACTTGATGAGGACATGGAGGCTGGGGAGGACGGGGATTTGACGTTGGCATCCCGCTCCGTGGAGTACATTCGCTTGAAGATATCCCGTGTTTGTTCGCGCGTTGCTAATGTGAATTTCACCTGCAAATCCACCCGGCCCGGCCTAATAAGCGCCGGATCCAGCTTCTCGGGATGATTCGTCGTCATGATAAGCACTCTCCCTTCATGCGACGCCGCGCCATCAATCGTATTCAGCAGGCCGGAGAGCGAAATCAAACTCTTAAAGCCCGTTTGCTGCCCATTCGGTGGCTTCGGTAGTGCGTCGGTCTTGCTGATCTTCGTGAGGCTGCCGTCTTCGGAGGTGGTCCCGTCGCTACTGCTGGTGTCGGAAGAGTCAGAGGGAGTGGGTGGGTCCTCGGAGCGGCGAAGACCGGCAGAGTCGATGTCTTCGAGGAGGACGATGCAGCGACGAGGGAGGGTGGTGAAGAGCTTGTTGAGGTCGGATTCGGTGAGGCCAACTTCCATGAGCGAGATGCAGTAGATGTCGAGGCCGAAGATGCCAGCAAGAGCGAAGGAGAGTGAGGTTTTGCCCGTACCAGGTGGCCCGTAGAATAAGTACCCCCGGCGGTAGGGGATGCCGCGTGCGGCGTACCAGCGAGCGCTCGCGGGGTGGAGATATTCGTTGATGTCCATGACGATTGCGGCCTTTTGTTGCTGGTCAAGAGAGACGGTGCTCATAGGGCGCGAGGGGCGGCAGGATTGCCTGTCCCACGCGCAGTCTCTGCGCTCTTCCTTAGGTGCCGGACGGTAGACGGACGTCATCTTGTTCTCCTTGGTCAAAGTCCATCTCTTGACATGGTTGAGAAGCTCTTTGATAGGCTCCGTGCTCCTGCCGATGCAGCTGATGGACAAGAACTGATCCTCGGAATCACTCCAAAGACTTCTCTGCTTCTCCCTCCTTGTCCGCGAGAACATGAATTTGCGGCCTTGAAACCAAAATTCGTCACTTCCGTAGTTGGGCTCGTATCGCGGTGGGATATTGCTAGCCCACTTCTCGTAGTTGAAGATGCCCGATTCGTCCAGCACATCGTCATCACTCGCATTAGCCTCCTCGTCGCTGTCCTCGTACGCAGAGACCCATTTCGTAACCGCCTTGAGATCGCGTGAGATCTTCGTCATGCGCTGATCGGCGATCCACTCCATCATCTGGTTGAAGAGCTGGTCGTTGTCCTCGATCTGCACGGAGGACAAGAAGTACGATGCAAACAGGCTGTATGACCTATAGTAGACGACTTGCGCGCCCTTGGCTAGTCCAAAGACGACGATGATTCCGGAGACGACGAGGCCGATATCGAAGCCGAGAAGGCGGAAGATGATCTGAGAAATGATGCCATAGCCGGGGATGAGCGCATCGAGGAGGGTGGAAGGGAGACTGCTAATAGTCGAATTCGTGGTTGTAAGGTCGATTTTGAGGGATTGCAGCCTTCTGAAGTCCATTTTGGACTGGACGAGGCTGACCGGCGGGATCGCGGTGTTTCGTTGAGCGCTGATTGTATTTTGTGAAAAACTCTGAGCAGATAGGCTTTAAAGGAGCAGGCTACTAGTGTAAGCGATGATCTCGAAGAAGAAGAAGACGAGAAAGGGCAAAGAAGAGGTTCTTATATACCGACAAACCTTTCCGACGCTGGTCCCTCTGCCACCCAAATCAGCAAACCGTCACAAACCGGTGAGCCTCAACCCTTTTTCCGCACGAATAGCATCGGCAAGGACTAGCTTAACCAGCCAATCGCCCTCAATTTTTACCGCGATATTACTTGAGCGGTATGCACATCAGCACATGCGCGTCCTCTCAGCTGCGTTGGCAAGGGTCGCGAGGCTGAAGACTGCCAGGCAACCGTCACACAAACGACGAATCAAGGTTTTGGTCCCGCAGTATACCACATGGGAACTATGACGGAGGGAATGCTCTTCCTGCGAGCCATGTCCTGCGCCCCATGGTCCTGATGAAAGCTACGTCTCAAAGCAGCAAACGGTGAAGTTGGACGACGCTTACACAGGGGCCGAAGGGCTAGGCAGAAAGCAAGGATAACCGGATGGCGACTGTACATGCAGATGGGCACTGGTTAGCTGAATAGATCCTTGAGGGAGTGGTTCGATAGGACAGAGTGTTGGTAAGATAGGTTGAAGTTTAATGCAGAGTTTCCTAAGGCTGCGCGAAGATTGCTGTGGCGCAGGCAGGTACACCGCCTCTCTCAAGCCACTTTCACGACCACTCATTTTCCGCATCACCATACTATTCAGCACCCTAGACCAGGGTATCTTCGGTGACAGCGGTTGGTATCATCTTCTTTCATTCAAGCCAGAGGTATCCAAGGCTGGAGGCCTAATGCAAGATTGGTATATGCTGAACCCTCCCTCCCTCCTGAAGCAATGTCGGTCTCCGGCGCAGCCTTCGACACGACCTCATGATGCTCAAAAGACAATCAAAACAAAGAACACAATGGTATACATGAACCGTTATCCACCGGAACAACGGAAGCCCATCCGGCCGTAATGCATGTTCAACGAACCCCGACGAAAGCCGTCCACGTACTTGTACTGTGGATACGAAAGGACGCTGCAGGGGTAAAGGGTGGTGAGGATGCTAGAAGGGAAGTGCTTCTTTTTCTGAACGCCGATGCATGCTGATACGAACAAAGGTGTCGTGCGGGAGACTTAGTACCGGCCAAGCAGACCATGCTCGCGATCCCGTCGATGATGCATATGATGCGCATGCCTCTTCTGTGGCGCAGGCGCCTCAACCGTGACGTACACAGCGACCTCCTCGATAGCAACCTCGTACACGACGCCGGCACTCGTGTAGGTGGTCGTAGACACGATGCTACCATGTGGCTGCTCCGGCGCAGGAGGCTGTGTTGGGGCCGGTGCCGCAGGAGCATCGTCGGTGGGAGCAGCGGCCTGGGCATTGATCTCCGAGGCTTGAGATGCTATACCATTGACGTTGGCAACGGAGAGGCCGCCGCCGTACTGGTCGGTAACAGCACTCTTCGCAGTCGTATAAGGCAGAGTCGGCATAGCCTGTACGGGGGTTGTGGGCGTGGGGACTGCGCTCGGGGCCTCAGAGTTGCCGGGCTTCAGGGCAGACGCATACTCGGGACCATACTGAATGGCGACGTTGCCGCAGAGGCCGTCAGCGGGTCCAGCGCAGTCATCATCAGAAAGCACGTGGGGCATGGAGAGCTTGCACTTGTCGCAGTCGGCTTCGGTTTGGAGCTCGAAGACGGGGCAGTCCTTTAGTTGGCCGGATTCGTTTGTGCATTGCTCGATGCCGGATTGGAGGGTGTCGACGTTCCAGCCCATGATGAAGTCGCCGTGGTAACCGTAGCCTGTGCACAATTAGTGGTGAGGTACTTTGACAACAAGGAAGTCGGCTTACCAGTAGGGTCGCCGTTGGCAAACACAAACTGTCCCTTCGCATCCTTGAACGCATACGTATCCCAAATCGTCTCAAAGAAGAGCGACGGGACACGTTTCTCAAATCCCTCCGGGCACGTCCCTCCATTAACAAGATCCGGATACGCCATATGATCCTTATGATTATCCGAATCGGGGTCACCGTTCCAGCAGCTGGGGAAGAAGATTTCAGCACGAATGCCATTGACGCAATTCGCATCCATGTAATCCTTATCCGGGAGGAAATGGCGGTACATAGACGGCTCAGGGTCCTTAGCATAGTTCAAGCAATTCATGCCGATAGCCTTCTGGCCGAGAAGCAGCTGCGTTTTGTCCTTTGCGGTCCAGAGCGACTTCTCGGGATCGGGAACTGGGCCGGTGAAGTTGCGCAGGCGGGTGTCACCGGCGAGCATGCGAAAGCCCTCGGGGAAAGCTTCGATCTCCTCGCCGGAGTTGGCGAAGAGGAGGTAGTACGCGAGCATGCCACCGACTTGGCGGACGACTTCGGTGGTACCATTTTCGTACTGGAAGTGCATGGAGGGCGTCCTGAGTCATGTCAGCAAGGCTGGAGCATGAGGGGTCAAGATCGCTTACCAGTACGCCGACTTGTCGTCCGTAGCCAGGCATGACGTGCACTCAGACGCTCTAAGCTGCTCATAGGTCACATCCATCGAGAAAGCTGCCGAAGGCAGTTAGCTCATAGTTCACCACTCTGAAACCGATAGCGCTTCACTACGCATTAAGCTTCTGCACGCGATGACAGTTCGAACGTAAAGCAACCCGGCTCGGGAAGCGTTCGGTTCCCTCTGACAGCTCACGTGGAAGTCGATCTTTATGCGTCTTTCCTGTGGGTCCAAACGAGAAATGTGGGCAGCGTTTACTTACCGTTTCCGCCGTGGATGGCATGAGAGTGTTGGGAGACGGTGCCCGGGTCGACAAGAGGATCGATGCGGGCGAGTGCGATACGATCATGACATTCCATGCGCCAGAAAGCGTGGGTGGTGCCGGAGAGGAGGGCCATGGTGACCGAGAGGCTCGTGAAGGACTTCATGGTGACGAAGATGTCGTTGGTTTGTCGCGGGCGGAAAGTGTTGAGGTAGAAGGTGGGCGCGCGGTGCGACTCTGTTGTGCACCGTCCGTATGGCGGTCAAGCAGGCGATCAATGCGGATTCGCGGTCGGATTCGAGCGTTTGCTTCTTTCACAGGCTTGGGCGGTGCGATGGGCAAGTAGTTGCGCTACCGGAATCGGCCAAGAGGTAGTGAACTTGTTCGGCGAAGGTAATGATGCTTTCTAGGTGAAAGTAGTCTTGAATGCCGGTGACGAATTGAACCCTTCCTCAGCCGCCAGGACTTCCGTCTCGAATAGGCTTACGGTGACCAAAGTATAGACAGACAGAAAAAGGAGCGTGTAGTTCAGGCCGTAGAGCTGAACAATGGTAGTAGAGAACGACTGGTGGGTGCAAAAGAATGACAGATCACCGCAAGGGGCGCGAAAGAAGGGAGCGGAGGAGGGGGAAAGAGAGAATATCACCAAACCGAGTCCGATGGTGTTTTCCGGGGAGATGAAGGAATGCTCTGTTTAAAGAGGTGAAACCTAGATTAGCCTGGGGCCGGGGTGGCTCCCTGTTCGCTCAGCATCACCGGCCACTAGGGCGCAAACAGGCTGCTGAAACATGACAGTAAGGGATCGCCTGGGGAGGCCTCATGCAGCTGCAGCCTTGCAGAGAAAGAGACGTCGTTCGCAGCGGGATGCGCCCAATAATATGCGCTGCGGTGTAAGATAGCCTCAGGCATCCGTGGAGCCATCTCTTCTCAACACCCATCTTGTGCTCTCCACTTCGCAAGACTGAACGAGGATACCGTGCCTGCATCCAGTCGGCACCGCATCTCCGGCGTCACACAAGATCGCCGCCGTTGCCCACACGCGGCAGGTACCCGAGCGCCTTTGATCGCAATCTCCAGAGTCCCGAAATATCCATCATCGTCGCCAGACGACATCACCGGGCCCAGTTTAACGGCACATCGCAATCGCGCGCCGACCGCTCTGGGGAACGGAGCAGATGCGGCATGGTGATGAAGGGGGCTTTGTGTGTGGGCGTCCTGGGCCAGAGTTGGACAGTGAGCACACTGCTCCTTCGCCAGACGAAACCCGCAAGTTGGTCCCCCAGCCCCCCTTTGATCGTATCGTGAATGAGAGTGGTGAGCCGCGTGCCGGCAGTCTAACGAGATTGCGGCCGCGTGCGCCGGCACAGGACAGGAATGAATTGCGCGTCCGCACACCTCCGTCCGCACAGCAGCACGTTGTGCGGCGTCTTGACCGCCCTGCTCTCGTGCGCCGGTCAAAAAAAAAGAGAAGTTTGTGGTGTCGGTGTAAGCGCCCACCCTCGTGCTCAATTTCCCGTGCCGACAGAATGCCCGCCTATCGATAAAGAAAGACATCGCATCTCACTCACCTCAGCCGCACGAAGCTTGGCTGCGCCTACCGCGATCCAATCAATCTCATCCCGTACCTGACCATGCTCCGCTCCCGCTATTTGCTCGCACGAATGCGTTGGCCGTGAGACAGAACGATATCCGTCCCCTATAACTATCGGATGCCACGATTATCGCGCTGGGCTATGTTTTCGCAGCTGAGCCGCCGAGCGACATCGAGCGACGAAACTGTGCATTTGATCCGGCGGCGCAGCCCGCCAGCGGCTACGAGGTCGAGCAGAAGGTTCGCGCGGCACAGCAACAGCGGACGGCGTCAGACGGACGGAGTTGGTAGGCCACTTTGTACACCTTTTCTTAGGGGCAATATAATGTGAAGAGTAAGCGGCAGGCCATCTTGCGCGCCGCACATCTGGCCTCTGTGCAGTCTTTGGAAGGATACGCGCGATAGCCTCCCAAAGGATGCCGGAAAGTGCTGCCGAAGAGTTTCAGATTCCTACCGTTCGCATCATGCGCAGATTTGCACGAGAATACGAAGAATCATGCTCGGATACAATTTCTATTTGCCTTTCTTACCTCAGGTCGTCGATCCGCGAGCAGTGCGACGGCATCTATCGCCTTTATCATAGCTCAGGGTCTATCCGAAGACAAGGAGCGAGGGTATTCCGTATCGATAAACCGCCCCCCTCCTTCCCAACTCCCGGTGCTTGGGACAACGCCGTAATCACGATCCCTGAGCGCTGAACCAGTAGTGCTAAGTGAACCAAGCCCACCCATCCACCCATGCGCCCTTTCAAACAGGAACAACACCTCCTGACACCGACCCTGCATGCCCACTCCCTCCACCGACGCCCCTCATCAAAATCATCGTGGCATTTATCCAACCCCGTTGCGCCTTCAACGCCTACATTTCCGAATCATCTCCCCAGTTTCCGGACAGCCTGACCCTCTACGAAGGGCCGGCTTCCATCTCCGTCCATCCTCCGTCTGCGCGCCAAGTGCCCGCTTTCGAGTAGTCGCCCCGCGTGTTCCCAGCCATATATGCGAAACGGAAGTACTCTGGTACGTCCTCCATGTGGCGCACCCAGGTGAACGATTCCTTACCCGCGTCTTCGTACCCTCTAAAGTGCTCGACGTCGTTGACTAGGATGCTCATGCCGTCGTAATGCTTCGGGAGTGGGAGGTCCCACTCGAAGGTGATGTTTGGCTCCAGGCTTATCCCCACATTGCCGTGGATAATCGGTGAGACCATGAGGGGGATTAGGGTGCCAAGTTGCGCATCTCCTCGCAGCTCATCCGGGGTTTGCAGGATGCTGTCGAAGCCCCAGCGCGCGATGCCGTTGATGAACAGTCCGACGAGCAATCCTTGGAAGAGGAGACTAGGCCTCGTCTGCATCACAGTACCAGGCACGAGAAGGAGTCCGAGGATGTAGTGGTGAATGCGCACATTCATCTTCGGGACGGCCACCAGAGCCAGGATGGTAGCGCCCATAATCCCATAGATCGCAAGATACTGAGGCAGGCGCCCTTCTACCCGGATGCACCAAGCCTGCAAGAGCGCAATAAAGAACAGCGAGAGTACAACAATGATGAGTGCAGGGACTGCTCCAGGTTGTTGCTTGATATCGTGAGGAGTGAGCCGTTCGATGGGGATCTTGTCGAAGGTATAGTTGTTCAAGGCGCCAATCCAGCAGCCACCTAGCCAAAGAACCGTCTTTTCAATCTGGGCATGGAGGCCGTGCAGTTGCCTCCTAACGCAATACTTGTACACCGCAAACATACAGAAACTGGCCGGTAGGAAGCGTCCGAGAGCGATGCTGACAATGGCGTAGTAATCAGTGAGGTTTGGCGGATCCGACGCGAGAGCGACGTGGAAGAAGATGCCTAGAAATATCGATGGGAAGAAAACGGCGGGCGACGTCGTGAAAAGCGACAGTAAAATCGTAAATGTGAGCGAAACACCGAGAAGGGGCCACCGCAGGTCCCGGCACTTCGATTGAGTGCCGCTCAGGAAGGAGAAAGATTTGGGAAAGTACGAGTCGAAACCGACACTGGTGATATGTTTTCGGTTGACGCTGGAATAGTCGCTCTTCTCACCGATCAAGGAGACGACACCGCAGCCGCCAGACTGGTCGTTGATGAAACCCGCGTGGATCGCTGCACCGCAGATGAAAGAATCGGCTCGGTAGTAGCTGTTCTCAAGGGTCTCGTCCTCGTCTGTCGGGCCGCCGATGACAAGTGGTCGATAGTTGACCTCTTGGTCCCCAACGGCATGCGGATTGACAACCTGCACTCGCTTGCAATTAGCCGGGCAGCGGAAAGGCATGGTGCTGTTCTCGAAAGGCCGGCAAAGGTCGCCATTCAGACCGCAACCATTTCCATCGCGCCTGTGCCTTGATCAGTCTCTCTAATTCTGATCCCTCCTTGGTCACTCACCAGAACCGGTCGGTACACCTTATACGCACTGGCGACCCATAACCCGGAATGTCAGCAGCAAACGCCGACCGATGTAAAACCAGCCCGAAGCTGAGCAGCCAGCAAAAATAGAAGAATACCAGCAGGATAACCTTGTGCTTGCGCTGGGGAAAGTAGTTGTTCAAGAACTGTATCGGCGCGGTCTGTATCCAAGGGAAGAACGGGTGTATCTTCCACGGCCTCGCAGGCTGCGGTCCCTTCACCCACGTCGCCGTCGCCCTCCAAGCACGCTGCAACCTTGTCGGGATGTACTTCCTCGCATAGTAGGGCTCCTGCGCGGCGTAGTACTCTTCGTCGGAAGCTTCGGAATTGGCGAGGAGGACTGCGTCTGCGGCCGCAGAGTCGTCGGAGTGGACACTGGCGTTCTCGTCGTCGCGGTATACTTGGGGAGGCGCTCCCTCGTCGTCCAAACCGTCTCGTGGCCCCATAGTGGGCACGTCGTCGAGCTCGTAGCGAGAGGATGGGCGAGACACGTTGGCGTTGAATGCTGACGTCTGCGGCTCTGATTGCTGGTGGGGAGCCGCAGGGAATAGGGAATGAATGCGAAGGGAAAGGATATATACTAGAAAGGAGCGGGGGTGTGCATCAACAAGAGGAGCAACGTGCCATGAAGCATTGGTGTCTATAGGTGTTGTGGTAGAAGTGAGAGAGCTGCAGGGTGCCGGGCGTTATGCGCCGGCATTGACGGTTGTGGTCCACGGGTTTCGTCACACGCTAACGGTCAGCCCTACCACAGGTCAAGGGGACAAAGAAGCAGCGACCGGCGCTATCCTGCATTCTTCACAGAACATGCCTTCACGCAGCTTTGTCTTCCATGTTTAAGCAATCCCGCAGCATGCACAGTTACTGCAGCCGTCCTGTTGGAGCTAGCCTTCCCGGTGCCTGCCACATCCAGCCCCATCGTCATGGTTCGGCTTCTATTTCTAAGCAAGCCGTTATCGCGCCCTTATCGCATACTAAACAGCGAATGTGGCGGACCAGCCCCGGACGAGATCCACGGATTCATCTTGAATGCTTTCGCAATTGCATCCTTTCATGTCGCAATAGTCTGAAGCCCTCTGCCAAATCCCGTCGTTTTGGATAGCTTGGAAATAGCGCGCCGCCCCGCAGTATGTCCTACCACTGCTACCACCCATCGGAACCGGACAGCTTGCCCGAGCCCGTCGATCTCTCCCACCATCTATCGCGCAGCACCCGAGCTCGCGAAGCCTCGAGCGTCAAGAAGTTCTACAAATACTTTAGCATTCCTGGCATTGCTCAGTTAGCAGGAGGTGCGTCCACTCGGCAGCCCGCCAACGCAGGCTTCGTCAGGCTTACTATAGACTAGGCCTCCCGAACGACAAGTACTTCCCCTACGATACACTTGAAGCCAAGGTAAGGCGAATGGGACGCAACATAGGGCCGATTAGATAACAGGAGGCCAGGTCGCGCATCCTAATCGCTGGACACCCACGCCCAACAAGCCCGTCGACCCTCCCACCGCCGAGTTAGCCTCGACCTCCATATCCTCGTCTAACAATGATCCGCCCGCGTCTCGTCTCGTCGTGCCGCACGACTCGGGAATGCCAGATCCCTTACGCATGATTGATCTAAAGTCAGCGCTACAGTATGGCACTGCTCAGGGCTACCCGTCACTATACTATTTCATTCGCCAATTTACGCGAAACCATCTCCATCCATCCATTCCATATAAAGACGGGCCAGAAGTGATCTTGACCTGTGGTTCCACAGACGGCTTCTCGAAGAGCGTCCAAGCCTTGTGCAACGAGTGGTCGGAAGACCACGATCCTATCGACGAGAAGCCCGGGCTGTTGGTAGAGCAATATTGCTACATGAACGCGGTACAAACAGCTAAACCGCGAGGTATGAACATCGTGCCGGTAGCCATCGACGACGAGGGAATGGTCGCGAAAGGCAAGGGAGGGCTTGAAGATGTGTTGGAGAATTGGGATTCCACGCGAGGCCGCCGACCTCATCTGATGTATACTGTTACTATTGGCCAGAACCCGACGAGCGGCACCCTGAGTGTTGCTAGGCGGACCGAGATCTACGCGCTCTGCGTGAAGTACGACATTATCATCATTGAAGATGACCCCTACTGGTACCTGCAGTTCCCGTCGGCGTCCCCAAGTATGACAGTTCCGAAACCGGTTAAATCGTCCGGTTTTGAATTCCTCGATTCGCTCATCCCTTCGTACCTTTCGCTCGATTATGAAGGCCGTGTGGTGCGTTTGGACACTTTCTCCAAGACCGTGGCACCGGGCTGTCGGCTCGGCTGGATTACAGCTCAGCCCGCTCTAGTGGAGCGCATCCTTCGCATCACAGAAACAAGCACCCAACAACCTTCCGGATTCGTGCAGTCGATGATTGCAGAGCTGGTCATTGGCCCCCAGGGCTCGAGTGATCCCGGCAAGGGTGGAGCAGCAGACGGTAGCGGCTGGAAGGTTGACGGATGGGTCCGCTGGCTCGAGGGCCTCCGCGGGAACTACGAGCGTAGGATGAACGCCATGTGCGACGTCCTAGATGCAAACAAATACGTGCTCAAGGCCGGCCGCCGGAAATCCATCACCGAAGTCGCAGAGGATGAAGACGAGTGGGCCGTTGTTGAGAAGACAAGGATGTACGATTTTGTGCGACCCTTGGGTGGTATGTTCGTTTGGGTGCGCTTCGACTTCTCCCTCCATCCTTTGCGCAAGCAAGTTTCAGCGCCTAGGTTATCGCAGGCATTCTGGGTGCTCTTGACCACCAAGCCTTATTTGTGCCTCATCTCGCCCGGCGCACTGTTTGCGCCCACAACGGAAGTTCGGGAGAGCGACTCTTTCAACTGCTTCAGACTCTGTTTTGCAGCGTGTCCTGAGGAGGAGATCACAGCCATTTCGAGGAGGTTTGCCAACGGAGCGCAGGCATTCTGGCGCATCAAGAGCAAGGAGAAGATTGACAAGCTGCTAGAGGAGGATGAGGGCATTGGGAGGGTCGATGCCGGATTGGCACTCCTTACGGGCATGTGCTAAACATGGGTCCTACTCTCGGGAAGCGTGTGGCTCGCGGGATTCGGATAACGGTCACAAAACGGAGACCATCCCCGGGAAGTAAATGCATAGAGGAATACAAGCGCAGCGTCAGTAAATATGCAAGGATATGCGTAACGGATTTATCGGACTCATGGCTGGAAATTGGTACGCACGTAGCATCGCAAATGGATTTTTAGATGCAACTTTTCCACTTACCACGCGTACACTTAGCCGCTCAAAGAAATGCTTCCGTGCAGCGATGTTCCACCACTGGTACCTTCCTCAGCCGGAAAAGCGACTTACCCAATTCAGTCAGGCCCCCAGCGGCTTTCGGAACGTCATGCGGAGAAATATCACGTGGTAGTACATAGCTCGGAGTGATATTAGCCTTCTGCAGACCCTTCAACCCATTTAATTGCCCATCTGCTACCGTTAGCGAGTTCGGGTTCGGTCGTCGCCATGCTTCCGGTGCTTTACTTCCTGCTTGCCCTCGTCCACGCAACATGCTCCTCTCCCACTTCCTTCGACTACGTAATCGTCGGCGGTGGGCCAGCCGGCCTCGTCCTCGCTAACAGACTATCCGAGGATCCGAGCATCACCGTTGCAGTCGTCGAAGCGGGAGATACGCAGTACAATAATCCCAATGTAACAACTGTGCCGGACTCCGTGCTAGGCTTCGGTCTCGGTCTCAACACGTCAATAGACTGGAGCTATGTAAGCGCACCGCAGAAGTACACGCTTAACAGGATGCATATGTACTACTCGGGAAAAGGATTAGGCGGCACGACGTTGATTAATGGGATGACGTATCTAAGGGCGGAGAAGACGCAGATTGATGCGTGGGAAGAGATGGGCAATGAGGGATGGAATTGGGATAGCTTGTTCGAGTATTACCGCGGGCAGGAGCATTTCCAACCCCCGGATGCAGGAGAGGTGGCGAATGGGGCAAGTTTTGAAGAGCAGGACCATGGGTTTGAGGGCGAGCTCGCGGTGGGCTGGAGTGAGTACTTAATAGGCCAGGATATGTTTAGCATTCTCAAAGAAACGAACGAGGCGATAGGGATACCGTGGAACAAGGATGCGAATGGCGGAAGAATGAGAGGTTTCACGACATGGCCGTTCACCTTGAATGCATCGACGACGACACGAGAGGATGCGGCCAGGGCATTCTACTATTCCGTCGCAAAGCAGCGGCCGAATCTACATGTCTTCGTCAACGCTACCGCCACGAGAATCCTCTGGGATGAGCATACACATACAGGGGAAAAACTCACCGCTAAAGCCATCGAAGTCCTAACACCCACAAACAGTACCACCGCCACCCTCCACACAACGCGTGAACTCATTCTCGCTGCCGGCTCCCTTCGCTCCCCCGCTCTCCTCGAACACTCCGGCATCGGAAACCCCGCCATCCTGGAACCACTAGACATCAAACCCATGCTCAACCTCCCCTCCGTAGGCGCGAACATGCAAGACCAACCTACCACGCTGATATCTTACGCCTCGCCCACAAACTGGACCGGCTATCCAAGCTTCGTATCGTACCTCACAGCGTCCGACCTCTTCGGGCCCGAACTTCCCTCCATCACTGCAGAAATCCGGGCCAATATCTCCGCGTACGCTGAGAAGATTGTTGCCGATGCTCCAGTCGGTTCGACGAGCGTGGAGACGGAAGAGGGCCTTTTGAAGCTTCAAACCAATCTCGTGTTTGCAGAGAATAGCACGGTACCGTTGGCCGAGTTATTGTGGTTCCCTGCCCCTGGCTCCATCAATGTAAACTACTGGACTCTCCTCCCCTTCTCCCGCGGCTCCGTCCACATCACTTCTCCCAATCCCACTGTCCAACCCACCATCAACCCAAACTTCTTCCAGCTCCCCATCGACATGTACATCCAAGCCGCCGCCGCCAAGAAAGTCCGCCAATTCTTCTCCACCACACCGCTATCCACGCACATCACCACCGAAGCCGTGCCTGGGTTCGCGACAGTGCCGGAAAGCGCTGGATGGAGGGATAGGGAGTGGGAGGCGTGGATTAAGACAGCGTACGGGGCGAATTATCATCCTGTGAGTAGTACGGCGATGAGGGGGAGGAGTTGGGGTGGCGTTGTGGATAAGGAGGGGAGGGTGTTTGGAGTGGGGAATGTGAGGGTTGTGGATGCGGGGGTGCTGCCGGCGCAGATTTCCGGGCATTTGAGTGCGAGTGTGTATGCGGTTGCGGGGAAGATTGTGGAGGGAATGCTTGGAGCAGGGAATGTGGTGAGGAGATAGTGGGAGGATGGCATGCATAGAGTGCTTTTCAGTCTTTGATACTCTCAATTCAATACTATAGTTAAGACTTCCACCTGCGGAAGGCTGGGGTATTTTCCCCACAGCATCGCAAATTTCTGGCCTACATTCTTATGAAAAGTACGACAAAACAAATTTAGTATAAGCACACATCAAGGCAATTTGTATGTTGAGGCAACGTAGCGTGGGAGCCCTAGCGAGGCCGCGTTCGGCTGCGCCTTTTCCCTTAGACTCTCTCCCGGATCGCCTCATGGTTCCGTGGACGCCAGCCACTTAATGCTCCACGCTTAGCTGTGATGGTTATAGTCGTATCACAGACTTGGTGTTGCGGTCTTCGATGTCGCCATAGCTTCGCCGACGTTGACGGAGACCGTGTGGTTACTGTTGATCGCACCGACTTCGATGCGGAAGTTGTTCCCTGGATCCTGCCACGCATCGCCCGTATACAGCGGCTTACCGACAAGATAGGCCAAATCGATCTTGAAATGGGGCAGATACCACGAGACGGGAGCGTTGCAGGTATGCGTTCCTCCAGCCGCACATGCGAGACTACTGCTGACGTTCTTGAGCAGGAGGTTGCACTTGGTACAATGCGTCCACGATTCTCCGGTGCAATCGGTCCCATCTTGTGAGTTGTGCACGGTGTATTCTCTGCCATCGAAGCTGTGCTGGCCGCCGGAGGGACATGTGCCTGCGAGTCCGCCGATGTAAACCCCGAGGCACTTTGTGCAGACTTTGAAGGGGCTACCAGCTGCCATTTCGCTCTTTCGAGGGATGTTATAAGCTTCGCTTCCAGTGTAGTCGTGGCTACCACCGGCTTTGCAACTTCCGAGGCGCGCGTCGAATAGTATTTCGCATTTGTAGCATCGCTTAAAGCCGACTTCGTATTGTACGTTTGGCGTGGTTGGAACGCCGATGAAGATGGAGCCTTCTGCTTCGCCCGTGCAGTCGTGCTGACCGCCGTGGTGACAGACGCCGACATTGCGGCGATCCAGGGTATACACGAGCGCGTCGCATTTGCGACAGCGTTTCCAGCCTTTCTCGGAGCCGATGAAGGGACCGTCGGTCGGTACAATGTATTCAGTCGCCCCCTGGGAATGGTAGTGACTGGCAACTGGCATGCACGGGCAACCATATTTCATGTCGAAGGTAGCTGGAAAGTCAGTGTTATAGATTGTGTGGCATGACGAGCAAGTCCAATAGCTGCGAATGTGGGCGCCGTCCGGCAATTCGACCCCCTTCGACGTTTCCAGCGTGTACGTGGTGCTATTCGTGCGGGCATCGTGTAGATCACCCGCCGCACAAACGGCACTAGAGGCAAGAAACATGCCGTGGCACTTCCTGCAGTACCGGAATCCTTTTTGTCCCGTCGCGTACTTGGATCGAAGTTCGTGGACTAACACGCAGTCCTTCCCGATTCCACGATCCCAGCCATCGGCCTGGCGGAATTCAACAGTGTAAATTCGACTCCTGGTGACGTAATATAAGGCGCCGGCTCCCGTTTGCTCCGGGCGACCGAGAGCCCGCAGGCTGTAGTTCTTGCGAGCCTTCAGGTTTTCTGCTGAGATAGGCCAGGCACTCGACAGCCATCCCATCTTCCAGAGAGTGGGGGCAATCAGCCCGGGCCCGGCCGGAGAGTATGTTGATTCAAAGCCGTCTTGACAATAAGTCGTCCAACCGAAGTTCAGAGGCTCTGTGAGATTGAAGGCCTTGACCCTGGATGTAGTAATAGCACTCATCACATCGTAGGGATCGCCGGCAGCAGTGTCGGGGTTGGCGGACCAAGAGAGCGGGAGTCCAAGAGCTTGGCCAATGTTGTGAGCTTGCAAAGCAATCTTCATCGACGTTGTACTCTCGACTACCCCGTAGTTTGCGCTAAATCTTACGTCGTGCTTCCCATTGTTGTAGGTGCAGACTCCGGAAATGCCGGTGTAAGTCAGCTGGGAGCAAGAAGCGCATTGCTTCCAACCATCCTGATATGACGAGCCAAGTTGTGCTGTTGGGACTTTGCAATCGAACTTCCATGGCGTGTGCGGGCCGAGATTCGGTTTTAGCGCTGGACAGATGTATTGGGTGGTTGAGTTCGTATTGTTGGTTTGAAAGAGAACGCAGCATTGCTCGCAGCGTCGCCAACCGCTATCACCAACCAAGTCGTCATTTGGGGCATCGGATATCGCGTAGTACCTGTCCCCGAGCTCATGGATACCTCCCGCTAGACATGCGCCGTGGATGGATGGATCAGCTTCGATGTCAGGGCGCACCAAGCACCCGCACTTCTTGCATAGACGCCACTTTCGGTTTCCCCAGTAACCCCCTGTGGTCATGACGAAACCTCCCGAGGTATTGGCTCCACTGTTAAGCCAGTAGTAGCTATCAACGCTGGCAGCGACGAGGATGATGACGCCTCCGCGGAAGTCGGCGAGATTCATGTCCTTGCATAGTCGGTTGGCTTCATCGCGCCAAGTCGTCCAAGATCTGCGTGAATCCTTCGCGAAGGAATATTGCATCTGATACCAGCCGAAGACTTCGGATCCATCAAGAGTGATCACGTGGTTCGAGACTTGTTGCCAGTAGTCAAAGAGGGCATTCTGGCCTCGACCGGTGAGGAAATTGTAGAACCGGTGCGGCCCGGGAAGGTGATCAACGGGAATGTCTGTGAAAGTGAGCAGGACTAAGGCGCAAGGCCTTGGGCCCTTCATGTGGACCCAGTTGTCGGACATTTTGCGTGCAGACTGAAGCTTCCTGGAAAAGACAGAAAGGGAAAGAGAAGTTGGACAATGCTTTCCATGTATGCTAAATTCTCCTCTATTATGCCACACATCCAACACTCAGCTGGTGGCATGATGTGGTGATGCCCTGAAGCGAAACATGCGGCTGGCTTCGTGTTGGAGACCACAGCCATTGCGACTGGAGGCGCAAGCAGCTATGTTTACTGATGTCTGGTGATTGCACGTTAAGCTAAGCGTGCGGCTGCTCAGAGACATTGCGTGTGTATGAATTCGGGAGGGCTCCAGATGGCGACGTTCCAATGATAGAAGCGTGGCGTCTAAGCGTGGTGGAGGAATCTCGAAACCTCGGACGAGGCCTGGGGCGATCTATCACGCTAGGGTTGTTGTGCTAAGCCTAGATTGTCTAGCACAGAATCACGTGCTGTTGTCTTTCCCGAGGTCGGCTAGCGCACCCGCCTGTCATGCTCATTCCAAGGATCGTCTCTCAACTCAATCTCTAGATTATGTTCCCCATCTTTTCCAAGACATCATGCATATCTATGCCACTTCTACAGCTCAACTAATGGCGACTACTCCGCATATAGCGCTCAACTACCCGTGATCATCCATATGCTCCTGCTATTTCTCCGTGTCGCTAATGAACAGTCACCCTTTATTGGGCACAAATGTCCATCGTGCGAAGGGCGATGGGAAAACGCGATAGAGGCCACCTTAGTACTAAAAAAACAACCCAAACAGGAAAGTCTCATTGGCGCGAAATATGGCTGCAGCAAGTGGTCCACGATTTATCATGCCGGTGCTGCCCAGTTGGGGGAGCTAACCTTATGGTAGTTCGGAATACTTAGTAGGTTTCAAGCCCAGAATGACTGTCTAGATCTATTCCCGGTCGCCATCTCACCGAGAGCTTGTCAGGTTATATATGTGCTCGCATTTTCTTTGTGACGAGGTCGATGACTGCACGCCAAACCCTGCCCAAGTGCATATGTACTTGAAGTGGTAGGCATCTGGCAGAGTGGGGCAATGCGCCCAAGTCTTAACCTACTTAGAGCACAAGGTCATGAGAGAGCATGTGTAGTCCTGTCGACGTCATCATTCGGCTAAAACCTCCTCGGAGTCGTGGACCTAGGTATACTGACGGAGGTTGCTGTAATCTTAGGTTATCAGGATGCCTCGAGTGAGGCTGTTTTCTAGGCGAAGCGGTTGATATTTTGCAAGCCTTATTCGACGATGTGATGTATTCGAGCAGAAGGCTCTGACGACATGGAGGTTGGTCCGTGCGCTCTCCTGAACCATACGTCTTCTCTCAATCTTTTCTCCACCTTCCACCTTTTGACACCCGCGCACCCTTTCTCAGCCTTCTCTCTCCTTCAGCCCAAACTTCTTATTTCTGTTTGCAGGTGCGCTTGGGCCCTAGCTCGTATTCCTCGTGTTTAATGCGACGGCGCATGCCCAGCTTCCCCTCTTGCGATGCAACCATCTCCGACGTCCCTCAGCCCTGTCTCGGCGTGCGTCTTCTGACCGGTCGTTAATCTAATGGGTTGCTGCACCATGGATTCCTTGATCAATGCGGGGCTATCTTCTTAGACCCTTACATGTCTATCTACTACAGCAACCATTAAAAAGTTCTTCTGTTCGCGGCCACAGGGCGATGTAGCCTAGTTTACCCCCGTTCTTATCTCGCGGCAAGCCACAGGCTTACTAACGCCATTCGCAGCTAAGCATATCGAAGAGGAGCCATGTCCGGGTTCAGCAGCGGTCCATTGCGACCGCCATGGCAACAAAGTTATCGAGTCGAACCATTTGGATTCCGGAGCCTCGCGATAGATCCGACCAACCAAAGAATCGTGCTGGATCTTAGCGGACTAATGACTGGAATCCTCGGTGTCGACCCGAGCCAGCCAATTCCGCGTGCTGAATTCGAGGCTCTTCACGCGCGGCTTGAGCAGGAGAGCGTAGACAAGGCGAAAGCAGACGGCAAGCATCCAAATCCCAAGCTTTGCTACATGTGCCGCAGAGTCAAACCGCTAGCTCCCCTGGATGCAAGCGCAACTGGTAGCCCTCGTTTCAAATGGAACCCCCAACCCGTCGTCCTGCCGTTTGGTAACTGGAGTCAACTCAGGCTACGGCAGCACTGCTCAATCTGCCGGCTTGTCTTATCGCTCATTATCACCGACCATGACAGGAACAACCTTCACCCGCGCCTTGCCGCCATTGACCACGAGATCCAGGGCGTGTCGCTTCATTTAGGCGAAACACAGTCCAGTGGCGAGAGTGTTGTGAGAGTTGAGTACGGAATGCGGCATGTCGGAGAATTAAGGATTGTCACGAAAAACAATTACACCACCGCTCTACGCCAGGGATGGGAGGCTAAGGATCAGAATCACAACTTTGAGGGTTTCACCCGCCGCATCGACGCAGAGGATTCACTCTTTAGCGAGCAAGTCAACTTCGAGCTTCCCAAGAGCTGGCTTAATGATTGTGCTCTAAACCATGGCGACTCGTGCAATAGCAACCACCAACGCGGCAAGCGGTATGAGGAGGATATACCCTTGGTACTCATCGACGTTCGCGAAAACTGCTTAGTGACGGCCACAACGTCGGCAAAATACTTTGCACTGAGCTACGTTTGGGGCTCAGTCGACATGTCTATGACTTTGCTTTCGAACTACGAATCCCGGTGCCAGAAGGGCGGCCTTGACCAGCACTTTCCGAATACGATTGCGGACGCTCTTACGCTAGTGCGCGCACTCGACGAACGCTACCTATGGATAGACGCGCTATGCATCGTACAGGATGATACCGAGAACAAGATGCGTGATCTCGCTCACATGGACGTCATCTACCTACGCGCCTTTGCAACTATAGTGGCTCTAGAAGGCAGCAGCGCGAACGCAGGACTACCAGGCGTGATGCCGGGCACCCGCTCACCCCAACAAGTCGAGACGCTTGTGGTAGACGCCGGGAGCAAGGATTTGGACTTCAGCTCAGATACAGATGTCGAATCAGCGGAAGAGACAAGAAGAGAGCAGGCCACTCTCCTTCTAGCAGCGACTCCTCCGCCACTACATCTTGCTCTTGACACTTCCTCCTGGGACACGCGGGGCTGGACCTTCCAAGAGCGGATGCTGTCTCGGCGGTGTCTTTACTTCACAAACCGATCTATCTACTTCCGGTGTGGTTTGGATCGTCCGGTACTCTCTGAAGGCGGCATCAATGACCGTGTACAGCTTATACATGGATTCTCGGATGACCCCAACGCCCCGATGCGTACCACGACTTCTCTAGACAACCCACTTGCCGAGCTTTACTACCGCGACATCAGCCACTTCAACCCCGAATCTCGTCTAGTCATGACCTTTTATGTGTACAGAGAGCTCGTCGAGAAGTACACTATTCGGAAATTGACGTACGAATCCGACATCATTAACGCCTTTATGGGTATCTTCGGTGCGCTGAACGTAGCCTTCGAGAGTGACATCTTCTGCGGTATGCCTGCCACTGCTCTCGATCTAGCGCTGCTTTGGACACCTGCAGGTCGGCGTCCGCGACGTAAGAAGGTTCGGATTCCGTTGGAGCAAGACATTGAGCATAGACCCTTCCTTGGGCGTTCGATACCTACTAACAGAGGCACACACGAAGTGGTCTGGGGCCCCACTGAGGTTCAAGAGTTCGATGAGAGCGTGGACAGGCAATTCCCGAGCTGGTCGTGGGTTGGTTGGGTCGGCGCCGCCGAGTATAGATTCTTTGCAGAGGTCGCACCGTACGAGCCACTGCCGATACCGCTCATTGAAGAGTACGCCATCAACCTGGACGGGAAGGAACTGCAAATTGTTTCAGGGCGAAAGGACCAGGTTGTTGCCAGCCTTATGACTCTGGATATCGCGGCTTCTATGGCTAATCTTGGCTTAAACGATAGGGAGGGTGACGATGAGCTCGTCACCTCCCCTTCTCTCCCAAACGTCCTTCAATTTGTGGCTTCTACTCTTCCCCTTACTGCCTTCACTATCTCTACGCAACGCGAGTACATATCCGCCAAAGGACACGTGCACTCCTCCAGCAGGCAAGAAGTACGCTATGTCCTCGATCATAGAGGAAACCGCTGCGGGCTATGGTGGGAACAGGCCGGATACGTGTACGTCGGGCGCGGCGTCAGTCCGGCAGCGGAGAGCAAAATGATGCTGGTCGCTATTAGTGGGTATGGACCAGACGAGCCGGCAGGAAGAACAGGGCCAAGCCGCGCCGAGGGCGAAATCGAGCTGTTCGATGAGAGGGTATATCCTGCCAGTGGACTGGGAAGTGGACTGGTGAATGTTTTAGCGGTGGATTTAGATATGGGGCATGACTTTGGCGAGAGAATCACGGTTGCGAGGATCCATTACAGGGCTTGGAAAGAAGCAGGGCCGGTGATGAGAATGGTGAGGTTGGCTTGATTGTCCATAAGATAATTCGGAAGGTCTCGTGGGCCAATTGTTCGCACAGCGCAATCTAGTCTATGTTCCTACAGTGCTTTCTTGTTCCTTCCTGTCCTCCGGAAAAACCACCTCATTCCCAAAATACCCCTTTCCGTCCTTCGTCGTAGCATTCAGCCTTTCAAGTATATACTCACCCGCCCTTATTGGCGGATACCTACTCTTCTCCCCGTCCGCCAAACACGTTGGCAGAGTCTCCACCACGGCATCGTAATTAACACTAAAGAAAAAGGGTACACTGTATCTCGCCTCACTCGTCTTATTGACCACCCGATGCACGGTAGACTTGTACACGCCATTCGTCCAGCGCATGAGGAAGTCGGCTACGTTGACGATAAAGGACCCGGAAACGTAGGAGACGCGATGCCAGTTCCCTGAGGGCTTCAGGATTTCGAGACCAGGTATGCTGGAGGAGAGAAGGAGGGTGAAGCATTCGTAATCTGAGTGCGCGCCAAGGCCGATTTGCTCTTCAGCGGACAAGGAGGCAGTGGGTGAGGGAGTCTTTGAGGGAGGGTAGAAGAGGAGGCGCGCGATGCCTCCGGGGTGCGTGGTCAAGCGGTCGAAGTAATCTTCTGGGAGGTCGAGGGATAAGGCGAAAAGGCGGAAAAGATGGCGTGCTAGGTCCAGTACCTAGCCACGTTGATCAGCACCCTGACCTCGCCCTACCAGGATACACTTTGAACTTTAAAGGGGAGAATATGAGGCAAACCTACAGCGCCATAATACTCCTTCACACTTGTATAAAACCCCGGCAAATCCTCCTCTGCGGGCCACATATTCGCGTTCCCAACACTCCCATCCAGATTTCTATACTTCCCATCCCCACCGCTCCTATCCAATGCCCCCTCATAACCAAAGTTAAACCCTTCTTTCGTCTCCACATCGCCCGCTATCGACGTGTACTCGCTCGGCTCCCAGCCATAGCCGTACTTACTACGCTTGATATGCAGTGTCTCCTTTTGCTCCTTGCTTAGTTCGCTGAAGAAGCGCTTGGCTTGGTGCAAGATGGACGAGAGAGTAGTGGCGGGAATGCCATGGCCGGTGACATAGAAGAAGCCGGATGTGGTGCAAGCGGTGCGGATTTGGGCGGCTACTGCTTGTCGATCCGCCAGAGACGAAGACAAGGTGGGCGAGATATCTACGACTGGGATGACGAAGCCTTCATCGGTTGCAGTAGCCCTGGCGGCGAGTCGTGATTCTAGATACGCCGTTGAACGGGCTTCTTGCTTCGTGATGGAGTCTGGTTGGTGGGGTACTCTGACAGTGGCTGCTGCCATGGTAATGAAGAGTGTAAATTTCAGAGCAGGACGCTGTATTGTCCGTGGGTATTCTGGTATGTTAGTATATGTCAAGAGATAAGCGTCCCTTTCGAGAATCATGGTGTCCGGTTGCACTTTCCCAATGTAGCAAGGCGCCTGTCAAAGTGGGGTTCCGTCGACCCAGCCCAGACCTCACACTCGCTTCTCACTCAAAGTATTCATTCCATCTTTACAACGTCGAGTTTTGCACAAGAGAGACGATGTATTGTCTAGGAACGAGACTAGGACGCTTAACCCGTCATCGAAGGCCTTGGTACAAGTTGGGGACGAAGTCAGCACTAACCTAGACGGCCTAGCAGCAACTCCGCACGTCATCGGCGAGGCACAGCACTTCGAGAACACATGAGTTAACATCGGTCTGCCTCCTTTCTTGACAGAATTCAAGGTATAGAAGGTGTTTCATCAAACAGACTGTACCGGCTTCCACCTCGTCCTATCAGCCAACGTGTCGCGTGGCAGGCATTCATCGAACGAGCCTGTGCCCAATCCAGAGCCTACTTCGCTGAAAACAAGCGACGCAAGAATCACAGGAGAAATATAACGATATCAGCGCTCATCCATACAACGGCTGAACTAGACGAGCAAAGAAGAATTCGTGTTGCTATCATAAGCAGCGGTCTCGCAGGAGCGACTCTGATGAACGTCTTTTAAAACACCCCAACCTTGAGGTGGACATTTTCGAATCCGCACCAGAGTTTTCCGAGCGAGGCGCTGCTGATAGTCTGGCAAAAAATGCGCAGGAAGCACTAGCTGAAATCGGTCCGAATGTCGCTGAGGCATTAGATCCTGCTGGAGCAGTGACAATGAACTCGTCCAGCCTCGTTGTCGCGAGCTCATTTTTCTCGATAGCGCTTCTTGAATGGCTTCAGGAGCTAATACCTCCAGGGTGCTGGTCCTAATGCCGGGACTATCTCTCTCGATCCGGCCCCAGAATAGTCGGGGAGGGTCGTTCATCGAGCCGCTCTCCTCGCTGAACTTCTCAAGCCAATCCCTCCAGAGCGGATGCACACCAAGAAGAAACTGACTGACGTTCAAGACTCCAAGCATGTTGAACTTATCCTTATCTTTGAGGAGGGGACACGACATTCTACCGATGCTCTGATTGGCGCCGATAGCATATTCGGTTTTGTGCGTTCTCACGTGCTGGGGACGGATCATCCTGCGCTTAAACCTCAATTTGCCGGTTTCTGGGACTGTAGATTCCTCGTGTCGATCGAGAAAGCAAGAGAATTAATTGGCCAATATCTTAAGGAGGGGGAGGAGAGACAATACGGATGGGTTGGCGACGGCGCCTTTTTCTTGCACGACATACTAGACAATGGGAAACTGTGCAAGGCGTCGCTAGCGGACTCGTGAACGGAGAGTGGGACAAGGACCAATGGAGCTTCAAGCTCACTCGAAGAAGAGTTTTCTTCTTTGACGAACTCCCCGGTCAGGGATGGGATGAAATGGGTATGTACTTACTTGTCCGACAATCTCCGCCTCTTCGTATGGCAACACAATCTAGCTACTGCTGGAAAATCTAGACCTGAAAATGTGTCCACAAATGCACTACGCATAAGCCACACCGACGTTTTTCAAAGGCACCGCTTGTCTAATGAGTGATACAGCGCACGCCACAACTCCATGGCAAGGCTCAGGTGCTGGCTCAGCACTCGGGGATGCCATGATTCTGGAAACTGTGCTCCAAGAAGTGAAGCACCCAAGAGAGCTTGAGGCGGCTTTTCGAGCGGATGACTGTGCGTCGACCCAGGACTCAGAGGATTCTAACCTCAAGGAAAGAGACCAGCATCGTAATGTGCGGCAAGGGACCTAATGTTGGGTTGAACGTTGATAAGATCCGCGGGGCGTTGACGCATAAGTGGGAAGGAGCACAAAGCCGCTGCCTTGGGTGCTATGCGGCAAAGCTAGGCACTTAAAAAGATGCAAGATATTTGTTGGTGGAGAGGGCCTCTAAGTAACCACTATCTTATGCCCTCGTTCAAGCACCTCTACAGCACTCCTGTTGATCTCTCCTTTCTTCCTTCTCTTCCTCTTCCCCCAACGCCTCAGCCTCAGCCTCTGCTTCCTTCTCCTCATCATACCTTGTACCATCGGCATACCAAGGAAAATACGCGCGTTCCCCTCCTTGGTCTTCATTCTGCGTCCTTCGGCCTGCGTTCCTCGCAAGAAGTGCACCGTATTCAGGAGCAAGACCACCACCCCGGTGTCCACTGTACTCATACCATCCATCCGGCGAGCTCGATCCGCCTACGGGCTCCCTATGCGGTGAGGGATCCCCACTCCGTCTTGGAATAGACAAGTAGCCGCTACGGGTCTCCCTTATGCCATACTGCCGGTCTGATTCGTATCCATGTCTGCCCGATGAGATACCATAACCGTCGGAATTGATATTATCGAATGGCTGTGGAATAGGATACACAATCCGGAAATGAGTCTGATCCCGACCACGACCACGAGATGTCACATTATCGTACCTCAACGCATCAAGTCTCTTCCCGATAGCGAACGGAGGGGGGGTGACAAAAGGTATGCGGTCTCCCCGCTCTTTCACATAATTTCGCGTGATCGGCGATGCAGGGGGCCAGTTCGCATCTTGGACCTCAGGAATGCGATCGCGGTAGGAGGGGCGACGCGGTGGGAATGGGAGGGCTCGAGGTGTATTGCTAGAGCTGAAGCGGAGATGCTCACGGTATGCAAGGATGAGTGTGATGGCAGCGAGAAGAGACGGGACACCGCGAAGAAAGAGTATGAGATAGGAGAGGTAGGCGGGTTCGAGTGAGTCGGACATGGTGGAGATTTATGTTCCAGTACTGTGCGCCGTCTCGAAGTACACTCTGGAGATGCAACGGGTGCTGCATCTTTTATGTACTGGTGGGGGTGTGATCGGACGCAAGCTGAGCGTTTGATGGTACGTGGACTGGGAGAGGATACCTGACGTGTCTAGGGCGAGAGCAAACACAGGACGAACCGAGCATGCGTATCACGACAGGTTTGATATCTCCAGGCAAACGAACTCCGAAAATGTCTGAAGTAGTCCAATGACTAAATTACCTAGGTAGGCTTCGCTACATCACAATACTAATGCTCAAAGACGCAAACATGTGTTCTCTCCTTTTACGGCTCAACAGACTCCTACCCCCCCTCGTCCATCCCTGTTCCTTTATATAGATTCGCCTTCGGATAGTTGCAATGCCTCCTCCTAAACTCCATTCCTAGTCTCGTCATATCATATTCCCTTAAGAAACTCAGGCGCCTCCCCCTTTTCCATCCACTCCAGGATCCTCACTAACATATTGTCATCCGGGTCACCCCTAGCCGCAAACCATATAACTGCGGTATACAATTCGCGGCTGTTGATAGAAAGCGCCCAGTGAGGTTCTATTATGGCCTGCGTTGGTGCCAATGGTAGCGAAGCCATGCGAAGCATCGTTTGCGACGTCTGGATACTGGATACCTATTCAATCATCAGTTTCATCCCCGAAAAGCACTGCTTGATCCCCTTCATGCTATCTTAAGGTGAAGTGGCAAAATATACTTACACTCGGCCAATCCTCCATTCTCCGTCAACACCCATCCCTGCCATTTCTCCGGCACCACACCTCTATGTCAAACTCACTACCTTCGCTCCTCTCAATCCTCAGGTTCAGGCTACACAGGCTGGTAGGTACAGGCGGAGTCGCCTAGTCAAAGCATGTCTCATTCAGGCCCTCAGCCTTATGATCGACGGTTGACTTCGCGGAGAGATATTTAGCTATATTTACTTTTAAGGCATGTTGAGTGTGGGGTATGTAGGAGAGCGTGTGCGCGAGAGCTGTGCAGCGGCCCTGGAAGCTTGGAGGGAATCCGTCGGTTGGGCGAAGGCGGCGCCGATGAGAGACAGGAGGAATCTTGAGCGCATGGCCATAAATGCTGAAGGAGCTCGAGATGATTGGGTTGACATGCGCAAAGGATCATGTCCATATCCTTCTCATCAACAATCCAAACAATATCTCTTCTATTTCGACGTTGCCTACGCACCCGTCATGCAGCCCACTTATCCTCCTAACCTCCATTCGTTGATTAGCAGCGGAACGTTGTTGCGGCACAGCCCCATCGGCAGTGCACATACTGTTAAATTATATGATCTTACCGGACCCAAAAACAATATGTTCGGCAGGAATTCTGGTGAATGGGAGGTGCGAGAAAGTTCAGGGGAAGTAGTCATTTGTCTTGGCTATGAATGCGGGGACGTCTCCTCGCAGAAGAAGGCCCACCCAAAGATAAAGCCGTATACCTAAGCCTCATGGGTACCGTTGCAAGCCTTACTCCGTACGAACTGCCATCCCGCTGTCCCGTCCACATCAGTCCCACCTTTGAATGGACATCTCCGATCACCAAACCACACCCAACCACCTCAGCAATTGATCCCCAACGACAATCTCAGCCTAGAAGGAGGACGGCGCATGCACCTTTAACGTCTCAAGCTCACCAGCGGACCGTGGACGCCTCCACTCCCCATCCTCATCCTGCACCCAGCCTAGCTCCTGATTCCTCCCGCACGCCTTGAGCAGCCACAGAAGCTCAGCCCTATGCTCGCCGAGGCCTCGTGGCTCCGGCGCACGGTACCCGCCATCCTCATCCCGATCACACATCTGCAGTGCCTCCGGCGTGGATGGCGGTAACACTCCGTCCTCACTCTCCGACCAGGTGAAGTCGTACGACGTCCGCACGGTATCGAGGACCTCTCGCATGTCGAAGGGCTGATACTCCGAATCTTCAAGTTCAATAAAGCGGATGTCAGAACGCGGAATAGAGGACCGCGGTCGTGTGTCTTGCTGAAGGTGCCGAAACCGATGCTCCCAACTGGCCGTCGCATCTACCATCCGCTTTGGCACGCCCCTAAGCTCAGCCTGATCTTGCCGCATACCCTGCCTCCTCCCCCTATTCCCCGTAGTCGCAACCCTGCTCCTGATAAGCCAACTCCTCCTCTCTTCCTCATCCATCTCCTTCACAGTCTTCGTAAGCTCCCCACCCGTCGCCACGAACGCCTCCCTCATCTGCAACAGCTTCTCTGCGTAGGTTGGAGATATGCCCGCCCACTTCGCGTGGCCCGGTGAAATACCTTCGTCGGGGAGACTGCCGATGCCCTTGAGCGCGGAGGCTGACAGATCGAGGTTGTGTACGCCATGGCGCGCGGCTTCGAGGCTGAGTCTCCTGTCCTTTTTGTTGTCGGCTGGCGCATTCGGATGACTGAATTTTTGACTAGGCGCGGCAATGCCTTCTGAAACGGCATGTTGGGAGCGAAGAACGGGGACAGCAAGGAAGCCTTTCTTGGGTGGGGGACCTTGACCAGGTGCGTAGTGCTGCTGCGGAGGATCGAGAGTACGCTTGACAGAGTGCGCAGGCAGCGGTTGTGACGGCATAGTAGGCGGAGTCGAAACCGGACGGGAGACGTTCGTAGCGGGGCCAGTTTTCGCCATTCGATTGCGTACCATGCGCTCCATATCACGTTGCGTAATCGTGTAGCCATCGAACCCGTTGTAGGAAGACGAGACGCCATTACTATTACTAGTAATAGGCGAGTGAGAAAAGATATGAGCTCCTTGGTTGTGTCCTGACGGCGCGGGCGGTGCGTGAGCGCGGTTCATTCTGTCGTGTGGCACCATTGGGGATTGGGTTTGACGGGCTGGTCTCCGGTTGCCATCCGAACCCGCTGCGGCGGTAAGCTGGGCCATGAAGGCTTGACTGCCATTCTGCTGTTCCGGAGCGGACATATTGGAATAGTGTGGTCAACACTTCCGAGCTCCCAAAGAATGCGGCCCTTCTAGTTGTGCCATGCAGAGGACGGTGGAGGGGGAGCGTAGCAGAAAGGAGTGACGTTGATATAGCGTTAGATATATTGGCTATCGTTAGACCGGCAGTGAAAGAGACATTGCGGGACCCGGAGGCGGGGTTGTTCGACGGTGAAGTACAACTCCTGCTCAAAAATTGTTCTAGTCTGGCAGCGACCATCACGCAGGACGGACTGAGCGGGAAATTAGGTTTGGTCTCAGCGGTGAGCGGAGGTTTCGCGAGGGTGCAGTTAGACGAAGCCAGGTCTTGAAAACGCCTATTCGACCAGTCAAGAAGAGCCGGCCTCCGAACTGAACGCCACCCGCTTTCGAGCTTCCACAGCGATGTTTGTTTGCAAGATACTGAAGGAATGAAACTTTGCCTGCATGTCTCAGGACAGTCGTGACAAGTACGCGGTCACTGCGGGACATGGCTCCTACATGCAATTAGCAAGTCACGGCTCGCGGAAAATATATGCAACACTTTAACCAGATTCGTTAGTGATGTCTTGACCTCAAAACCAAACTAATGCCGTGATAATGGTACACGCTTGCACCGCCATAGCGCCGCCGCAATGAACCCGGTTGGATACGATCCTTTTCCTCCGAAGGTCTTGCTTGTTGTCCCCGTCCGCAATCGCCTGCACCAAATAAACCACTTCTCAGACGTATCCTGCAGCGCCGGTCAGTCTTAGATGCTCGCAGAATTCTCTCATCGACGAGATTGCCCTCACCTTTCCTTGCGCCCTGGAAGAAGAAGCGCACAATGAAAACCTGCAGCCCCGCCATCGTAACCATGAGCCCGACCTCCATCAAACTGAAATTTAATATCCGCTTCTCCGTCGACTTGACAGTGCTGAAGTTCCTGTTCTCTCGTGTACGGAAGTACTTCTGGTTGCGCGAGATGGTGGACAGCTGGGCGGACAGCTTGAGTATGGATTCTTCGAGGACGGAGGTTTGTTCGGGCGAGGAGCCTTGCTTGGAGGGGAGTTGGGCGCGGGCTTCATTTTCGACCTGCAAGCGCAGAGAATGTTAGGAAGGAGGGTTGTGGAGGGGAGGGGAAGAGGAGGGCCACGTACGGCGATCTCGAAATCTACCATTTTCTCCGCGAAAGTGCTCATCTCGTTATTGAAGCAGAAGCGATATTCTCCCACCTCATTTGCCGTGAAGACAAAGTCTCCTTGCCGTTCTTTTGTGCCATCCAGTATCACCCTCTCATTGGGACCGACTACGGAATAATCGACATCGAATGAGCCGCCAGATTGGACCTAAATACGCGCCCTGTCAGCCTTCTTCTCCATCGAGTCCTGGCGAGGCACTCCGAGCATGATGCGCAGGATAGGAGCGCTAGGAGGGGGCCGCCACGTACCGCGAAATAGAAAGCAACCTTGGTCCCCTTCTGCTCGACATTCGTGAAGAAGCACGCCTTCTCGTTGGCCTCCAACCGGTATGTGAGCGCGGTCGCATATACTGCCGAAGCGCAGTAGGCCAACAGGCTTGTCAGGGCGAGAGACGTCCGCATGGTGGACTTGTGTTGTGGTCGAGCGATCGGTACGCGGTCTCGACATGGCGAAGTTACAGCTGGCCGATACCCCAGGCGGACTAAGGTTTCACCGAAGTTACTGCGCATTGGCCAATCAGCGCATACCTCGGGAGTGAGGTCAGGACGGAGCTTGTCCAGGTCGCAATATCCTAGTATCAAAAGAGTTTTTTCTAACTGAAAGATGCATTTTCCATCCCGTGCCTATGATGCTAACCTCACACCGGACCTACTACGCAAACCTTACATCTCCGTCTACCCGACTCCACGCCATCCAGCGGCGACCCTTCGCAACATCGGGCCCCTTGACGTCCCCGCACATCTCTCGATGCGAGAGAGACTCCTTCCGCAGTGGAGCCGCACTGCAACTGCCTCTATGTATACACACCGACTCCGATGATAAGCACCGATGATAAGCAAGTAGCCTCGCCGGTTGTGCCTCCCTGCGCCGTACCCAAAAGAAATGCCTCGCCGAGTATAGCTTACATGGCATCCTGTCACCGAATGAAGATCGAGTCCGACTTGCCCCAGAAGCCCCGTGACTTGTTTGCGTGATCCATGGCGAGCGCTATGTCATCACGAGATCCTACTATATCCCACAGTATGTCCTCTGTCGAATGTTAGTCCACGCTTTTCGTAAGATTAGAACGGACTCACCATCTTCAATATATTCTGGTCGGGAATACTGCGGCTTGCTGACGAGAGCAAACTTGATCTTGTCCAGCTGCTTGCCCTTGATCTTGGTGAACTCCGAAATGCGTTGTTTCGTCTCGCTGAAAGGCTCGCCCTATGGTAGGTTAGTATACGTCATGATAATGGGAGGTGGCAACCTGCCTCTTTCAGAGAGATTTGGAACGGAACGCCGTGAACCTTGGCTGGCTCCTTGTCGAAGTGGAACACCGAGATCTTTTTTGATGACTCGTCTTCCGGGAAAGCGGCGGCATATAGATGCAGGTATTCGCCAATTCCCATGATCTGGAAGTCCGGGCTCAGCGCCTTGTAGAACTTGTTGTTGTGGACTTCATAAACCCGCACTCTCTTCATGACCTCGTCGCTGATGCCGGCTTTCTTTTGCAGAGCTTCTAGTATATCCGAAATCTGTGCAGTTCGGGGAATCATCAAGATATGTTCCTCCTATGCCCCGTTAGTAATGGAAAAGGGGCGGGAAACGGTCGGCTCACTTCTTTGTTGAGACCCTCCGATAGCCAGTTGATCCTTACAGCTTTTCTCTGCTCCAACTCCTTCAAACTCATTTCGAGTACCTCGTAGAACAGCGCATCCGATCTCTGCATGGTACTTCCAGCATAGTTGTACGGGCCTGGGAAAAGGATGTTATTCAGGGTCCCTGGTTGAGTGTACTTTACAGCCGCCTTGGGTTTCCCTTGTGTATTGACCGTCGTGAATCGGATATGAGTGGGTTCGACCTTGAGGTGCTCAGCGACCTTGGCCGCAAATTGATCGTAGGTCATCTTCTTGCTCAGGGTCAGGGAGAAAGTGGGTAGCTGTGCCGTCTCCCCTAATCGCGGTACGAATTCGACATTGATACGATTCAGCAGGTAATCGTAAAATTCCTTAGTCTCCACATAGCCTCCTGCAGCAGTAATCTGGCTGATTTCCTTGTCTGATAGTGTCCGTTGCACAGTGATGATGTCACCGTCCTGGATTTCCGACTGGGCCAGTGTCATTTTGGGCTTCATGCCTTCGATCATGTTCTGCTTGATCTCCTCGGAAAGCTTGAATTGAGTCCCGCTTGGCCAGCCCATCAGCTTGCAGATCTGTGGGCTGACGTCGCACACTCTGTCTTGGAAGGCTGCGTAGAAGTTGCCAATGCCAAACAGACTCTGCGTCTTGGCGTCGAAATGCTTGAGGAAGAGCATCAGCGGGCGATTTCCTTGCTGGTTCTTCAGGTCGATTAGCTTCTCGCCAAAGACCGGGCTCCCTTGTTCGTCCCGCTTCTCGGCCTTCTCCATCCATAGCTTGAATTGGGCAGTCTTAATACCGAATTTACTGGATGCTTCCTCGACTGACATATCCGGGAACGCGATAGGCACATCCGGACGGACGGTGCCATTTTGACGGTTGACCATGGCCCAGGGCCGAAGCATATCCGGCTCAAGCCCAAGTTCCTCGGCGACGCTCGCAGTAAAGTCTACCACTTTTGTCCCCCGTAGCACCCGGTACAGCTTTGGATTCGCCGGGGATTCGGTTTCGCTCTTCCAGGGGACTATGTCAAAACCTTGGTAGACCTTGAAGTTGTTCTCGGAGGCCACATTGATGTCCATGTAGAGATGCGCTTCCTCGCGCTCTTTCCGTCGCCGCTCCAAAGCAGCCCGTTCCTCCGCCATCTTCTCGGCAAGATGCGCCGGTGCCTCCAACTCTTTTCCAGGCATCAGGATGCTATCCAACCTGCTCTCTCGAATGTAGACTAACATGTACGCGCTCATGGAACGCTTGGCAGACCAGGTTCGCGTGTATGGATTCCTCTGTCCAACATTCCCGTTCGCCTGAGTGTAGTCACCGCCAAAGTTCTCCTCGAGTGCTTCCCGCTTCGTGGCACGCGTCACGCGATCGTCATCGAACTTGTAGAAATGACCCTCCTTGGCGGGCTTCAGAAAAGCATAGTAATGGCCGGCATTCAGATCTCCGCTGTGAACCAAGACTCCATGTAGGTGGTAGATGTAAGGTTCCGACCGGTCCGCGTGCTCGGAGAGGTACGGCGTGGCGTCCCAAATCTCAGGGAACTCATATCGGTCGTTGACCTTCATCATAGCGTCGCGGTTGATGTCGTATTCAAAGCGCTTTAGCTGCAGATGGAGGACCTGGGGAAAGGATTCGAAGATGACACCCTTCTTCGCGTCCTGAAGACCGTAACCTTCAGCGAAATACTTGTTCTCGCCCTCCATGGTCTCAACCTGGATATAGTCCCTGAAGCTATCGTCCAGATTCTTGTTCCCACTGACATTGAGCTGGATGTCCCAAAAGTCTTCTATCCTGGACGATTCGTAGTCCACGTTTATGCAAGAGATGTACGTCTTCATTTTTCCAACGAACATCCTTTCCAGGGCGCCTTCAGCCTCGGTACCTTTCATTTTCTCGTCAAGCCTGTCCATTAGAACTCGCGATAGCTCCTGCACATCCTGCTGCTCGAAGATCTGCTTCGAATCCCAACCAAAGGACTGCGTCAGATCGGTGGTGGAGACGGCGTTATTGGAGGCCTGTAGGAGATAGAATAACCGTTGTAGGGCGAACGCACTGTTAGAGCGATTCTCGTCGTTTTCGGTGGGTATCTGGTACACGGCCTGCGACGGTCAGTAGCTATGCCTTCAGATTGGGCGGGATAAGACTTGCCTGACGAAAAGCATTGGTGAAGAACAAGGACTGCAGCAGCGAGTTGAGATAGCACGTTGCACCCTGGTTCTTGAGGCCGACCATGCCCGTCTCCTTCTTGGAGTCGTAATTTATGAAGTTGTGCCATAGCACGCCAGTGGGGTCCTTGAGCACGCGCACGTAGGCGGTGACGTTGGCTGCGCCATTCTCCACCATGGGCCGGCCGCGATCGTCCCACTGCTGACTAAACAGGCGGCGAAGCTCCGCGAAGCGCGTGAAGCCCCAGTCTCCTTCTTCGGCGGTGAAGCGGTGGGTGGCGGAGTGCAGCACGTACATGCTGGGATCGCTGGGATTCCACAGTACCAGCATGAACTGCACGCAGGCGTACCAGTCCTCTGGCACCTTCTTCTCCTCGTGGCCTTGCTCTAGGTAGAAGGAAGCGAACTCGACATTGTTGCCGTAGGGGAAGAACAGTATCCGCCAGGGATGGCCGCCGCATTCGAACACAGGGCCATGCTCACGCCTTGTGAGCGACCGCCAATCCCTGATTTCCCAAGTGTGGTAGGCTTCGGCTTCTGTCTCTTGATCGACCAGCTCGGGCATATGCTTTTTCATAAAAGCTTCATGCTCATCCGCGCGGGGCTCCGGCTCCGACTCGACCTCGTCGTCGGCATCGGGGGTAATGATGGCGACGTCCTGCTTCTCGTCGTACTCGGGGTCGACGAGCATATCGCTACCGAGCTGTACAGCCATGTCAAGGTTAGCAATCCGGTGTGCTCGGCGGCGGGGGCGGCGGACGTGTGCGCGGGCGCGGGCGCGAACTTACCGGTTGATCCATGGTCTTTTGCGGGTGGCGGAGCGGCCGGCGTGAAGGAGAAGAGCAGCGGCGCACTGCGGGGCGGCTTGAGATGAGAGATGAGCTCGCCGAGAGCGCAGACGGACGGAGCTGTGCGCCAGTCTTCAGCGGTTGCGAGGTGCTGTGGAGGAATACGGTGCTGATGACGGTGGCCCGCGCTGCTCCTAGAAACGTTTGAAAGACTGACAGCGGCGCTGCCAGTAACGACGAGGGGGTAGCGCGCAGCGTCGGGGGAGGCGAGACCTGGGCAACAAAGACTGCGAGGGGCCGCAGTAATGTATACTCCAAGACGTGAAGAAGAAGTGTGGCGGTGATGGATGCGTGCTTGGCGGGCGCGGTGGACAGGCGCGGCGGGACAACGTCACCGACAAAGTGCAAACGAGAGGGGCGGGCGCGGGCAGCGTGCAACAAGAGAAGTGAATTGACAATCACACAATTACCACGATGCCTGCTCGCCTCCGCAGCCGCAGCCCTCGACGGCGCCCTGCATCCAGTCCGGCTCGCCATCGCCGCCGCCGCCGCCGTCCAGGCCGCTCCGCCAATCACGCATTTTCTCGAGCTGCATTTCCTGTGCACGCCCATTCTGCTCCCTCACCCGCGTCGACTTCTCCGCCAGCTGCCCCAACCATGAAATGGCCCGCAGGCACCGCTCTCGCGCGCGCAAACCCCCTTACGGGCCACGGTAGAGCTTCAATTCAAATCTCATCATGGTCGTGTTCGAGGCGCGTTCACACCATTCCGCAATGGCGCCCCAGCTCTGCCCTCGACGAGTATGCCCCGCCCGCCCCGTCCACTGTGCGAGTCCACGGCCGCTCCATTATTAACAAAACGATAGATGGGTCCAGCGCGAGGCCCGGCCCATCAGCCTGCGACGCCTGACCTTCTTCGGCAGGACCCTCACCGAGTCCCGTCTCCTCGACTCCGCCAACTACTGCCGCCTCGAGCTTCCTACCAGGTGCTGCCTCCTTCGATGCCTGACCTGGTCCTCTGCTGAAGTGCCATAGGATAGCCCATCGCCTGCGAGATATTCAGACGCTGCCCTACGTCGTGGTCGCGAATCCTCATCTCGCCCATGTCTACGAGCTATATCTCCGAGCCTTCGAACGCTTTCGTCGCGTCCCGGAAATACGGTCGCTGGAGGACAATGACCAGTACTGCAATGTCTTGGAAGAGACGCTGAAGGAGCATGCCACCGTGATACCCAGGCTTGCCATTGGCGTGCTCGAGGTGCGAGGCTCCATGAGGCCCGAGGAGACGGACAGGTTCATGAACACAATGCTGAGATCGGTACGGTCTTTTGAGGAATCGAGTAGAAGACGCACTCTGACGAGCGCAGAGAATCTCCCGTCGCGTGATCGCGGAGCAGCATCTTTCCCTCACCGAGACCTTCAACTCCCCTTGGCATTTCCCCAACGCCCAGCCCGTGCATGACCCAAACGCTGAGGCCGTGGGCGAGATATTCCTGAAATGTAATGCGAAAGAAATCGTCGAGCATTGCGGTAAGACAACGCAGGAGCTCGTCAAGCGCGCCCATGGCTCGCACCTGCACATTCCTGAAATCGAAATCAAAGGACACCTCGACGCCGCCTTTCCCTACATCCTGAGTCATTTGGAGTATATCGTCGGCGAGCTTCTGCGGAACTCGATCCAAGCCGTCATCGAGCAACGCAAGTTCAAAGACGCCAAACCTCCGCCAATCGAAGTCTTGATCTGCGAGACCGCGCAGCATGTAATCATCAGGATATCCGATCAGGGCGGCGGCATCCCGAATGAAGTCCTACCGCACCTTTGGAGCTTTAGCAAGGGACCGCGTCGCGAAAAGAGGTTGCAGAATCTGGCGCGGGTGCCGAAACTCCTGGGCACTCTGCAGGAGTTGCAGATCCCGGGAGACAACCCACATGAAGGCCACAAGAAGCACGGCAAGAAGCATAAGCATGGTGAATCAAGCCAACAACACGGTTCTCTGTCCACCCTCACGAGCCGACCGCCGGACCTCCGCCTTGGTATTGGCTTGCCCATGTCTAGAGTGTATGCCGGTAGGTGCTTCGTGAACATAGTTGCACCTGCAGGGGATCTAACCGATGCACGTTAGAATATTGGGCTGGTAGCCTCGAAATCCACAGCCTTGAAGGCTTTGGCGTTGATGCTTTCTTGCAGATCTCTAAGCTCGGCAACAAAAATGAACGGTAGGCCTCTTGTTACACTCTTTGGTTGCGGTTTCTAACTTTTTAGCCTAACCACACGTGCTACTATGGACGCGATCTAGCAACTGCCTTTGACCATGAGCATTCCTGGAGTTGTTTCCGTGGTGGACTGGACGCTGCTACTCCTTGCTGGCACGGTAAGAGCAAGCACGGTCAGATCGATCCTATCTACCCGGCCTCGAGATCAACAACTAAAGCAAAGTCACTTCAACCTTGCTCTAGCTACTCTGCTGTCTACGGACTCTTTGGCGTTCCCCTCCAACGTGCATATTGCTTGGCCTAGCATCTTTCACGACATCATCAGCAACGGGTATGGCTTATCAATGCGAACCTGTAAGTTTCCGTCCTGGCGCCCTGCCATAATCGAGTCTGACGCCTCTAGCAATGGTGCTTCGAGACCCTCGGCCCCAGCACCCATACGCATCCATCACCCGAGCTCGTACCTCATACCGAGCTCAAGAGCCTCCAACAGCTGTTCGCCGATATCGCGCTCGACCTGACCTTGAGGGGTCTTCCTGGCGCGGACAAATGGAAAGTCACAGACATGTATTGTCCAGAGGTTCGCCGCTCTCCGTTCACGGATAAACACTATGTCATTCATCTTGATGTTGTCTCGTGCTGGAAAGGCCTGTCCTTCTGCCAGGCTGCCGAGCTCGCCTTCTGGGACCGTCTCTTCCGTGAAGTCCTGGAAAGCCACGTTCTGGAGGTTCTGCGGATCGTTTTGATGCAGCACTTGCGGGAAACTTCTGGTAAGTCGTCATCCTACATTCGCAGATACAGTGGGACCGAGCGGGAACCCGTTGGGCGAGTGGTTATACGCAAAGGAGGAGCTGATGACTGGCGTAGCATCAACCGATCAACCACGGATCATGTCTTGCCTCGTCGAATGCCTCTCCAGTAAGACCACTCGCCTGATCGATATAGACATATGGAGACTTGTCCACAACATGATTACATCATTCTACGAACACCCGTCAGCTTGCGCTAGTTTCACATGGTTCGTCTCCAGCGGTGACCTGCCGGCCATGGTGTACAACTTTCTTCGAACGCGCGATTGCTTCCTCGACGCTTTTCCTCGCCCATGCCTGAGCACTACCCTCAGCTACGAGCATTCAGAGACCGAGCTGCACATTTTAGGCAATGTTGAGTGGCAGCCACCTGACATCGGTTTCCATAAGCTACCTATAATGCTCTCCTCTGGAGCTGAGTACCGAATCGAACCAACCCATAACGATGTCGATCTCGGGAATATTTGCGGGCCGAGGTTCTCCAAATTTCCATGCCAGCCCGAATTTGCGATTCAATCGGACAGCTTACCGCTGAAATGGGATCATGATCTACGCTGCTTCCGAGCGATCGTGCCAGGCGAGGATTTCGGGAGCCCAGTGAAGGAGAGTCGGTCGAGAAGCACACCCACCTTCAAAGTCCTTCAGGCTCACCTCCGCTCCCGTCTCTCGCAAGACTTTCTTCTCAAACTTTACACGAAAACCAAGATAGTCGAGGAAGCGAAGACGACTTTCTCTGCCAAACTCATCACGCGGTTCCCTAGTAATGTAAGATTTGAGCGTACCAGTCGCTACATTATCAAGCTTGAGATTCTCGAGCCTCGCACATCCGCGAGGGGCAAGGAATGCCGCGGCGATTCTCTTGCTTCCAACCCAGAATCGCTATATGGTGTTGGAAGCAGTGCGCCGGAAAGCCACCGCGCTGACGAGGTGCCGCCATATGAAGAGCCTATTCGTGCGACCCCAACCACTCGAGCTCGCTCCTGGCTACCTTCCTATTCGAACGCGCCGGCTTCCGAGCGCGGATGTAGGATCGCGGATGATCAGGCATCAATGCCCTTGGACTCATCACCGGATACATCTTCCGTTGACCGGGACATCGAAGCAGCCAGGACACTACCGCAACAGCGGCCGCTACCGCCCGGCGTGAGCGGTTCGCCAGGGACTGCCAAGCAAGAGCAGGATTCTAGAGCAGCAGCTGGCAAGGAAGACACTCAACTCCGACCAGAGCACGCAGTATTCGCTTTTGATGGTCTGTGTCTCTCGAGCGAAGAATCAAATATGCTCAAAGAGTCCACCCAAGCTGCGGCCAGAGCCTCCGCTGCCAAGCGCACGATCGAGCCAGACATGAAAAGGGGTGTCGTCCCATTCACAACGAGGCTCGCCGAGGTCGCTCGACATGCAGTTCCTAAAAAGCGTAAAGCAAGCAAGCAAGTGCCGCTCAGCTCAATGTTTGAAAGCTCTTCGGCTTTTCAGTCCGAGCGGCTTGCCCTGGATAAGTTCGAACATCTCGATCTGGAAATAGGGGCAAAGCGTCAAAGGATCAATGATAGCAAAGATTCGAGCATCGCTCTCCACGCCAGCAGCTCCGCTGACGTTGACGCTGAGGTTGAGATAGATTGGGATGATGAGCATATGTCTAACCTGGCCAAGATTACGACAAGGTGTCTGGGCAAAGCTGCTACGATTTCTTCGCCGGCGGCAAAGTCTCCAGGCTGGTACAAGAGGTTGAGCGAAAGGATGGAGACGTGCGATGAGCCACCTCTCAGCCGTTCCAAGTCACGAGCATACGAAGCCACAGATTCCAACGTCATGCCCTCCTTGCGAAAGAGAGGCAGCGTCAAACGAATGGTCTTCCCACGGCATAAGAAGTACGATTCCGCCTCTCCGTATCCAACGCCGGGAAACAGCGCCGACAGTGCCTCAGATTCGGATCGCTCGATGAATCAGTTCGAGATCGTGAATAACTACCTCGAATTTCGCGACAATAGAGAGAAGCGCGGCCAACTTGATGGCGCTACGAGCGAGGACAGCGACGAACGCAAGGCGTATGAGAGCATCTTCATGGAAGATAGTCAGGAAGAGGGTTGGAGCACAGAGGCATCCAATAACGAGGTGAGCGATATGAGCGCAGATTTTGAGAGGGTGTCGTTAGTAGCCTCTTAAGCGTGTAGGTGGAGAGCACGGGTGGAGCCGAATAGGGCTGGAGTTATTGATATTGGTGGCATTCCGGCGGAGGCCTCCAGCGTCTTCTTCTGGCAGTTCTCTATTGGAGGGCATTTTCCTTCATGCGTAAATTCATTTCCGTCTTGTTTCCAGGGTCTCGGTGCTCGAGTCAAGTGATCCGGTAACCATGTCGCTTGCTGCGTTGATCGCAGAGTTACTGCGCTGGCGTGGTTCGCAAACAACCTATCGTCACGGTCCGATTAGGCGACGTCCATCGTGCACCATCGAGATTGCTCACTTATTGTTATACACCAATGTGTCGGCCTTGGTGCTTCATGTTTATCTGATATGAGTAAACCATTGAATCCTTGTCCGCTGCGGAAGGGCACTAACCGATTCGCAAGGTGCGTAGCTTCTGTGTGCCCATAAACATACCCTTTCGCAATGTGAGACAACAGACAGTCTATGATATATTTGGCGGCATTCACGTGCCCAGATGCGTTTGCGCCTTCATACCTTCCGGTATGCACACACCCACACAAGCACCTTACGCCGTCTACCGTGCGAACGATTCATACCAGCGTCATCGTGACAGCGTTGCTCTTCGCCAGAACGCTAGCCAAACAGCAAACAATCTTCAGTCCGGCTTATGCATATATGAGCTGGATTCCTTCTTCGACTACTGTTCCATTGCTCAAGCAACTGAAACCGTAGCTTGACAAGATGCTAACATACCTTTTCCCCCCAGACCCGCTCACTACCAAATGGGTTCTAGGCTTCACCCTCATCCTATGCCTCGCCCTCTTCCTCCATGCTTGGTTCGAAAGATGCAAGATCAGCAACTTGCTCGATGAAGTCGGAGACCAAAGGAACAATATCCGGACCAATAGAGTCATGATCCATTTGTCGGGTGCTTTTCTCAAGCAGAGGCTTCTGCATCATCAACAAAGAATCGAGCAACTGGAACGGGTGCAGGTTCAGGCTCTTGGACAGCGGGAGGTGGGAGGCGGCTTGCAGGTAGTGAGGCAGCAGCAGGAGGGTGCCGGTGCGAGTGCAAGGGTGTGGAATAGGATTTGCGTTCATGGGGAAAGGAGTGACGACGGGTCGGGTGAGAGCGACGGAGACGGCGATAGGGATGATGAGGACGGAGAGCCGGACGAAGAGAAGAAGGAAGAAGAGAATGCATGTCCACCACCACCCGCATACGCCGAATCGGTTGCAGAAGACGACAACGAGCCTCAGCGGAGCTCAAGCGGCGATGAAATCTACGGCAACGCGGCACCACCATATTCAAAAGCCTATTATTTGTTCAACCGGAACTGCGGCCAGTTCGTTGACAGTAGTCGCCTTTATGCCCAGCGGTTTCTATTAGCGCTCGACGACTACTGGTATCCATTTACAGACCCGTATCCGCCACACGATCCAGAGGGTCCGACCAAGCCTAGGGTGGGGGCGGATAGCCGCTTCCACAGAAGCAAATCGGGGCTTCTGAGTTGGCCGACGGGTCTACCATCGAAGCTGAGTGGTCCACACGCAATTATTAAGGGAAAAGATGGGATAGATTATGATACTGGGGATCTAAAGCAATATCACCAGAACCATGGGAATCTTCGGCCGGGGTGGTTGCCATCGTCGTCGCCAGGGGATAGTGAACGGGGAAATCGTAGGGAGAAGAAAGGAAGCCAAGAACGTGGACAACGCGTCCAAGCGTCGGACAAATTAGCGAGAAAGTCGAACAGAGAAAGCAAGAGCGGGGATGAAATGGGAAAGGCGAAGAGTAAGGAGAGCCAAGAAGTTGGTGGGAGCGTCCGGCTATCGAACAGGTTGGCGAGAAAGTCGAATGTAGGAGCGAGGAGCAGGGATGAACCAGCGAACAAGAAGTCCCAGGACGCAGATCAGGATCTATACTTAGATCCCCCACCATCCGTCCGACTTCGAGGTGGAGGTGGCGGGAAGCAAGACAACAACAATGCTCACTACAGCCCCACCAGCGATGGAGTGTATGCCTACTTCGCTCACTCCCCGCGCAAACCTCACGAAGACCCCGAGACTAGCTTACGCGGACCTGACACATGTGCTTCTCCTCCAGTTGGTATCTACGACTACTGGCCTCCGGTTTCTCCATCTACGTCGCCGACTCCAGATAACCGCGACTATGACAGTGCAGAGGTGGCGTATGCGCGTGAACCGCGCAGAAAAGAGAGGCCGGCTCTTGATGAGGACGCTACATTGGAAGAGCTTTTGAAGGAGGCTTGGGGTGGCCATGAAGAAGAGGCGGCAGAGGAGACGGACTGGCAATGGGACTTATACGATGAGTTTTCTCTTGTAAGAGATACGGCTACCGACGCATTTGTTCCCAACGAACAACAACAACGGCAATTTGAAGAAGAAAAGTTGCTTTTCGCGAGATATGGCGACCTGTTACCTAATCCGTATCAGACGGAAGCACGTCAGCCAGAGCCGGAACGATCTCACCTACTTCCCCAACGTAAAAGCCAGACTATCCATCGCCATGGATATAAACAGCACGCAGATCAACACGCCGAACGGCAAGAGCCAATGCCTCACCCAACCTCGCACCACAATCTTCTAGCACATCACGGCTATCAGACACCCTCTTCTAGCTCCGCTCGCTCGCTGTACAGTCTGCCCACGCCCTGGCCTCAAGATCAGCCAGAGGCACGTTCTTCTCTCTCCCTCTTTCCACCTGCTTTCGATCCAAACACAACAGCCAGGCCGCCTACGTCCCAATTTATGGATAGAGGCACCAGTGCAGGCCGAGATACTCCCAAAAGACGTAAAACCCAAGATCCTGTCCGTCCGCACTGCCTCCTATGTGACGCCGTAGAAGGACGGTATCTGAGTGCTGCGGATCCAGATTCGGATAAGAGACAAGCGGAGGAGAGTGTTCGAATTCATCTAAATATGCGTGGGGCACTGAATCAGCAGAACGAAGATGGACCACCTGCACCACCGAATCGCCGACAGAGCAGACCCTATTATAGCCCATTAATTGCATATCCGGGAGGAGCACCAACCCACAAGGAGCGGGTGTTAGCAGAAGTGCAAGAAGAGCCAGACGAGAGTGTGGCTCGGAACGTCGAACTCTTGAGACAGGCGTTGGAGCACCTCATGATGTAGGGTATGAACGATGGAATCCATGCACTCGACGCAAGCGGCGAAATTCAGCAAGAAGGCCAGCATAAAGGAGCCACCCGCTCGCCTTCTTACCATCAATCTGGCTTCTCCCACTCTTTAGATCGTCGGACGCCAGAACCCGCATCCGCACCCGCACCAGCAACCCATCGCCCTTCCCCTCCTCTCGTCCTTGGCCGTGCAACCACCCTCTTATCCCCTACTATCGTCTCCCGCCACCACCACGCATTTCAACCCTTGGGCTATAAAGATAAGACACACATATACCGCCCTGGTGACGGCGGACCTGCACTTCGGGGTGACTTCCGCGTATACTATGCCCCTGTACGATACTTGTATCCAGATGGATCGAGCAAGAACGATACGAGGTACTAGGTGATTGAGGAGGAGATGAAGAGGCCCGGTTAGATTGGTGTCGATGTTAGTCTTTGACGTTAGATTAGTATTCGTTACTCTTCGAATCGTGCGGGGATGGACAGACCCGATATATATTAGGAGGCAGCGAGCATTTTCTACATGTCATGTCCCCGGAGGACTTCGACGCGATGAGCTAATTTGCACACTGAATAGTCGTGTATACAACACCCTTGTAGGAGTACATATAGTACAATAGCTTCTATATATCTATCTGAGCGCCACCCACGCATCCTTCCATTGCCTTACCTCTTCTTCCCCCTCTTACCCCCCTTCTTCCCGCCCACCGCCGCCGCTGCTGCCGCATTACCCCTCTTCTTCCCGCCCACCTCCGTCGTCCCCAACGCCGCCTTCTGCCTCAAGTACATCCTGACCACATTCTCCACACTTCCCCGATCATGCTTCACCTTCCTCATGTATGTCAGCCGCGCTCTCCTTGCCCTCTTGGCCGCGCGCTGCACAACCTCTATCCCCTCTACCAGCGGACTGTATATCTTATACCACATCTCGACGCCGACACGGGTGAGTTGGCCGCGCAGGAGAATCGCCGTGTCGACACCGCGTCGCCGGATATTTATGCAGACGCCGGCGAAAGGGTCGCCGGTGCGTAGGCGCACGAGCAGAATGTCGCCAACGCGTGCGCATTCGGGGTTGTCTTTTGCGAAGAGGCGGGTGCGGGCGCCGGTAGGGTCGAGCAGGGTAATCTGGGAGCGTGTTACGGTGGAGACGGGGTCGGGGCAGGTCTTCTTGATGGCGGGTTTGGGGGGGTAGATTTTGATGTTATTTTCTGGGCCCTCGTTAGCATGTCTAGCCACTTCAAAAATACCCCTTGAAGCTTTGGGAGCCGAATTGACAGTATGCCAGGTCTCCAACAGGTCTCTGCAAATGTGCACATACTCGTCTCTCCGCCAGGCCTCCCTAACAGCTCTCTCCGCACCGCCCTCGGTTTCTTCCATCCCGCCTCCGCCGGTAGTATTTTCTCTTTCGGGTTCCCTTCCGCGTCGTATAAGTGGGGGTACAGCTGGCTATGCACCTGGTTGATGAGGGTATTCGCTTTGCGAGGTGTCGTCTGGCCGGGCCTCCACATGATCTCTTCCGGGCGCGCCGCGTAGGTAGACATTGGTTTCCGTGGGATTGCGGACTTGATAATTGCGCCCGCAACGGGCGCGGCCCCGCGCGTGGACGTCAATGCTGTCGACATACTGTCGCTGGTGTTGTGTTGAGCGGTGCTGCGATGGGGCTCAGGAAAATCGGGCCAGGGTCGGAAGAGTCATTACATAAGCAGAGCGCCATTTCGGAAGGCACCACCTTCAATCGTCTACCCGTGGACGGCTTGAACGCGCTCAGGGCAAATGGGGGGGAGCACACGTAAGGCGCTTGAATGCCAAAGATCTAATCAGTTATGAAGAGGGTGGTATCATTTGCTTTTGCTTGCCGTGACCTGGCGAAGACTACCTCCTCACGAACCACAACTCAGCAACCAGCCACCTGTAGCCTGCAGACCTGCAGATTGGTTGAGGAAGCTCTTCCCATAGAAACTCGCTCAAAAAATAAACCGGTACTTTTCGGACGCAGGAAACCGCCCACCATGCAATCCCACCTATGCTAGTAGCTCCGTGGTTGGGCATCCTGAACGCCATGCTAGGACGCAGCATTCTGTCTGTAGATGTCGAAACCCCGGTATCCATCGCTTGCCATGCACACACCGCCTTTTTATCGCTCCAAATGCTGAGATATTGCTTGAAATGTTGTTGAGTGGTACCGCCCGCCTGAGGATTTTGAATGCTGCCGCCCGACGCCGGTGAAACGGAAGAGAGACGGCCAAAAGATGCTAGAGCCTGGCTTGATTGAGTTGCTCGGTCAAGCCCACAACGCCGTTGAAATGCTGGAGAATTTCGCCCTGGAGAAAACCGCCTCAAGTCAGCAGTTGACCTGGAAGTCCAAATCGATTTCGCGCTGAGGTGTCTCTACCTCCTCCATCCACGTTAGGCCGTTGGCGGCCTCTTCGACGGGGAAAACCTCCCGCGCATACTCCTCCATGCTGCGGTTGCCTTCCCAGAGCTCGAGAGCGACGCCGGGACAATCCTTCTCGAGATCTGGGCCGAAATAGGGGGCGGCTTTCTCCGCCAGCGTCTCCTCGAGGGCGGATAGGTGCTCACGGTATCCGACGGGAGTGGGCACGTTTATCACGATAGGGCCCCGCTTGTATACAACGGGCCTTCCGAGCCCACGACTGAAGGCCTTGCAGACTTCCTTCGGTGTCAGGACGGAGAAGGCCAACGGAATACTAATGAGTCGGTCAGTACATAATCAAGCAATGTAGCAACGGGATTGGAAAATGGTTGGGATGCATTCAAGGGCAGAAGGCTGAACAACATGGCGCACGGAAATGACGAGATCAGCGACCAAATCCTGGCACTGCGGGGGAAGCGCTGTGCAGGCGCAGATGCGCTTACCGTTTGCCGTTCCACTTCCGCGGCCCTTCCTTGAACAATTGGTAGACTGCGGGGCCGATGTCGTGCTCGGAGTCAAGCCACGGCAGCTTCTGGTCAGGGTGGAAAGGCGCTTGCCAGACGAAGCTTCCATTGTGCTGGTGTTCCATGCGGAAGAGCGGGAAATCCAGGCCGGTGAAGTTGTTGTGGTAGATGCCGCAGTATACAAATGTGGCGGGGAGGCCGATTTGGCGGATATATTGCTCGACGGTGAACTTTGGGGCCCAAAGCGGAAGCGCTCTCCAGTTCTTGCCGAAAACGGAATGGTCGGGCATGCTCGAGTAGATGTAGTGCTGGATGCCGGCCTTTTTGGCGGCGTCGGCAAGCGATCTGCCGACGGCCACCTCGTCTCCCCAGTGGGTGGTGTTGATGAATGCATACTGCGCGCTCTTGAAGAGATCGTCGAGGAATTTCTGGTCCTCGAGGGGCCCGACGTAGACGGTGACATTTGGCAGCTGCGACAGCTCCTCGGCGACGATGCCGTTCATGTCCCGCATCTGCGCGCGTACTTGGCATCCCAGTGCCGATGCCACTCGGATGAAGCTCGCCGATTGGCGGCCATTGCTGTTGATGGTGACTACCGTTCTCTGCATGCGTGGCCCGCTCCAGACGCGAAAAGGGAAAGACTTTTAAAGAACAAGGACAGAGCTCGCAGCGCAGATGGGAATTTGCTAGGGAGAGTCGCTCATGCAGCGCCGAGGGGAGGGCCGTTGATATAGCAGCAAACAAGCCGGACCCGCGACCGAACCGTGTCCCTGGGAGCGGGCGGGCGATAGCAGATAAAGGTGGTGTGAGTGCAGCTTGCAACGAGGCTGCCTGGGGGGGTAACAGGGCCTAAGGCAGCTCAGGTCGACGGCGGAGTCGGTGTGCCTGTCCGCAATCGGGCTCCAGGGCGCTGCGGTCAATGACGGCTGCACGTGCGGCGGTTGCACAAAGAAAGCGGTAGGTATCGACTTTCCAAGGGCTGATGGCGGGCTCCAGGGCTCAGGCACGGGCACGTGAGGGCGAGGCTGTACCTAGGTATGCAGGGTGGAGCAGAATGCGCCCGAGTCGAGGCCGGCTAGGGCGAGGCAGTTTATAGAGCAGCAGCACCCAGCGCAGTCAACACCACATGGATGACGCCCCGGCGGAGATGCAGGAGAAATGCAGACCGGGCCCGCCGTCTGTGTGCGACTGCCTCGCCGGCACGCTCGTCGTCATGACGGCGCTGGGGAACATTAGGTAATAGCAGCAGCGTAGGAGCGAATTGGAGGGCGGCCGCGCGAGAAAGGTGCGGTTAGCATCGCCAACAAAGGCACAATGAGTAAGAGGCCGCTCTGCCCCAGCACCCCCTGGCGAGACGTGCCCCGGCCTGGGAGACTGCAGCCGTGGTGTCGTGATGGCTCCGCTCCCAGCGGCGGCGTCGGGCACGCTGTCAGACGGTGCGCCGGGAGCTCTCCCCCATCATCCATCCGTCACCCAGCACCCGAGCAGCGAGGGAGAGCGAAGGAAGGCATGGCCATCACGGTGCGACAGCTCTTGGCCTGCATGATTCTCTTAGTAACCGAAAACCTCCTCTATTATTAGCGTGTATTGTGTATCCGGCCTCCTCCCTTGCATTCCATCAAATCACCACTCTCCTGCGCAGGCCGAGCACAACATGCTCACTTATCAGCAGCAGCATCATCAGATGGGCCAGCGCAGCGCATTTCCAGCTTCCCCGCAGTCCACATTCCTCCAGCCCGCTACCAGATAGCGCCCGACCGATAGACAACAGCGCCCAAGGACACCGATAGCTGTCGCGTAACCGTCCGCCTCCAGCCCTCTGAATCGACAATCCACAGTGATCCTGTATGTACTGTACATGCTCTGTACGCAGGCGCGTCACCGGACCCTGGAGACAGATGCGCCACGCATGGCGACATCGCAAGCGCATCCAGCAATCACCATGCCGGAATCCCGATTGCCCATCCTGCAGCGCAGCAGCCTCAACCAGCACCACAATTACCCGTCGTTCGACCAGAGTCGCGACCTGTCGTCGCCTCATCCAATCACCTGCTGCCATAGCCCAGCGTTGCCGTCGCCCTCCGCCGCATGCATGCTGGCCGCGGCCATCTCGTCAGAGTGCAGATGTGCGCCCGCATATCTCAGAATCTCCGCATGATCTTTCAACCCCGCAGCGGCCGCCAGGAAAAGTGGCGTGTTGCCGCTGCGGTTGCGAAGGTGGACAGACGCGCCTTGCTCCAGGAAGTCGCGCAGGATTTCGACGTTCGGTCCGGTCGCCGCGAGGTGCTGTACGCCTAGTCAGCATTGCATACACCAACGCAATCTTGCATCATCCGGCAAATCCTTGATCCGATCCGTGCTCGCCAGCGTGCCAAAGATAAGAGGCTGCAGCGTACTCCCGCCAAGCGGGCACAGCGAGCTCTGTATGGTCTTGTGCCTGATAGTGCCGACGGCCGCCTCACCTCTTTATCAGAGATAATGCCGTTGCACTCGCTCGCCAGACCATTTCTGCCAGCGGTGGTGCAATACGATTGCTTCCGATACCGGCTCTTTCAATGAGAGAATTTGCTCATCCACCATGGAAGGTTTCGAGTTGATTACCCGAAAGGCAGGTGGAGACAAGAGGCGTAGATAGCGACCAGCGACTTGGGATAGACGCTGACTTGGACCTCTAGGACGGAAGATGAAATTCGGACTTACCACGGGCGTATTGAGATTGTAGTCGGCATCATTCAACAGCCAACGCGGCTCTCCGCGAATGATGTCCCTTGTTTCTTGCAGATTTCCTTTCTGGATAGCATAGCCTAGCGCCGTCAAGTTGGACAGCTCTGGAGTGAGGGTACCGCTGGTCTTCGGGTGCTCAAAGTGTGTGCGCGTCGCTTCTGTCAACTCGCCGCGAACCGATACCGACATTCGCTTTGCCACTTCCTCCGGCGTTGCGTCCGGGAGCGCCAGCAGGTAGGCCAGCTTCGTGAGTGCGGCCTCAGTGGTCATGTCCTGCCCGAAAACCACACCCGCCCGACCCAAAATGGTAGCAGGTGCATAGAGCGCACTTACGCTGCCGCTTAAACACTGGGTCACGTTGACGATGACGATGCCCCTCTTCACCGCGTCTGCCAGGATACGTGTCATCGCGCTATCGGGACCTCCCGGCGTGTTCCCGGCTCCGAAAGTTTCCAGGACCAGTCCCTTCAGGCCCTCCAAACGCAAGACTGCATCCACCATTTCGGGTTTCATACCTGGGAAGATGCGGAGGCAGGCTACATGTGCCGTGTCGAGCTTCGTTTGGATAGAGAAAGGATGTACGTCTGTCGGCCGATAGACATTGCTCCACTGGACGTTGGTTCTCAGGGAAGTGATCATCGCTAGCGGAGGGAGATTGGGGCTCGCGAAGGCTTGAAAGTCGTCGGAGGAGATCTTGGTCGTGCGGTTACCGCGAAAGAGCTTGAAGTTGAAAAAGAGGCACACTTCGGGGATCATGAAGTGTCCTGCTATGATCAGGGCGCCCAGTAGGTTGTCCTCGGCGTCAGTCTGCAGTTGCATCATCGGCGCCTGCGATCCGGTGAGGATGACGGGCTTGCCCAGGTTATGGAGCATGAAGCTCAGCGCCGAGCAGGTGTAGGCTAGAGAGTCTGTGCCGTGAAGCACTACAAAGCCATCGAACAGCTGGTAGTTCCGGAAAATGGTCTTTGCAATCTGATCCCATCCGGCGGCGTCGATTGAGCTGCTGTCAAGCAATGTGTCGAATTCGAGCACGCAGTACCGGACCCGGCGGTCGTATGTGCTGATGGGCGTCCTCAAGCTCTGCACCGCTCTCCGCGTGCCCTTGTCGTCGACCACTATTTCCAGTGGCTCCGGGTACGAGCCGTCGTTGAAGCATGGCCGTGGCGCAAGTCCAGCTTTGAGGAACCCTCTCGCCGGCACCAGACCGTCCTCAGATCTTCGCATGCATATCGTGCCGCCTGGGCCGCTGTAAGGTCTGCGATTGTTTGAGTTTTCGAAATGCCCACCTGTGATGACTATGAGCACTCGTGACTCGGGGAGCTGGAGCTCCGGAAACCCATCGTCCATCTCCCCCAGCAGCAGAGGCATTCAGAAGGCTTCGGTCGGCCTTGGTCGATCCGGAGAGCCTCGTTTCGCGAGGATGTCGGTTGTGAGGTGGTTCGGGCGAGCACAGAGCGAGTGTCGACTATCAACCGATAACGGGTAGTCACGGTTGGGGTATCGAATTTCGTCACCGCTCGGTACCGGCGCGCACAAAGAACAGCGAAAAAGTATTCGAGGCAAGCCTTCACCGAGCGCGGCGCACTCTCAGCTTATATCGGCTTCTTTGTCCTGCATCGCGGCGGATGTGGGCAGCGTGTTGAGCCAGGCCATGGCTAACCATGGGCCCTGTTCAGGACATGCGCTTCCTCAGATCGGGCCGGTCACCAAGCGCCATGCAACCCAACGAATGGGGCTCCGCTATCGCGGTTCTTGTTACCCCTTCAAAACCGTTGCATTACCCCTTCAAAATTGAAAATTTTCGCAAACAGCTGCTGAACGGGCGTTCCTGCCTGGAGACAAAGCTGGGGTGCTGGGCCTAGGAAAGCATCGGCTTTCTTGAGGTTGCGCAAGCGGCCGATTACATCACACGAGACATCTTTTCCCAGTAGTGGCGGCACACGTGTGAGCTTGGTTTGGCATTATGAATATGTCCTACTGACGATAGCTAGTGTGCGGCCTTCGTATAGGATCCAGTGCCCGCTTTCGGCTTGCCATGTGTCAACACCATCCTGTCGGCCTACTCTATGGCACGCGCGACCGCTCCTGCATACCGCCTGCGCCGAACGATGCTATCAGGCGGCGCTGACCACGACTCACGTATTCGCCGAGGGTCGAGAAGGATCGTTCGCACTCTGCTCTGCGTCGACGCTGTTGTGGGCCGCCTCTTTAGCCGCCAGACCACGTCTCTTCTCCAGAGCCTTGACCTCTCGCCAGTTCTGCGTAGCCCATTTCACCACATCGTCTGTGGAGGCCCTGGAGATAGCATCGGTCCAGATAGGAGTCTTCTCCAAAGCTTGAGCCGTAATGTAGGGCTGCCCATCGTTGAAGTCGACCCAGCGCTTCAGGCCCTTTAAGCTCAAACTCAGAGCTGGCCCCTCTACAGGCAGCGACTCCCGGATCTGCTTCCACAGTGTTTCTTCCGCCTCCTTTGCGTTGCATTCCGCTAACATCGCTTGATACTCGTCGTGCTTACCAAACCTGTCCAAGGCTTCCTTCAAGACCTCTTCGCGAGTCCAGACGTTAACCGTTCCGGCGTCTACATGGGCGGGCATGTAATTCTCAACAAATCTTCGGTACATCGCACGCTTACTCTGACGTGATCGGTCGTTTGAATTTTCGGTGCGGCTGTTGAAGACCTCCCACGAGAAGAAGCGGCCCTTGGACACGAAGTCGAAGAGATCGGTTTCGTCCCGAAAACCTTCCCGATACTTTGCGACATCGAGCCCATAGAATTCGAGCGCTTCGTCAGGATGTCGCGTCAAGTAGATCAGGCTCTTTTTCTTGTTGTATGGCTCGATTTCCTGGACGCGCACGTGGAGGCCCCGGTCATTGCAGGTGAGACCCAACGGTCTGTGGCAGACACCAATGATCTGTAACAGATCAGAATCGCCTTTCATGAACCTAGTCCATTCGAAGAGTTCGGCGCCGTCAGGAGTGCCATTGCCAGGGGATATCTCCACGTCCACCTGTACGTATGCATCGGGTACGTATGGATGCTCGATCCCAAAGGAGGAGGATCCGCCACGAGAAATATGGAGTTTAGCACCGAGTAGCGACTTGATGGTCGCCCAGATGTCCTTGTGGTTTGTAGACTGTATTCCTTCAACAAGGAAGTCGACATCACCATAGTCGAGCTTGCCTGGCGCTTCCCGTGGGATCGTAACACGGTTGAATAGGCTCTCGAGCTTTGTCTGGACGTCGGCCACCACCCTCTCGTAGGCCGCCGGGGGCAGGCGCGGGACGTTGATGGGAGTGTCAGACTTGATATTGGCGAAGGCTTGGCCACCCATGGTTCTTGGTCCCCGCGACCCCGAGTGCTGCTGTGTTCCTACCAGACGGTGCTAGTTGTACCCTGGAGTAGAAGCTGAGAAGCTGAGAAGCTGACGAAATGTGATACGATGCGGGACTCTTCTGCTTAGCAATAGTTTGCAATCCCCGACGGGATTCTCGTCCTTCTCTTTTATGTTGGCGGGTCGTAAAAGCCAACAGCTAGAATACGAAATCCCGCGGTGCGTAAGCGGTTATGCTGGCAGCAGAATACAAAGGGCGATAGTGTGGACAAGTGACTATTCGTACAAAATGCGTGCTGGTAGGCAAGAACGAGTTGGTATGTTGAGACTTTGGTAGGAATCAATACTTGTGGAGGCCACAAAGGGGCCGGATGATTCATCGCTGCCTAGTGACTCCGTCTAGACGTAGACGAGGCGCAGTGAAAGCACGCCTCACCCGAGAGGAGAAGCCTCTCCAAGCCTCCAACTTCAATCTTGGAAGCTCGATACGACTTCTCAGCCCCAGAATACCCCATCTAGCAGGTGCAGCGGGATGAGGTGGATGCAAGTGAGTTCTGCTTACCTGGACCCCGGAACAAGGTACCGGCCGGCACTGCAAAGGTGCGATACGCGCGGGACGCATTCAGATCCGTCAGCCGGGGAAAACACGTGGAAAACTGTCGGGCGATGGCGAGACAGTGAACGGGTGTCGTGGTGTTGGACCAGGACCATTCGCCGCTCGGCTTCCGGTTCGCTTGGCTGCGGCGCGTGCGCAAGCTCGGAACAGTGGAAGTGGACATCAGAAATTTTGGGAGCCGTTCCCAACAACAGCGCCCCAGCGGTCCAACACGCGATAACGGAAGATAAGTCGCGGCTCAAGTATTTATATCCTGCCTGTAAGGCCCCTCTGCGTATCAAATTCGACATCATTGCAAGCAATACTGACACAATGCCTTTCCTAGAGGTAGAGAGCGCCAGTTATCTCGCACATCGCAGCCGCAAAATGGCCGAGACCAGGCCCGAGGAGGTACTGGTGAATTTTGAGGAGCTCCGCGTTCTCGAGGCTGAGTTCGACGATGCGGAGGTGGAGCTTGGTAGGGCACGCGATCCCTCTGCACCTTTTGCGGACTAACTGGGGCAGTCCGCAAGTCCGAGGCGCTCTACAGGCCTCTCTGGGAGAAGCGCGCCGAGCTGATCAAGAAGATTCCGCACTTCTGGACGCTCGTTTTTGAACAAGCACCACCAGAGTTCGACAACTTCGTCCAGCCCTCCGACTCCAAGGTTTTCGTAGATTGCCTCAAGTCCCTCGACGTATCGCGCTTCGAGATTGACGACCCCAAGGGCTCGCCGCGCAGCTTCTCCATCAAGTTTGGCTTCGGCGACAACGAGTACTTTGAGAATAAGGTGTTGGAGAAGAAGTTCTGGTTCAGGAAATCAAAAGACTGGGATGGCCATGTTTCGGAGCCGGTTAAGATCAACTGGAAGAAGGGCAAAGATCTCACCGGAGGCCTGACAGACGCAGCGTATGAGTTGGCGCAAGCGAGGAGGAAGCTCGCGAAGACTGCCAATGGCAGCGCCAAGTCCAAGGAAACAAATCTGCCCGAGTACAAGGCCTTGGCCAAGAAGATTGAGGAGAGCACCGAAGCATCCGTTAGCTTCTTTGCATGGTTCGGCTTTGTGTCGAGCTACAGGTGGATCAGCGCAGAAGAATCAGAAGAAGCGTCGAGGGCGCGCGCAGAGCGACTGGAAAAGATCAAGCGTGGTGAGAAGGTTGAGGAGGAGGAGGATGATGACGAGGACGAGCCTGACTATCAGGAGACTGAGGTCTTCCCGCAGGGTGACGAGGTTGCCACGCTCATCGCTGAAGAAATGTGGCCCTCTGCGCTCAAGTATTTCAGTACGTCCTTCTTCCAAAACCTATCTCACAATATGCTGACCAACCCCAGAGTATTCCCACGAAGCCGACGATGATGACCTCTCCGAGCTTGATGTGGAGGACATGGACGAAGACGACTCCTCAGATGACGAGATCGATATCCGCGGCCTGGTAGGGAAAGGCCGCAAATCCAGCGACTCGCCCCCTCCGAAGAAGCAGCGCAAGGCCTAGATCCGCTGCCCCCTATGTTCAAGATTCGACTAATCGTCAGCACTATATTTGTGGCTTGAGATACCCCACATGGTGGATTAGGGGCTACCGGATCCCTTTCCTGTACTCCCGGCCGGGCCGTCTCTCCTCCCGAGGATGAAGATGCTCGAGGCGGGATTTACGCGGCTTGGGGCTGTCAGCCTCATCGCCATGGTTGCTGTGCCTTAATCTATCGGTATGCTCGATCAATATATGTTTGAAAAAGGCAAGAGGCTATCCAGGTAATTGGGACATAGAATACCTAATAGTAATTGAAGGTGAAATGAGAGTCTCTCGACTGCAGCTCGAATGTCAAGCTCTGCTCTTGTTCTCTCCACCCAATTCGGCCTCTAAGCCATCGCCTCACTCCTCGGGGTGCCCTCTTCGTAGCCGCGGAAACAGGCCCGCGAGACCCCAGGTGCCGTTCAAGTCCCGTATGCCGCGTGCTCTTCCCGTTCTCTCCACCTTCGCCAAAGCTTCCAGAAGCTCCACGTCCACCAATCACAGTGCTCGGCCCCTCACTAGACCCCTTTGGACACGGAACAGAGGCGAGCATTTCTCCGCCAAGCGATGAATTAACGTCCGAAGTCTTCAATGTTTTTTGCTTCTAACGTTCCTACATGACGTTCTCATCTCCTCGTGCCCGGAGCAGATTGGAAGATCATCTTAGCCCAGCTCTACCGGCCTATGGGAATCCTGGTTTCATTTCGACAGCTGCAGCCGCGCCCTCTGGTTCGGGGAGCAGACGAGGGGTAAACGCAGTTCGCGCATGCCCAGATGTTGATTCCGGGTTCGTGAGATGCAATAGCGTGATGGCGGCTCAGCGACAGCTTAGGACAGGAATAGTTGGAGCTCAATTCTGGGGTGATCGGAAGCTCTCAAGCTCATAAGTACCTCCATACCTTCCTTCCTTGCTCTGCGTGGTCGTTCTTCTGTCTGCTCGCAAGTGTCCCAAGATGGCTCAGTTGCTTCCTCTCCTTCCTCTTCTCCTTTCTTTCGCCTGGTCCGCCTCTGCGCAATTCAGCAATGGCACAACTCTCTCGTTCACTCTGCCGTCCGGATACAGCACCGCGAGCTTCAACGCCTCCGCCCAGCCCACAGCCTTTACGCGCACCGATTTCTCCGAAAATGCGCTCAATGAGCTTTGGAACATGGTAGGGCCCGTGGCTACAGGCCCTGTCACTACAACCGTGTCGCCCACTCCCGAGCCCACGGCATACGCGCAACCAGACAAAAATCGCTTCCATGCCCTCGTCGCCTCCACAAATCCTGAAGTCCGCGACTTGAAGCTTCCCAAGGGATTCAAGTGGGGAGTGAGCAGTAGTTCCTATCAGATTGAGGGCGCTGCCAAAGATGAGGGCAAGGGCCCTAGCATCTGGGACTTACTCGCGCATAGGGTGCCAAATCAGATCATGGATAATTCGACGGGAGATGTGGTTGCTAGCCATTACTATTTGTATAAGCAGGATTTCGCGAGGTTGAAGAATTTGGGCATGCCGGGTTCGTACTCCCTCTCTCCCGCACTTGGTTTGAACAACGCGCGAGTTGCAGTACCTAGATAGGAGGCAACAAAGATTCGCTGACCATGGTGCAGCATTCAGCCCCAGCTTCTCATGGCCACGCTTCTTTCCATTCGGCCACGGTCCAGTCAACGAAGCCGCAGTGAAGCACTATGACGACGTCATCTCTGAGCTGCATGCGAACGGAATCCGTCCGGAGGTGACACTCTTCCATTGTGCCACGCCGCTAGCATTGTTCGCCGAATACGGAGGCTGGACGGACCGCCGCATCGTGGATGACTACTTCGACTATGCCAAATTTGTCATCTCCAGATATGATGAGTACGTGGACGGATGGTTCACGATCAACGAACCCCAGTACTGCAACTGGCAGTACTCGTACTATCCCGCTGGCAAGTACTATCCAGCACCAAACGGCGTTACTGGAGGCGTCGAGGCGAGGTTCTTGTGCGGTCATTATACGCTTCTTGCACACGCGAAGGTTGCCAAATGGTACCATGAGGAGTTCAATGGGCGCCACCGCATCACGTTCAAGAACTCCGGTAACTACTACGAGGCCAATAGCACGAAGGCTGAGGACGAAGTGGCTGCCCAGCGAAACTTCGACTTCTCCATAGGATGGTTTGGCGGCCCTTGGACGGACGGCGACTACCCGCAGAGCTTGAAGGATACGCTAGGAGACATGCTTCCGGAGTTCACGCAAGATGAGAAGGACATGATCAAAGGGTCGTGCGACTTCTACGCTATTGATGCATACTCTTCCTTCATGGCCTTCGAAGTCGATGGCGGTCTTGAGGCCTGCGTCTCCAACCGCTCTGCGCCTGGATACCCGGATTGCGCGGGCTCCAGCTCTGTTTCTCCTATTGGCTTCCCACTCGGGCCAGCGGCAGATCCAACCATGAGCTGGCTGTACAGCGCGCCATCTGGCATCCGCAAATACCTCAAGAAGATCACAACTGAGCTCTTCCCCTCGATTCCGGACATCATCGTGAGCGAATTCGGCTTCTCCGAGCCGTTCGAGGGCCAGTGGACGTCGCTGGCTCCCGCTCTCTGGGATCTGCGCCGCTCCGATTACTTCCAGAACTACCTGGATCAGATTCTGCTGAGTATCCATGAGGACAAGGTGAACGTGACGGGTGCTTGGGGATGGGCGATCTTCGACAACTTTGAGTGGGCCCAGGGCAGCCAGGTCAGGTTTGGTCTGCAGTATGTCAATTACACCAGCCTGGAGCGGACGCCCAAGGCCAGCATGTTCCAGTTCCTGAACTGGTTCAAGTAAGTGTCAACAGCGAGTTGCAAATGTGAAGTGGTGCTAACCGAGGCAGGGAACACGAGGGCGGAAGCAACTCGACGATGCGGATGTAGGGGACAGGAGGGAGGACAGGAGGACACCAAAAAGTCAAGGAAGGCTTGGTTGTACTGTACAGATAGCGTGCTGCCTCTAAAGAGGGATTAATGGCTCCAAACGTAATGCTTTACACACCACGACCATCTAGATGTCTTTGTCTGCATCTTGTGTCTGGTCATGTGTGTAGCGCTCCACCTGGGCACCTGGGCAGCAAAAGCAGGGTTGGAGTCGCTGTGGGGAATGACAGCGCGTCACCCTGGGCGTGTTTCAGTGACGTGTGCTGCGCGCCAACCGTTCGCTCCGTCGGCAACCGTGAATTGCTCTTTGTATGAGAAGGGAAGCGCGGGAGGAATGGCGATGACGGCGGGGAAGTTCGCTCGCTTACCTTGGTAGTGTGTGTCTTATCGCGAACCGGAACCGGCGATGGCCCCTCCCGTGACCCGTACGTCGCTGGAGCACCTCTCGACCTGGACCTTGGAAAGTGCCTGGAAGTACACGCGCGCCTTGTTTGAGTTAATTCATCGCTGGAGCCTTGCTGTTCGTCGTGTCTTTTGCCGCGTCGTTCGTGCCGCGCGATCGCCCAGAATCCGCGGCCATCTGTCAGCCAGGACTGCTAGGCACGGTCCGCGAGCTGTCTGTCCAGCGACGACACCACCACGCAGTCCTCACGACCCGTACGCCGCCAGGCTTCCGCTGCTCTGCATACCCGGATCCACGCTACCTTTGTCGGCTCCAGACAGTCCTGGGGTGCCACCGCGGGACACCTCCACGTCGTCTTCCTGCCGCTGCCGCTGCCGCTGTCGTCGGCGACATCCTACGTCAAGACGGCCAGCGCCCACGACCGCCGGCTGCCCTCAACACGCTCCACTGCTGGCCGCAACTCTCGCGACGCATCCCTCTCGCGCCACTGCAGCTTCCCGTCGCTGGGCCATGTCATGAGTCCTTGTACATCCCGACCCGGAGCCACCTAAGAAGGGCACCTGCACTCCACCGCCGTCCTGGAGGAAGGCACCCCAGTCTCTCCCTCCCCATCCACCGCCGCCCACCCAGCCATTCCGCACAATCCTCCAGCTTCTCTTGCCCCAGTTTCCTCTGCCCCAGCCCCAACCCCCGTCTCCGAGCCCGCAGCTGCCTCTCTCCTCCAGCCAGCCGCCGCCGCCGCCACCACCACCACCACCACCACCACCGCGCCCTTCGCAGCCTCAGCGACCACAGGAAAGCGCAGGCACAGCGTCTCTGAAAGCGAATCCCTTTCAGAGAGCCCCCCAGCACACCTCAACCGAGGCCGGTCCTCCCGCCACATCTCAAAGCGAAGGCGCAGACACGACGGGACGATGCGCCTTGACAGCGATGCTTCAAAACGGTCCCAGTCGCCTACGCAGAGCTTCACGAATGGCTCATCACGATCGCCGGGTCCCCGCGCGTCCCTGGCCAAGATCGCGAACGGAGATTCGCGCAAGGCCGAGAGCAACGGCTCGTATGCGAACGGAGGCTCGATAGCCAACGGGACGCCCGTGCCGTCGGCCTTCTTCGGCCACGACAGGGAAGAGGTCACTCGCATCCTCATACAGAGCTTGACGGACCTGGGATACACCGACGCTGCTGGAGCGTTGGTTAGGGAAAGCGGCTATACATTGGAAGGCCCGACTGTGGCGGCGTTCCGCAGCGCTGTGCTCAACGGCGACTGGGCCGAGGCCGAAGAGCTATTATTTGGCACAAATTCTTATGACAGCGGCGGGGGCATTGATCTGGGGGGAGCAGGAAGCTATGGAAAGAGCTGGCCCAAGCCAAGATCAGCCCCAGCTCCACAGCATTCTGGGGGCCTGCCGCTTGCCGAGGGCGCGAATCGGGACGAAATGCTCTTTTGGCTGAAGCAGCAGAAATATCTCGAGCTACTTGAGAGGAGAGATCTCGGCAAAGCTCTGATGGTGCTGCGGCAAGAGCTGACGCCCCTCCACCAGGACACGGGCAGACTGCACGCTCTGTCAAGGTGAGTCTTGTCTCATGCAAGCCCCCCATCGTATCGCACCTGATGCTGACCGTTCAAGTCTTATCATGTGCCAGTCCGCTGAAGACCTGAAGTTCCAAGCACAATGGGACGGCGCTGAGGGCGAATCACGGACGCTTTTGCTCTCGGAACTTTCCAGTAAGCTGCTGCCTGCCCCGCCTTCACTTCGGCGCTGATGCTTTGCAGAATCCATTTCACCTAGCGTTATGATCCCGGAACACCGATTAGCCGCCCTCTTAGATGAGGTCAAGGACAGCTGGATCGCGAACTGCCTTTACCACAATACTGCCGCTTCTCCTTCGCTCTACGTCGACCATAATTGCGACCGAGACGAATTCCCCATGAAGCCTGTTCTGGAACTCCGAGAGCACAAGGACGAGGTGTGGTACCTGAAGTACTCAAATGATGGCACCATGCTAGCATCGACAAGCAAGGACAAGACGGTCGTCATCTACGAGACGACGACGTACAAACCCCTCCATCATCTCGATGACCACGACTCTGGTGTGACGCATCTCGCTTGGAGCCCCGACGACACCAAGATTATCACATGCTGTGCGCAACAGGAAAATTCCGCCCGGATATGGGATGTCAAGGTGAGTCACAAGTTCCAATGGTAAGGGTTATTAACTAAGTTTTATAGACTGGTGTATGCATCAGGTGTATTAGTGATTTCACCTATCCATGCACGACAGCCGCTTGGGCACCGTCCGGCAAGCACGTCATCATCGGCTCGCAAGACACAAGATTTGGCTGCTGTGTATGGGACCTTGACGGCCGAGAGGTGCACACCTTCCGAGAGGAAAATCTTCGGGTTAACGACCTCGCGGTATCCCCAGACGGCCAGCGCCTCGTCGTACTTCTAGAAAGCCGTATCCTTGTGTACGACTTCACCTCGTATGAGAAGCTTTGCGAATGGCAGCTCGACGATGTCAAGCTCACGAGCGTGACCATCAGCCAAGATTCGCGGCATATGCTCATCAGCATGAACAAGGACAAGATCAAGCTTATGGAGATCGATACTGGAGAGATTATTCAGAGGTTCGAGGGGCAGGTCCAGAAGCAGTACATCATCCGCTCGTCGTTTGGTGGAGCCGATGAGAATTTCGTTGTTAGCGGCAGTGAAGGTAAGTCACTCTCCGCACCGAATCTTTTGTGAAGCTAATTGCTTGACAGATTCCCGGATATATATCTGGAGGAGTAACGGTCTCCTGGTCGAAGCCCTGGATGCTCACCCCGGCTGCGTCAACTCCGTTTCATGGCATCCGAAGGACCCGCGTGTCTTCGCGTCCGCAGGCGACGACGCCAAAGTCAGGATCTGGAAGCCGGCGTGTGCTGCCCCGATGATAGCAGGCAGCTCGAATGGGTACTCACGGTAACAGAACCTCCGCTTGCATATCTTTCGGCGTTGGGCGGGCCATTGTTGGGGCATGACTTTCCATGGTACCAGTATGCATTTCACGGCGGCAGCGGCAAACGACCTCATCTATTCCCCCACTTCTTGCACTTCATACGACATGGCTTCGGAGTTTCGGCACTTCAGCAGATGCTTGTGGTTCGGTCGGTTTGCATTCGGGGGCATTGCGGGCTGTATGGGATGCAGTAGGTATGATCTGCCAGCATTTTGTTAGACATCTGTCATTTCTCTCGTTTTCATGCTTATTACCCCACTGGCGGGGCGAAGAGGGGGACCCCTAGGTTTGGGAACGGGTTGTACGTTGTCCGTGTTGGAGAGCCGGAATGTGCTGCAGGGACGGCCATTCGGTGCAATGAATGAGGTTGAATAAGGGCTGTGGCTGCGGAGATGGGCTCTGGATGACCTCGTGAGCCTACCGATCGAGCGGGATCGGGCTGGTTATTGGAGAGCAAGAAGAGTAGAACCGTGTACGTACGTAGGTACTAACATAGTGGTATGGAATTATTCCCCCTCTGACTAATCCTCACATGGGAATGTGGTGGCTTGCGTGGTGTATTATGGCCCTGACCGTTGTAAGCATATGAGGTGTGTCCGCAATCACCTTTGTGAGTAAGACAGGAGCTAAGATAGATTTCTGGATGGACGCATGTCATTAGTGAGCCAACGTAGACTAGAGAAACCAACCGCCCTGCTGATGCTTTGATCGCCGCGGCAATCCCTCTCGAGGATTTCCAATGGTATTATATAAGTACCAGCCGACCCAAGACTCATCGCCGTATGCGAAATCGAGGCGGAACGAAGAGTTCAGAGATGACAAAGCAGCCGTCGAGCACTCAAAAAGGGCGGCTGGAACGCCGTGCCTATGCGAAAGCCCCTCGCAGAACCCTTCCGTTCCGGCAAGCACAGCCTACCTTCTCACGCCTGCGTGCAGACTCTTCGGGAAGCTGGACGGTCTCGCACACGTAGACGGTTCAGTAGGAGGTTGTGGGGGTTGGGGAGCTGGGGGAACGGGAGGAGCGGGAGGAGCTGGAGGTGGAGCTTGAGGTGTAGCTTGAGATTAAAGACATGGTGACAGTTGGTAGTCTTGCTGTTGCCGTTATTGTTAGGTATCTTCCTGGGTAGCGCAGTTGTGACTCCTATGTTGGAAATGGGTGTTGATGGAGTTAGCAGTGGCGAGTAGAATATGCGGCGTCATATATAGTTGGGACTCCGAGTGATTTTTGGAAATGGATCTTTGAAAATTCGAGGTAAGTTATGATAGAACTACAGACTGTTCCTTCCCTACCGCCTCTCTTACCCGCAACAGAGAAACCGCATAACGCTTAATCGCCACGTCCCATTATTCCATCACCTTCGCAGTCTGGTTCTACGTGGTATCCTCTCCTACACAACTTCAAGAAGCCGAGCCAAGTCATTCTCCCATGCTCTTCCGATCTACCTCCCCCAGCGCAATCTACATGGTCCCATAACCCTGAGCCGCAGGAGCCGCGGGCACCGGCTGCACATGCACATGTTTCCCTCCGCGCTGAACCCTCTCGCTGTACACACCAGGTGCTGGCCGCGCGTTATAGATGCCCGCCCGGGCTTCGTCGCGCCGCTTGTAGTAGACATATTCGACGTAGAAGGCGTGGATGTGGCCGGGGAAGTAGCTGTGTGTTGTTAGTATATTCCTGTAGAAGCGAGTCACGGAGCGGAGTTATGTTATGAGGGGGGTTAAGGATGAAAGGGGGAGACGACGTACCCTAATAGCGTGAAGAGGATGTTAATGAGGAGGTCGGCGCCGCAGCCTGCGACGAAGAAGACGCCGAGGGGTGGGACTGTGCATATGACTTAGTGTGTGGTTTTGACAATTTGGGAGGGAGCTGTCCTACTGAAGATCGTGACGATGATCAACAGAATCATCTTTAAGAGGCCCATCTTGACTGATATTCGAAGTGTGTAGTTCGTAGGTTTGCGCGGTTGTTTGTAGTCGACGATCGCTGTGGAATGCAGTACTCCTTCGATGTCTGGGCAGATCTTCAAGGCCACAATTTTGGGGTCTCCGGCCTCGTTTATATTGCGGTCGTTTGAATGGCAAAAGCCAAGTTCCAAGCCTTGTGATTATTGTTGATGAATATTCCTAGACCATGCCACTGCGTGCGTCATAGCCCTACGCAATCCGGCATCTGCGATTGGCGAGCCGGGTGCGGCGGATGTGGCGTGTGTGGCGGTGCGGTGGCGCTGGCAGGGATATGCCGTGGTGCTTGCTTTGATGCTCAACTTGAGAAGGGTTCCAAAACGGCGGAGCCCGATGAGTTGGCACGCTGTCGATCGATAAGCCGAGACTGCCTGCACTTCAGCCTCGTCTCGCCTACCTGTTGTCCGACTTCGAACTCCAAGCCCAGCACTCATTACATCAAGGAACCCTTCGACGATGTTGCGAACAGAAGGTGTTGAATTCTGCTGCTAGCTCCCGGACGGGAAAGGATGTTCGCTGTTGATTGATCTTCGCCGAGGTATGGAGTTGATGGGTGCATTAAGAGCTTGGAGGAACCGTGGCTTGGAACAACGTTGTGGTGGGAAAAGCAATACGGGGCAAGGAAGATCACCCGAACGGAAGCGTAGAAGCAGAGAACAGTGGCCGGAAAGAGGAAGATAGCGACGAGTGCTTTGGGGACGATGAATAGCCGCTTGGCCAGAGTGGTCCAACGAGGTTGTTGGTGGTTACAGGTCCTTTGCAAGGCCCGGGAGATTGCTAGGCGCTGTCCATGAATGAGAAAAGAAGATCCGGCGAGTGCCACATGCGGGATTTTCACAATGGAATAACCATCAAGGTATATTTCTAGATCTGCATGATGGCGACGTTGGATTTAGACACTGTAACGTACAAAGAGTATGCTACCCCATCACTGTCACTGCAAATGATCCTTCCGCTCTCTATCCGCTATTCCTTCACACCTCAACCCACCCTCACCCCCAAAGACTACGGCTACCATAGACCTCACGCCAGCTACCAATCATCCCAAGCTCACCTTCTCCGACGCCGGCCGCGACGTCCTGCATCATCCTCGAAGCTGCCCTTGCGTCCACCCGTCCAAAACTACCAGGCTGGTGGTGTGAGGTGGAAGTGAGCGTCCATACGAGGTAGATTTGGCCAACGGAAGGAGAGGTCGGAGAATTGCTGGTGTCTTAACACCTTCCCATGCTCTAATTACAGGAGGATACCGTCATCTTCTAATCCCACATTTGACTGCTGACCTCCCTCCACGGACCCACTTCCACACTTCTAAACCCTTCACTCCGAAAAATTGGATATGCTTCTTCCTCCTCCATGATACAAGAATAGCCCCGAAACATCGAAACGACCAGCTCCAATTCTTCGGTAACTGCAAACATCTTTTCCACCGCCTCCGATTCCGCGTCCAGTGGTTCTAACCTAGCAACCATTGCTCCCGTGGCGCGGGTCTGATTGCCGTCCACCTCTGGCGGCGACAGGCCGGGTTCGAATTGGATGTCGAAGTCAGGAGTGGGCCAGTCGCCGCGACAAACTCTCTCCTCCAGATAATCGTAAAGCACACCCATCCTCAATCCGCCTTCAGCTTTCAACCGAATTTTCTCACCATCAAGCTTCATCCACGCTTGTTTTTCCGCACCTGTCCCACTACCCTCAATGCCCTCTTCCGCGCCAAACCTCACAACACATTCACTAACATTGCAACCCATCATCCCACTCTCCGTCTTCCTCCACCTTACCTTAGCCACCGGTGGCTTACTAATAAACATCCCCCTCCAACTTGCCTCTTTTCTCCGCCACGCCTCAGGCCTCACCACCCAACCCGAGTACTTGAATGCCTTAGCGGGACCAGCTGAGCCGGCGGCACCTGCGGTTCTCATGCTAGGCCCCGGACTCGGCGGGTCAGAGAGGTGCCCGAAGCTGAGGTCCCAGTCGGCGGTTTCAGAGAGGTTCCCGAAGCTGAGGTCCCAGTCGGCGGTTTCAGAGGGCCTGAGGGAGAGCGAGGGGGTGAAGAGGAAGGGGAAGGCGATGGTGAGGAGGGGGTTGAGCTGGGTTAAGGTGGTCGAAGCTAGGGATGGGGGACGGAAGTAGAGAAGAGTTTGGAGGGTGGGCGAGTTGGAGATTAGGGTTTGCCAGGACTTGGAGATGCGCTGAGCGAGGAGGACGTCTCCTGGTGGGAGGTGCGAGAGGATGAGCTCGAGGAGTTCGGGGGTGGCGACGGCGCGGGATGTTGCTGAGAAATTGGCCATGATAGGAGAATGAAGTCGTTCTCTTTGTAATGAATAGGCGACTGAAGGTCCTTGTATGAATGTTGCGCTGCCGAGTTAACAGTATAAGTGGTGTGGTGTCTGCCAGCTGCAGCCTGGAGGTTCCGAGGTTCGCTTCAGGCGTGAGTCAGCAGGAACGTCTGCACTGCAAATCCAGAGGCAAAGTGTGAGCTACGCAACATGATCAATTTTCTCCTCTCAAGGAGTTATAGTGTACCTCTGTATCTGCGTGTGTATCGTGAGTCATAAGCCGTGAATCATGGATCGTAAATCATACGCGCATCTCGTGCTGGAATGTGTGCGCCAAAACCTTCCCAGAGTAATCACCGGTATTCAAACAACCACCTTTGGTTCCTTTTCTTTTCTTAAGCCCCATGATTTTCCGGGTATCTCGTCAGATTCGTAATTCGTGAGCAGTAAAGCAGAGGCCATTCGGGAAAAATAATGGGGACTCAAGCGACGCTCACAGGGGCCTTCCCCTTGGTGAGATTCGAGTGCTCGGACACGGCGAGCATCTCTCTTAGCCGTGCTTCCGCTTTTGTGAGTTCCTGTTGGGATTGCGAGTCAAGATGGGCAGGTCGCGGCCACGGCAGCCAGGACGTTAAGGAGGAAAGAGCATTGGGGCGTGGGCGCGGTGCAGGGAGACTGGCTACGGAGGTCTGACGCCTGTGTGCAGATGGGTGTCTGGGAATCGCGGTCTTGGGTCGTGGGACTATGTCGCCCTCTGGGGCTTCCGGAATGTCTGTTATGGTCGAAGAGGTGTCAAGAGACAGCTGTTTTGAGGCTTGAGGCGAGGCGAGGAGGGTAATGGCGGGGTGGTCTGGAGAGGAGGCGTTGACAGCCCAGGCAGGGCCTTGCAGTTTTGGCTCTTTCGGCTGCGTGGAGGGCCCTGCTTCCGCATTGTCGTCGGCGGCTTTCCGCTTCCCGCTCCCTCCACTGATGACACTCTTCAAGCTACCGTATGCGGATTGACTCCTCTTCTTGCTAGGACCTTCTCCCGCCAGCCTCTCGCTTGAGCTGCTGGCTTCGGGCACAGCCGTTAGCGTGTTCTCCGCCGCAGACCACCCTTGACCAGCTCGTGATATCCGGCCTCTGCCGACCAAGGCTCCCATGCCCGAGGCCCAGCCGGGCCCCGTGCTGGTGATCTCGCCTTGCGGGGGAAGATGAGCGTCGTACTCGTCGGCGAGGCTCATCCTGCTCCTCGCGCATATCTCCGCAATGGCGTCAATGGCGTCTCGGATCTCGGGGTCGACGGCGCGGAGGATGGCGGAGAAGGAGAAGTCGTCGACAGAAGGAAGCTGCTCGCTCCTGGCTGCCAGGCCGGCCGACAAGGCGGAGGGGTGCTGGGGTGAATGGCCACCCATGGTGGGATAGCGGGGCGAGCGGAGACCGGACGGCGAGCGCGAAGTGTGGCGCGAGCCCGAGTAGGTGCGCACTACGACGGGCTGGCTAGACAGGGTCGTCCGGCTGGACGTCGACTTTGCGGACTTGCTTTTGGCAGGGGACGAGGCGTGGGACTGGAAGGCGGGCGCATTGAGGGCGCGGAGGGCGGCGGACTGGGTCGGCGGGAGCGTGTTCGTCAGCGTGGTCGTGGTACTGGGCACCGAGCCTGTGCTTTCGTGCGCGTCAGGCGAGGGCGAGGGCGAGGGCGAAGGTGAGGGTGCGTGGGTGACGATGGCCGGGACAGCAGCGCCGGGCGCGGCGATGGCGGGCGTGTTGTTGCCTCCCCACAGCGTCGAGAGCACGCCGAGCGATACCGACTGTCGCGTCGTCGTCGCCGGCGTCAATGTCGGCGGCACGGTGGCAGCGGGCGTGGAGTCCGCAATGGCAGCAGAGCCATGGTCGGTGGAGCGGGGGGCAGAGGCAGAGGCAGAGGCAGCGCTGGCGGGCTCTGGTGTTTCAGACGGGCTGCTAGGCGAGCGTGAATTTGCGGCAGAGTCGGGCATTGTGGGAATTGCTTTATTGGAGCTGCAGGTCAATGCATGGTCGCTAGCTACCCTCGAGTCGTCCTGGGGACGTCAACTGGTGGCATGTTGTGATCGAGCGGATGTGAGATGTGCTGGCCGTGGCCTTAGCGGCGCGGCTGTCCTACCACAGGCCTGCCAGCCGGCATGGCCCTCGGAGAATTGTTGCGCAGACGGCGGCCAGAAGCCTTTGACACCTTGGGCTCGAGTCGCACGCCGATCTCGCTTCCAATGCGGAGCTATATGCGTGGCCAGCTAATCGTCTCCGGCGGCACTGCGCCTGTGCGCAAGAGCATCAAAAGAGGAGCTGTGCCACGGAACAGTCGCTCCGCTCGAGATGGTGTGCAATAGTCTCATATTCAGATGCGAAATATGCATGCGTGTGCAAGCCTGCTCTCTATACACCCGTCAAAAAAGCAACTCGTTGTCTGAGCAGATGCTCAAGACGGGTGATCTCGACCCTTGCAACACGTCCAGCTTGCTGCTCAACCATGCCACCAGGCCACCGGGTAGCTCGTCCAGTATCTGCATCTCCGCTTTGATATTGAGCATAAGCATCCGCTGCAGCTCCTCCCTCCACACTGGCTCCGGTCCATCTTCGGCGCACATGTCCCACTCCAGCATTCGATGTGCTTTCTTTCGATCCCTGGCCGTTAATCTCATGAGGCCTTGCGGATCGCCAGCTGGACCCGTTTCTGTGTCACTCTCGGTTACCGGGCTTTGACTGATGTGGTGACTCTGGACACCGAGCCACTGAAGATCGGGCAAGTGCAAGCCGGGTGTATCCTTGGATGTAACATCCTCGTGGGCGAGCCTGTATGATCCGTGTTTGTACGTCGACATGATCGCGATGCCGTCTGGATCGAAATCGACAAAGGCATACATTGGGATGTGGGGTATCTCGTCGGCAAGCTGGCGGAGGAGTTTTCTCGAAGCTAGATCGGGATAGCCTTTGGCCTGACGAGGTGTAAGCGTGTGCGACCAGGGCACAAGAGGCTGGCTCCTACCGTGAGTACCAGACCATGGGAACCGAGCTCTCTCCAGCGGCTTGAACTGAGCAGGGAACGGAAAGTGGCCTTTGAAGAGGTCAGTGACGCAAGACGAGCTATGCGGCTACCTGCCTCTTTCTCCATCACGAGGATCCACCGGATCAACGACAGATCCAGCTCGTCACTGTCGTGAACTTTAGGTATTAGTATACCCTAGAACATACGTCAGAGAGAAGGCGAACCAAGAAAAGAGAGCAAACCTCGTCCTCGCTCAGCCCGTGGGCTACAGTGCCGTTCTCTCGCCGTATGAGAAAGTTACCGGCAACGAGGCCCTTTGCTGCGGCCGTCTGGATGGTCAGCCAGAACCTAACCGACAGAATATGCATGAGCATACTACGTTCAGCTGCGACCTCGATACCCTAAGGGTACAGGCCAAGTCATCGACATAGCGGTCAACAACGGACTGCTTCATGAAGAGATCCGGATGACGATAGTACATGTCCCTATAGGCGAATCAGATCTTGTGAAAATGGCGGAGAAAGCAGTTTACCGCTTGGTCATGACCGCATTGTCAACAAGGCAACTATGAACAAGCTCCAGGATGCGTACGAGCACAGCCGGGAGTCCGTCAGCTGGTGTGGCCCGAGGCCGGCTGGGCACTTACTGAATCTCCACGCCTCTTGAGCATTGGACCCAGGGAAGCTGATCTGCTGGACTCTTGGTGATGGAATCGCCTCGTTGGCTTCGGAGGGGTTCGGGCGACGGCGAGTGAGGCCTGATCGCGACGTCAAGGTGATACAGACGGGATGAGCATCATCCAGAAGGCCGTCGACCACCGTTTCGAGCATTTCTTCGATGCGGGCTATTACCCAGTCCCTATAACCAGATTAGAAAGACGTCACTATTGAGAGCCGGATGCCTGCCTGTCCTGGATCGCTCGAGCAGGCCTTCCCGAACCCGCCAGAGCGCTAGCGGTAGCTGCACGCCCGAGGTTTTCAACCGTCGACTTGTCTGGTGTGTTGGCGGTCAGTGCAGGAGTTAGTGTCGGACTGCTCCCCAGATCCCACAGAATATCCTCGCCATCGGATTGGGCCTCCAGTATCTCGTCGTCGAATTCATCGTCCCTAGCGTCGGCGAAGGAACCGTGCGACAATGGAACGCCAAACAACACGTCCTCAAACTCCTCAAATTCCATATTGAGGGCTTGCCGCTGCGGCAGCTTGGCTCAAGGGCTGCTCCGATCCATGTAATTAGTCCGAGTGACCAAGTCGCAGGTAGATCAAGTGGGCTTTGGCAGGCGCTTCTCGAGCAAGGCATTGGCTCATCTGGGGCGTCGTCAGACGAAAGCGACAGTGCCATACATGAATATTCCCGAGGTCAGTGTGAAATATTTTGGCGTGAAAGAGAGGAGCCCGGCGGGAAGCCGCGACCGCATAACAGTCAGTGCCAAGGCCGGTGTTGTCGACGCGCCTGCTACGCGTCTCGCGTTCGTGTCTCCTGCTGAGCCGCCCCCCACACCTGTACCAACCACAGTGCTCAGCGCAGCCGCGGCCGATTCCACCTACGATTGATTTTTGCACCTGGGGACTGCATCAACTGCACTGAAGGCCGCCAGGCTTCTCGTTGTCGACGCAATGGAGACCGCGGCCCCTGTTGCACTCGCACCTCCCCAGAAACGCCCGCTCGACGACGATGCCGGACCCCCGGTCTCCACACCAACCAAAGCCCCGTCTTCGAACGCATCCACGCCGTTGACAGCGCTGTCCTCGATGCGCACCCCCTCGCCTCTCAACAACGCTACGCAAGAGACCACGGCCCCCGCGAGCAGCAACAATTCCGTTGCTGGCGATGCCCCCGATGCAACGCAGAGCGCCACAGCGTCCAGCAGCACACAACAGGCCAAGCGCAGGAAGTTAACGCCGCAGGAGAAGGAAGAGCAGCAGCTGGAAAAGGAGGCCAAGGCGAAAGCTCGAGCCGAGAAGAAGGCCCAGAAAGAGCTCGAGGACAGGGTCAAGGCGGAGCAGAAGGCCCAGAAGGATGAAGAGAAGCGAAGGAAGAACGAGGAGAAGGAGGAGAAGAAGCGGGCCAAAGAGCTGGAGCAGCTGCAGAAAGAGGAGGAGAAGCGCAAGAAGGAGCGGGTAAGTTCTGTTTCCTACGCTGAGGGCCTACGGCTTCCTATTGTCAGCGCCTTTGGAGGCCCGCTGCTTGTAGGACATTGCTAACTACGGTCTAGTCCCAAATGAAGTTGAATGCGTTCTTCACCAAGCCAAAACCCACCGCAGACTCCTCGCCTCGGAAAACTATCCCAGATTCCATCCAGAACCCCTCTACCGGCCAAATACCTTTGGCTCCGGTCCCTGCAACAGCAAATCCTAACTCGGCTCCTCCGTCTCCACGGAAACCTATCCATAAGAATTCCCAAACGGACTATGAGCGGTTTTTTCTTCCCTTTTCCCTTCCTCCCCACGCCGTCCTTGCGCCCCAGAACGCATTCATGGATGACCCGGAGAAACTCGCAGCGGCAAGTGACCGGATCGATAAGTTGATAGCCCAGGAGGATGTTGATATGGGATCAGTAACCCTGGAGTCCTTCAAGGCGTCTTTCTCTCGCCAACCGCGAGGGTACAAAGTAGTTTCCATCGTCGAGATTGTTGACCGACTCAATGGTTCCACTGACAACCCTATCGATCTCACAGACGATACCGGAATTAGCTTATCCCAGCCTCTGGATCTCCTCAACCGGATTCCCATGAAGTATCTGCACTTTCCGGAGGATGTGCGGCCACCATACTATGGGACCTATACCAAGCCACATACACCTGTTGAGGAACGCAAGTTAGCGCGAAACCCCGTCGCGCGCGGTCTCCCAGACCTCAACTATGACTACGATTCCGAGGCGGAATGGGAAGAGCCGGAGGAAGGCGAAGACCTCGATTCAGAGGGCGAGGAGGATTTGGAAGAGGAGGGCGATGATGACATGGCCGAGTTCCTCGATGACGAGGAAGATCCGCAGATGAAGCGGAGGCTCATTAGCGGAGATCTCGTACCCATCAGTACCGGCCTGTGCTGGGAGGATGCGCGTGGCGTCTCGCGTCTGAATGGTGGGTCAGGTGCTATCTCAACCGAGTTCAGGCAGTTCAGGATGGGTTTCCTCATTGGTAAGCGACCCTTTATAGCCCTCTTGAAGCCTTTAAGTCTCGTTTTCAAGAGCTGTGACTAACATATTCAAGAACCTCAGCCCCAGTCAATCGACCCCTTCTCTACGTCTTACTGGGCTCCCGAGCCCACATCCACTAACCTGCCTCTCCCTATCGCGAATAACCAGAGTGCAACGAATGGCCTGATGAATCCACCCCGGCTTCCACTTTCCCAGCGCCCTGCCAATGGCCTGCTCAACACATTAAATACCTCTCCAAACCCCCCTCCTGGAACCGCCTCCAAAGCTGTGAAACCTAAGAGGCAAATCCCGCCCGAGCAACTCGCTGCATTCAAGGCTGAAGTAGAAGGCCAGGATCTCACGAAGCTCGGCATGATCGAAGCGCTGAAGAAGAAGTTCCCAAAGGTGCCTAAGGATGCTATCACCAATACGCTTACCGCTGTCGCTAAGCGTGTTGGTCCCTCCGAGAAGGAGAAGCGGTGGGTGTTGTTGAACTAGATGTCTCAAATGTCTGTGGCAGTGTTTGATGCATGGCGGGATATCATTTCATTGTACAACATGTCTCTGCTGCACGCGGATGTTTCCGCAGTGACTGGGACGGCAGAGCTTGCCGAGGACGCAGGCGCACGAGCAGGGCATATTTTCATGGAGCTTTCGGAAAGGCATTACTACGGCGTTGCATTGTTGTTTTCTCCTGGGCATCCGGTGGTCTTCTAGAGGGTCCGGAAATAGGTGGTGTTCAACGGGTCGATGGATGTGCATGTAGCCGTAAGCGGTACGCCTCCAGCTGTATCAAATGCACGCAATATTTGTCATCTTCACCACAAACATGGACAGCCTGATCACCGTGGACGCGTGTGTACTACTTATAGAGGGCCTACGCGACAGTGTGGTGTGCATGTATGTCTTGAGTGCGGCGTCGTCAGGAGAGTCATTTATCATCCCCGTTGCCACTGATGATGCGGGGTATCTGTCTGAGGAGCGGCGCGTGGTCTGGAAGAGACCATATCTGTCAGCGCGTGCTGCCTTCCGAGGTTCGCCGTGCGCCCGGAGGGGAGGCCCAAAGGGTAATCAGACACGTGACCAGTGTTTTTCGCCAATCTTCGGTCAACCAGCTGGGGATTCATTCAGTAAGCAATAACCTAGCCGGGATGAAAGGAAAGCTTGAGGCAGTTTAGAGTGGCAAAAGGTTTGAGGTCGATGGTCAAGCAGCGGGCGAGGTCGAAGCGCGCGCTATCTTGACGGAGATCATGCTTCCCTCCAAAAGCCCCATGATTTCTCTATCAGCAACGGTAATAGCATCCGCTTTACTTCAAACTTTGACATGGAGGCAATCTCCGTATCTCCGCCAGCGTGGTGGGTACCGCTACGACTAGTCATTCGGCCCGCTTCGGGGCGCCTAGGCCAAATTGTATCACTCCCGAAGAAAATGAATTATCCTGAATGTAGATTGCTCCACCTCGTTGCAGCATGTTACTAATCCCAGAAATGACGCAGTCGGGAGGGATTCTTTCCGTGATATTCTGGAGACGGGAACGCTGCATGTCATATTCTCCCGGCAAGGGAGACATTTCCAATGTCCGTTGAGTGCGGGGAAGGGCGACGATGTGGATGGGAACAAGCCGGGTGGTCTTAATTCCGCGAGCGAAAAGCGAGCTTGTTGGACAGCTAAGATGCAGTAGACTACATACCTAGGAAATGCGGAAGTGAGAGGAAGAGATGAAAATAGCTGCCGCGTGCAGGCGGCCGGGGTTACGCCCAACTGCAGCTCCCGTCCAATCGACCGGTTTCGTAAGCGCCGGGCACCTATTCTTGGGCCAACGTCCACAACGCCATCCACATTCACCCAATTGCAGCCGACCACACTCCATCGCGCCCTATACCCGGCCGGGATCAGCTTTCTTCCACCATCATCCCTCGCTCGCAAGCGCCCGCGCCAACCCGGTTGTGGGGTATGGCACTCCCACGGCGGCGTCAGCAAGCGCTGTCTGGCCGTCTCCCCACCCTTGTGCGGCTCTAGCCAGCGCCCAGAGATGCACCCGTGGCCTAAGAACAGATCCTCTTGCTCGATCCGCCAGGCAAGAATAGCAGCAGCCGTCCTCTGACTGGCTGGTGCTCCACCGGCTCATCTTAGCCTATGGATTGCGAAGAACTACCAGGCCTACAAAGACACCGCGTTGCCTTCCCCACTGCGTCTGACGGTGTGAGACCTTTGGAGACGCTGCGCCTCTTACTTTGAACACGCTGTTCGCACCTGCAGTCTGTCTTCTCGACTCCGTGGTTTTAAGCATCACTGTTTCTCGCTTGCTGGCTTCAAGCGTGCCGTTGCTCGTCGACCATGGCGTCGCTGGTATTGTGTCTCTCCGCAACTGTGCTGTTTGCTCGGTCCACGGTCGCCTTCAACTGCTCAAGACCCCCCATCTACGTCGACATTCACAAGAGAGCCGTACATGACTCTGCCGTCTTCCAGTATGGATCCTTCATCGGCGTCGGAACGCCGGCGCAGAACCACAGCCTCTGGCCGTCGTTATCAAAAAATCACACCTCGTTCGCTTCACATGCGTATTGCGACAACAGCACACTGAAGGACTGCCAAACATCCACAGGAGGCTTCTTCAATGCTCAAGACTCCACTAGGTACGTCTACCTAGTCAATCACGAAATAGTCACAGACTCACTCTTCACGCAGCTTCTCAGACAACGGAAACAATTTTCAATCCCTAGATAAGGCTGGAAATGCTACACTGGATGGATCTTTCGGTCAAGATACCGTCCGGTTATACACGCACTACTTCGAGACCGATGGCGCCTCTCAGACCCTCCTCGAGAACTCTACCATTGCAGTGGCCGACCAAGGGACCATTGTTCCAGGCATCGTTGGTGTTGGGCTTTCGTCGACTGTCCTTCGCGATCTCGCTGCTCGGGACATGATCGCCGGCAAAACATATTCGCTTTACATTGGGCAAGGGTTCGATCGTGCGGGAGGTGCGGTTAATGGAAGCAACGTCTTTGGGGGATACGACTCTGGCCGCTTCACTGGAGACGTCCACAAGTACCCAATGAACACGGCCAACATCAACCCCATGAGCGTGCGCGTCAAGGACATCGTTATCTCCGAATCCGATAACCCAAACGCTAACGTGTCCCTGTTCGATCCCGCCAAGTTCCCAGCACTGAACACCCAGCCGGACGCCTTCGAGGCTCAACTCACCACCGACCAGTACGCATTATCCCTTCCGTATCAGATCACTCAGAATTTCATTTCGCACTTGGGCGCCGAACAGGACAACACCTGGAACGACAACTCGCTGAAGCTCAAGAACCCCTTCAACGGCACACTCTCTCTCGTTTTGGATGATGGATTCACCGTTACTCTCCCTCCGGAAGTCCTCATGAACGCATCGAACATCACCCCTATTCAGGACCGCGAAAAAGACTCCACCGCACCCTTCCTCCTCTCTGCTGCCTTCCTCGGCCAAGTCTATCTCATGGCAGATTTCGAATCCGAGAATTTCTTCCTTGCCGAAGCTATACAAAAGAACAACATGGTTATGCCCTTGACCTTCTGCCCGAAATCGACTCCTGAAGCATACCAACCACCGAACCAATCCGCGTGGCTGAAGCAAGGCTTGATCGGCGCGGTAGTTGGAGGAGTATTGGGTGGCATCGGCATTACCATCTGCGCCTACTGCTTCTGGATCGGCTTCAGGCGGAAGCTCGCTGAAAGGAAGATCGACAAGGAGCTAGAGAAGGGTAAGAAGGCCAAAATGGCTCAACTAGAGGTTGAAGAGGCGCCTGAATTTGATCCACCTCCAAAGAGCTCCAACCCGCTTCTCTTCAAGGGCTGGAGGAAGAGGTGATGTGATTGGTGAAAGGATTGGAGTCTTCGTTTCATTCTCTATTATATCATTTATACCCCGGGCCGGCCAATGTCGACCATTTCTGTAGATACTTCAACTCAGAACCTAATTTCTCGATACGAGCAATGGGCGTGCCTCAGTTTGTTGTGCTTCGACTGTTGATTATCTCGGCAGGACGTGCTTAGTCAGCTCATCGTTGGGTCCCGCTCTCTTCATCAAACTTCATCGACTTCCCATCCCAGCTTCCTTTATCCATCGATACTGCGATAGGCTCGGCGTAAGACTCCGGCTCAGGCCACCGTATCTCGCTGTGGTATCTTCGAGCTCAGGTCTTGTGCTTGTACGCCGCGGCGCTACGTTTGTGGCTTCTATTCGCTCTGCATGAAGCAGCCTTCGGCCGGGTACACGGTACTCTACCACCTATACCGGATTATAGCGCGCTCTGTGTCTCTACGAGCGCCTTGTCTAAGACCCTGAGGTCTCAAATGGCATGGCCGCTGGGAGAGTCTTACACTGCCTGGCCTAGAAAGGGCGACCCATCACCAAAATCGTCAACTTTCCCCTCGGTCCGTGGTACTGACTTACTCTACGTCATTCCGTACGCAGTCTATTCAAAAGTTTGAGCTCGCTCTAAAAAATGTCATGGGACGGGAAAAGGAATTGCGGCGTGCTCGAAAAGCATATCCGCGATGCTCAATCAGGGCGACCTGGCCGACAGGTCACGCCACGGAGCCCTCACCAAACCAGGCATCTCACGCACCGATAACACCCCAAAATACAAGAAAATGCAGCGCAGGCCAATCCAGAGCCTCTCCACCAAGCTCGTGGCGTTCGGTAGGGAGCCGAACGAGCACATTCCTTCTCCCTTGCTATGTGACCCTCTGGCCTTTTGTTTTTCTTTCCATATTTCGGCTTCATTCCACTGCTCTTGTTATGGCAACGCCAAAATACTTCAGAGACAGGTGGAAATGTATGTTTACTGGAAAATTCCTGCGTGTTTGTGTAGAAGCTACTGCCGCAAGTACGCTGCTGTCGTTCGTTTCTTTCCGGTCTTTTCGCGGGCAAGAAGAGCAGATGAAATAGAAGAGAAGGGTGTTTTCCATCAAAATAGTTGTATTGTCGGTGCGGGCGGAACAGACACGACCGTGACTACGAATCGAACCGATCCCGAGATTCCAAGCACCTTGTGCGCATTGCGAGGACGAGAAAACGGTACGAGCTCAATTGATCAGGAAGAGCCTGGAAAGAGAAGCAATGATGGACATAGAGATTCGCGGCGCGCCGGGTACGCAATTAAGCAGTACTGCGCTTGCAGCTACTTTGACGGGCGTCGGAGTCGTCATAATCGGGGTGATCGTTGTCCTGGTCGTCCTCCTTGTACGAGAAAAATGGGCGCACAGGCGACACCTTGCAGACCTAGAAGAGAGAGGCCTAGTCATTGCACAATCGCAAAGGGACGCGAAAAGAGACACGATAACCAGGCCACGCGCCGTGCTCAGGCGCAGTACGATACTCCCATTCAACGCCAAATCAGGATGGGGAGCATTGTCATCCGTTGAGACTATCGCCCCTCCGGAACCGCCCTCGTTTCCGCCGCATTATGCTCCTCCGAAGCCGGCAGGGTTCGTCAGTAAACCAAAGCGCCTTTCGTGGCCGTTCTCGGCTCGCAGAGGTTCTGGCAGTGCGATTCACATGCGAAAGATCCTAGTACCCACGCTATCTACGGTGCTCGAGAGTCCAAAGCCTTCGCCGCTGGTTCCTGTGCTGGGTGACTCACTCCGGGGTGAGCCTTCGTCTCCCAAGAAGAATCAAAGCCGACCATCTTCGGATCAATCATTGCTCCGACATCACCCAGCGTTCCGCAGCACCGAGCAGGAGAGCAAGGCTCAACAGGATACCCCACGGCCAGAGCGACTTCGTCGAAGCTTGACCGCAAAGCCCACCACTAAGCCGGACACACCCATGCGACCAAACCGATCCAAATCCGTGACCGACATCTCAGTGAGCACGAAAGCGAGTGCTCTGTCTCCACTACCACGCCCAAAGCTCCGCGCGCGATCCGCAAGTATGTGTAGTCAGTCGTCAGGAACCGCGCCAGACGGCGACTTACCTCCTCTTCCATTGGACGTTGCACGCCTCAAGAGCGAGGCTCGTAGGAAAAGTTTGCTGAGTCGCAGTCCCTCTCGTGTTTCCGTTTCTAGTTTTGAGTCGGCCGGGAGTTCCATTCTTGCAACTCAATCGAGTCCCATCTTACCACGACCGTCCAACGCTCGCGTGCAGAAGGTGACGAAGCGAGACTGGAGGAACTCTTTGATCATCGGGCCGAGACCGTTCCGGGATACTCTTGCCCTACATAGGAAGAATCAGCGATCACAAAGCTCCATCAAGAGCAGCGTAGCGCGCTTCAGCTCGGTCGACACATCCACGCAAGCAGGATCACAAACCCAGAGCCGGAGGTCCACCTTGACTAAGTCCTCGAGCATGCAGTCAACCAACAAGGCCAAAACGGCGGGATCGGTGTCACTCAGCAAGACACCGTCGCCAGTCTACAGTCCACGCACAGTCAGAAATTTGGCGACGCCAAAGTGCAAATCGGGTTGTTCCTTTGTCACGCCCTATGGATCCCCCGAGGAGCGCCGGAAGCGATCATCACTTGTGCAAAGCGCATCCGGAAATAATAGCGCTTTGAAACGACAGCTCTCAGAGACGTCCACGCGAGCATCGTCAACCAGGAGCAGTAATGGCAACCCGTTCCAGTGGGATCCAGCTCCCATGTCAGCAGGGAAGCCATCGGCGTTGAAAGGTAGCCCAAGTGCTCGTAAAGGGCACCGCAGACAGAACTGTGTTCGGATCTCGCTTATCCCTACGATGCTAGGCCCACCGAGCAGATCCCCCAGCCCATGTATGAACGATATCCAAGAGGAGCCGTCGCATGCGACATTTGAGAAGACAGACGTCGGTCTAGGCTTCTCGAGCACAAGGGCTCTTCCGCGGCCACCGAGCATTTCCACATTTGCCCCAGAGCTGAAGCTCATCTCAACCTCTATCCGAGCATCGCTGACTCCAAGCTCGCCTACACTGTCCATTGCGAACTACGACCATCGCCCCACAGGGTCGCCTGTGATGAGCCGACCCGGCCATGTTCTCTCCGAGATCTCGGAGCAGGAGAGAAAGCGTCAGAGTACGGGGTCGATTTTCAGCATTCCTACTTTCCCCAGTCCCGTTCACGGATTCGGATCCGGAGAAACCATTGCATCTGCCCCGCCGACGTTTACTCTGTCCCAAACCTGGAGTGGGCATGCGAATACTAACACAACCTCAGACACAGCCGCCGGGGCATCATCGCCATTTGACATGCTATTGGACATCGATTCGTCTCCAGGGAAGCCGCTGCTGACTAACGAGTATGACCCGGAGCGTCCTTACCTCATCTATCAAACACCAACAAGCAGCCCGACTAGGACCTTCTCTTCCCCATTCTCGACTATCCCCGAAGAGCCTTCAGCTCAGTCGAGTAACTATGAGCGACTGCGATCGGAGGACTCTCCACCTTGTTCTCCAAAAACGGTGCTTCCACCCACATTCGGGCTTCAACAGGATCGGTCGGCTTACAGTCTGCCTATCAAGGAGACCGCCATTCCGGAAGAGCCTTTGGGTACGATTGATCCAGCTATCCTGAGCAAAGATGCATTCAGCACGTTGAACACCGGTCTTAGTCATGCAAGTGTACGCATAATGAAAACACCCAACAGTAGCCGGGACAGCACCCCCATTCCCACGAGCCCGGGCTCCGCGAGGTTCATGTTCGAGCCCCTCCTTGAGGCAACCTTTCCATCCAGCCCACCGTTGCTGAAGGATTCCAGAGGTTCGCCCTCAGCGAAACGAGCTAGCCAGTCCGGCCTTGAACCGCCCACAATCTCCGTCCAATCGTCACCGAGCTCCATGTACTCCTCTCCCTTCCCCGCACCCTCACCTTCGCAACCCCCTAGCCCGCCGTGCTCCCCACGCCCCCAGCACACCCAGCTCCCCCCACCATCCCTCAACTTCATCGCCATGCCCACGCTCAGCCCCTCAATTTGCGGTCCACGTGGTTCACCACCCCGGCCTCTCCGCTCTTCCATCCAAAAGCTTCGCCGTATGAACTCAGATGCGGAGAAAGGCGGACGAGAAGAGCGTCGATACCTCCGTCTGGGCCGCGAAGAGAGTATTGCGCTCCCAGGAGAGGAAAGCTGGCTTGATGGATTGAATGGTGAGGGGGATGAAGAGGATGATGACACGTGGGATGAGGAGAAGGGGAAGAGACTTGTGGAGGATATTTTGAATGATTGGGAAGAGGAAGCTACGATGCTTGACTCGGAGGATGGGAAGGACGCTGCGCCCACGCCGACGCTATCCACGCAACCAGAGGGAGAGACCAAGACGCGAGAAATTGAGGAGTCAAAGGGCCTGCTGGTCACATCAAGCTCGAAACCCAGTCCCCCAGCTGTGGGCAGAAGCTCCAGTATCTGGGAAGACGGCGAGAAGTTCTGGCACTCCACACCCCCTCACCCACCGAACTCGCCCAACAAACCCAAGCAACGCTTCCAACCACTCTCTTCCTCCCCTCTAGCCACGCCCCGCACCTCACGAAAACGCGACTTCGAAGTCGCTAAGGACGAATCACCCACGACCACCAGCCAGCAAGAAGACGCCAACCCCACAAACACCGACGGGAAGAAAGGTAATACAGGACACAGTGCAAGGAGGAGAAGTTTAGCAGGTAATAGATACAGGAAGCGCAGCGCCCTAGGTATCAGCACGCCAAATGTGCGGATCCAAATCCAGCCGCCGAGTGGTGGGAGTCTGAACGGCACGCCGGGGAGTCTGTACGATGCAGATGGGTTTCTTAGAGTGTGAAATTTCCTTGGCTCCGTAGTCGTAATCATTAATCTATCTTCTCGTAGCCTGATGTGGCTCAGCGCCTTTCCAAATGCGGGTGGGGTCGTGATCAATGGTTGAAGGGGTCCGAGATCTATTATGCAGTGTTAGTATACCTAACAGCGAGTGTGGAAGGAAGCCGCATACCCTCCTCGTCATGCAGCATCCTGGAGTGCCTCACCATCTAATACGGAAGTCCCTCGTGGTCCCTCTGCTGCTGCATAGCGAGCTCCATCTGCTGCTTCTGCTCCAGCAACACCTTATTCCTCTCCTGCAACTCGCCGTTCCTCTGCTGCAACTGGGCATTCTGTGATTCTAGAGTCGCAATCCTAGCCTGCAGTCCAGCGGAGGAATCCACCCAGTTCTGGTAGTTGGTGGTCGCCTGCTGCTTGTGGTGCTCGGCGTCTTGACGCGCCTGGTCGCGCTCCTCGGTCAGCTCCATCATCCTGGAGTGGAGGGTCTGGATCCTTGCGGACTCGGTTTGCGGCGGCGTGGAGGGCTTCGGCGGATTTTGTGGAGATAGATTGGTGCCCGGAACAGGCTTGCTGAGAGTCTTCAGCTGATTTTGAGCTGGAGTGCTCGTGGTCGCGGTGGAGGGTGCATCGCAGGCGATCTCGCCATCGCTCCAGTCAACCTCGTCCTCGGGCGGCGACTGTTCGCGGTGGCCTGGGGTGCCTCGGGTACCTATGTGATTGCTAAAAGACATGGTGATTAGAGCGTTGGACGGCTTTAGGATACGAGATGGTGCGAGATGTGAAAGGGGATAGGGAGGAAAAAGTTCTCAGGATTAGCGGGACACACATATATACAATTCGTCTGTGGGCGTTGCAGTCGAGTGAAAAGAAAGCTCTGTCGGTCGTTGCCGGGGGAGGGAACGAGCGAGCAGGTCGCCGTGGGCTTGAGTGAAAAGGAAATGGACAAAATGGCGCCGACAACTGAATTTTATACACATAGTATGATACATTTGACACAGGCTATCTGCTTCTACAAGGAGATAGGGAGGGGTATTCATGAACTGTTGGTAGAGAAGGTGAAGCCGAGCGGTGCGAGGATCTTGTCCTGTGTCACCTTATTGGCTACTTCGCCGCCGCGCTCAAGGGCAATGGCGCCGATTATGGCGTATAATGAGGTTGATAGGACAGATTCAATGCCCGAGCCTTGCAGGTTGTCGGTCTACGGCGTGTTAGCGGTATAAAATTGCGAGATAGACACTTCGGGTGGTGAAGTGGGCGCGAGGGGAAGGATGCGACGTACCCTCTTTGGTTTCCACCGCGTCACCTTGTCCAGACCGTATCGCTCCGCCAGTCCAACTAACCGTGTCTTGTCCAGCACGCGGTCTTTCGATTCGTGTGTAAGGCCTGGGAGGCCGCCCAGAGCAGGGTGCATGAAGGGGGCGCGGCCGTACTGATCAGGCAGCGGGCGGCCATTGGCGTCCCTTGGCCACGTCTCCGCCTGCGGCGAGTTCAGTAGAGCTTCCGATGTCTGCAGCGAGACTATTCTCCGTCCTGGACACCACTGTCAGCGCTGTGGCTGTATCCAAGCATGGATGGCCTGTCTCGCACATACCCAGAAACGCCAACCGGTCATTGAACCCTCTCCTTCCGTGATCGAAACTCTTGTGCGTCACCGCAAGCCACTTGACCTCATCGCTCAGCAGCTTGTCCCCGCGCGGCCCCAGCATGCGTATGTATGCGTCGTCGAGTCTCCGCGGGTCGTCGTTGACTTTGAAGGCGGGTCCCTTGGGCAGCGGCCGCGTCCGGAAGGGTGCTACCATGCGCGGCGGGGTCTGTTGCCAGCGTGGGCGGTCGGCTGCGTCGGTGTCATATTCGGGGCCTCGGGACGGGGTCGTGGTTGAGAATGCGCGTGCGGAGGCCCGCGCGAGCGACGGAGCTGAGGCCTGCGTGGGGCGGAGGGACGATGTTGCGGTCGATACTAGCGCCCGGAGCGGCCGCTTTGATGCCATTGGCGTCTGCGAGGTATGATGTGGGATCGAAAGGAGTGCGGGCTGGCGGCGGGCGGAGGCGGCGTGCGCGATGCGATGTGAACGAAGTTCAGACGGAACTTTTTCATGCACGAAGTTCTAACCTTGCCCGAACAGCTCCAACAGAGATATACGCTAACCTCGTTCGGCTAGCCCCGTTCACGCGTCTCGACCTCACTCCCTCTCCGCAGCACGCGTCCGCACTCGCTCTTTTGGCCTGCACGCGGCCGCAATGGCACATATTGCTACCTCGCAGCCGCTTTACCGTCTGCTCGCAGAGCAGCTGCCCAAGGATGTCGCCTTCACCTTCTATCACTACTCCACGCCGCCCTCCAAGTCGCCGGCCTTGTTCTCCGCCCCGCCGCACAAGAGGTCCGAGCAGACGTTTTGCGAATCGCACACGCTCGCCGCGTCGATAACACCGAAAGACGCGGCAGGCTCTCTGCCGCCAGAGGAGCTCCTTATTCTAGCCATTGAAGTCCTGGTGTACACCACGAAGCACCTCACCACCATCTTCGTCTCCAAAGCCGACTCCACTGGCTACATCTCACTGCTGCACCTCCCGAGGCCACAAGCCGGGTCGCCCCTGAAAGCAATATGTGGGACGTTCGTGTCATGGCTAGCAAGAGAACGGCAGAGAGAGGGCAAGACATTGGTCGTGTCGCTGTTTGCGAGAGCGCAGGATCAGTACCTATTCCCCGCGAGCATCGAGAACAAGGACAAGCATGTCCTAGACGACAGGGGGCTAGTCAAATGGTGGTGCAGGGTACTGGATCCGATTGTGCGAGAATACAAGGCTGAGAAAGAGCAAGAACCTCTCACCGAACGGCTGGCGAAGCGCGAGCAAGCCGCAGTGACAGGCGATGCTTCCTCCAAATCCGAGTGCACTGCGAAAGGCTATCTCGTCATCCCCGGCTTCGAGCCCTACGATACACTGCGCTACATCCCTCCACCGCCCTCGCCGACCGCGCCCCGCCGCTGGGCTACCACACACCCGCTTCTACAACTCGCCCCTCACCCAGGTGCCCCGCCACGATGCCTCGTCCCACACTTCCCAGACGATCCTAAGGCGCGCTTCTTAGACGAGCTAGACGAAGAGCTGCCAGATCGAGGCACGGATGCCATGCTCAAGGAAGGCGGAACGCCCTCGCGAAGCAATGGGCAGTGGAAGAGCGTCAAGACGCTCGATCAGTTTTGGGACTTCATGGCTTTTCGGCAAGAGTGCTCCTCCGGCAGGATAGTCGGCTTTATTTGGATCGTCATTACGCCGCCGAAGCCTTCCATTCCTGACGAAGACGAAGAACCGTCGCAGGCCTTCTCATCTGTCTCCCAGAATGATTCCCAGAGTACTACCATCTCGTCATTACCTGGAACGCCGAAAAAGAAGATGAGAACCGCACCGAAGCGGAGACGGAGAAAGGTCAATACCGAGTATGGTCCGATCCCGCTCATCCTCCCGAGGATCAAATCGTCATCGTCCACCCTCTCCACCACGTCAAGTGGATCCTCATCGTCCAAGCTACCTCCGGAATCAAGCGCATACTTTACGTGGCCGCCCAGCTCTCGGGGTACCGTTGTCTTCCCCGCTAAAGATTATAACCGAGCGCATGAGGTCCTTCTACAGCAAAACTTTGCGACCCGCACCGCCGCGGCTAGAAGTACTAAGAGATGGAAAGAGGAAGTCGCTGTTCTGGGAGGTGTCGAGGGCTGGAGCAGGACCGTCATCGGCAAGAAAGAGGTAGCAGGCCCAGCTCCTGGTGCCACAATCGGCGCGACGCCGGTAAGCATAATCGGCGTGAGGAAGAAGAGGAAGCCCGATGACGCTGCAGCAACGGAGCCGGCTGAGGTGAAGCCTACCGATGGTGCTCAGATGCTTGGAGCAGGCTTGGTCCGGAAGAAGGTAAAGGTCGAGAGTACACCTGCACCAAAAGCAAGCGCTGCGATTGGCGTGAACACACTTGGAGCTGGCTTGGTACGCAAGAAGGAGAAGGCATGATCTTTTGGCAACCCGTATTTGGATACTTCTGCATTCGATGATTTCTGTTTGATGAATTGCTTTGGGTTTGATGTGTTACGGATCGGGTTCTTGCATATGAGCATATCTTGGATGGCATTGATAGGCTCGGGAACTCTGGGTTGCATAGCACAGCGTTGCAAACTGGATCTTCATGGTTCTCGCATCTTAGCTGAGGTATCAATACCCAGTTCAGTCATTCGACAATTTCCGCCGTATCCGATGCTTGCCCGGTTTGCACATGATCAGGGATTTCCTTGCCGCTCGCAATGCAGGCTTGGACCGTAATATTATTCCCGTGCCGTAAGAAACTTCTCGGAAGCCTTTCTCTCTTTATATCCCTTTGCTCAAGCCTCTCTGCTCCGTTCCTGTGTCAACAACGCGCATTCACCCAGGTGCCCAACCCCGGAGCCCTCGCCCGCACGTGACCGCGCCTGCCTCCGTCCGCAACCTCCGACGCCGAAAACACCAGCTCGCCAAACCACCCACCACCGTGTTTTCTAACGACAAACACCACAGCGCATGCGTCGCGCTCAGCTTCACGAAGCCGAGACCCACCATGTCTCCATGTTGCGCACTTCCTTCGCTCTGGGATGTCTCTTCTGGTATATCATAGTGTGGAGCGTATGCGCAATCGGCGTCATCCAGCTGTGTGCAACCAGTCCACGGCTACTGTTCCGCAGGTGCTAATTACAGCCAGATTTCGTTACTATTCGAAGCGCCCAAAGCCCGCCATCTGCCTGACTAGCCTTAAGGAGGAGGACGTTCCCCACGTCACCATCATTCGCCCCGTAAAGGGCCTCGAGCCACGGCTGTACGAGTGTCTTGCCGCCACCTTCCGCCAGACGTACCCCAAGCGCAAGCTCAGCAATGTTCTCTGCATATCATCGCGCTCCGACCCCGCGCTCCCGATCCTCGAGCGCCTCCTCCGCGATTTTCCGGATGCCGATGCGAGAATAACAGTTGAAGAAGAGGACCCGCTGCTGCTCGAGAATAAGCATGCGCTCGGACCGAATCCGAAGATTCGGAACATGAGTCGCGCGTACAGAGAGGCGAAGGGGGATCTCGTCTGGATACTTGACTGCAATGTCTGGCTCGGCAAGGGCGTCTGCGGTCGCATGGTGGATTTGCTGTGCGGCTCCGGCGGGAAGACGAAATTCAAGTTCGTGCATCAGACGCCGCTGACTATAGACCTGGACTCGCAGAGCTTGTCGCCCGAGGAAAGGAAGCAATTGCTCGGGGGCGACGAGCAGGCCCCCGATGCTTGGGACATTGCGGCGAGCACGAGCTCCGACCACCGCAACCATTCCCGCGGCAGATTCAGGCGACTGCTGCAGCGCGGCGGTGGCCGCTTGGACGAAGCTTTCCTGTCAAGTGCCCACGCCAAGTTCTATAATGCCATCAATACCGTGGCCGTAGCGCCCTGCGTCATGGGCAAAAGCACCATGTTTCGGCGCTCGCACCTCAACTACGTCACCAGCTCCAATCCGAACCGCGCTTCCGGAATCGACTTCTTCTCCGACAACATCTGCGAAGACCACCTCATCGGAGATGCGCTGTGGAAGAAGCCTCAAGCTTTCGAGGAGCCAGGGTACCATGCTCCGCCCGGAGAGCATGTCGAAAGATGGGGAAAGCACGCTATGCTGTTTGGCGATTTCTGCTTCCAACCCATCTCGCATACGTCGGTCACCGCCTGCATTGATCGGAGACTGAGGTGGCTGCGAGTCCGCAAGTTTACCGTCACAGCAGCAACATTCGTAGAACCCGGCACCGAATCCATCGTATGCAGCCTCTACGGCGCATACGCCTTAACCTCTCTCCCGTACTTCGGTCGTCTTGGTATTCCGCCCACCTGGGCCGCCTTCTTCCTCGTCTGGTTCGCTAGCTTGAGCCTCTGGTGCGCTGTCGACTACACGCAATACCTACTTCTCCATTGCGCCAAAACCGTCGAGCTAGACGAATACACTCCAGACTTTATCATGCCTCAGCGTTCCAGCCGCGCTTACCATCAAGCACCGTCGTTGCAACCTCTTCTCGGCAGCAAGGTTCCTAGAGACCCGAGCCTGCTTGATGGCGCTAGGAGAACGTTCAGTGAGTGGTTCTTCGCGTGGCTTAGTAGAGAGATTTCTGCGCTGCCGATTTGGATGTGGGCGTTCTATGGTGGGGTTACGGTGGAGTGGAGAGGGAGGAGGTTTTGGGTTGGGATGGATATGAAAGTGCATGAGATTCTAGACAAGAAGTGAGATCAACAGGACGCGTAGCATGCATAGGCGCGGCATGGTGGTTTCGAACCGACTCTGCATACAGAGGAGGAACTCAGCTTGAATCGTACCTTAACGGTGCGCATTAGAATAATAGAACATTCATGGTACCTGACAAGTATCTCCCATATATACCAGCACGCCCACAATCAAATAAGCATTGCTCTCTGATCTTGCGATGCCCCATCTGCCGCCTTAACGTATCTCGAATGGATCACGCCGACGGGTGGCTGACCCAGTAGCGCCCTGCCTGAATTGGGTAGATCTTGATCTTCCTTTCTCATCACAACCACAAAATAGTCCTGGCGGTGTTTCTCTTCTCCGTGGCAACTCCTTTGAAGTCGTTTCACCACCATCGCTACCGTCGAAACCGTAGGTGACTCTTCTCAGACCTTCGCCCTCCCCCGTCTCAATTCGCGCACTCTTAGTGCCTTGCCCCACAAACGCACCAAAGGATTACCGAAATCGACGCGAATTAGCCTTCTGCCCTCTTCCGACGTTAGCCTTAAGGCTGGTATCGCTCCCAACCGCTTCTCAGGTACTGAATTGTATCCGTTTCCTAGAGTTCTTTCGCCCTCTTGCCGAGAGTCTGTGCCAGCGTTGCACGATACGCTTTCACCGAGTACGTTGCTTGGATGATGTTGCAGGGGATGCTGACCAGCGTCAGGAAAGCGACCATGACGGTAATCCAGAAAGCGGCAAAATCCAATTTGTTGCGGCTGTCCGTTGCAAGCTGCTTCTACGTCCTGGGCGGTCGATTGAATGAGTCGATGAGAAATTTGAGCTCTTCTCGGAAGTACTCGTAGTCTGCGAGATCCAGCTTGCGGGGTCTGCCGCAACCCCCAAGTTGATAGAGGGGTTGTTCATGTTCTCTACTTAACAGTTGTTTCGTGGCCAAATCTCTGAAGGGAAACAGCAAGTTTAACGTGCCCAGCATTTCGTGAACTGCCTCTGGGCCAAAGCCTCTAGCGACATATCGTGATCCCAGTCCAGAGGTGTTTCATCTGGAAAAGTGGGACCGACTGCGATGGCGGAGGAATTTATGTTGAGTGTCAGCCACAGGCGAACGGACAGCTCGATCGACCGCTGAATTGTTGCTGGCTCCGCATTGAGGAATCCACCGGAGAGGGCCCGAAGGGCCTCTGCCTGCGCCTTTGAAAGGTTCTTCTGCAGTCTGTGGATCACGTTGAAAGTGCCTTCGAGATTTTGCACAGCAAAGTGTTGCTGATGGTTGCGCAAGTGACTCAGCTCATTTTCCAGGTACTTCAAGAATGAGGCGTACGATTGTTCATCGAAGGACTCGAATACAAGGTCTGCTGTTGGCCAAAATCCTTTGATAACTTCGTACATTCGCTCTTTTGACAAGCTGTTGAGCTCAGCTGCGAAGCGTTCAGTGAAGAGACACACCGCACCGGCCGCCGCAGTTTCAACCAGAATGGGAGGTGTCCAAATCCATGCTTTTGCGGCGGCCATATATACGTGGTCAGGCTGAAGCAGCATTGGTGGTGAGGTGGTGGCGCACGAAAGCCCCCACAATCGCCCTTGCGATCCGGTCAGCCACAGTACACTTTCTATCCTTTGCGTGTTCCACAAACCGAATGCTTGCTTTACAACTTATTGAACCTTTTTCCCAGACACCATTTCGAATGGAGACTGAGGTTGAGGCGACACCCCATAGATTGCTTGTGCGGGATCTCTTGCGCTTCTCGACGAGGAGCCTGCAGAACAACTTCATGATGAGACTCCAAGGAGTCCTACGCATTGAGGTTTCACGGTGTTGAATTGACTGTAGATTATCACTGCTGATCTGTCTGTCGCTTCCTGTCTCTCGGTATGCTCCCATTGTCGCCTCCGCTGTCCTTCCGCTGCGGCTGAGTCCACATGGCCCATGTTGTCGATGTGGATCTGCCGTACTGGTGCGAGAAGGTTGTCGTGGTAAACGGCTAAGTCGCGGGCCCACCGCTTCTCGACGGGATTAGGGTTGTAAAGTAGTCGGCGAAGGAGTTGGTGTAGTCGCCGTCGCTCCTTCCTAACGAAGGCTCAATCCTCTACGAGTAGTTGTTAATAAGGCCCTGTAGAGACTGTGTCGTATATACTCCACCTAGTAAGCTAGCCTATAAGGATGTTACAGCGTACGAGCATTAAGCGCACGTTCTTGATATAGTTGTAGTCCTTGGCGAGCGCCTTCTTAACTTTAAGCTAGACGGCGGTTAGGGTTTGCGCCCCTAGCGGAAGAGCCTAAGTCCTAATGTAGTTAGTGCTGTTCGTGGCTAGGCCCCTTAGGAGTTAAGTTGCCATCTTGATGTTGAAGGTGATGAGATAGAGAAGAATGACAGAGAGCCGTTTTATCGTTCGCCGGTCGACTACGTGTCCTTTCGAGTCGAAAGCGTTGGGCGTTCAAATTTCCCATTGCTGGATGTTGCCTACACTGAACCGTGGATCCTTTCTGTACTAAACCGCTAAACCTTTTGATGATACCCCTTCTGCCTGCGGATTTGGAAATATAGCGTCTTTTTTGCTGGTACTGTATATGTAGTATGCTCGCATCTTCTTTATAACGAGGTCGAGCGAATCGATGACTGCGCGCGGGATCTCTTGAGCCCAGAGCTCCGAGTCCCGCAGCACGATCCTTCGCTCAACGTCCCTCAGCCTTGCGGCGAACTTTGGACCGGAGGCGCTCGAATGAGCCCGCAGTGGAGCTGCGAATTGGCAAGTGTATCTGCATACCAACATGAGCTAGTCGATAGTGTGCAGAACTCTCTTCATCAGGAACATTCGCAAATCGGGGTTCCTCTTCAGGTTACGTCGTCAGAAGATGAAGCACGGCACTACGACGTATCGCCAGGCAATTTGTAAATAATGCAGCAATTGGGTACGGAGATATCTGATGGAGAGGGGCATCGAGAAGAAGAGCTATTTTCAACAGACGGCAGCCGAGTTCAAACATTTCAGCAACTCCCCGGCCACAGCCAGGGTCTAGAAGAACCAGGAAGTATCCTCCGTCAGTATTCGTCTGCACCGGAGACGACACAACGTCAATCTCAGCAAGGAGGTGGCATGAGAGAGACCTCTAGGCCGGCGACCGGCCAGCAAGGGCCACACGCGAGGACTCTTCTACCATCCATTACTTCCGTGGCTGCACATCGGCAGCCGTCCGTCAAAGTCGTGTTTTGGAGACGTTTTAAGAGATCTCGTAATAACGGCTCTTTGAACCGCGTAGCGATGACGGTCCAGGAGAGGTTTGGGCCCGCGCCGGGTGGCGGCGAATCAGCACGTACCTATACCATAGCAGTTGCGAACGCAATACCTTCAACTCCCGATTAGAGCACCGATAATACGGCAGCCCAGGAGCTACGGATCGTGGACATAGGAAGAAATTCCTCGATTACAGTCTCTACTAACTCTGAAGCCCTCTGTTCTCCCGAGGAGGGGGTATATGTGGGGAAACTGAAAGACCTCCCACCACCAGGGCCTTTACAGGCCCAATGGTCACAGACTATTCGAAAACGGCTGGTCACAAACCTACGCCCCGTCCAGGATCCTCTACCAAAGTCCTTATCGCGGGATGAAACGACTATTAGCCCGAACTTTGTATGTCTGGCCATGTGAATTGTAGTTCGGGCATGGTTATACTGAGGCCGTCCATCTGGATACGCTGCGGAAGCAAACGCTGCAGGAAAGACATTCGCGAGGCTGTCGGAGACTTGTCGTATTTGCACAGGTTCTCTGTTCACGTCTACGTCCACGGCCATGCACCCCGCTTTGCTTGCAATTCTTTCCGCTGTTTTTCCTGGACCGCGCGTCGGGACGCCGAAACACCGTCGTCGCCGAATAGTTCGATCCTCGAACCGGGCGAAATTGCTGGAATCGCCGTGGGTGCGGTGGCATTCTTGGGGCGTAGGTATAGTTATAATATGGCTTCTTCGTCTTAGACGCCGTTCTTCGCACTGGCGTTCAGACGAAGCCGCCGATGTTCAGCAAGGGCCTGGATCACCTCGTCCGTTGTCCCCTCAGGATCCTCACAGGCCCGGAAATTCAGCTACACTCATGTTCTATCCCGCGGAATGCTCACGATGCGCCAACCCGGATGAGCTTCCGTCTGATGGGAAGGGAGTATTACCAACTCCGTCCACCTGCGCACTACGAGTGGAGTTTGTTGCCGAGAACGTGAGAGAAGTTAAGCTGGTTAATTTGACAATCGGTGGACATTCGAGTTAATAATCGCACTTAAAGCTTGACAACGTCTCATTCGATATTCCGAGCTTTGGATATGGCTGAGGAAGTGCCTACAATCGAACCGTCCAGCACCAAAGGTTTATGGATCCGGCACGTCAACTAGTGTGAGTTCAATCTGTAAAAGCAATAGAGGGGGAATGGGCTGCGCGCTAACGACTACAGCAATGGTACATATCTCCAGGCCCTTCTTGCAGACAACAAGCGGTGCACCTCTGGCCAATGCAGTGCTTGGCCCAATGGGATATTCTGATTGGGCTTCCAGTGAGGGTATAGGCGGCGATAATGTCAGAAGGTTGCAGCCACGAGTGCTAGAAGGCGCCGACTTCGCGCTCATCAGGATATCCGACACCTTACAACCATACAATGCGTACGGTCGGTCTGCGTCGACGCCGACATCGGACTATTGTGCCGTGACCAACGTTCCCCGGATCTCTACAAGCGGTCAGGAGCAATACTGTGTGCAAAGGATGACGCCAGGCAGGGACAGCTTCTCGATGGAAGTGCACTAATCATGGACAAGACAGGCGTCTTTGAGACAAGAAAGATTCAAGCCGAAGCATCCTTGGGTAGGCTCAGCTCCTATGGTTAACAAAATGAGCGTCACTGACACAACACTAGAAAAAGGGCTCTCGGGAGCGTGGGTAGTCCATGGAAATGGCCTACTCGGCATGATCGTGGCTATCTACGACCATGAGCCATATGCACATATGTTGCCGATGCAGAAAGTCTTCTCGGATATTCAAACCACGTTTACGAGCGACGGCCGTCACCCTCACGTGGATATTTCCATTGCCAACGTTCTAGAAGATGCCCGTAAATACACAGAGTCGGGCTCCATTCTTAGCTTCCGCATCCAGCGAGACTTGGACGATGAGTGGAGCCATTAGCGATGCGCGGGGTCTCTCGATAAGACCTTTGAGCTTTGTTGTCGACGATGGGGAAGAGTCTCGCTATGTGACGACGCCAAGGGCATATAAGCTAGGAGTGTGACAAAGCAGTGGTCAAAATTCTGAAGGGCACCTGCCATCTTCAAAGACCGGCACTCCCGCTATTCACCGAGTTTTTCGAGGAATGCCACCCTTATAGCGACTGTTGCGACGTTCCGCTATGGCGAAGAAGGGAGCATGCATGAGTGCAAAGTCATCGGATTGCAGAATAGGATTTGAGAATAAATGCACACAGAACAAACCCATGGACATTAGTGACCGCCGTGTTGTCTTCCACCCTCTCTAACAATGCCCCAGCTTATGCTATTGCCTGTGGAGGCGGTTTATTCAAACACAGTTGCCGCAAAGTGTCGAAGGATCCAGGCTAAGATCATTTCTCTAGCATCTTTAGCAGTTGGTACCTTCCGCGTTCTCGCTGAACTTAGAGTAACGAGCTAGTCTGAAGGTCGTGTCCGTGCAGTTAACTTTAACTCGTGAGCGCTGTAATCGAGGGTTTGCAAATGGGGCATGACATTAAGAGGAGGCTACTACTGGAATTGTAAAGCTAATACAAGGCTAAGTAGACCTGTAGTGGCAAATACACCCAATGGCTTAGTTCAGAATTACGACCAAGTGCTCCTGGCCCCGCCGCACTTTCAAGTCTCATTTATGATAGTCGATGATATACACCTCGCTCGAGCTTGCATTCAGTATCGCATTCTTGGGGCTTCCTACACGCTCCTCTATCCTCTCAACTTTACCCACACGAACCTCGGTCGTGGTGGTCTTCACCAAGTCATTTGCCCCTAGGTCTTGCAGCTTTATTCCTCTGCCTCCCGGTATCTCTCCGTCCATCCTCGCGTATGCTTCGGCGGAGTGGCCCTGCTCTGTGCCGCGAATTGAGGAGCTTGTCCCACCGTGGCGGCTAAAATCGTGCCTCGAGGCCGTGTGCGGCCTTGAGCCTGTGTGTGGCGATGAAGAGGTAGTGCCCCGAGGGTAGCCCTGGACAAGGTTCATGAGCTGGTTCAGGATAGTGAATTCTAGTTTCAACTTCACCGGCCACATTGCGCCTTTGTAGGATGTCTGGATGTCGTATACTTTGAAACACATCAGCATACGCTCTGAAATATTGTCACGAGTGGGCGTACACCCCGCAGATTCCAAACCCAGAAGCGTGATATCCAAACAGATGATGATGCTCGTGACGAGAGTGTGTACCAGTACTTTCCTCCCCCCTAGTCCCTCTCGCATTCTGATTTGCGTTCAACAGAGGCCCTTCTGTCCTCAGCAAGCTAGTCTTCTTCTAGACGTGGATGCCGCTGAGGATCACCTTCTGGAGGAAGAAGCACGTAACCTGGACCTTTTCGACAACCGAGTACGGCGCGACCCAGGCTGCGGGCTTGGCGAGCAGTTCGTCAAGAAAGGAAGGATGCCTGTGGATAAGTGCAGAACAAACCGCATCAACGGTGGTATATACGAGGATCCAGCGTGTCTACCGCGCCTGCACCACGAGATGGAGCCGCGAGTACAAGACAATAGATTCCCTCGTGACCATCATGACCCATCCCGTCCACACAATAACTGTATTTGCAATATTGTCGCCCGGTATCGACTCATTGATGTGATAGAACTTTAAGAACATGCTGAGTTCGTGGAAGAAGATGCCCCATGTCGCGACCAGTAGCGAGTAGTAGTAGAAGCCGGCATAGCGTTTGAAGAAAGTCTGGATAAGGACGGTGAGCTCGGTAACGTTGTACCAGACGATGCTAAGGAAGGAACAGATGACGAGGGCGTTAATGAAGGGAACGTTGACTTTGGACCCGATATTGCTGTCTCTGCGGGCTGGCGCCATGGGAGAGAGGCACGAGAATCTGGTGAAGCCCGGATTATGGTATACGAATCTGAAACTTGGACAGAACATAGCGAAAGAGAAGAAGATTATAAGTGGGCCCCTTGAATGCACTCCCGACTTTATGACCACGATGAAGCCCACGGGGGAAGACGCCCCCAACGGCTGGCGCATAGTATCCGGGGAGACGATATACGCCGGGATCCCGAATCGCGTGGAGAGGGGCGACACCGCACACTGACTAGGATTGGAAAATATATTTCCTGTTGGCCTGTCTTGGGCTGTAGATCTGTGCTTGTGACAGAGGATCGAAAGTTTGACCTGGGAATCTGCACGAGCCCGTGGGCGGCTTCGCTTTCCCTGTGTTTACTACAACGGATGCAATTGCTGGACGGTTATGCGGGCAAGAGCTTCTTGGATGTTCTCCCGCACGCGGCGGGCGTTTGTATCGCGTGAGCTGTCGTTTACGAGCCGCCGGACGCGCGATGTCGAACGAAAGGCGCTATTGCTCAAGATCATCGGACATCGAGAGCCTGTACGACACGTGTTGTGTGAACAGGGGATGACGCAGCGGGGTGCTTTCATCGCAGGACAAAAAACCAGCGAGCATGGCGAGATGCAATGTCCAAGGAGGATCCCGTCTTATGATGGAGGATTCCTGCATCCAAACACTGGAGCCGTCATCCAAATCTCACGATAGCCAGAGCTGCAGCGACTCGGGCCTCGTCACGCATGCTCAAGGGGCACACCATGTTCGCGTATTCGATGGTTTTCATCCCTTTCCGATGTGTGTTCGGCTTCCAACACTGAAGCTCTTTGAAAGTTCTTTCACGCTTGAAGACGAATGTGGCGACGTATGAACGGCTTGTGTTGCGCTCGTGGGAGTGACGAAGTGGACCCCGTCGCGGGTCCACCCGTGTTCCATGATCGTGACTGCGGGGTCTGCCCCGGCAAGAGCAGGCAAGTGAACGTGAAGCAACAATCGTGTTCTTGGTTACACAATACGAGCGTTGGCCAGTTACAAATCGCCTCGTGGGTTAGATCGCGCAATGATCCTCCGTCAGGGACCGATCGACGGTCGTCCGCGGTTTGACTCTCTCGGCGAAAACCCAGCTGAAAAGACCGCGAGAGGCAAGCACGGGCTGTCGAAGCCAAGGTCGTGCAGGAGCGGTTTGAGGTCACACCGGCCGACCACCAATACCTATTTCAGCTGCTGACATGTACGCCGGTATTAGCGCATCCTTCGGGCATGCACACCACGTTGCTCGGCTCGGGTCGTCCCTCTGATAGCTCGTCTTCTTTTACATAGCTAACGATGAGGCAGGAGATCTGGAGTGGCTGCTGATAAGTCAGACTTATGAGTTCTGTGCGATGCGTAGTCTCCCTTGTATAGCTGCGCACTGTGCTGCAGTCTTCGCATTATGGGGTGCCTTTCGCACTCCATAGCTGAACTCGCTTGCTGCGGGAGAGTCTTCGGCGTTTCTGCGAGTTCCCTGTATGGAGTGCCCCTTCTTAGCAATTGCAAAGGAACGAAATAGGGACAGGAAAGCATTCATCAGAGGCTTACCAACCCAAATCCGGTGAAATGCAAGCAAATGGGCGGGCGGTTTCGACTTCATGGACGCGCGCAGGCCGGAGAATCTGGGATGAAATATCACGTAATGAAGGGACTGTAACCCACATATAGCCTTATCGGATGACCCTCAGCACCCGAAATTCAGGGTGTACTTAACGTCATCGAGCGCAAGCCCGCCATACATGTCTCCTCCATTATCCGCCCTCGCGATGCTAAATCCAACGCTCTTCAGATCCCGCCACTCCCACGAAAAGCTCGTCTTGTTCATAATGTAACCCCCCACCAGGTGTCCCGGGTCCAGGCTTGGGAAGTTGATGACGCGGTTGATGACCTTTGCACTGGCTTTCCAGCCCCAGATGCTGATAGCGCATTCAGGCTGCGGGACACCTGAGACGCAGGCGAAGGAGAGGGACTCGAGCTGGAACGTCTGCTTGGGCGGGCTAGCAATGATTAGCACGAGGCGAATGGCAGCATGAGGAGCGTCGACCGTACGAGTCTGGAACAGAGATGTTTCCACTGCCCCCGAAAGCCATGGCCCATTGATTACCCGATGTCGGAGGGATAAAGTGGTCATGCTGGTCTATCTGGAAAGTGGTATAGCCCAGACCGTAGTAGTGAGGGGGGATTGGATTCGGACCCGGCTCTTGGAAGGGCAAGCCATCGTACTTTGCCACATAGGTTTGCTTTCGCGCTCTGCACGGACCGTTTGCTGTTGGCGCAGCGACGGCCAGAGCGAGGAGAGGAAGAAGTGTCGCAATGGTGGTGTACATGGTTAGTTGCCTTGACGTGGTGGGCGTTCCGTCGACGGGAAGAAATGGTCTCGCCTAGTCTTCGTCTGCTTCCACGGAGCCTTGTTCTCTTATACTTTGCTCTGTTAAATCACTAGGCCGGCTGCGTCAGACCACGCTCGCCATGGCAGTCGCATCGACGACGCGGTTCAATAAAGACGGTTTCTCGATCCATTCCCACCATTGGATGCAGACTCGTGTTGCTCACGAGAAATTGCTCCACCACTGTACACATTTGGCGCGTGCGTAGCGTACGCCGGATTACTTCGTATCGTGGCGTGCCGTAGCCGGATCAGCCGCCGGAAGAGATATCGTACTGCGACAAAAGGAAAGCTCTCCAGCATCAAATAACGTAGTCCGAGCAATGCGCTAGCATGTCGGTGGTGGAGAAATGTCGACGAGTGCCTGAGCCTGGAGGCTCCGCGGGGAGGGAAAGCGCGCTAGCGCGGCGCCATTCCTACCCCAGAGCCATTCCAAGGTTAGCCGAGAACAAGTTCTTCCCTATATTGGTGCTGGGGATCACGTTGGAACTGGGTGGGTCAGCTCGGATGGGGAGGTGACTCTGGTTGGAACATTTCTCCGTTGGCGGGTGATTGCAGCACCCGAGCTATGAGGGGGTGGGATAGCTATGCGCGGGCTCTTTGGGCATTTCTCCATGACAAGACGGCAAGACGGACACCAACCATCCTTATGTTTATTAACGGGGCACGCTTCTCCGCCGCGCAGCCGTCTCTTCCCAAGTCTCTCCTCTCTGATTCCTGTTTCCGCTCCTACGCACTCACCGAATCTTCATCAGCGTACTTGGGCGCAATTCGTGCCTTGCTGCACTCAGTTCAAGCCCATCCTAGTAGGCGATATAGGCTAGTCAGCTATCCCCCTATTCTGTACATTTGAAAATAACTGATATACCTAGATGCCCGTGTTTCGATAAGCTACCCAAGCGCTGCCGAGCTGCTTGAGCCCGCCAAGATACTATAAATCCTATCCAGGGTGAAACATCATGATTACACGATAATCCTCCAATGAGAATGCGACAACGAGAAGCATTTACCGGGACAATACAGACCGGCGGATAGTGGTTCGCACCCTTTCGCAATATAAATATGTTTCCTTACCATTCCTCGAAGCGCAAGGCAATCCCAAGCATGGCTCATTTCTTGATCTTCACGACAGTGCTCGCACTGGTCTCCGTCGTCCACTCCCAATGCGGCTCAGGCACGCCGAATGCCATGGTGGCTGGCTCCGGAAGCTCCTTCACAGCCACCAAAGGCTCAAGCACGGTATACACCGGCTCGGACTATCGTGCTGCGATCCAGGCCGCGGTAGACTCCATCAGCAGCGGCCAGCGCGTCTCCGTCATGGCTTCGGGCTCCATTGGCGCCAGCACCATCACCATTAGCAGTGGCAAGATTTTCGAAGGCTGTGGCACCATCAACGTTGGCAACAGGGCTGGGCATGGTGCCATCGAGTCGCTGAACACTCAAGGAGTTCAGATTCCATATCTCACCATGACCGGAAACCCGTACTTTGGATTGCGCTTCTACGGGACACGAGACCTGACACTGGGCAAGATCACCATGAATCTCAGCGGTGGCTTGGGTATCCGCTTCGACCGCGATGCAGCCGCGAACTCCAACGTGAAAATGGATGTCATCAGCGTTACCGGTGCTGGCAGCCACGCCGTGGAGACCTGGAACATCGACGGCCTCACCATCAATCAAGTCATCGCCCGAAACGTTGGCGAGTCCGGCTTGCTGCTCCAAAAGACCACAAACGCAAAAGTTGGGCTCGTCGATGGCAACAACGTCGCCACGGGAACGGGGTACGCGACCTTCCGTATGGCGAATAATAACGGCCAGAATCCCAACGGAAACTATAACACCAACGTTTACATCGACAAGGTCGTCTCGCGCGGTGGCGGTCGTGGTATCTTCTGCGTCTCGCAGTCTGGAGGCGTTGTCATCGAGAGCGTTGACCTCGCGAACAATGGAAACAACGCAATCTTAATCGAGAATTGCTACAACGTCTCGATTCGTGGAGGTACAGTCAATGGAGGAGGGGAAGTTCGTCTCGCAGCCCGCTCGGAGTTCCCGAACAACCGCGACATCTGGATCACTTTGACTGTGAACAGTAACACGGTTCGCGAGTCGCCTTGTGGGGAAAACACGAACTGGACACTCTCAGGTAGTGCTAGCAAGAGTATCTGCTAGTTGCAGAGGCTATCTGCATTTATAATAGAGTTTTATCTACTCTCCAGTACAGCGTGTAGTTCGGAGAGCATGTATTGTGTAACTGTGCGAACCTCTCTCTCTCTCTACGATGTAGTAACGCTCCTCTCTGTATTAGTATAAGCCCTAGGGTCTAACCCAACCTATACCCAACCTCGGGTACCCCCAACCCATTTACCAGCGTAGTCTAGAATAGTATTATTAGCATCGCAGATATAATCGAGAGAGGAGACCGTGTAAGAGCTGCTAAGGGCGAGGATACAGCCTAGTTATTACGGTCTAGGATAAGTGATTCGATCACCCCAACTTCCTGACTCATTGTGTTGAGACAACCCCTTTACCTCAATTCAATCTGGCTCTCCACCTCTTTCCTACTTGCCTTCCAGTACTCCTTCGTCTCTCGCGTTTCGAGTGCTTATGTTTTATTGTAATTACTGCCTCTTCTCGCCTTTATATAACCTTTCATTCCCTAAAATAGCTAACGCGAGATAGATTGAGCTTACTCTAAAGCTCGTGCCGCCAGATGAGCTGGTACACAAATCCGCACTTGGCTTAATCGAATACGATGAACTTGTCGCGCATCAAGTCACTAGGTACTGTGGGTGAAGATGAATCGGTTTTATAGAGCTCGGCAACAGACTTGTGGTTATCGGGGTTTGTTTTGGCTTCTTGTGTAGTTAACTAGCTGTGGAGGGGAACGGCCGGCACTAATGCTATGAGATTGGAAAAATGGTAGACACGGCCTAGGTGGCGAAAAGCTTTATAGTTCTATCCCGAAATCCCGTAGGATTTTGCGCTTCGCAGTTTCTTTTGCATTGATGCCGTCCTACGAGCCTACTCTCGCCAAGTGGTAACTCCACTTAACATCGATGGGGAAGCTAACTGGTATGGTCATGATTCCCTGGGACTTTGACTTTTAGTGGAGAGTGATAGTTTCGACAGTCGGAATCGGATCTTGTTGCATAAACTCTCCATCCATAATTCCATAAACGTGACATTCTCCAACTAAAGTCCAGCAATCGCTGACGTCCTCTTTTCGCACCACATACGGAACCCGAGCGCCCATGATGATCACGATCGCATCGCCGGGCCGAGCCTCAAGAGGGCATATTCCTACATAGCCACTCACAGACAAGAGCGGCCGACTGTCGTGCGTCCGATCCATCTGAGACACATAGCAAGCATGAGATTGGCGATCCCATAACAGATCTCTAGGCGTAGCCTCTTCGTTGGCCAGCATTCGCATCACTTTATATCCAATCCTCATATAGGAATCGGCTGGTGCGCGTGTTAGCTGGTGAGTGAGATTGTTGACATGGAGGTCGCCAACTGGGAGGCGCCACTCTGCTTCTTCCTTCTGTGTCGAATTGTACCTGTCGTTGCGAGAGAGAAAGTTGGAGACGTCGTTGAAATACATACGTGCGTCCGTATAGTTGAATTCGCCTTCCAAAGGCGGAGACTAGTGGTGACCTACTTCTTGGACTGTGTCGACGAAAACGACATCGAGCGTGATCTCCCGGGAGAAGATGGCTTCTCCGGAAGTATTTAGTAGACAACTAGAGTTGCGTCCGTCTGGCAGATTCGATGCATTGAACAGCTTGTCTTCATCCCAAATCGACCATGGCTTCCGATTCATCGCCGACCAGTCCGGAACCCAGGATGGCAGGTTCTTACACACCTCCCTCGCGCGACAAAGGGACAGAATGTCGTCGTGTCCATGCATAAGCAGTACTCTTGCGGCCATGATGTATGCCTCTTCGCAGGATAGCGCGTAGTTGGGCACAATTGCCTTGGCAGCTTCGTCGTTCGCGATACCGAGTAAGGCAAACACTCTGTCTCGGGGATCGGTAGCTCCAATCCTCGTGGGGTTTGCATCCACGACGTTGCACTTGTAGAGAAGGCGCTTGACATTATGGCCTCCCTTGACCAGTGCGACTCGCCTGATACCAAGCAGCGTGGACGGGAAAGCATCGGAGAGCATGTTCGTCAACCAGAGCATTTTCTGCATTCCCACGAGGTCCGCATTTGGATGATCTAGGAGTGCTCGACTGTTAAAGAGCTGGATGTAGAGCGAAACAGCCCAGTAGGGAACATAATCAACCTCGTCTTTCCCGCACTTAAAAGTTGCCACTTGCGCATTCGCGAGTTCCTGGATGCACCAGATGCGCGTCCACCACGCCCTTTTCCCAAGATCAGACATGATCCACCAAAAAGGATACTCGTCATTCTGTGCTTTCTCCAGATGACGGTTCGCAATGGCCATTGATATTCTGTTTTGTACGCGCGGCTTGTGAATCGTCATGCGCTTCAGTGTCCCACTTGGCGATGTCGCCCGCGGCTAACGCCCACATGCCGGTCTGGACCAGCTCGGTTCCGAGACGCCGGATCTCTTGCATCGTGTACGTTGTCTCAGCGGTTGAAGGGCCGAGCCATAGTACGACTTGTCTGGCAGTCTTGTAGATCTGCTGCATCAACCTAACTTGAGCAGTCTTCTCCACCGCATCGCTCTGATTGATACAGATTGCGTCGGCGAACAAGACGACGTCTTCGTCCTCGCGCCGCAGACTGTCAAGCGCTGTCGCAAGGCTCTCGGTAATTCGAAGTGGCTGGCGATTCACGGTGATTTGGCATGGCGTGGTTGGGCTGCCCCAACTATACGAGAGAGCGACGTATTCGGATGCCTCGTTGAGTGGGATGTGGTATAGAAGGTAGTTGATCGGGTCGTCCGAAAGCGACTCCGGTGTCTTCCGTGGGATGCAAAGCAGGCGAATCTCATTCTCTGCCGATAGCGGGAGGTACTGAAACGTACGCTCGAGGACTCCACACGACGGCATAACGTGCCTACAACAACATGTGCCTGATTTGAAGGAGACAGAACGAACGGCAATGGGCTCATCGAGGACGCTTTTGATCGTGAGGCCGAGCTCTGTGTAACATTGCGGAATCGTTCATCTCCCTAGATGGGACGAATCTAGGCTGCCTGAGGCTGGAGCGGTGGTGGCGCGGAGTGAAAGTGTAGCCGAGGGACCGGAAGCGGCAGCATGCAGCTGACTCAGCTGATCTGCGCAGGGAAGTCGCGTGCGCTCATGACGGAAAGAGCTGCCGAGCTTGCCTTCACCTCACCCTCGCATTCACTTCGCACAGCGCTCGTCCCTGCTACATTGCACATTACGCCCTCCGACCATGACTATACCATAGTGCCATTGGCCCCGGAGCGCCCCCAGCATGGAGCGCGTCGCCATCGCTGAGCTCACCCCCACGCTGCCCGCCCTCGAATGTAAGCAGTTCAAAGCCGTTGTCACGCTGATATGGCCGTACTCGTCCTCGGCGCGCCAATTCGCCCTGCTCCTCGGTGATCCCGACTTCCGCCTGCGCCGAAAGAAGGGCCAGGTCAGAGCGCGCTTCTGCGGCTCCAGCGCAAAGGCCCTCGCAAGCACGGGTGTGGGCATTGGAGACGAGCTGCTTCTGGGCTTGCGCGGCGCTCAATTCGTGCAGGACGGCTCTGTCAGCACCCCGGGCAAGAGCATAGACTGGGAGCTCTCGTACTCGCAGACCCTAGCTGTGCGCGTATATCGAACCGGCGCAGAAATCGGAAGCCTCGACCTTGCCGATGCCGCCCCAACCCCCGCTCGATCGCCCGTTCGCCAGCAGCCCCACGTTGCATCTGATGGAGCACACAAATGGTCATCGCCAGCCTTCCTCAAGCGGACACGGCTTTCGGACGGTCCGATTTTCGAAGCGGGCTACGATCCATTCTCAGACGACACCGAGGATCGACATGACAGGAAGCGGCGGAGGAAGTCATACAGGGACTGGAATGCATGGACATACTCGGCGCGGACACCTTCGCCAGAAAAGGAGGAGGCGGATATGGAAGATTTGGGTGCCTTCGAAGCGTCGCCCATCCGCCCGGTTCGGCTCCCCGAGACACCAGTATCGTCTCCCGCGCCCGGAATTTTCTCCGTGGCGGGCCTCCCTCTCCAGAAGACTGAAGACACTGCTTCGGGACATGTCGCACGGAAAGAGGCGGTCCTATCTATCGGCCATGTTATCGTTGAGAATGAAGATTTAGTTGGCAAATCGGCCGAAGCGAACGACGACTTTGTGCGAGATGCCGCCTATTATGATCTATACGCGGGCCCCAATGAACTGCCACCGTCTGAGCTCGAATACCCCTTTGCAGGAGACACCGAACCAAATACCGAAGAGGAAGGCAGTCCTCCAGCCGTGCACGGCGTTGAGAGCCTGAGCGTTACAAATGGCGAAACCGCAGAGTCGGATGAACAGCTGCTTGATCGTCGAACACCCACTTTTGCCGAATTTATACCCGACGGTGAGGATTTGGCGGAAGCAGAAGACCGAGCCGCTAGCTCAACCGAACAAGAGAGTACCCTGGAAGGTGTGCAAGGGATTTTGGTTGACCAAGAGGCTCGTCAACTTGAGGATGAAGAGCAGCGATTCCCAGAGCGTTCCGGAACCCAAGAAACTCCAATTGTGTTGGACGATGCACCTGAAATAATCATGCCTCCGCCCACACTACCTCTCCTTCAAACAGATTTACAAGCGACCTCAGCTCCAGGCATGTTGACTCCGATCGGCAAGGAGCCGTCTAGCCCAGCCTTAAAACCGCTTGATTCTTCTACCCTGCCTATGCCCTCTCCATTTCCCGGCGAGCGGGATGGGACTGCTACATCATATCTGGACCTCTCCGATTCTACTCAACCGCTGGCGCAGGAAGGGCCTGAAGATGAATCGGACTACATCATTGAATCTAGCTTTTATAGTTCTGTCAGCTCCTCAAAGGCCCCAGCTTTCCACCCAACCCACGAGTCCGCCTTCACCGACGTGCGCTTCACGTTTGGCATGGACGGTTCAACCTTTTCCCGTCCGAAAGCGCCCCCTAAATCCCCCGAACCACAAGTCGCGGCTGTAAAAGGCGATGGCTTGGAAATGGGAGAGGAGCCAGCTGTTGTAGATGGCGGAGTGCCTACCTCTGCAACGGATCGCTCGGCGCCGCAGCAAGAAGTCACCCAGGTACCGGCCTGGGAGGGTATCACTGACTTCACAGCTGATGATCTTGGTTTGGTCGAGCAGGAAAAGCGCCGTATTGCCACCACCGAACCAAGTCCCGCTGAACAGCCTAAGGAACCAGAGGTGGTTGTTCTTTCTTCTGGCTCTGAGTCGGAAGAGTCGGAAGATGAAAGTGAGTTTGGACCTGGTAACGAGGAGGCAGAAGAAGAGGGAGTGCGTGGCACACCAACCGCCGTTGAGTATAGTGTCGACACACGAGCCGAGGAGTCCTCAGTCTTGTCCGAGTTCGCTGAGAAGGAAGAGATTGGCGTGGACTATCACGACCATACCGCCGGGTCCAATCCTGGGGAACCCACACAAATTTCCGTGAACGCTGGCCCTCATATGGTGGACCATGCTGAGGCGCCCCTGCTCGGCATTCAGAGATTGACCGCAGCGACAGAGGTTGTCGATCTTGGTTCTGGTTCAGAAGATGCGAGCAGCGAGGTGGACGGGGACTCATACGCAGTACCCCGAGCTGCTACCCAAGTCGGCATGATCCAGCAAGAAGAGGGAACCACTGATGTGAATTCGTATCCGGCTATAATGATAAAGCGACCACAATCTCCGGTCGAGGATAGCAACACCTGCCATAAGGAAGGAATCAGTGAGTTGATGGTTGTGGAGCCCGCGCATGATGAATCCCAAGCAAAGGACATCGCACAAGGAGACTCTACTTACTCGATTGATGAACAGGTTGATTATGCCGTTGCCAATCTGCGCGAGGATGGCGGGCCCGTGATGGTGGATGATGGAACGCCGTTGGCAATAGACGATATGGTCGAATTCATGCCGGATGCGACCTCGCGCCAGGACCAACAACCCAGTGTCGAACCAGTCTCGCCGTCAGAAGACCACCCGGAAATCAAAATGGAATCTATCGAGGAGGATGTGTCCTTTGGTTGGATGAATGATCGAGGCTCATGCCCTCAAGAAGACGATAAAGAGTCCACCGAAGGACCCTCTGCCGAGCTTCTTATTACATTCCCAGAGGATGGTCATCCTATAGGGGAGTTGCAGTTCAAGTCCGTGTCAGCCACAGGCCCTGCGAGGAATACGCGGTCGAAGACGAAGATGTCAGAGTCGCCAGTAAAAGAGGAAGCTAGTCCGTCGCAACGGAGTACCCGGTCACGGAAGTCCAAAACATCCGTCGTGCCGCTTGCTCGTACGACGCTGTCTCCCTTTGATGTAAGGTCAAGGTCCACTGCGTCCCCCATCGGGGACACGATGGCCACCTCGCCTTATAGCCTTCGGCCCCAGCCAGAGCCTCTCTCACCTACGAAGAGTACTACGCACGTCGCTCAACATGAGCGCTCCTATAAGCGCTCTACGAAGCAGAAGTCCACTGCACTCACTTCTCCTCTCAAGGAATCGTTTACTCAGCCCGAGTACTTCGACTACGAGAATCTCGATTTTCCGACCACCAGCTTTGAGCCTTCCCAAGAATTGGGGATCTCACGAGGCAAGTTTTCGAACGTGTCGTTCGTGAGAGACTCCGAAGAGGGTAGCCTGCACTCGGAGCATTCGTTATCCACCCTCCAGTATTCGGATGACTGGAATGTCGGACCACAGACATATACTAACATCAGTGATCCGGCGGAGAACACCAGTCAAGTTCGCAGCGAGCAATCCTCTCGACTGAAGCCTAGACCTAGCGACCATCTACCCCAACTTGAGACTCCGCCTAGGCCCGGCGCGAAGACGCAATGGAGGAACCAATCGCAGGTGATTATACCGGCGAGGAGGACTCCGCCACAGCCAGCCTATTCATTCCTCACCCAACCCCCACAGAGTAGTCCTAGCAAAGCATTTCCCTCGATGACTCCGACAGAAGTGACATCTGGCAGTTCCCGCAAGTCGCAGCGTTTCAGAAAGGATGTGTACGATATCCCCTCTTCCCCAGCCCGGGCGTCCGACGACGAGCTACCGGGAGAGACTACGCCAAAGGCGCATACGGGAATAGGTGAGGTGGCGTATTCTACACTGCCCCTTGAAGGTGAAGGCAGCCAAATCCGGAGCTCACCGCCAGCCCCGATCACTGTCGGGAAGGACGCACCGACCGGTGTGAGAGAGCAGCTTCCTAGTTCACCGCCCGCTGTTCGATCCAAATTTCCTCCCGTCAGCCAGCAGTCGCTCGCCAATAGCAATATGCCCATAACGCCCGAAGCCACCCAGCCGACCTTGGTAGAATCCCAGCCCGCAGGCCCCGCTGCTCAGCAAGAGCAAAGCCTGCCCTTGACTCCCCAGCTCACGCAAACGACCTCTGCAGGACTCCGTTTCTTCAACGCCGATGTAGAGATAGAAGAGGTGACCGCCGAGCCCTTCGTCAAGCCCTCGCCCATCAGCAAGACAACGCCAAGACGCAACGCGACAGAGGCCGACGTAGCCTCGCGCGAAGCGTCTCCTAGCATCCATTCCGAAGACTTATCCGAATCAGAGGACGAAGCTTCGAAAATGGAGCCTCCCTCAATCGGCCTCTCGACGCCCATTGCGTACTATACGCCTCTGAAAGACCTCTGCTTCTTCCTCAACCGTTCCTCGCAATTCCACTCCTCAGCCAACCCGGACGTCATAGCCCTCATGACCTCTAGCACTACGGCACCCAAGAAAGCAGATAAAGGCCCGAGGCACTGGAACACGACATTGCACATAACCGACCTCTCATCCCACCCTGCTAGCGTAACGGTCCAAATCTTCCGGCCATATGCCAACGCGCTGCCCGTCGCGGAGAAAGGCGACATTATCTTGCTCCGCGGGTTCCAAGTCAAGAGTCTAAATAGACATCCCATGCTGCTCAGTGGCGAGGAGAGCGCATGGTGCGTGTGGCGGTACACAAAGCCGTGCTGGGGTAAGAAGAGAGGTGCGTACGGGGAGGTGCGGGCGAGAGAGGAGGTGAAGGGGCCGGTTGTGGAGAGGGGGGAAGGGGAGTGGAGGGAGGTGGAGAGATTGAGGGCGTGGTGGACAAGGACTGTTAAGAGAGAGCTGGAAGAGAAAGAAGCGAATGAGATTAAGACACGGTCGAAGGATAAAGCGGAATTAGAAGAGATGGACGCGCATGAGATTAGGACGAGGAGCAAGGATAAGGGCAAGGGGAAGGCTGCTAATGGGTTTAGGGGGGATTGATAGGGATGCGGAGTTGTGGCGTGTGGGTTGACGAACGATTGCATATCAGGCGCTGGTTCTCTCGGGTCTCAGGAGAAGACAAAACGACAGGGAGCGCTGCCCGGAAGGAAAAGCATATGTTAGACAGGGCGTCATCCCACGAGGCTCACCTCATGCGGCATAGGAGAGGTAACCACCTCTTCATCGAAACATGATACTGTTTTCACATGATAGTCACCAACGTGATCGAATCTTATCCTAGATCATTTCCCTTTTGTTTTCGTGCTTCTATGGAAACGCCATATATCCCAAGATGCCCATGGCCCATCATGTGCTCATGCCGGTATCATGCCGGTAGCTAGAGGAAGGTAGGTGTAGGACGGACGTTTTACGGCTTCTCGTAGATCCAGTCGAATTGGGCCTGCTTCCAGGACTGGACCTCGCCGTCGGCGAACCAGAGGGCAATCTCCTTCTTGGCGTTGTCGACGCTGTCGCTACCGTGGCACACGTTGCGGCCGACATCCTGTTGTCATCATCAGCATTGTGGTGTTTGCTTGTGCAGGAAAGGTGGTGGTCGTACGAGGGCATAGTCGCCGCGGATGGTGCCAGGCGCCGAGGCGAGGGGGTTGGTGGCGCCCAGGATGGCGCGGCCGGTCTTGACGGCATCGCGGCCTTCCCAGACCATGGCGCAGACGGGGCCGGAGCCCATGTCTATCACGTGGTGTTAGCATGGTACGGAATTGCGGTGTGGGAGGGGGGCTGGGCGTACAGGCAATTAGGCCCGGGAAGAAGGGCTTATCAGACAGGTCGGCATAGTGCTTCTCGAGGTGCTCCTTGGTCGGGGTGACGAGCTTGATGGCAGCGAGCTTGAAGCCGCGGTTCTCGAAGCGCGAGATGATGGGGCCGATGAGGCCGCGCTACAAGCATGTCAGTACCGTGCCAGTACGCGCTATCCGAGCGCCGCTTGCTGCAATTGCACGGCGGGGAGGGATGAGAAAGGAGGAGCCTACCTGGACGCCGTCCGGCTTGACGGCAATGAAGCTATCGACACATCAGCTCCAGACGGCCAATATCATCGGGCGGCCCACGCACGTCTGCTCGGTGGTCATCTTGTCGAATTGTCGGTCCTTGGCGGCGTGGGCTTCGATGTTGCGTCTGAGAAAGCCTCTGTCCTTGGGGCCGAGGTGCTTGAAGATGGGCGGGTCGGGGATGCCAGAGGGGAATTGTGTTGAGGAAGAAGCGGGTGCGTCTGGCGAGGACATGAAAATATGAGGCCGTGGTGGGGTTTGGCTGGTGGGCGGGTGCATAACTTTATGCACTCCACTAGACTAGCTAATTTGTGCCAGGGGCAGGCGCGACCGTGCGGCGCTTATGTCAGCAGCGCTCGAGTTTCAACACCTGGCAAGAGCTCTCTCTGCCTTCTGGCGCTGCTGGTGATTGAATTGCGCGGGCAGCTGCAGAGTCATCATGGCCTCACGCTCGAGAGGCTCCGCTCCCCGCTGGACGGCTGTTTTTCTTTGGTGGGCGGCGCTGTGCTGCCTGCTCCTTCCCGCTGGTATGTATGCCACTCCGCCCGCTCTCTCGTCAAAACATTGGTAGCAGCCCTAACGAGAGACACCAGCTGCGGTCAAGCACGAGAACTTCAAGCGATGCGATCAGTCCGGCTTTTGCAAGCGCAACCGCCAGTTCGCCGACGACGTCTCGGCGTCGAGCTCCTGGACCTCGCCGTACGCCCTCGACCCTGCCTCAATTGCGTTCAAGAACAGCCAATTGTCTGGAACAGTCCTCAAGACACTCGGCGAGGGCGAGCACAAGGCCCGGCTGCCGCTTACGGTGACGTTCCTCGAGTCGGGCGTCGCCCGGGTTACGCTAGACGAGGAGAAGAGGCAGAAGGGCGACATCGTGCTGCGGCATGATAGCAAGGCGAGGAAAGAGCGATACAATGAGGCGGGCAAGTGGGCCCTCGTCGGTGGCTTGAAGGTCTCCGAAGGCGCTGCGCTCAGCGACCAGGTCGAGCAGGGCTATACCAAGGTCTTCTACGGCGAGGGCGGGAAGCACCAGGCCATCATCCGACACCAGCCGTTTGGAATCGACTTCCAGCGCGATGGAGAGACGCACATCAGGTTCAACGAGCGCGGGCTCTTGAACCTGGAGCATTGGCGACAGAAGGCGGAGAAGCCCAAGGAGGAAAATAAGGAGGGCGAAGAGGAGAAAAAGGAGGAAGAAAAGCAAGAAGCGCAGACGGGCGAGGATGAGAGCACGTGGTGGGATGAAAGCTTTGGCGGGAACACGGATTCGAAGCCGAGGGGACCGGAGGCTGTTGCGCTGGATATCACCTTTCCCGGATATGAGCATGTGTTTGGGATTCCGGAGCATGCTACAAAGTTGTCTCTGAAGACTACGAGGTAGGGAAAGTGGCTTTTCATGGTTGACGTAAGCTGATGGATGCCAGGGGCGGGGACGGCAATTACAACGAGCCCTACCGCCTGTATAACGCCGACGTATTCGAGTATGAGATGGACAGCCCCATGACTCTCTACGGAGCTATTCCTTTCATGCAGGCCCACCGCAAGGGCTCCACCGTTGGCGTCTTTTGGCTGAACGCCGCCGAGACATGGGTCGATGTCGTCAAAGCCAAGTCAACAGCTAATCCACTCGCCCTTGGTGTCAAGAGCCACACTGACACGCAGACCCATTGGATCTCCGAGAGCGGTCTTTTAGATGTCTTCGTCTTCTTGGGTCCGAATCCTCAGGACCTGACGCGCCAGTATGGCGAGCTCACCGGCTACACCGCGATGCCTCAGTCCTTCGCCATCGCCTACCACCAGTGCCGCTGGAACTATGTCACCGACGAGGATGTCAAAGATGTTGATCGTAAGTTCGACAAGTTCAAAATCCCATACGACGTCATCTGGCTCGACATTGAATATACGCACGAGAAGAAGTACTTCACGTGGGACCCTCTGACCTTCGTCAACCCCACCAAGATGCACAAGCATCTCGAGAAGCGCGACCGGAAGCTCGTAGCCATCATCGATCCTCATATTAAGAATACCGACAATTATCCGGTCATCGATGAGCTCAAGAAGAAGGACCTCGCTGTGAAAAACAAGGATGGCAACCAGTACGAGGGCTGGTGCTGGCCTGGCTCTTCTATGTGGATTGACTGCTTTAACCCAGCTGCCATCACGTGGTGGAAGGGTCTCTTCAAGTATGACAGCTTCAAGGGCACTGCCCCGAACACCTTCATCTGGAACGACATGAACGAGCCATCCGTCTTCAATGGGCCTGAGACAACCATGCCAAAGGACAATCTCCACTTCGGCAACTGGGAACATCGCGATGTTCACAACATCAACGGCATGACATTCCACAACGCTACGTATGAAGCCCTGATCGAGCGCAAGAAGGGCGAACATCGCCGTCCGTTCGTCCTTACTCGTGCCTTCTACTCTGGTAGCCAGCGTGTCGGCGCCATGTGGACCGGCGATAACCTGGCTGAATGGTCTCACCTCGAAGCATCCATCCCCATGGTCCTCAACCAGGGTATCTCTGGCTTCCCATTCGCTGGCGCTGATGTGGGTGGCTTCTTCGGCAATCCGAGCAAGGAGCTCCTGACCCGCTGGTACCAAGCTGGCATCTACTACCCCTTCTTCCGTGGTCATGCGCACATTGACACTCGTCGCCGCGAACCATACCTTCCCGGTTCTCCATATACTGAGCTCATCACCCAAGCCCTTCGCCTGCGCTACCAGCTTCTTCCGGCCTGGTACACCGCCTTCCATGAGGCTCACACGATCGGTGCACCTATCATCCGACCTAACTTCTACGTCCACCCAGAGGATGAGAGGGGCTTCGCTGTTGATGACCAGCTCTACATCGGCTCAACTGGTCTGCTCGCCAAACCCGCCACCAAGGAAGGTGCGGACAGTGTCTCCGTCTACATCGCCGATGACCAGCCCTACTACGACTATTTCGACTATACCACCTACCAGGGCGCAGGCCACCACACCGTCCCCGCCCCTCTCGAAAAGATCCCACTCCTCATGCAAGGCGGCCACATCATCCCACGCCGCGACCGACCCCGCCGCTCCTCCGGCCTCATGAAATACGACCCCTTCACCCTCGTCGTCGTCCTCGACTCCTCCAATTCCGCCAACGGCACCCTTTACCTCGACGATGGTGAGACTTTCGACTACCAGCAGGGCGCGTACATCCACCGACGCTTCGCTTTCGACGGTAAGCGCAACATCCTGACCTCTACAAATCTCGCTTCTGGCTCGCGCACTGCCAAGCTAGACGCGTTCTTGAAGAGCATGACCAAGGTTAGGGTGGAAAAGGTTATCATAGTAGGCGCGCCCAAGGAGTGGAAGGGCAAGACGGAGGTGGTAGTGATGGAGGAGGGAGCCAAAGAGAGCGCGCGGAGGAAGAAGACGGCGTTTGAGTACTATGAAGCGGATGGCAAGAAGGCGGCGTGGGCGGTGGTAAGGGATCCGAAGGTGGGAATTGGTAAGGGGTGGAAGATTGATTTTGCGTGAGGGATGTGTGTTGCTACGCCGGCAAACAGATAAAGCATATAGGTAGAGCGCTAAACAGAGTTGTGTATATAGTACTCCCGAGAAGAGAGAGAGAGAGAGAGAGAGAGAGAGATGGGGAATATGACTTGGCGCTATGTAGGTTACGGATAGACTTGTGCTTGGAATTGCATGGAGTTCTTAGGGTCTAGGCGACCGCGCCGCAACACCAATCCGTGCACAGATTTCCGTTTACAAGCCCAGGAACCATCTCAGTGGCAGCAGCAGTCCTCAGGCAATATCTATACACATATTGTATATCCTCGAAAACCCATCTTCTTCGGATCACGGCTTGATTCCCACCCGTGAAACAAAATCTAGCATCTTCTCGAAAGCCTGCAATCGCCCCAGATGCATGTTGATTTGGTGCGCCATATCCGGCAGCGTAACAGCCTGTGACTGGTCGGATGGCGCATTGGGATAGAACACTGCTAGCGCCTGCGCCGTTACATCTCCGTCTCTAAGACAGTCTCCCTGGCAGTAGAACAGATCCTGCTGGCCGTTCAACACGAGCACTGGCTTCTTGAACCCCGGTGCTGGTGTGTATATACTCCCCAGCGTCAACGTCTCCCCAATGGTGCTCGTCCCATAGGTTTTGAATTCTTTGAGGAAGACTGCGATCTGGTCAGTGCTGAGGGCGGAGAAGCAAAGAGCTGAGCTTACTTTCAGGATCGAAATGCGGGTAGAAAAAGAACGCAAATTGCAGTGTCTGGGGCGCGGGACCCAGGGTGAAGTACCCATTCGGCAGATCCTTCCACTCCGGTCGACCTTCCATCGTATTCGCGATCTGCCGAGCCGTGGATGAAAGAGCGATTCCCGCTCCGCCTCTGTGGCCTGAGTGCCCAGTAAGCACGACTGCGTCGAAATCGTCAGGATACCTAGCCGATTCGCTCTGCGTGACCGCTGAGCCCAGCGAATGCCCGACTCCTACTACTTTTGTGAACGCCATGTTACCAATGTTCCCGTCTCTCAACATGCCAACCAGCAAATGCGCGATCTCGACCTGCAACGGCGCCTGCACAACCTGCACCGGATCCGGTTTGTCCGACTTCCCACTCCCGAGCCGATCATACGAGAACGTCGCATACCCTTGCTCAGCAGCAGCATCGGCGTAGCTATACCCCTCTGCAAAATCCCAGTACGAGCTATCACCTATTCCGCCATGCGTTAGGAACTGCACGCTACTAAGCCCCCTCGTCTTCTCTTCATCAGCCGGAACGCAGAGCTTGACGTATATGCTGAAGGTATCTGAGACTGTGGATGAAGGGCCAATGTAGCGGATGAATGCATTGCTGTTTATGCTGAACAGATCGGTTAAGAATTCAGTGAGTTCATAGTTATCGCGCGGGCCAGGGTAGAGGATGGTAGCCTGGCTGGAGGTGACTGGGACAGCGAGTGTGCCGGTGAGGCAGATTGCTTTGCCGCCGGAAGAGTGCTGGAGGATGGGGTTGGAAGGGCCGGTGTTTCCGAGGCTTCCGAAGGAGGTTATATTCAGAGACGGGGCGGTAGATGTGGAGGCGTTGTTGGTGAAGAGGCCGTTCCACAGGAGGGTGGCTTGCCATAAGGTGTCGAGGATGTTCTGCATTGTGAAAGTACTTTGGAGGCGTAATGAGGGCTGTATGATATGAGAAGTAGGGCTTCCTTTCCCTGTCAGCAATTGTTTCGCGATGCAAAGTTGTGTTACGCCTTGCTACGCCGCCTTGGAGGCCTTGTTTACACGTGAGCGTCTTTTTGGAGGTAAGCTTACAGGCCCCCGTCATCCTCGATTAAACGCCGCGCGCTCAGTGGACAAGGGCTTTTAACCCTTCCGTTTATTGCATTTACGACCAACCAGCAGCGTATACTTCACATCTACAAAGGCGCCCGCCTTTGCCTCTTGAATAAGTTGTTTCTGATACTCCTCAAGCTGACTACCTTGCTCTTGATACCGATACTCTTGTAGACCCGCCAACCAGCTCTGCGTGGCAATGGGCTGATAACGATCTGGAGTGCTTAGCGTTTCGTCGACGATAACCTCGAGGTTGTGCTCCGTAAAGGTACGAGATAGGTTTATTACCCAACTAGAGCAACGTGCATTAGTGAATGATCACCAATCTCGAACCGGAAGGCATGAGGGATTACTCGTAGGAGCTGTGCGCTGCAGGCTTATGCCATTGCTTGGCCAGTCGGTCGCAGCCCGGTGTAGGCTGGCCGTTGTCCCTAGCCACTGTGTGTGCGGTGAGAGGAAGTGGCTCAAACCACTGAATGTATCCGCCGGGCTCTGTGGACGCTTAGTTCCTGGAACACTCACACCATCTTCGTAAGAATTCTCATACTTAGGAGAGTCAGGAAATTCTCCAATACTGGATCCTTATTGTCGTCATTCACGATAGTGAGCCAGGCACGCACGTTTACCACATCGAACCGCCCCAAATACTCCTCTGGAAACGGCTTCAAGCAGTCAAAGGCGGCGAAAGATACGTTTGGTGTCCTCCATTTCTCGGGAGGGAATTGTTCGTCTGAGATGTCGACTGCGTAGATGGAAGCGGAAGGGAGCTCAGTGGCTAGCTCTTGCGCCCAGATCCTGAGGCAGTGTCAGTGGCTGCAGCTAATAATCTTCTTCTCTGCGCCCCTTATGGAGGCAGTCGTGTGGCGGTAGCTCACCCCGTACCTGCGCCAAGATCGATAATGTGGAGGTCTGACTTGTCGAGTTTGATGTTCGGATGAAGAAGATGGCCAACGATTCGTCCCATAAAGAAGTGTTGGAAGTTCAGCCTATGAGTCATTGGCGGTGGTCTGTGAGCGGGAGAGAGAGAAGAGACTGACCGCATTGATCCCAGCCAATGGCGCTCGTTGACGTAGGGTCGGGTAGTTATAGACATGATGAAGGCTTTGGATTTCCACAAGTATGAGATCTTTTGAGGACTTAGGTGCGAACCGAGCTTATCTTTGATTAATTAAGAAATAGCGAGTTGGACTGGGTGACGCGCCAGTGGCCGGGTTGCTTCCAAGGTTCGGATAGACTACTATTCCCCTAATAAGGTTAGCATGTGTCAGCTTGGGCTGAAGCCTCGTCTACCCCACTCTCCATCCGCTCTTGGTTCTGAGCTCTGAATGGTTCTTAGGAAAATGCAAATTGACTATGTTGATGATTTGACGGGCGAATCTTTGGAGTAGGTGCAGAGCCGCGTATAGGATGCCATGGTGTTGGGCTCCCTCTGGCAGCGCGAATGTGATTCACTGATAGCCGAGTCCAGCCAGCCCAGTGACGTAGATTCAAGAAACGAAAAACGGAAAACAGAACACTACGAGCGTAGAAGCAGAGGAAAGTAAAGGAAACGAAATACCGTTTCTCGAGCGACGTATGCGCCAGCGCAAGTACATAAGAAGCTCCTGTCTCTCACATAATTCTTTATCCCCATTTCCTCGGCTTAGTTACTTCCTGATGTCATCGCCAGTCCACGTGACCCGCACTTTCACTGCTGATTTCTAGCCGTCCATCTTGTCTAACTCGTACTCCACCTACTTCAAGTACCACTTTGTTCCGTCGCATACCCCGTAGCATGGACACATTGTCATTGCCTACAATATCTGCCTTCCAGCCGAACTACCCGTCTACTCCGATGACGCCGGCTCAAGTAGAGTGGCTGCAAGCGCTTCATGGAAGCAGCCGGGTCGGGTATCGCCCCGCCGGCCTCCCGTTTTCTGCTACGCCCCATGCCAAAGTTCAAAAGTGGACTAGCACTCCACGCGTCGTCGCACGGGCAGGCGCTTGCACCGCCCTATGGGTTCTTCTGAAACCCCAAGGCTTTCATACGGCGGAATATGTAGCATATCCAACTTCATCCACCCGCGGTGGGCGAGCCTCAGCGGACTGGATAACGCGAGCGAGCCACAAGGAATAATGTAAGCGGTGATGCCAATCATCGCGGAAGACGGGAGGAGAAAGAGGGGGGGTTGGGGTGAGAGTTGTGAGATACGTGGAGACGGTTGTTATCGTTAAAGAAGCAGCTTGGACTGGAGAACTCGTGGGAGGTGACCTTGACTGCGGAATGACTGGAGAAGTCGACGATGGCAGCGAAAGCGACGATAAACTGACTGCCGCGAGGACGCGAGCAGTGATGAAAAGAGTGGTGACTGTGATGGTTGTTGGGCTGCCCGGTGTGGGTGAATGGAGACATGTGCGAGGCGAATGGGTGGGGGCATTTCTGTCAGCAGTCCGTGGCACCTGGTTCTCCCCCCAACAGTTGGAAAGGTGCCATGGAGATGTCACTCACACTCTTCAGGCCGCTCCGCTTTGCCCTTGGAGCCTTCGTGGGGGTTCCCGTTGGGAGCGCGATAGATTTGAAGGCGGTCGTTCACTGATCAATGCACGATACTGCCCAGCATCACGTCGTCGTTCTTTCCGTCCTGTCTCTCATCTCGCGGGTTTTGCTTCGTTCGTTGAGGCCGGATGCCCAGTCCACGGGTATAGGCTCCACGAGCTCTCTTTTTAGCGCACGCTAAGCTGCGACGGGTCTAGCGCCCTCGTTCCCCGCGCTAAATATGCGCTGACACCCCTGTCCACTCCAACGCCCCTCTACCCTCCATCACAGACTCTCCACCTCGACGACGACTTTCCGCTCCGCTGGATACCTCGTTCCTCGCACTTTTGGTGCTATGCCACCCCTTATTACCTCGGTGCACCACCCAGCATCATTCTAGCCCGGGAGCGACGCACCAGTCTTGTACAATGCATGACGACGCCGAGCGGTCCGCTTCACGCAATGGAGTCAGAAGAGCCTGAGGAAAGAAAACCGCGATAGGATCCTTCCCTGTGCATTTCAGAGTGTCCCGCCCCGGGTTGTATGGACGGTCGCGTACGCAGCGATCACATGTCCGTTATGCAATGCGCTGCCACTTCCCTGTGCCGCAGCCCCAGCTCGTGTTCGCTCGTTCTCCTCGTGCACAGCGTTGATACCTCGGCGTCTGCGGCGTAGCCTCCGTGGATCGATCGGCATCTAGCCCCTCTGGCTTGAATCGTGTCTCATTCTCCGTGGGAGGCCTAGCAAAAGAGCAGGGCCATTGTTCCTTCGTCGCGCTTGCCGGCGAGGTCTCATTCGAACACCTATGCCCGAACGTCTCGGGCCGAAACATCTTGCCCGTGCCGACTGAACGGCATGACTCGCTTGTCGCGTCTGCTCCCATTTCCCCGCCCTGGCGTCCAATGAGCCGTATAGTGATATCAAGCCATGGGCGACTTTCGCTTCGTGGAGCTCACAAAGCGTACGTCCTGGTCATAGGACGGAATCGGCTTCGTGTTTCAGCATCATTGGTCTCATTTTCTTAAAGACATCTAACGTCTCAATGCTGCTATTACCGTAGGCCGCTACCCCCCACCGGTTCTTATATCTCAGCGACGCTCACTCTTCGGACCGACCGAGTTGCCCAAGCCATCAAACAGCTGATCAACCGTTCCCATCTGGGACTCCACGCCATGGCGCGCACAGCGGCTTTTAATTCAAGCCATATCGGGGCTCTTCGTCATCACCAACAGCAGAAGCAAAGCCCTGCCCTTTCATCTTCCCATCTCGACGACCAGTCTCCTTCCTCATCTCTCCTTGACGAAAGTTCGTTCACCAAAGACTCAATCTGCGTCAAACCCTTCGATCGATGGAGGCCCCTCGGCGGCAGGCCTCAGCACGACATATTTCGCCGGTTCAAAGTCCAACCTAGCGAGAAGGAGGATTTTATGCTACATTGGGTACGCAAAGGGCTTTCGTATGGCTTCATCACACACGATGAAAGCGGCATCCTCGTCTTTCGCGTGAGTTCGGCCGACCTCTCGCATTTGGCTGCTCTCGACATCGGTCGTTCGGACGTCTCAGAGCCTTGTCCCCAATGGATACATGTATACGACGAATACGGGGTGTCATGGCTGACCCAATTCCGCCTGGTAGACCTCGACAACTTTCCCAAGGTCTACGACACCAACGGGCACCCGATATTCGCTAGGGGAAGACTTGGCCGATACGGACCGTCGGGTCTCACTCCGTTTGATTTCTACAGCCGTATGGCTGAATCTCTCGGGGGTGGAGGAGTCACAAGGATCCAGGCCAAGACGGAATAGAGCTTCAGTGTCATTTATGATATGCCTGTGGTGTTTTGGCGGAGTGCATTCTTCTGTCCCTCCCGATTTCCTCATTTCATTCGCCCTCCACTCAATCGTTGGTGCATATTGGAGTTATACGTTGAATATCTGGGTGTATCTTTCCATACGTTAAAGTCATTTCCCCTATCCGGCTCGTTCGGTTAGCGTACACTTCCTCCAGCCCTCCGCGGGGCGTCTTATACCCGACCGCCTAATCAATTTCGGTTTGTCAGTCAAAAACCTTGTACAAATCTGTCAAGCTCGTTCTCCGCGCGCGCATTGCACCGCTGCATCATTCGATTCCATCGTCGAAAGCGTGCCTTAATTAGCTCGCTTCGCCCCAATCTTCCTTCTAAACCCGTTTCATGTCTCACAGCCTGACAACCCGGGTAACAACCAAGTCGCCTCCATGCAGCACGAAGCGCGTAGATTTTCCAGCCGTTGGGGTCCCGCGCTTAATGGCTGGCCCCTGATTGGCCCATGTGGCGCAGCATTTCCATATTCAACCTCGGACCCACGACCCACCGTTATAGAACCCTTGTTCTTGCAGCAACCGCATAATGGCGAGTCGAATCAGAGTACACGTTTGTTTGACGCATCACGCTTTTCCGGACGGCCGGTTTCGATCGATCCAGTTGGTTATGCGGATTCGATCCAATCCGGGGAGGGCAACAAGCTACGTGGACGGTGCGAGTGCCTTCTTCGGGCTATTTGGCCGTTGGGGACCCTCGTAGCTGCATCGTTTCTTCTATTTTGAGGCTGTACACGCTGCACGGTAGGCGCGCAGGGCGTAAATTTTCCGGGAGTGACGTACCGAGTGTTTCTACTGCAGCTCTTTTAGATCTTCGAGATGGAAGTATAAAGATACGAAAGTTGCTGTGGAGCCTCAGCTTTATCTGCAGCATCAAGGCGGCTTCGATATTCTCTTGGGCGGTTCTTCTTGGCCTTCCATTCAAGATACCTCCCCAACGGCATTCCCCTCGCGGAACCCTTCACCACTCTCGCTCACACATCTCTTTTTCCTTCGCCCCTAGGCTAGTCATCACGCCGCCCACCCGGAAGACGACTCCGACCTCACGTCCGCAGCCGCAATGCCTCGTCCGAACCGCTATCACCCCTACAACCGCTCGAACCAGCAAGTCATGTCGCCTCGCTACCCTCCACCTCCTTCCCTCCGCCTGCCGCAGCCTATGCCCGCCATTGCTGAGCAGCCGCTCGCCAGACCATACCAGTACATATACCCAGGCTACATCAGGGGGCATACTAGTGACGGAAAGACACTCGTCGCGCGCCAGGTGATCCAAGCACCAGATGGTATGCTGCACGTACAGATGCAAGTTGTGCGCTTCCCAAGCGAGGACGTCAAGCAGTACGCTTCTATGCGGCAGTCGCAATCACCTCCAGCTTCCGCTCCAGTCCAGATGCCAACGTCGATGCAGATGCAGATCGATCCGGCGCTGGCGGGGCTGGGAATCAAGCGGGATGACATGCCACGGAAGTGTAGTACGAGCGCAGGCTCCGTGTCGTCGCAGGATGCCAGGTCACTGACCGGAAGGAGCGATGATTGTGCTGTTTCGAGCGATGAGGAGGAGGATGCTGAGGGAGAGGTCGTGCCGGTTGTTGATGATGGGCAGTGGAGGGCTGCCGTGGAGCAGAGGAGGATTGTAGAGGAGTTGCTGAGGCAGAGGGAAGCGCTGGGCATGTTACAGTGAGGGCGGATGCACGCTATGGTAACAACATCAATGGCGTAGCATAGGGGCGTATCAGATCGTGGTAATATTTTTCTTGTTCTTCATCCCTTTCCTGTCTTTCATTCAACTTATTTTATTCTTTTGGGAGGATAATTTCGGTGGTACTCTCTTTTCAGCGTTGAGGAGGCTAGCGCTATGCACTTTCGTCACAGCATTTCCAATTTAATCGCATTCAGATTGCTTCTTATCCATGTCGCTATTATTATTGTGTCCCCGTCTTGGGTCTCTGCTTACCAAAGCCCCAGGGAATTCCGGCGCGCTTCTGCCGGAAAGTACCCACCTTCTACATGCGCGAACGAAGAGATGCCGGTACACATTCAAGAACAGCCGTTACTTCTTGCTCTTCTCAACCATCTTTCCCATCTCAAAGAAAGTTTGTTCTCGCTCATCGCCGAACATTAGGTAATAGAACATATCTGCCACCTCCGCTTCAGGCTGCATGACCCGAATCTTCGTGATGTAGTGATCGGCGAGGTCGAAGTGCGTGAAGGCGCTCCATATGATGTCCTGGCCTCCATCTTTCCCCCGGACGTGGACCCGCTTGGCCACCGTGCGGATGATAACGTCGTACAGTTCCTTGCGCTGGGGGAAGAACTGCCATGTTGAGAGCTTCATACCTCGCTTGCGCTTTCCCAAGAGCGATTGGTGGATGGGCTGGGTAGTGTTGCCGAGCGCTTTGGGGGATGATCGGTAGAGGACGGCTGATACGAGGCGGTGGTAGATGGAGACCTCTGCTCTCCAGTCTTGCGCTTTGATGACACCGAAATTGATTTGGAGGGTATCAAGGGGCAGCATGGTCATGACGAAGGGGTTATTTCCGCCTACCGCATCGAGTTTCTTGATGGACATCGTAACCTTGACGTGTCGAAGATGCTGTTGGAGGCTACCAAGATTCCAGAGCTTTGGGTAGAAGTTAAGACCCGTATCTCCTCGGAGATGAAATTCAATTGTCTGGAGCGCTTTGATGTAGGCTTCTCCGTGGACGAGGCGGCAGGTAGCCAGGAGGGAAAGGGCTTCCGAGGACATGGTCGAGTACGGTGGTGCGAATACGTTTTCGTATATCATCGAGCGGACTTCTACTGGAAGTGCGAACAGCGGCGAATCCTGCTGCGGGTGGATTGGACCTCGGAAGAGGTGGTTCTTGTAGATGGTCTCCATCTTGTGCGTGCTATTCATTTTGTCCCATGTATATGCGAGACACCTAGTGATAGGGTTGGTGGCGAGGGAATAGAGCACGGATTTGGCAGCGTCCATATTTTGGGGTGCTTTGATTGGTGTCTGACGGAGCGATCCTGGATAACAGTAGCGTTGCTGTTAAGATCGAAGGGTTGGAGAGACGAGGGGTGTTGCACGCGTGGTTGCAATAAGTTTAGTTTGTTGCAGTTCAATCACATATGAAAGAGAATGGCCGCTAGGGGGCTGTCGTCAGGTTCACTGTCATTCTTGGAGCGCCGTGGGCAGCCTTTGCCAAGGTCATTGTGCAGCGTGGTTTTCAAAGGTAAAGGCGGTAGATGCACGGGTGGTGCCCCAGTGAATGCCATCCCACGAGCGACCTGAAAAGGCGTAGGGCGTCTCGAAAAGCTCAAACCAATGCCTTCCTACTCTCCGGATCATACCGCTTACTCCCTCTGCATACCTTCGCAACCCTTTCTTAAGATCAACTCCCACTAAAAATCTCCCCTCTCCACGCCAACCGCCCAGCTCATACAACTAAACCTCCTTCACAACCCTAAGCTCATTCCGACTCAGCATCCAAAGCACGAGAATAAAAACCACTCCACCGCTATCCTCGCCATTTACCTCCCCGAAATTCAAGATAATCCGCTCCGCTTTCAGAGCCCGCGGTTTCTTTGCATCGATTACGGGCATATTCGATGGGACATGCGGCGGAAGCGGCTCGCCGGCAGCATAGCTTATGACGTCAGCTATAGCGCGGAAGAACTGCTCGAATATGTACATGGAATTGCGGAACGCTGGGGGCATGAGGCGCTCATCTCCCGCCGCCGACGTAGTGACCTTCGCGTGATAGCACAGCTTCAGCGTGGCCAAGTGCAGGCTTAGCAACGGTCGAAGGTACGAAACGACCTCGCGGTGCGTTCCATACGCGCGCTCGACGCGCTAGTAATCAACTTGCTCGTCCGAAAGCAGTTCTGCGGGTATATTGAGATCCACTCGCTGGATATCGGCGAACGTATTTGGGAGCGAGACGTGGAGGTGCGGGTACGCAGTCATCCAGGGCCACTTTTTAGTTGTGGATTGTATGAAGAATCGCATAGCCTTGACGCATTCTGCTTCCATTTCTTGCTTCAGGTGGCGGCATGATAGGAATAAGCCTCAGGCGTCGGAAGCTGGTCCCTGGCGAGGCAAAGGCGGCGAGTACCTGGCCCATTGGAAGGCACCCGCCCATGCCTAGCAATATCCCACCCTTTCTCGCTGCTAGCCAAGCTGCGCAATGCAATATACAGCTACTGCACAGTGACGTTCGGGGCAACTACCAAAGAATGGGAAACGTTCGGATTGGCGGAGCCGATACCCGACGAGAAGAGTCTGGCAGCGGGGCAAAGTTCCAGTTCCACTCACATCGTCGTCACAACCAGGACCAGACGGTAACGCGCTCACCCCATTGCCGCAGCCAGGAGCCAGTGACTTCCCAGGCTCCAGGGACAAGCAGCCACGACGCAGGCGCGCCCGACCGCGCAAAGGCCGGGGCGAGGACGGCGGTAGCAGCAGCGGCAACACCCCCACGAAACCCTTATAGTTCCAGGCGTCCTGATCTTCAATCTCTGGAAAGTCATCCCCCATCCTGACGCGCTCCAGCGCGCTCACCCGACGTAACAAGGCGTCGAAGAAAACTCCAGGCGCCTTGCACCTCACTGCGCCGACTCTTCACGCTTCGCATCGTCCTCATTCTCCCCCCCGCCGGCGCCATACACCCTGCGCACATCCTCCTTCTTCGGCACATCATCCGGATGCGGGTTCCCCTCATGGTGGCCGTCATCTCGCAACGTGCCCCACAGCCACAGTAATCCCAGGAAGCCGAGTAAGACGGCAATAATTGTCGGAGCGGCGGGGTGTCGCATCTTCTTTGCTCTTCTTTGCTGTATACATCAGTGTTGGCATACTTGCTGACTTTGGATTCACACGTGGAGCTCTGAAAGCTTTCCGCGTTTTTGCGATACCCAGGGTGATTTGTCTAAATGGAGTTTGGGCGGCGGTTATAAGGCCAATGAAGGGGAAGAGGAAGGGATAGAAAGGGACGGAACATACCCACTGCTTTTATCGTCGTTGCGGTTTTGGGGGTATCGGCAATCCTTGAATTTTCGGGGGTTTTCGCCACCTGTACCTAGGTAGGTTGCAACGCTCGGGACAAATTACTGTATAGAAATGTCCAATGCGCAGAATGAGGCTGCAATTATTCATGAGGCGGACTATCGTATTTTCGGTTCAATCGACGTCTTCTTTGGCTAGAAAGCGCGAGAGAGGAGAGAGTGACGAGGTGAAGTTGAGGAGATCGACGTCAAATGGGCGAAAGCGGATACCTAAGCGAACGGTGGGGTAGTGAGGACTAGGCCTTGCCTTTCATCACCATAGCTTCGTCTCTAGTCTTATACTTGCTTATTTGATCTCCATGCATGATGCCACACGCACCGGCTTGTAACCTCGAGTGGCAGGTGCTGGAGGTGTTGGGCGGTTTACGTGACATATCGGGGCACCTTGAGGCGATTCGGACACGATTTGATGCTCTCTGGTTCATGAGACTGCACAACTGCTCTCAATAAATCCACTTTTGACGAATGTAGTCATGTGCGTTGTATCTATTCGCGATATTGAGTCGAAATGCCTCAAATACGGTCCTTCGTCTTATCCCATTCCAGCCTTTCGGCGAGCATCTCCCAGACAGGCTCTGCCCCAACCCTTCCCACACTGCGTAATCCTGCTATAGCAAAGGGCAATAGCCGTACAAACTCCTTGTCTATCGTCTGAAGGCTCTCTTCGAAGCTACATTTGCCCGGTGGCTTCGAGACTGTAGTGTCTCCGTCAGTTCCCTCATCCCCACCCTCCGAATCCGACGATTCGTCTTCGACAATAGCTGGAATAAAACTCTTTCGCCTAGAAGCTTTCAAAGAAGCTTTGGTCTCGTCTCTCGACGTTTGTTTCCCGCCTGGCACAGTTTGATTCTTTCCTTGTAGGCTATCGCGACTATTGCCGCAATGAACCTCCGAGAAGAGAACGCCAAGGTCCAAGAGGGCTATGACAGCCGTATTAATAGGTTTCAGGTTCTGAGAAAGTAATGCCTGTTCTTGCAGCCTTGCCACGTATTTGATGTGGATGGTTGCCATCTCGTCGATGTCTTCTGCCTTACTCATCGCCGCGATCATATCTTCAGTGGACCGATCGACTACTGCTTCCGTAAGGTATGAACGAAGGACGTCGGTGAACCAGATAAGCCGGTGACGGAGCTTATAGCTGAGTTGACGCAGTCTAGCGTCCTTGACGCCATGGATGCTTTGAAGAGACACCCGTTGCAGAAGATACTTCGCGCGGTAGATCTGGAGCAGGAAAGTGAAGATTTGCTGGTAGATGGGCATAGAAGACCGTTGAATGATGTTCATGATTGGCCATGGCAGCTGCTTGAAGTCAGTATCGCGCCGGCTTCGCTGAAAGCATCTAGATGTTACCTACTGCGTAATCAACGGACACGTTTCCGAGCCCTTTAACGGACCGACTCGGTGTCTTCGAGCGCGCTGAGCGCACGACGAGTTTTTCGGTATTCACTCGGCCTAGCGCAGCACTGAATATCCCACGCGCCAGCTCGGTCAACAAGAAGCGGTCGTCCCAACCCCTTTGACCAGCATCCATGCGCTCGAATATGGCATCGGCAAAGTCCTGGAAGATGGATCCATCACCACCAAGGTAGAAGAGCTTGAAGTTGCGCAAGATCTCCATTAGAGCGTACTGGGTGAAAAGATGTTGCCGTAAGATGGTGGCAGCAAAAGAATATTTGCTCTTGATCCACCTCTGAAATGCAGCCTGGAAGAGTTCTGAAAAGGGCGAGAGCGGCGTTTCGAACGATGTGCCACAAACAGTCTCATGATCTAGGCGAGGCTCGGGCTCAGACGAATCTAGGGCAGCGCCGTATATTCCAAGCTCCTTCAAGAAGACCAGGCTCTTCCCTGTATTGAAGATCTTTTGCGCTGCCGGCTGAAGAAACGCCGGAGACCGCAAGGCATTCTCTTTCCCACGACGAAGCACGAAACGATCATGCCAGAGCGAAGAAGCCTCGCTACTTGAGTCATTCTCGAAAACAAAGAACGTCTCATCGTTCGTGCCCAGCTCTCCCGCCTCCATCCATTTCCGAATCGGCTTGAGGTACGTCTGTAAGCACTGAAAGAAGATCCCGGAGAGTAAATCGAATATATCCCGCTCCAGCGCCATCTGAGCAAAGCTTATCTGGTCAAACAGTGTCTCCAGATGAATGAATGGATTGACGAGGAGTTGTGGTTCCATGTCGGTGACAGTTTGAGCCAAGCGTAGAATGGGCCGAGACATAATTCGCACCTCGTCGTGAAGCCCGAGTAGGCTGACTGCTACCGGTATGCCAGGTACTAGATATCGCCGCTGTAGCAGTGCTAAAGATCGATCATAATCCGAGAGCCTCCTCCTGACGGCAGCTTCGAACGTCTGGATGAGCGGCAAGGATGATGGTCGCTTCGTCCATTGCCGCAATCGGTAAAGACGGCGTCCCATACCTGCCAGTTCGTGGAGAAGGTGATTGGTTGTCCTCTGGATAGCGTGGCTGAAAATGTACTTCTGGTTGACACGGATATTAAAGCTGTGCTTGTCCGTGTGGTACAATGATGTCTGGAGCCCGGCGAGCATGAACAGCGTCTCCCTTATGGCCTGCAACTCCGTGATCTCCACCTTCTGCTCCTCTTCTTTGAGCTCATGCTTCCAAAACTGTGCCACCTCGACCTCTTTCACGACTGCCGCGTCGACAGGGACAACGCAGGCTTCCGGATCGTATGCATCGTCGTCTTCCACGCTCGTCGGCGGAGACGGTTTTGCATTTGCCCTCCTCTTCGGCGTCTTCTCATCTTCTGACGACTCCAGTGCATAATCGACGTCTTTCCAAATATCTTCATCGCTATACGGGTCCTCTTCTAAGATCTGCTTCCATGTCAAAGGTGGCGGTGGGGTAGGCGGTCTCAACAATTGCAGCGCCTCTATTTTCGAATTCTCCGTCGGTTGATCCGAAAGCTGAAGCAGTAGTGAAAGGTACTCCGGGATCCATTTGCTGCGGCGCTCGTTGATCTCCTTGACGCGTGCATCAAGCGCATCCGCCAGACCGTCGCGATTCAAGACGCGGAATTTCTCGTCCAGCCCCGCGAAGCTGGCCTGGACGTCGAACTGGTTTGTCCGAGCGTACTGATGCGCTCCGAGTCCCTTCGTCGCGATATCTCGCGCGCGTCTGCAGGCCTCTTTGTTCGTCTCGTGGTCGAACCGCAGTATGGACTGCACCAACTCCTCCGTGAGCGCCGCAACCCTTGCACTCTGTGCCATCGCGACCATATCTCACAGCCCTCGCAATTTCTCCGCTGTCGCGCGCGCAAGTCCCGGGCGCGCCGTTGTGGTGATACGCGTCGTCCCGCCGGCGCCAAGCCTCACGGCGGCGCCTTCCCCAACACGGCTAGTCTCTTACGTATCTTACGTATACTGGCCCGAGCGCCCCGGGCCGTGACGTGAAACATTCAACGGCGTAAGACGACGGCAATGCTGGTAGGAAGTGCAAGGGACGCTGTCCCTTACGCTTCTTTCTCACCCCCACCGGCGACACCATGGCTCTCCCGAAAGGCATGCGGGTTCTCGCCGCGCTCACCATGTGCATATTCTTCTACCTGTTTCTGCAGATTCTCCGCGCGCCGGCGGGCGAGATGCAGATGCCAGAGAAGGTGCCGGGCTCGACGCTGCAGGAGTGGGATCACGACCCGCAGCTGGATTGTACGTGGTCCCTTCCCTTCCCTCCTTCCGGGTGGTATAAGCGCATTGCAAGCTGATTGCGAGTACAGCATCCGGCGAACCCCCGGAGCCTCTCCGCCGTGTCGAAGGCGACAATTACGAACCGAACAACCCGAACAGCGCACGCATAAATGCCACAATACTCAGTCTGGTGCGGAATGAGGAGATAGAAGACATGCTGCAGAGTATGCGCGATCTTGAACGGACGTGGAATCACAAGTTCAATTACCCGTGGACCTTCTTCAACGACAAGCCGTTCACAGAAGAGTTCAAGGAGAAGACGAGCGCAGCCACCAAAGCTGAGACGCGGTACTGTCCGTACTCCTCCGGTCCCCATACTCCTGTACATTGCGCGAGGGCATGCTGACATACTCCAGACCTCGTCCCCGCCGAACACTGGGACATCCCCTCTTGGATAAACATGGACCTCTACCACGAATCCGTCTCCCTCCTCGTCGAGCAAAAAGTGCAATACATGGAAAAAGTATCCTACCACCAAATGTGCCGCTGGAACAGCGGCATGTTCAGCCAGCACCCAGCCCTCGAGCACATCCAATACTACTGGCGTGTCGAGCCCAAGGTGCACTTCTTCTGCGACATCGACTACGACGTCTTCCGCTGGATGCAGGAGCACAACAAGACGTACGGGTTTAATATCAACATATATGATAGTCCCGAGAGTGTGGCAATGCTGTGGCCCGAGACGCTCAAATTTCTGGAGGACCATAAGGAGTATGTGCATGAGAATAATGCGCGGGAGTGGTTGGAGGATGGGAGCAGGAGGCCGGATAATAAACGCATCGCACACGGCTATTCAACGTGCCATTTCTGGTCGAATTTCGAAATCGGCGATCTAAACTTCTGGAGGAGTAAACAGTACCGCGATTACTTTGACCATCTAGACCGCGCGGGAGGTTTCTTTTACGAGCGCTGGGGCGATGCGCCGGTGCACAGCGTAGCCTTGGCGTTGTTCGAGGACAAGTCCAAGATACACTGGTATGTCTACAGTCCTCCTTGCTATCCCGTTGCATGGAAGTCTCATGAGAACACAGGTTCCGCGACATCGGCTACCAACACATCCCCTTCTTCAACTGCCCCAACAACCCCAAATGCTCGGGCTGCGTAACTGGCCGCTTCACCGACGGCGAAAAATGGCTAAACCGCGAGGACTGTCGCCCACTATGGTTTAAATACGTGGGCATGGACTAGCTCTCTTCCCCCCTCGGAGTGCTTCGTCGTTTAGCGCCTGACCGCTCCAGAGCTAGGTGGATGGATGTATAAATACGATGCTGCTGTATAGAGTTTTCATAGCCGGCTAGGGGCAGGGAATTTGCATTGGGACATGATGGAATTTGTTAGCATGGCGTTATGACGCCATATGACTTGCTTAGGCGGGCTCGTTTGAGCACTCTAGGCTTTATGTATCATAGTTCGGATGAAATGATGAGAATGATACCCGATACATACTGCCTACAGTTGGATGTAAGCTTGATGGCGTGGGATTCCATGCATGAAGAAGCAAGGAGAGCCGGGCGCCCGCCTTCAATCGATTTCACCACAGCATGATTCGTGACGCGTTAGCAAGTGCAAAACCAAAAATGGGAATTCTGTACAACGGCTACAGCGGAATGCCGCTCTCTCCTCTAATGCTGCTACGACCCCATGCACCGATTCAACCCCGCCGCATACCTAGATAGCTTGTAGAGAAAACATCGCAGTAGTGATACAGCGTCCCATCCCTCCTTTTCGTCGGTTCTAGTAGTGAGAAATCAAAATTGTGGTGACATGTACAGGTGATTGTGCTTGCGCGTGCTCGTGTTGCGCTTCATCGCTGGGAAGGGGACGGGGGATATGCGAGTTGCTTCTATTTGTCGTCGGGGTACATGGTCTCCTTCAGCGGGACGCCGAGCTCCTCGCGTATCGGCTCGAGCTCCTGGAGGTATTCTTCATACTGGCCCTTGTTCTCGACCTTGTATTTGATGCCTGGCGACGGTGTTAGCAAGCGTGCAGCAAGCGGTTGTTTAGGCCGAGAGAGCGGCACCCAGGGCCGCTAGAGTAGAGCTTCGATGGAGCCGGTGATGGTGTTGGATGGCCCAAAGCGCGTCACAGGGGGAGAACCTACCCTCGAAGACTCGGACGGCGGAGGGGAAGTCGTTGACGCGACGGGCAGCGCGGAGGGCAGCGGTGATGACGGAGGGCGAGGGGACGAGATCGTAGGCAAAGCAGTTGTTGAGGTTTCGCTGGAGTTTTGTCAGCTTGTTCGGCGGGTGCTCCGGTTTGAGCTCTTTCGCGCTCGTTCGAGCGCATCCGGCGATCGCTCGGGTGATGCCGGCGGTCCTTATAAGCCGTGCGACAAACATACCTGGAGCTCAAAAACATCGTTCACCTTGTCGAACTCCTTCTCATACCTGCGATGCAGAAAGACGAGTCAGCAATGTAGGTCTGGACAAGCTCAATGGCGGCCAATGGCGCCGTCGCCGGCCACGGGAGCCTCCTTCCTGCTCGGCCACGACGGCGGCCGCGGGGGCATCATACCTGGCAGTAAACTCCTCGAACGTCTCCTCGGCGTGCTGGTCGCTGCATCGGATGGCCGACTGCGAGAATGGCCGCGGCGCGCTCCATGCAATGGGGCTGGCTCGGTGGGCCGGAGCTCGCACGCCCACTCGACTGACCCTCGATGCGGCGCGCACGAAGGACATTGCGGGTGTCAATGGCCGGGAGGGAAGCTGCAGGAGCAAGTACAGAGGCGGGCGGGCGGGTTAATAGGGCGGCGGCGGCGTGGGCTCTGGTGGTGTCGGGCGGGCTTCTTCAGACGAGGTTGGGCTTGGAGTTTTCGCTCGCCCTGTCAGTGGCATGATTGAGGAGCCGGGTCGTCGGAGACGCCCGGGCGCGCGTCACGTGACAGCGGCTCTCCCGGCTGCTAGCCGTTCCTGGCGCGTGCCGACCCTCAACACCACGAGCGTGCAATCTTCTCCCCAGTCCTCACGCCATGTACGCTTCGATACAGATGCAAGATAATACGATGAATTCGCCTAGCTAATGAAGGACCTCGGCTGAAATGGTATACCCTCCGAGCAGAACCTCTATCCCGAACATGCTACCGTCCATTAACCCACCAGTGCAATGCGCCGCCGCGGAAGAGGCCGACCGCATCCCGACACCCACCCCCTGCTCTGTCGTGCCTCAGAAATGAGGAGTGTTGAGCGCCATGACGCACAGTAGCCCAGAAATCAATCCCGCGCTCGGCAGCGTCAGAACCCAGCCGCTGAAGATCCACCCGAGCTGCCTCCAGTTGACGGCTCCGAAGTCGTAATTCATCAGGGCGACTCCCATGACTCCGCCCGTCAAGCACTGCGTGGTTGAGACCGGAAGAGAGAGACGCGATGCGAGCAGGACCGTGATGGCCGCGCCCAGCTCGACAGAGAAGCCTCGAGTCGGCGACATCTGCGTGATCTTGTTGCCCAGCGCACGCATGATGTGATAGCCATAAAACCAAAATCCGAGACCCAGCAAGAGACCTGCTACGACGAGGAACCAAACAGGAGTCGGCGCCTTGGTTTCCACCGCGCCCTTCTGATACGTCTCGTACACGGCTGCCCAGGGACCAACAGCGTTGGCCACATCGTTTGAACCGTGCGCAATGGACATCATCATGGCCGAGATGACTTGGCAGTAGGTCCACAGATGCTCAACGCGAACATCGTAGCGGTGCGCTCGCGCATGGATTGCTTGAAGCAACTCACTGTCGTGCGTGATAACGTCCACAGTAACACCTTACATTGTCAGCAGTGCAGCAATGCCGGCCCAGTTTTCTCACTCACCATGCAGGAGACCGAACTTGAAATATCCCCACCAGCGTTGAGGGTTGGCCCAGGAGAGCCCCTTGACCGGAGTGATCCAGCGCTCGTATGGCTCGTTCCTGCGCCTCCGTGTCAGAGGCGCAGCCGCAGCGGCATCTTCTTTCGACCGCTCTTCCAAGGACAGGGCCTTCTCGTGATCTTCAGGAAGCTTCGCTGGGGCGTGGCCATTGTTGTTATCCGGCTTTTGGATACCGTCCTCACTGGCTGCATGGGCCCCTTCGGCACTTCGTCGACGCACCTTCTCCTCGTCATGGCGTCCGGCGCGGACCTCGCCATATGCGTCCTCGTAGTAATTGACGACGTACTCTTCGCCCTTACCAGGGAAGTAGAGCGAGACGTTCTCCTTCCGCAGAAGAGGACCGAGAGGGACGTGCCAGATCCTGAGCCGCGGATCCTTCCTAATGAGCTTGCGCTCGAAGAAAGGCATGAAGAAAACGTAGACAATGGCAAGGACCCCAAAAAAGACGCCGAGGATAATTCCCGCGGCTTTTCCAGCTCCAAATTCCTCAAGAGAAGGCGCAGTTGGTGCCTCGACGACGATGAAGAGAGCGAGGATCGACGCCGTGAAGGCGAAATAGAATGGGATCACTCGCATCGCCATTTTGAACGAATCCTTGCGTTCCAGCACACCGTACTTTAGAGTGCCGAAGAGCACTGCTGAGAAAGCGGCTGCCAGGAGAGGAGCAATAGCCCAGGACGCTGCGACTTGCGAGACGGAACCCTTGTCCCACGCCCACTTGATAGGAGCACCGCTTGCAAAGCCTACGCCGATCAAAGCGCCAACAACAGTCTGAGTGGTAGACACTGGGAAACCCTATCAGAAGTATCAGCTAGCTGTTCAGTGGGCAGAGGGTTGCATATGCGTACCATTCGTGTAGCAACCATTAGCCAGGTGGCACTGCCAACTTCGGCACATCCCATGGCGAGCATGAGCGTGCCTGGATGAACCCCATCCTCTTGGAAGCGATTAATCGAAATGATGCCGTTCTTGATAGTGGAAGTGACACGGGCTCCGAGAGCAACGGCTCCGACAAATTCGGTGATAATCGAAAGGAACCCGACTTGCACCATGGTCAGGGTCTTGGCCGCCACCGAGGCTGTTCGCATGTCAGGACCGCTCGCAATATCAAAGAAGCACCATGGAGAAACCTACTGGCGTATGAGTTGGCGACATCGTTGGCACCGTTACCGAAAGAGCTGAAAACGAAGGCGATGGTTGTGAGGGCGAGAATCCAATCGTACTTGGCGGTGATCGGAGGAGCCATCTTGGATCGATGGGAATCTCGAGGATCTGTAAAAGAGTATCCGGAAGCGCTGCCAGAGACTTCCCTTGCACGACCCGGGTATGCTCGTTATATACAAGGCATCCGCGAGCAGTTGCCACAAATAACCCACGCCGGAGTTCCCACCACGACAAGCCTGGGTGGCAGCGTCAAGACTTTGCCCAGCGCAAGGGCCCTCGTCGCCGAGGCTCGTGTTTCTGCCATCATGGCATCTTCGCTATCCTCACGTGTTGGATGGACCACAGCACGAAGTCTGGACCATTCAAAGCCGCAATGCTCTCACGCCAAGGCTGCCTTAGTACGGGAGCCAAGCGGACGTCGTTCGCTGCCAAGCGTTTCCGCCGCCTTGGAGCGCTCCACGCCCTGCCGCCGGAATCAGCCAATAGGACTACGCTATTTAACCACGTTTTGGATCGTTGGTGTCTTACGCTTCACCACTGTCGTATCCTTTCTGCCTTTCCTGCGCCAAGACATGCTCTCCGTCGCTTCTGCACGGAATACCCGAAGATGGGCTGCCTCTCTGCAGACGTCAAATCGATTCGGACACCCACAAGTGCTCCACGCGGTGTCATTGCGTCAGTATGAGTGGTCGTCTGTTTGAAATCACGTGTGGAGGCCCCCCCCCCCCGCTCAGCTACTATCGTAATGGTGAGTCTCATTTGCCCCGTGCCCTGCAGCCTCCACACTGTTGTACGTTTCCTCATCATGTCATTCTTCGCTTGTTTCCGAAGCCCTCTGCAAACTTTTTCAATCAGCAGAGGTGCTCCCAAATCTCTCGTCGCGAGGCTCCTGCGGCAACTTGTTACGACAGCGGCTTACGACTCCGAGCCGGACTATCACCGGCGAGTATACTGTTTAGGATGACCGCCGAGAATGCCCTTAAGTGGTCCATCGGGAGGATTCTACGCCCCACAGGATCGATGCCCCCCGGGGAAACGTGGATCCTGCACGTGTATGCACGACGGCCATCTGCTGGAACCAAGGCGTGCGAACACGTTCCGCTCAGGGCTAACAGCAGAGACACCAAGCCCTACGGCATGTCACTCTCCTCCTTGCGCAGGGCAACCAAGCGAGATCCTCAGCGGTACCAGAATCGCCAAGAGCGTGGAGAGTACCCGTGTTTTCCGCCATACCAGCTACCAGGACGCGCTCCTGGTCGACCAGGACTCTAGGCATGACAGACTTCCGCTTCAAGAATCGCAGGGTCTTTCAATGCGGGCGTCAATTAGTCGGCTCCACCAATAGAGCGCGTTGTGTGCGTCTGGCAGTGTTTCCTAAATTCTCTTGGCCATGGATGGAGTGCCGGATCTAGGCCGAGAGCGCGCCGCATTTAACAAAGGCGCTCGTGAAGGACGGGAGAGAATGTGTCGAGGCATGTCACTTACTGGTAGATGCCAATCTTTCTTCGCAAGCTGTCTCAGTCGCTCATTCGCGTCGAAAGACGCTCCAGCACAGTCGCGGTGCTTCGCCAACCATCACGAAGCTCGCCGACAACTCCCCTGAGCGAAACGCCTCGCCACTGTTCCTCCCCTCGCGCATCGGGTTCACCGAAGAATCTCATGTTTCCAAGCTGGGTGCTAAGTCACTTCGTCTCTAGAGTATGCTCCTCGTCTGGCGCCTCCACACGGTTCCAATCTCGTTCGTCATCGTCTTCTGTCACATCATTTCAACAAACCATTCTGACCCAGCCAGTTGAATGATCTACTGCTCTCGGTCACTCCATTTTGCTCACAGTTGAGTATCCCGCTCCTTTCTTTTAAGCCTCTCCCTCCATGCGGGCTTTTCTCCCTCCCCATTTCTGTTGCTCTAATGGCTCCTTAAAGGCTTATAATTCGCGCACATCACTTTCGGCTTGCGCTCAGATTAAGCTCGGTGTCCGTCGTAGCACCATCCCCTAGTTGATATTGCGTACATGCGCAACCCTAGAGCCGGATTCATACCGTCATGCAAGCCGAACAGACGGATTCCTACTTCTGGCCCAACTTTGGGTTCCGCTCCGCTGTCCCTTATGTCCATGAGCTCTAATTTAGGGCAGCCGTGCCCGGACAGCACGTGGTATTGGCAGCGCACTGATTGGGCGGGGCGGGGGAGTATCACTCCTTCCTCTTTACGGCGATAGGTGGCTCCCGTAGTAGCACCCATTGCGTAAAAGGATGCAACGACAAGGTGAGAACGTAGAAAGCAGAGTGACAGCAAGCGTGTGGAGTGAGTGCCGTGGGGTTGGCGACATCGATACGATGGAACAGAGAGATTGATTAGAATGAGAATATATAACACCGTACCGTTCTGGACAAAGTATTCAAGATCTGAATCAAAACTCCAAGGGCAATCCTCACCTAGTAAACTTCTATAGGCGGCAAGGCGTGCTGAATGCGTCAACTTGTTGCGACTTCAGGTTGGCATAATAGGGCAACATGCACGGTTTCGACATAACGTCCTGATATGAGTATAAGCCCTAGAGACCATGGGCGCATGGCGAGTCGGGAAAATGTGTGCACGCAGACGCGAGCATATTCCAAACCGAACCGATTGAGAGTACATAATTTGTGTTTAGTCCTGTAGACGGCTACACCACAAAGCAAATCCGAATCTAGCAGACCCCACCCTACGCCAGCACATCGCCCAATGCACGCAGGTCCCCTAATCTATCGCCATCAACTAGTCTAACCCCATCCTAGCCAACCCACCTCCTCGCACTCCTAAACAACCTCCCCCAAGGCCCCACCTCCCCCCACTCCTCCATCTTCCCTCTAGGGATATAACTGCCCACCTCCCTCAACACGGTGCGCTCGGGATGCGGCATAAGCGCGAGCACCCTTCCATCCTTACTCCTCACGCCCGTAATCCCCTTCGGACTGCCATTCGGATTGAACGGATATTGCTCCGTCGGCTTGGCATAGTTGTCGATATACCGGAGTGAAACCATGCCTTCGTTGAGAAGAGTTTCAGGGTTGTGAGAAGATGTAAGCGAGGGAGGGAAGTGTGCGCGGCCTTCGCCGTGCGCGGTCACGATAGGAAGGGTACTGCCGTGCATGCTGTGGAGGAAGACGGAAGGTGGCTGGGAATTTGTCTTGGGGTCCATGACCTCAACCATGCAGACGCGGGCCTCGTATTGTTCGCTCTCGTTCCTTTCAAAGCTGGGCCAGAGGTCTGCACCAGGGATCAGCTCCTTCAACTTGGACAGGAACTGGCAGCCGTTGCAGACACCGAGCGTAAAGGTATCGGGCCGTTCAAAGAATGTCTGGAACTCTTTGCGCGTGTTGGGATGTAGCAGGACGGATTTCGCCCAGCCTTGACCAGCTCCGAGGACGTCGCCGTACGAGAAGCCGCCGCAGGCAGCAAGACCAACGAAGCCTGCGAGCGAGACGCGTTCGGAAATGATGTCTGTCATGTGGACGTCGATGGCGGAGAAACCGGCCATGTGGAAGGCGAAGGCCATTTCGGCCTGGCCGTTCACGCCCTCTTCTCTTAGAATAGCTACTCTGGGTTTCGAAGTAAAGGCCGAGGAAATGGTCGCCTTGAACGGGAGAATGTGGTCCTTGGGATTGTAGGTGAGGCTGTAATATAAACCGGGGTCTTTATCGTCCACAATATTTTCGAATTCCGCATCGGCACAGGCGGGGTTGTCGCGCAGCCGCTGTATCTGATGCGAAGTAACCGCCCATTGCTGCTGCAGTGCTCTTCGCGAGTTCCTGTAGATGACTTTCGAGCCGAATGCAAATGAAATCTCCTGCTTGTGCGCTTCCGGTACGCGTCCAATCTTCTTGATCATGCCGGGTGGCGGGCCGCATGTCGCAAAGCAGCTCTTAAAGTGGACCTCATCCTTCTTTCTCACCTGGAAGACAGCGCCCAGCTCCTCGTTGAATAGCGTCTCGATGATGTCCTTGGTGTCGCCAGATCGCGAAATGCCGTCGAGCATGATCTCTAGCCCGCATCGTCCAGCAAACATCATCTCTACTAATGTTGTGAAGAGGCCTCCGTCAGATCGATCGTGGTATGCCAGCACAATTCCAGATTCGTGGAGTTGCTCGACGGCGTCATAGTAGTCCTTGATGATATCGGGGTCGTAGACATCGGGCGCTTCATCGCCCACCTGACCAAATGTCTGTGCTAGAGCAGAGCCGCCCATGTTCTTTTTTCCCGCTGCGAGGTCCACAAGCATTAAGATGGTCTCGCCAACATCCTCCAAGCGCTCGAGAGCAGGAGTCCAGGTTCGGTCGATCCGGTCAACTGGTGCGAATGCTGTGATGACCAGTGACATGGGTGCTGTCACTTCTTTGCCCTCTTTCGTTTCCCGATCGGTCCATTTCATCTTCATGCTCATGGAGTCCTTTCCTACGGGTATTGAGATACCTAGTCGAGGACACAGATCCATTCCTATCGCTTCCACGGCCTCGTACAAGGCAGCACCTTCGCCGGGGTGGCTGCTGGCGGACATCCAGTTTGCTGAAAGCCTGACTCTTGACAGCCTGTCAAAAGTGCTCGCCGCAGCCAGATTCATGAGCGATTCCGCAACAGCCATGCGTGCGGAAGCGGCTGGGGAGATAAGCGCAAGTGTAGGCTTTTCTCCTATGGCCATTGCCTCTCCGGTCCTGACGCCAGACATCAAAGATGTAGCCGTTACCGATACGTCTGAGACGGGCACCTGCCACTTCCCAACCATTTGGTCACGAACTGTCAAGCCACCAACAGTACGATCGCCGATTGTGATTAAGAAGGACTTGGAGCCAACAGCAGGGAGCGTAAGCACTCGGTCCACAGCCTCTTGTAGCAGTCCATCCCTTGGTACTCCCGGAAGATACATCGAAAGGCTACTGTCAAATGCAGGCAATCTAAGCCTCCGCGAGTTGACGATGCGGGACATCTTTGGTGGCTTTCCAAAAAGGATCGGCATAGGTAGGTCGATCGGTCTCGAGGTTTCTTTGTTCTCTCTGTCCGTGAGGACAAGGCGCTGCTCCCGGGTGGCAATGCCTACGACGGAGTATCCGCATCGTTCTCGGTTGCAGATGCGCTTAAAGAGTTCCAGATCATCGGGACCAACCGCCAGCACGTACCGTTCTTGAGACTCGTTACACCATATCTGCAGAGGACTCATTCCCCGATCGGCACTATCGACCTCTCGTAGTTCGAAAACGGCACCTAGGCCGGAGTCATGGACGAGCTCCGGCAACGCATTTGAAAGTCCGCCGGCTCCAACATCATGAATGAAAAGAATCGGATTCTTCTCGCCCATAGAGCGACATGTGTCAATAACCTCCTGAGCTCTTCGCTGGACCTCGGGGTTGCCTCTCTGCACGCTCGCGAAATCAAGCTCCACCTTTCCCTCTCCAGACTGAACACTCGACGCTGCACCGCCGCCAAGCCCAATTAGCATAGCTGGTCCGCCTATTACCAGTAGATGTGAGCCAGGCGGCACAATATTAGGATCCTTGAGCGCGTGTTGTGGCCTGACATTTCCAACGCCACCAGCGATCATGATGGGCTTGTGGTAGCCTCGAACTTCTGTTTCTTTCTCATTCGTGAAAACCCGCATGAGCAGTGTCCTGAAGTAGCCGATGGTACAAGGTCGACCGAACTCGTTGTTGAACGCAGCGCTGCCGATGGGCGCTTCGATCATAATGTCCAAACTACTCGCAATATGCGGTGGCTTCCCCACATCTCGCAGTTCCCAAGGGCGATGGAATCCTGGGATCAGAAGATCGGATACGGTGAAGCCGGCCAGACCAGCCTTTGGTTTCGAACCACGCCCTACGGCACCTTCGTCTCTTATCTCGCCGCCTGAACCTGTCGCAGCACCCGGAAAGGGCGACACGGCCGTTGGGTGATTGTGTGTCTCTACTTTGCACAGTATATGCACCGTCTCTTTAGTTCCGTGCCACTCGCCGGTGATCGGGCTGGGCGACCAGAAGCTTGCGTCCTCTCCCTTAAGAACGGCCGCATTGTCGCTATACGCACTCACCACGTGCTGCGGATGTTTCTGATGGGTGTTTCGAATCATGCCGAATAGTGAATAGCCCTTCCGCATCCCATCAATTGTGAAGTCCGCATTGAACTGCTTGTGCCTGCAGTGCTCGGAGTTGACCTGAGCAAACATGAACAGCTCGACATCGACCGGCCCTCTCTTCAACTCCTGTGTATAGGCCTCTACCAGATATTCAATCTCCGATTTGTCCATCGCCAGCCCAAGCTCTTGATTCGCGTGTTCCAGCGCAGCCTGAGGGCTGCTATACTCGTCGAAACTTATGGTCGTCGCTTGTGCAGGCTCGTGCTCGCTGAAAATGAGGTCTAGATTCGGGGCTTGACGGCTTATGGTCTGCGTCATTCGATCGTGGAGCGCGTCTCCGTTCGGAATCGAGTCAGCTTCTGGTGTCTTCTCGAAGGTGGCTGCGATAACCATGCCGCGTTCGATGCGCTTTACCGAGTTCTCGAGCGTGCAAGTCCGCGCGATCATGGTGGCCAGCGAGCTCCACGGCGAAATTGTGCCGGGCCGAGGGCAAATGTAGAACATGGCCGTATCGTTGTCTCTCGGCTCGCCATTGCGGTGGACTGCGTCGACTAAAGTTTGGGAAAGACGGTCCTGGAGATCAGGATATTCGCCGTAATGTAGTATCTGCTCCAGCGTGTTCAATTCGTTCCCGTCCAGCTCTTTCAGAGGATTCACGAAATGGACCCATAGCGCGCGAACTTCCTTTGCGCCAATGGCTTGGGCAAGGCGTTTGAGGCGGAAATCACAGAAGGCTAAAGAGCCCGGGAGTATAAGATAGGGACTCTCGGCCGACGCCATGTTGAATGCCAGAAAGGGAAGCAGGCGTCGTGGAAGAGTGAGGGAACGTGCGTGGTGGGGGAGATCAGTCGTCCAAAAATTTGGAGGGGCATGACGCCACGTGTGGGGCAAACTGTGGCGTTAACCATCGTTCGAAGCGGCACTTTCGCAAGGAACACTGGGTTGTTGCAAGGGGAGTGTGGCATATTATTATAATGTAACTCTATTTGCTCCATTACAATCGGTAGAGACCACCAAAAGGGCGAGGACCCTCGGCGCCTTCCTCTGGTGGAGGATCGAATGCATCGCTATCGTAGTCCTCGTCTGCTGCCCAGATACCATCCATATCCTCATCCTGTTCGTCCTCGTCGTCGCCCTCGTCCTCATCGTAATCTTCTTCCACAGCGTCTTCGTCACCTTCATTCAGAATCGTCGCAGCCGTATCGGGTATCTCCGTCATATCTTCAGGTACTTCGAATTCTTCCTCTTCTGGGTTCGCTGCCTCTTCCTGCTCGGCTCCCTGTGCCGCCAGCGCCTCCAATTTCTCGAATGCATACTTTGGATTCCTTGCTGCCCACCGGACGCTATGCATGACTGCATGCTCTTTCGCCTTCTTGATGTGGATTTGTTTATTGTAGACTTCTTCTTTGTAGGTTTTGTAGATTTCCTTGTCGTCCCAATTTTCCGGCCACGAAGCGACACGCTCGTAGATGGAGTTGTCTGGTGTCTCGCCGCCAAGGATCTTATTCATTTTATCCTTTAGGATGACGGTTGCCTTCGCCCAGGTGCCCACATGATACCATCCTTGAAATGTTGGAGCGCACGTTGTGCGGATATCCTCCGTGTCTAGAATGCGACGGATGATCGGATCGGTGATGTCGCAGAACTGGAAGAGATTGCCCGTATGAGAGACGTTTACGCCGTCGAACGTATGCTGCGTCTCCAGCTCCTTTGTCGACATGCGGGTCAAATGCCGAATATGCTTGTCATAGCCGGCCCAATGCTTTGGTCGCCCCGTCTTGAGGTATGACAGAAACGAAACGGTCTGGTACTTTCGATAAGCTGGGTTCTTGCGCGGATCGAGACCCCATTTGACAAGTGCCTCCCGCCAAGGCCCGCTCTCGAAGAAATAGCCACAGTAGACTGCGGCTTGCCTCATCCGATCCCGTTTGTCCCAACCAAGTCTGTTGAACAGCATGTGGCGGGTGATGATAGGCCGGCGTTCAAGCTCGGCTCTGATATTGGCGATCAAGGCTTGCAGGTAGGGAGTGAGGCTCGTCTCTGGAGGTAAGTTCGGCTTTGGTCTCATGGGAACGGTTTCAGCGGTGGACTTTATGATAGTGTAGCCGCTGTAGGCCAGGCTCCTCTGCAGGTTGACCTCGCCGCGGTCATCGTCCGTGTACTTGACATGTGGATTCTGCTGGTACCTGGATAAGTGTCAGTATCCAGTGACATGCAGAATGTGCTCAGCGATCATACCGGTAATTAAAGGCTACAAGCATTTGAAGGAACTCGGCGGGTGGCCCAACATCCTTGGTTAGGTCCGCCCCGGGGGCTGTGTTGAGGTTGAAATTCTTCAACCGATTGTCTACTATGGGTTAGTTGAAGCCGTTTCCCACCGGGCGGCATGAACTGCTTACAGTCGAGCGGCATCAGGCTGTCCCTAATATTGGCCATGGTGGCGCTCGTAGACGAAGCATACTGGATATCGGGTAGATCTAGACCGTTAGAAGCTGCAATACGCAATACAAGAGGAGCCTGCTCACTTCGGAAGCGATGCGTCTCATCGATGACCCCGGCCACGGAGACGGCATACTTGGACGCATTGTCTTGCAAACTGCGGAAGATGGCTGCTGCGTCCACGTATGCGTTCTTCGTAGGCTCTGGAGCAGGCCTCTTCTCCACGTCGTGGACGGCTAAGAACGGGCCTGAGGAGCCACGCTTCCGTTTGCGGCCCGTCCGCTTGGGCACCGTCACCTTTAGAAGCAGGTTGCTGGTGGGCACAGGCGTGGAGAGCAAACGCTTGGCGAAGGGGTCGTCCGGCCGGAGAGACGCTGATATGAGTTTCGGCAGCTCGCTCTCGCCGTCTGCGTTGCGTCGCGGCTCCAGCTTCAACCTCAGGCCCTGGATGGCGTCAGTGGGCTCCCTCTTGTGCCACTGGGGGGCTCCCTCCTGACCTTGCTCAGTTTGACGGGGCCTCCGAGCGAGGCGATGCCTTTGTCGACGTTCTTGATGATGCAGGGGTGCTCGACGACGGATATTGCGCGCGACGGGATCGGTAGCCATGGCGCGGGCCGGCCGTCGTCTAATGGGCTGACGGTGGCATGCTCGCTATCCATGGGGGCTGCACTCTGCCCCCAGCCGCGGCTCTGGCGATGCGCAGTGCTGCTCTCTGCTTTTGAGTGTTGGCGGGCTGGCGGGGTGCTGGGCGCTCGGGCCCCTAGCTAAGCCGGACTAGTGAGATGGTCCACAACGCTCTCCTCTCTTCACCACCCCCGTTGATGCACGCCTGTCTTGCCTCTCCGCGAGCCTAGAGCACTCCCTCGTCCTCTTCACCCTTCATTACCCGCGCTGTCGTCACCGCGGCCGCCTCGCCTCGCCCCGCGTGCAGCTGCCCAGGCGCCCCCCGCGCCTCCTAGCCCCTCGACTCGCCGTCCGCCGTCGATCCTCCCAAGCTTCTTCAGCACCGCGCCCACCTGCATCCCACACGCCGCCGTCATCCATGTCTGTCTGACCAGAGAGCCTCCACCGCTGCTGAGATTACCTGGTCGCGCGTCTGCATCGCCGTCATTGGCGCTGTTGGTTGCTTTCCGCCGCGGCCCCTCGAGAGGCCTGCCTCGCCTCTATTCGGACCGTGTCATCGACTGTCTTCGCGAACGCCCGCACCGCTTGACGAGCATCCGCGCCGCCCATGACAATGAAAGGCTTTAGACAGCGAGTTGTAAGGAACCCCTCCCCTCTCGTCGCCATCTTCCCCCACCCGCGTGCGCCTGTCCAGCCTGGCCCCTCGAATTGCGCAAACAACTAACCGTTTCAGCACGAACAGCTCTCTCGTGCCAAGAGCGAAAAGTCAACCAAGAAGAAAGACTCGAGTTCCGGCACCTCGTCGCCGTCGCATGGTGCTTCCAACTCGCCATCGGGCTCCGCACACGCTACCCCCTCCTCCTCCCAGACCCAGCTGATAGACTCGCGTAACAAGCCTCTTCCCTCGGGTGATGGTGCGGGAACCCCGAATTCACTGCAGCCTGGACCGCCGGGCGCGCCCAATTCCTTGGGCGGCGGCCCGCATTTCGGCGGACAGCAGGGCATGATGGGCATGGGCGGTGCTGGCAGCGCTGGCGCTTCCGGCCCCGGAACACCTCACAGAGGCGGCCAACCGTTGGCGCCCAGTGTGATCATCAGTCCCAGTGCTCCTGTGAGTCTAATCGTGATTGATCCTCTATGTAGGGCCTTGGCTGACACGAACCACAGCACATTCCTCCACCGGGCGCGGCCGAAACCATGCCTGGCGATCTCCTCCCGCCTAAGGCAGGGCAAAAGTCCTTGATATTCGACCGTCTGCAAACTACGCCCAAGGATAACGTGGAGGGCATTCGGACGCCTAAGCGGCAGCACTCGTCAAGGTTCGACATCTCAGATCAACGCCAGCGTGAACTAGAAAAGCTCCCAGGATTCCACGAGGTGCCTCCCAACAAACGCGAGGAGCTGTTCATGCAGAAGATTGATCAGTGCAACATTATCTTCGACTTCAATGATGCGAGCGGGGACATGAAATCGAAGGAGATCAAGCGTTTGGCATTGCACGAGCTGCTCGACTACGTCGCGAACAACCGTCAAGTCATCACCGAGAGAATGTACCCTCGTGTGGTGGAGATGTTCGCGAAGAACTTGTTCCGACCCATCCCGCCGCCCATGAACCCGCAAGGGGAGGCTTTTGATCCCGAAGAAGACGAGCCGGTGCTCGAGGTCGCATGGCCGCACATCCAGGTTGTGTACGAGTTCTTCCTCCGCTTCATCGAAAGTCAAGACTTCAACACCAACATCGCCAAAGCGTACATTGATCACAGCTTTGTGCTGAACGTGAGTCTATCCCATGTTACGTAATCTGAATGCTTCCTGACGTCTGCTAGCTCCTTGAACTGTTCGACTCTGAAGACCCTAGAGAACGTGACTTTCTGAAGACCACCCTCCACCGTATTTACGGCAAGTTCCTAAACCTCCGCTCCTACATCCGCCGCTCGATAAACAACGTCTTTTTCCAGTTCACGTACGAGACCGAGCGCTTCAACGGCATCGCAGAACTCCTCGAAATTCTTGGCTCCATCATCAACGGTTTCGCCCTGCCGCTGAAGGAGGAGCACAAGCTGTTCCTTACCAGAGTGCTGATACCCCTACACAAAGCAAAGGGCCTCAGCATGTATCATCCGCAGCTGGCCTACTGTATAGTGCAGTTCTTGGAGAAGGATGCGGCCTTGACCGAAGAGGTAGTAAGTCCCCCCCTTTTCCTTTTGCAACTAGGCTAAGATCAATAGGTCGTCCTGGGTCTGCTCCGATACTGGCCGAAGGTGAACAGTACCAAGGAAGTCATGTTCCTGAACGAAGTGGAAGATATTTTTGAGGTCATGGATCCTGCCGAATTCGCAAAGGTCCAAGAGCCGCTTTTCAACCAGCTGGCGAAGTCGGTTGCCAGTCCGCACTTCCAAGTCGCCGAACGAGCCCTCTACTTCTGGAATAATGAGTACTTCTGCAATCTCGTGAGTGACAACGTTGAGGTCATCTTACCCATCATGTTTGCTCCCCTATACGAGAACTCGAAAGGGCACTGGAACCGGTACGTGATCCCCTAGAATTGGCCGACCTGGTACTCACACGTCATAGAACCATTCACGGCATGGTGTACAACGCCATGAAGCTCTTTATGGAAGTCAATCCGCAGCTGTTCGATGATTGTTCGCATGACTACGCCGAATCCCAGAATAACGCCAGCGAGCGGCAGCGGAACCGACAGAGCCGATGGGAGAAGCTCGAGAAGCTGGCCGAAGCACGAAAGAGCGGAAAGCTGGCTGATAACAAGGCAGCATCAACGTCATCCAAAGTTAGCTCACCGATCCGATTAGACGACTCGGATCCGCTGAGCCAGGGGCGACTGGAGGCGCTTCGGCTCCAGGACGACGGGCTGGCGTCCAAAGACAGGCGGCCGAAAGACTTCGAGCGACAGAGCAGCCAGACTTCGGTACGTTGATTCTTAAGTCCTTAGAAATCATGACGAGCATTTTCTATGGCCGGATCAGTGTACTTTTAGTTCTATCCCTAGATTCCTAGGTCTTTCCCGTTGTCAAGAATTGCATTTGGGTTCGGGTTGATCTGACTTGTCTGTGCTTGCGCTTTGCAGCGGCGGCACCATTCAGCGCAGGAGGATCATCACTCACATCACCGGCGGTCGTCCGGCAGTCGACCTCGCAGCAACAGTCGCCCCAGCTCGGCAGGCAACGTCTCTCGCAGCAACGGGCCTGTTCGCACCAGCTCTGGCGGGACGAGGGCCGCCTAGTAATTTCTCTTCCCCTTCGCAACATGTATGTTTCCTTCTCCATGGCGCTATCGCTATCGACCCTTCTATCTCTTTGGACTTGGCCGCCCGTCCAGGCTGCAGGCTGCCGGTTTTCTTCGTTCAGCCGGCGAAAAGCGCAAGGGATTTCGTAGGGTGTTATGGGAGTCGGGTTTTGCACAGGCGGTTGGAGATGACGCGGAGATGGGCGACTGGCTTGGCCTTTTTCCTCAGACTTGATAGACTTGGAATGTAAAGATTCACCTGGGCGTGGCCTTGAAGATTTCCGGCTATCGTGGCCAAGTGCAGCGCCTGGGGCCTGGCCTGGGGCCTGGGCGTCCGCGGAATCCGTCTCGCGAATCAGGGCGGGGCTCAGATCTATTGAGATCTCTACTCGGTGTCACGAGCGTCAGGATGTGAGATGCACAGATTTCGCCTGTGAAAGGAGCTCGTCTTGGCACTGACGATACCACAGCAAGTCGGCGTGAACGTGCGGTTCAACTCGCGACGACTCCTGGATCAGGAAATTTGACTGCCGGCGGACCAATCAGACGCGCAGCGTAAGCCGCGGCCTGGCGTAAGTCTGAGGCTGGAGTTACGAGCAACGGCGCGGCCAATTTGTCTGCGTTGTGGGACGGGTCGCTCGGAAGACGAGCAATTCATTTCCGCACCCCTTTCCGGCTCGCTGGCAAGAAAAGCCTTGGAACCCCCGGCCATCCACCCCGACCGCACGAGCGAAGCTGCAGGCACGACTCTACCCAAGGTCGCTTCGTCGCTTCGTCGCTTCTTCGTCCTCCTCCCTCCTCCCTCCGCGCCTCTTTCTCGTCGCTCCTTAGGCCGCTGCTTCCGGCTCCTTTCTTTCGCTGTGTTCTACCTTCTGTTTACCAGGCTGCCGCGTCCCTCCTCTCTCCGCGCGAACCTCCCACGACGCCCAATTCCTCCGCACAACGGCACGTCATGTCGACCCCCGACTGGATCGAGCTCGGCGCGCCGACGCTGGATCGCCCCTTCGGTCTGCAGCTCTGGCCCATCTTCGAGAAGACGTTTGAATCCGCGATGGGGTACAAGCCGCAGGACTTCCGGTTCAAGCCGGGCGAGACTCCCATATCAACGCTGAAGTCGTGCAGCGCCGTCTTGATCTCGTACTATATCATAATCTTTGGGGGGAGGGAGCTGATGCGCGACCGGCAGCCCTTGCAGCTTAGCTTCCTGTTCAAGCTGCACAATTTCTACCTCACAGCGATCAGCGGCATTCTGCTCGCGCTGTTTGCGGAGCAGCTGATTCCCATGGTTTGGCGGCATGGCGTTTTCTTCGCGATTTGCGACCACAATGGGGGGTGGACGGATAAGATGGTGGTGCTGTATTATGTGGGTACACGCTCGGATGGCGTTAGAGAGAGAAGACGCTAATACGCGCAGCTCAATTACCTCACCAAGTTCCTCGAGCTGTTGGACACTTGCTTCCTGTTCTTGAAGAAGAAGCCGCTGAGTATGGAATGCCACTTTTTGTGAGATGCGACGAGCCTGCTAATATACGAAGCCTTCCTCCACACCTACCACCATGGTGCGACCGCTCTCCTCTGCTACACCCAGCTTATCGGCAGCACCGCCGTTTCGTGGGTCCCCATTACGCTGAACCTCTGCGTCCACGTCGTCATGTACTGGTACTACTTCCAGAGCGCGCGGGGCATCAAGATCTGGTGGAAGAAGTACATCACCATCATGCAGATTGTGCAATTTGTGCTTGATCTCGGTATGCCCCATTCTATACTCACAATGTCTCTTTCGCTAACCCGCCTCAACAGGCTTCGTCTACTTCGCCTCCTGGACCTACTTCACCTCGACCTACTGGCCCTGGCTCCCCAACGCGGGGAGATGCGCAGGCGAAGAATTCGCCGCCATCGCCGGCATCTGCATCCTCTCGTCGTACCTGCTGCTCTTCATCTCCTTCTATTTCGCCACGTACAAGAAGCCGGTGCCCAAGGGCCGCCGCAGGGCTACAAGCGCGCTGGTCGAGATGAAGGATGAGAAGGTGCCGACGGTTGGTGAAGCGCGACGTAGGCTGTCCCAGGGCGCGCATGCGCTTGCTAACGGGCATGCCACAGGCGCAGCTACACCGAATGGACGAGCGACGAGGAGCCGGAAGGCGTAAAGAGGTGGTTGAGGAGAAATGCGAGCGGTGAGGAAGAGGGCGGGGTCCGCGAGAGTGACGGGGTTACTGAGCCGGATGAAGCGCCAGCTCTGTGAAAGCCTCGGCCGGTCCGCACGGCCCCTTTTTAGTGCAGACCCAGCGGCATCCTTCGATCCTGCTGGAGAAGCGCGTTTTCTCGAAGCTCATGCCATGCATGAGCGAGTCAACGGGAGATACACTTTGGTGCTGAGCTCCCACACTCTATCACGAAACCCAGGAGGGCCGTTTTAGTATTTCCTTGTAATTATTATGCGTTTTGGGGTTGCTTCGTTTTCGGGTCCTCCATCACGAAATGTAGCATCACGGCGGCGTGGATAGACAGGTGTTGGTCTGTCTCGACGGGTACCGCTTTGAGCCATGCCTCGGGAGAGTAGGAATGAGAAGTAATGCATAATTACTGAGAAGCGAGTTGTTCTATGTCTTTTGGTCGGATCCCTGAGGTCTGGGCGGTCGAGTGCCTCTTGCAGAATTAGATGCCTGATATTTCCTCTAGAATTGAGGATGGATGGTTCCCGCAGTGGAAGCCTGAGGTAGATAAGTCGGGGTCGGCGAGGCGGCGGGGGCGTGAAGCCATTGGCTCGCTTGAAGGCGGTGAGGCGGTAATCTTACGGCTCAACCCCACATCAGCCAATAGCAGACTCGTTTGATTTCTTTACCTGCTGACATCATCTCTCGGGGTCTCTGCGACCGCGCTCCCCATCGAGCTTTCGCGACTCTGCACAGCATCAAGGTGGACGCGCCCACCACCTGCACCACCACCCCCGACCTCTATTCCCTAGCTAATGATTGTAATGTACACATGGGCTCTCTAGCCTGCGCCTTCCTTTCCACAATATAATTTCGCTCCTTTGGCGTCTGGATTCTACCAATTCACTGCGCCCGCCGAAGCTAGCCCACCGACCAATGCACTTTCCTTCGAGCACTCTCCCCACCCCACGCAGCTCGACACACTCTACCCCGGCGCGCGCAGCCCATAATAGGCTCTCGGGAACTTCACGCGCTGCGCACTGCTGCACACGGCACCGCCATGGCGGCCCACCATAACTTTGACGCTATGGCGTCGAAGCTGGACGACCCGAACTCAGGTACGGCGCTATACCTGCGCACCTTCGCGGCTTGGAGATGCGCTCGCATCCTGTGGCAGAGAGGGAGAGACTGACGTTTGTGATTTCAGATCTCAGAGTCAAGTCGACTCAGGCCATCGACATCCGGGACAACATCGAGAGCTACTGCCAAGGGCCGCAGTACAGCGCATTCTTGAACCACCTGGTCCCCGTGTTCCTCAAGATCCTCGATGGCAGCCCTGTCTTCATATCCACGTCCCCCGAACAGGTGAGCGGTATAATTGCGGCTTGCAGCGGGGCTCGCATGTCTAACTTTGCCCGCAGCGGATACGGAACTGCATCCTCGAGATCCTGCACCGCCTCCCCATGACACCCGTCGAAGCGGTCGAGCCACACGCGGCGAAGATTGTGGACAAGCTGATGAGCCTGGTCAAGATAGAAAACGAGGACAACGCGGTGCTGTGCATGAAGACTATCATGGACTTCCAGCGACACCAGACCAAGGCTCTTGCGGATTGCGTGCAACCGTTTCTGGACCTGATTCAAGAAATGTTCGAGACGATGGAGCAGGCAGTGCAGGATACCTTCGACAATGCGACCCCGGCGCCGACGACCCAGGGCGTTCCCTCCACGCCGAGCAACCACCAATACTCGCAGTCCCCGCGGCCTGGCTCCCCGGCGACGGCATTGACGTCAGGTTCCGCAGGCGATATTGGATCAGAGCATCAACAGACGCGCATGCTGCTCAAGGGGATGCAGTCGTTCAAGGTCCTAGCCGAGTGCCCCATCATCGTGGTCTCGCTCTTCCAGGCCTATCGGAATGTCGTGAACAAGAACGTAAAAGCTTTTGTTCCGCTGATCAAGAATGTGCTTTTACTGCAGGCAAAGCCCCAGGAGAAAGCACACCAGGAAGCCGAGGCGCAGGACAAGATCTTCACTGGAGTAAGCAAGGAAATTCGCAATCGCGCCGCGTTTGGCGATTTCATAACCGCTCAGGTCAAGACTATGAGTTTCCTGGCCTACCTGCTACGGGTATACGCGCAGCAACTGAACGATTTCCTACCGACCCTTCCGGACATCGTAGTGCGACTGCTAAAGGACTGCCCCCGGGAAAAGTCCGGCGCGAGGAAAGAGCTTTTGGTGGCTATCAGGCATATCATCAACTTCAACTTTCGCAAGATCTTCTTGAAGAAGATTGATGAGCTCCTGGATGAACGGACCCTGATCGGAGACGGCCTCACGGTGTATGAGACTATGCGGCCGTTGGCGTATAGTATGCTCGCTGATCTAATCCACCATCTCCGCGACTCTTTGAACAAAGAGCAAATACGGCGCACCGTTGAGGTCTATACGAAGAACCTCCACGACACCTTCCCCGGCACGAGCTTTCAAACTATGAGCGCAAAGCTCTTGTTGAACATGGCGGAATGCATAGCTAAGCTGGAGCCGAAGGAAGACGCGAGGTACTTCCTGATCATGATCCTGAACGCTATCGGGGACAAGTTCGCTGCAATGAATCGCCAGTATCACAACGCTGTGAAGCTCTCGGCACAATACAGTCATCCTTCGATCGATGCGGCTGAAGAGAACCACATGGCGGTACAAGAGCAACCACCGGATTGGGACGAAATCGATATCTTCAATGCCGCTCCCATCAAGACGTCGAATCCCCGGGATAGGAGCTCGGATCCCATTGCGGACAACAAATTCTTGTTCAAGAATCTTCTGCACGGCCTGAAGAATCTGTTCTACCAGCTCCGCGCTTGTAATCCTGCTAAGATCAAGGAGGAGATTGATGCGGCAAACGCCTCCGCTAACTGGCACGAAGTCTCCTTTGGGTATAACGCGGAGGAGGTGGAGGTTCTCATCAAGCTCTTCCGTGAAGGAGCCAAGGTCTTTCGCTATTACGGGACCGACAAGCCTACTGAGGCGCAGAGTTTGTCGCCCGGCGATCTTATGGCCAACCAGCATATGATGTCAAGCGGGAAGGAAGAGAAGGAACTGCTTGAGACATTTGCTACTGTATTCCACCACATCGACCCGGCCACTTTCCACGAGGTGTTTTCTTCGGAGATACCACATCTGTATGACATGATGTTCGAACACCCAGCGTTGCTCCATGTGCCGCAGTTCCTGCTTGCATCCGAAGCCACGTCGCCTAGCTTTGCCGGGATGCTGCTACAGTTCTTGATGGATCGAATCGAAGAAGTGGGCACCGCAGATGCCAAGAAATCGGCCATCCTACTGCGGCTCTTCAAGCTCTCCTTTATGGCCGTTACGCTATTCTCTGCGCAAAATGAGCAGGTGCTGTTGCCACACGTTAGCAAGATCATCACGAAGTCTATCCAGCTTTCCACAACGGCAGAGGAGCCGACAAATTATTTCCTGCTTCTGAGATCGCTTTTCCGAAGCATCGGCGGAGGACGATTTGAGCACCTCTACAAGGAGATTTTGCCTCTCTTGGAAATGCTCCTGGACGTCTTGAACAATCTGCTACTTACTGCGCGCAAGCCTGCTGAACGGGATCTCTTTGTTGAGTTATCTCTCACAGTCCCAGCGCGTCTGAGCAACCTCCTACCGCATCTGAGCTACCTCATGCGGCCGTTGGTTGTGGCGCTACGAGCTGGTTCCGACCTTGTAGGACAGGGGTTGCGCACTCTGGAGCTCTGTGTTGACAATCTGACCGCCGACTATCTGGATCCTATAATGGCGCCGGTGATAGATGAGCTTATGGCAGCTTTATGGGAGCATCTCCAGCCTCAGCCTTACAGCCATTTTCATGCCCACACTACGATGCGGATTCTGGGAAAGCTCGGTGGACGGAATCGCAAATTCATTACCGGTCCCCCTTCGCTGGAATACAAGCCATACGCCGACGACCAGTCTTCTGTGGATATCCGACTCATTGGCTCCACCAAGGATCGCGCATTTCCAGCAGTGATAGGCATTGAGACTGCGATTGCTAAGCTACACAATCCCCCGAAGAATGCGAAGGAGAAGAAATCCGACCCTTTCCACAAGCAGCAAGCCTTCCGGTTCATCACAGCTCATATCAAACTAATGGTCGGCTTCGACAACCTTCCCGACGACTTCGCGCAGCTTGTGCGTCTCCAAGCCAACGACCTATTCAATAAGAAGACAGACGCCGGATCGGATCTGTTGGCACAGTCTGAGCGGGAGAGGTCCATCGTCAAAAAGGGTGTCGAGCAAGAGACTCTGAAGAAGCTGCTGAAGGCGTGTATATTCGCGGTCTCCATTCCTGAACTCAAGGCGGACTCTGAAGCCCTCGTAACGAACCTTGCAAAACACTTCACTCTGTTGGAGCTGGGCAGTCATTTCGCGCATTTCAAACATCGGAATAAACCGTTCGACGTTCACTCCGGAGAAGGTCCAGTCACGATTGAAAGCGATGTTTTCTCAGAAGCCATTGGGGATTCACTCGCGTCGGATCACATAGCAGTACGCGAAGCAGCGGAGCAGGCCGTCATGACGATGCGCGACACTGCAAAAGCGATCTTCGGAAGCCAGGAGAAGCTTGATAAGTTCCCGTTGTTTGATGAGCTTTCCAGGACCTTCTGCCACAACTGCCATGCCGATGATTGGTTTATGAAGTCTGGTGGAACGCGCGGTATCGAAATCATCATAAAAAAGCTGGGCCTGGGCGACCTTTGGATGAATGCTCGGCATTTTGAGCTCATCCGGGCGTTGAACTTCGTTATGAAGGATATGCCGACAGATCTCGATTCGAAGACGCGCATCCAGGCGGAAGGCCTTCTGGAAGACTTGCTCCGACGCTGCTACAAGAAGACGACAAAGGAAGAGTTCGAGAAACAGAGTAACATGCTTCTGAGGCTGTGTGGGCAATTGGTCGGCGACTTGTCGCACATGAACAAGAACGTGCGAGAAGCTACGCAGAAGGCTTTCCACATCCTCTCCGAGGTTACGGGCCTCGCTGTCCACGAGCTCATTATGCCTGTCAAGGACAGGTTGGTGATACCGATTTGGACGAAGCCCCTCCGAGCATTACCGTTCAGTATCCAGATAGCCTACATCGACGCCATCACCTTCTGCTTGAAGCTCAAGAACAACATTCTTGAATTCAATGACCAGCTCAACAGGCTTCTGATGGAGTCGTTGGCTTTAGCTGACGCAGAAGACGAAGGTCTCGCGACGAAGCCTTTCGAACAACGGAATGCGGAACACATCGTGAATTTGCGGGTAGCTTGTATCCGGCTTCTCTCCACTGCGCAGAGCTTCCCCGAATTCAGCACAACGCCGCCTAATCAGCCCTTCCTCAGGATCATTGCAGTGTTCTTTAAGTGCCTCTACTCCAAATCCCCGGAGGTCATCGAAGCAGCCAATCTTGGCTTGTCTGGCGTCATCTCGGCTACCAACAAACTGCCGAAAGACGTCCTCCAGAGCGGACTCCGGCCGATCCTAGTAAACCTCCAGGACCCGCGGAAGCTTTCTGTTGAAAACCTTGACGGTCTGGCTCGCCTTCTCAAGCTTCTAACAAACTATTTCAAGGTGGAGATAGGAACTCGTCTCTTAGATCACTTGAAGAACATTGCGGATCCTGTCAGCCTGCAGAAGATCTCCTTCACCATGGTTGAGCAGAACCCGAAGATGAAGATAGTCACTGGTATCTTCAACATTTTCCACCTTCTGCCGCCCGCCGCCTCCACATTCCTCAAGCAGATCATTGAAAAGGTGATTGAGCTCGAAATCGCCCTTCGACGCACGCATTGTAGTCCTTTTCGCGAGCCTCTCATCAAGTATCTCTGCATGTATCCTAGGGATGCGTGGGATCACTTCTTGCCGAACCTGAAGGATCAGACTCAAGGTCGTTTCTTCGCACAGCTGCTCGAGAACAAAGAGAGTAGTGCCCTGCGGAAGGAAGTCATGGACGATGTCCCCAAGTTCTTGGGATCTTTCGAGTTCGAAGGCTCGGACAAGGAGAAGTGCCAGGCTCAGCTCAATGCTATCCATATTGCGTACGCCATGAGCCAGTTCGACGAGAGCAGCAAGTGGCTGGTTGATCATGAGAACCTACGCAAAGCTCTTTTCGAGGCTGCCAAGTCGCTGGAGAAGAAGCTCCGACAAAACTCGATCGATGCCGAGATGCGCCTCGCCACCGAGCAAGCTGGTGACCAGATTATGACCGTTTTCACGGCGTACCTCAAGCATGCGCCGAACAATCTGGACTTCTTCTTCGAGCTTATAGATGCTGTCACTTCGGAGGAGTTGAAACAGTCCACGCGATTGTTTAATTTCATCTACGAGCACATGATCTGCAGCGAATCGGTTGACTATTGGAAGACCCTGGTCCACAAGTGTATCGATCTGTACACTGGGCGCAACTCCTCGCAAAAGACGAAGACCTTCATCTTCAGGAACATCGTCAACCCCATCTTCGCGATGGATGTCAAGCGCAACTGGGAGCACTTGTTCGGTCAGGCCAGAGGCACGAAGCTAATGGATCGCGGCATGACGGAAACAATCCATAACCGGTTGTGGAAACCACAGGCTTTGACCGATACCTCAGAGGAGACCGCTCAGCTCGGTGTTGACCACTCCAGGATGGAGTTGCTCCAGTTGACGACGCTCCTTCTCAAGCACTACTCTGGTATGATCCAGGACGCGCGTAAGGATGTTATCAAGTTCGCGTGGAATTATATCAGGCTCGAGGACATCATCAATAAGTACGCGGCGTACGTCCTCATCGCCTTCTTCATTGCCGTGTTTGACACGCCTATGAAGATTGCCATCCAGGTCTATCAGACGCTTCTGAGAGCCCACCAGAACGAGGGTAAGTCGCTCGTCATGCAAGCCCTCGAACTCCTGGCTCCTGTGTTAAAGAAACGGATGGGAGGAGGCGACTCCAAGATGGCCATTCCCCGGTGGGCACAGATCCCTCGCAAAATCCTATCCGAGGAGAGCTCGAACTTGCAGCAGCTTATGAGCATCTTCAACTTTTTGGTGCGCCATCCAGACCTGTTCTACGAAGCCCGGGAGCAACTGTCTTCGATCATCATTACGGCCCTCTCTAAGATCGCTCAACCGCCGAATCCCTCAACCGAGGCCAAGAAACTTGCGTTAAACCTCATCGGTCTCATCAGAAAATGGGAAGAGCGAGCTGCTAGCGAGTCTGGCTCTGCGAGCGATCGAGCTTCGCAATCGCCACAAGCGGTCAAAAGGAGGGCGGATGGCTCCATCGTCCCTCCTGGACCTCTCTCAAAGGGTTTCGTCGCTTCGCTGAACATTCGAATGATGCTCATCAAGTACCTCATTACATTCATTGCCTACCTTCCCGAGCGGTATCCCGTTGCGACTCCGAAACCCAAAGACGCCCAAGTTTCCAATGCAAATGCGACACAGCCGGAGATCTGCCGAAAAGCTGTGCAGCTCCTCCACGATCTCCTTTCTCCGCGACTATGGAGCGACCTGGATCTTGACTTTCTGCTTACAAAGAAAATTGAGGAGATCCTCGTTGCTGAGATGAAGCAAGAGGAAAAGGCCGAAGCTTTCACTACGCGAATGATCAACACCCTACAGATCGTCAAGGTCATCGTCAATGTGAAGCCGGGTGAGTGGGTACTTCAACGCATGCAGCAGTTCCAAAAGATCCTGGAGAAGCCTATTCGTTCCGATATCGCGGACGTCCAAGCGAGTCTCCACGCCGCGGACGAGAACGAGGACGGCACGTCAAAGCTACAGCCTACCCTGAAGCGCATCCTAGAAGTCATGCCTGAGCCGGTCACGGATGAAGAGGGTAACACTGAAGAGACGCCATCCACCGAATTCATCAACTTCCTTGGGGCAGTGGCTACAGAGGCACTCTCAAATGGCTCGTATGTTTGCGCCATCAACATCCTTTGGACCGTCTGCCAGAAGCGGCCCGAGGAGATCGATCAACACATCCCGCAGCTCATGAAGGCTTTCCAGGGCAAGATGGCCAAGGACCATCTCGCGGCTCACAGTGGCGTGCCTGGCCAGCCGGGTGTCCCTCCTAGCATGCGTCCTGAGGGTGCCAACCCTCCGACCGCTCCTAGCGAAATCGAGCTCCAGACCGACTTGGTGCTCAAAGTGATCGATATCCTCGCGGCACGCATGAACGAACTTGGAGAGAACCGTCGTCCCTATCTGAGCGTTCTCGCCTCACTAGTCGAACGATCCCAGAGCAACACGGTCTGTAACAAAGTCCTCGATCTAGTGGAGGAGTGGATATTCCACTCCACAGAGCCCGTGCCCACGCTCAAAGAGAAGACCGCTGTACTGAGTAAGATGCTGTTATTTGAGCATCGGCCAGATTCGTCACTCCTCAATAGGTTCCTTGACCTCGTCATTCGGATCTACGAGGACCCGAAGATAACGCGATCGGAACTCACCGTACGGATGGAGCATGCCTTCCTCATCGGCACCAGGGCTGTCGATGTTGAGATGCGCCACCGTTATATGACGATTTTTGACAAGAGCTTGAGTCGCACGGCAGCCAGTCGGCTGAGCTATGTTCTGGCTTCGCAGAATTGGGATACCCTTGCCGATACCTATTGGTTGAGCCAGGTCATCCACTTAATGTTTGGATCCATCGAAATGAACACGCCTGCGCAGCTGCACCCGGAAGACTTCAAGCTCATGCAGGCAAGCAACATATTCGGCACCTATAACAAGGATCCCCGGATTGCTGATGTCATGGTCGACGATGAGCTGGAGAATCTGATCAGTGGCCACCGCCGCTTTTGCAGCCAGCTGGGCGACGTCAAGATCAAGGATATTCTCGAGCCTCTTGGCAATCTGCAGCACACCGACAACAACCTTGCCCACGATATATGGGTTGCATTCTTCCCGTTGGCCTGGACTGCACTGACCAAGGACGACCAGAGCGACCTCGAGAAGGGTATCGCGGCTCTGCTAACGAAGGACTATCACTCCCGCCAGATTGATAAGCGACCCAACTGTGTCGCGAGCATGCTTGACGCTATCGTGCATGCTCGGCCGCGAGTGAAATTCCCGCCGCACATCATGAAGTACCTGGCTCGTACTTATAATGCCTGGTATACGGGAGCTGTCTACATGGAAGACTCTGCGATCGCGCCACTCATCGATACCGAGAAGCTGAGAGAGAGCAACCTTGATGCTTTATTAGAGATTTATACCGGCTTGCAAGAAGACGATCTGTTCTACGGCACTTGGCGACGGCGCTGCCAATTCATCGAGACCAATACTGCTCTGTCATATGAGCAGATCGGCATCTGGGACAAGGCACAGCAGATGTACGAAGCAGCCCAGATCAAGGCTCGAACCTCCGTTCTACCTTTCTCCACGGGAGAATACATGCTATGGGAAGACCATTGGGTCATCTGCGCTCAGAAGCTGCAGCAATGGGAGGTCTTGAGTGACTTCGCCAAACATGAGAATTTCAACGACCTCTACCTGGAAGCAACATGGCGCCACTTTGAAGCGTGGCAAAATGCGGAACAACGTGAACAACTCGACGCGACTATCAAGGCTGTCAGCGATGCTCCCACTCCCCGACGCGTGTTCTTCCAGACGTTTATGTCTCTGCTCAAACTCCACGCGAAATTGGAGTCCCAGCCGGAGTTCCACAGGCTATGCGACGAGTCCATCCAATTATCCATCCGGAAGTGGCATCAACTGCCGCGGCGCATCACTCAGGCTCATATTCCGCTACTGCAACACTTCCAGCAGCTAGTGGAGTTGCATGATGCTAGTGTCATCTGCCAGAGCCTTGCGCAGACAACACAGAGCAACCTCGATCATAAGTCTCAGGAGCTTAAGCTTTTGCTGAGCACCTGGCGAGATCGCTTGCCTAACTTCTGGGACGACATCAACGCCTGGCAAGACCTGGTTACCTGGCGTCAGCACATCTTCCATCTGATCAACGGCGTCTACCTGCAGCTTCTCCCACCCAACCCGAACAATCCCAGCGGCAACTCCTTCGCATACCGCGGCTATCACGAGACCGCGTGGATCATCAATCGTTTCGCCCATGTTGCTCGGAAACACAATCTTCCTGACGTGTGTATCCAGCAGCTGAGTCGCATCTACACTCTCCCAAACATTGAGATTCAAGAAGCGTTCCTCAAGCTGCGCGAACAGGCCAAGTGCCATTACCAGAACCGAGCGGAGCTCAACAACGGCTTGGATGTGATCAACAACACCAATCTTAACTACTTTGGTGCCCAGCAGAAGGCGGAGTTCTATACGTTGAAGGGCATGTTTCTTGCGAAGCTCGGGCAAAAGAATGAGGCCAACGACGCGTTCGGCACTGCGATGATCTTCGACATCAAGCTCCCCAAGGCCTGGGCAGAATGGGGTCGGTACAATGATGCACTCTTCAAAGAGGATCCGTCGACTCTGGACAAGGCAGAGGCTGCTCTCAGCTGCTACCTTGAGGCTGCGAGCGGGTATAAGAACGCGAAGTCTAGGAAGCTTCTCGGGCGTGTGCTTTGGCTGCTCAGCTTGGATAATCCCGAGCGCCGGTTAGCTGAGAAGTTCGAAGAGTTCAAGGGCGACACGCCGGCCTGGTATTGGATCACGTACATCCCACAACTTCTCAATAGCTTGTCTCGTCCGGAAGCACCGATTGCACGACAGATTCTCGGAAAGCTCGCCAAAACGTATCCTCAGGCGCTGTACTGCCACCTGCGGACAACGAGGGAGGACATGGCACTTCTCAAGAAGAACCACGACGCAAAAGAAGCGAAGGAGAAGGCGGCTCGGGCGAAACAACAGCAAGCCCAAAGCTCCCCAGCACAGAAGCAGGGTTCTCCCGAGCGGCCTGGCTCAAGCGGCAATCGACCGACATCCGCGAGCAGCGAGGCTAAGCCTGCTGCAAATGGTACTCCAAATGGCACAATTAAAACCGAAGGCCAGCAGCAAGGCACTCCGAACGGCACGGCAACAGAAACCCCGCCGGCCCCAAAGAGGCCATGGGACCACGTCGAGGAGATATCAGCTATCCTCAAGACTGCCTTTCCCTTGTTGGCCCTCTCCATGGAGACTATGCTCGACCAGATCCAGAAGAACTTCAAGTGCCCGCCCGACGAAGACGCCTACAGGCTCATCGTCGCTCTCCTCAACGACGGCCTGTCTTACGTTGGTCGCTCGCCCAACTTATATGCGCAAGAGATCCGGCTGCCAGCATCAACAGAGGCTAACATTACCCGTTTTGCCGAGTCAGTGCTGCCGCCGCATATCCGCAAGGCTTTCGAACATGACTTCGTACAGCACAAGCCAACCATGTACGAGTACATTCAGAAGCTTCGCGTCTGGAGAAATCGCTTTGAAGAGCGACTGGATCGGAGGAAGCTTACCGTACCTCTCGAAAACTTCACGCACCAACTTAGCGAGTTTAGGTACCTCAAATTCGACGACGTGGAAGTACCCGGCCAGTATCTGCAGCATCGCGACAAGAACTCTGACTTTGTACGCATCGAGCGCTTCCTGCCTGATGTGGACCTGGTTCGCGGCATTGGCATTTGTCATCGTCGGCTCAAGATTCGGGGTCACGATGGAAGCATTCATCCTTTCGCGATCCAGTTCCCTGCTGCACGAAGCTCGAGGCGGGAAGAACGAATCCTTCAGCTCTTCAGGATCTTCAATGGTATCCTGGCCAAGCGCAAGGAGAGTCGTAGGAGGAACCTCCAGTTCCATCTCCCGCTCATGGTTCCCATTACGCCTAGCGTACGCATGGTCCAGGATGATGCTTCGTACATCAACATGCAGGGCATCTTCGAGGACTATTGCCGGAGAAACGGTATCAACAAGGACGAGCCTGTACTCTTCAGCATCGAGAAGCTCCGGGCGCTCCAACCGGTAAGCCCATCGCCCGAAACCACGCCAAGCATGTCGACCACTAACACCCATAAGCAGAAGAACATCGACCACGCTAACAGCATCCGCCTCGAAACCTTCGCCGCCGTCCAAGAAAAATACGTCCCCCCCACCGTCCTCCTTGATTACTTCCGCTCCACCTACCCCGCCTTCGCCGATTTCTGGCTCTTCCGCCGCACGTTTTCCTACCAGCTCGCGGCTCTCACTTTCATGACGTACGTCATGCATATGAACACGCGCTACCCGCACAAAATCTCCATCTCACGTGGCTCCGGCCGCGTCTGGGGCAGCGAACTCATTCCGTCCATGGCAGTCGGGAAGCCCATCCTGCACAACAACGAGCCCGTGCCCTTCCGCCTCACGCCCAACATGCAAACCCTCATGGGTCCGTTATCCCTCGAAGGCATATTCGCTCCAGCGGTCATGACAGTAGCGCGATGCCTCATCGAGCCCGAAGGCGATCTGGAATCTCAGCTTGCTATCTTCATGCGCGACGAGATGAACCATTGGTTTACGAGCCAGCATAAGCAGTTGAGCGCAGAGACGTTGAGAGAGAGCGTGCAGCAGAATAGCGAGTTGGTGGTGAAAAGGGCGACGAGCATTGGGAGTCTGCCGGGAGGCGCGAACTTGCCGGCGAATCAGACGATGGTAGATCTTGTGGCGGTGGCGGTGCATCCGCAGAAGTTGAGCCAGACGGATCCGCTGTGGATGGCGTACCTGTAGAGCTGGTGGCCGTTAGGCGGGAAAGGAATGTGCGACGGGTACTGGATTAGGATGTCATTTGGGTGATTTTGGATTATCTATTTTGGGTATGGCGTTTCGGTGTGTCTTGGTCCTAAGGATATCTCATGTTCCTTAGGGATGAATGGCGAGGCCCCGGCGCATATATTCGTTCTGGGAAAAAGGATCAGTGAGTGTAGGATTTCGACATTACTTTCTGTGTTCATGTGTATGGTATAGCATTCGTCAGGTTGGAGAATGGTCAAGTAAGGCACAGGACGCCTTCTTTTCGTGGTAGTAGATAGCTTTTTGTTCAAATCGCTCGAAAATTGTTCTTAATCTTCATCCCTGCGGTGTCATTACTGCTTAGCTAACTTCCTGCATACCTGCATTCATTGACGTCAGCGGTTTAAAGGAAAAGAGTGTGTGAACGCTGGCTAGGGCAGAACAGTGTAGCTTATGTACTGTACGCAAATACACCTAACTCAACTAATCCTAACGTCTCAAGCTAAATCCCTTACACTCCAAACGTTGAACGGTCGTGTTGATTTTAAAAATAGAGAAAGGTCGTCCAGTATATTGCTGACTTTCACTGACATAAACAACCTCGCATAGGCATTCGCGTATGACAGAGGATCATTCCCTTGGACGTTGATGTATGGGCGCGTGCATATTCTTCTTTCCGGTGGTGGGTACACAGTCGATTCAAGGACTGATTTTTCCTTCGGCAAGGACCATACTGGACCAAGCCAACGGAGGCGGGACATTGAAGAAGTCGGGAAGGGTGCACGCCCAGATGTACATACAGTACATGCCAGCTCCCACGCGCATGAGGGGGAACGATAGCTCAGAAAAATGAATAATTCGTTTTAAAGGGTCCAGATCCCTTGCGAAGCTTGGGGGTAAAATAATATATACACAATTTGTCGCAGATTTATATACAATGAAGACTCCACGACGACGCAACGGCCTTGCTTCCCCGTTCTCGCATCACAACACGCTGTGCCGCTCCCTACGACCCAGCGACCTTGCTATGCGGCGCCGCCCCCGGATAGTAACTCGCCGGCAGCGTGGGAATCGGAATGCTGATTGTGGTGCCAAACGCGGTTTTAAGGTCGGCTGACATGCTGGCCGCAGAATATCCGGTTGGGGCGGCGCTCTGCGTGCTCGTCGTCGCAGCATACGAGCTCCCTGTACCCTTCTTCAAGCAGAAGCCCGTGCCGTAGGCCGACCGGCACGAGTACCATTGCTTGCTGCCGGATTCCGTCCACATTGCGAAATCGGAGATGGTGATATCGGTGCAGGGGGCGTCGTCTGCACAGACGACTTTTATGGGGCCGCGTGAGGCGCCGTTGGATTCGGTGCCTTTCCAGTTCTGTGCCTTGTCATTAGCCTAGCGGTCTCGTGATTCAAATAGGATCAGGGAGCGGAGGAGAGGGAGTAGCGTGCCTTGAACGTGAGATTGGTCAACTTGACACCACTGCCGTCGACAGCACTCATACTGGACCAGTACTGGTCGACGTCGAGCGAATATGCGTTTCCATGGCCGATGAAGTTCTCGAAGACCACGTCCTCGACGTATCCGCTGCCGCCGTTGGACTTTATCATCATCATCTGGTTGGAGCTCCACGTGTATACATTCTTATACACGATGTTGGAAATAGCGGTATTGGCGCCGAGGGAGCCCAGCGCGCAGCCGCCGCTCCAGTTACAGTAAATGTTCTCGATAAGGATGTTTTTGGCGGGGCTCTTGACTGTTACGCATTCGTCTTTGTTGGTTACCATAACCTGTGCGTCGGATTAGCGATTAAACGGGGTGGATGCGAGAGAGAAAGGTGGGCTAACGTCGTGTATCCACATGTTTGTGCTCCATACGTCGATGCCGTCGAGGCCACCCCAGTCCCCGCCCCGGATCGCCATGTTGTACACCTCGCCGTTGGTGCAGGTATCCATAGAGAAATGGAACGCAGGGGCATCGACGAGGGCGAGATCATGGACGGAGAAATCAGTGACTTTGTACAGGCGCAGGTTGCGTGCGCCGGAGCGGCTTCCTTGAGCGTGGATCTGGTAGCCGTTACCTAGAAGATTATTAGCACCCGCGTATCCTGAATGGTGGTTTACTTACCTTGCACGGCGCCCTTGCCGGTACTGCTGTGCATCTCGAAGTCCTGCGTATCGCGGATCATAATCATGTTCCCGCCCGCGCTGCCAGTACGATAGATCACACCATCGAGCTGAAGAGCGACGGCCTTGCCGTTCTTGAGAGTGACCCAAGTGGACATCGCGTAGTCGCCTGCCGGGATCACGACAGTACCGCCAGTCTGGCACGCAGCCCAAGCGGATGCTAGTGGGGGCCCAATGTCAGTGGTCTTGTCGGCCTTGGCTCCATAGTTCAAGACGTTGCAGGTCTTGGAAGCCTTTGATGAGGTGCTTGTCAAAGGGCCGACGTGTCCAGAGAGTTGGCCAACCACAAGGATGGGCAAGAGCGCGAGAGCTCCAAAGAAGAGAGTTGAAGCACGCATGGTTTGAAGAATGTAGCTGCGTCGCAGAAAGGAATGAGAGAGGATACAATCGAATGGAAAACGAATGACTAGCCGGCTATACCGGGACTGAATATAGAGAAGGTGAAGAGCGGAGGAAATCTGCTGCCTATATGAACCTCCACAACCGTACACCAAACGCGGAATACCTTCAATATATCTCTCTCTCATAGCGCAGGGACGTGGGGTGGGAAACGGCTCCTGTTCATCTCGGCGGCTATGACGCTTGAGCAGATGCTTCTCTAGGAACGAATTAGCCGTTTCACGATTGGTTCTGGAACCAATAGCGACTACCAAACAAACACCGCTTGTCCAAATTCGGGGGGCCATGATCAGGTAAATGACGGGGTTACGCCATCGGAGAAATTTTGGCAGCGGAGAGGTCGGAAAGTGGAAACGTGTTTTATTATGCATTGGAGGAGGATCGGCACCAGGGTGTGCCGCCAAGATAAATTGCCGGAGCGAGCGAAAATCTTAGGCTGCAATAATTTTTGTGGGGTAGATCTGATCGTATATCGCGTGTGCGAGGAGCTTCCGGCGGGCTAATCCGATAGCCGGAGTCGATACGGGCCCTTGAAGTTCGTGGGCGGAGTTGCCAAGTGGGAGTTCAGGGTTTTATTTTCGGAAATGGTACGATAATAAGATAGCCCTGCTAACGCCCTAGTCATGGGTGACAACAAGCCCTTTGGCATCCGGACCCGATAGTATTATTCCCGATGAAGACGTGTTGCGGCGTTATCCTGGTGAGGGCGGTGTAAGAACACGAGAGGGAGCCCGCGGATTCGCCATCCAGACCACGACCTGCCATTGACGCGGCTCAGTAATGTGGGTTTCTATCTGACTTTGTGCTAGCAAGCACCCCTTTCAAGCCCGGTAGAGGTTCGAGTGGAAGTAAACAAGTTAGGTGCGGGGTTCTGATCCTTTTTGTGATACCCCTTTCCCCTGTCGTACCGGTCTGTGAATGCGCGTTGCCGTACCATTTTGGCGAGGGGCGTAAACGGTACCAAAGATTGAGAGGAGAGATGAGTTCGATCCAGGGCCCTGTTGAGCGTCACGCAGGCGAACGGATGTGGACGGGACTGTACTGCTCCGTACCTCCTCGACAGGCGGTACACGAGCTCGTTTCCGCAGGAATTCTGCGAGCATTCTACCCTGCCGCAGACCAAATCCCTCTGCTATCGTTTCGGCTTGATTCGTCATCCAAAGGAAGGTATCTTCGGAGCAGGTCGAGGCGGACGACATCCCTGATAATCCCCAAAGGAGCATATACCCTCCAACAGTCTTCATGGTCGATTGACTGGCTTTAAAATTATGCAGGTAATACGCCAGGCTCTCTTTCAGCTCTTCGACAAGCTCCAGTTGAGTATTGATAGCGTCGTTCAGAATTGCCCTCGCAGCAAGACCAGGTCGGAGCAGAGCCTGGCCACGGGCTCCCTCAATGAATACGTCCGATGCTACAATCCTCGCGGTTTGTTGAAAGATCCACGTGGTCGCAAGCCATATAAGGCGATATGTCTCATCGGCATTAGATGTCAGCGGCATTGAGTCCACGGAAGGCCTTCCCCCTGCATGCCACTCTGGAATCCCCGGGCTCCATGTGCTAAACTCATCCAAGAGGCTTTGAGCTTCTCTGAACATCCGGTTGTCTACGATACCCTTCGTCTTCTGATCGTAGCGCAGTTGGCAAAGGCGTCCGAGTAGCTTATAGAGGAAGGGTTGAAAGTCCCGCTGTGATATTCCGTCGTCCCCTAGGAAAGAGAGAATAAAGTCTGGAAGCGGTTCACTCACTCGCACGCAATGTGCCAGCTGACCACCCGTTAGCCTCTTCTATAATGGGAGGAGACTAGATACCCACTATGGCTCCCCGCATACGAGCATAGATTCCGTGGCCGACATCATCGGCGAATCGGTCTCGACCCCTCATTTGCACTAGTGTCATTGCACCTTTCAGATGGAAGGTCTGAGCGACTTGCGATTGCGGGTCGTCAGACATGATGCTCTAAACACTATGTTAGTAATTCATAGAGATGCACAAGGACCGCTGACTTACCTCAAATGTGCCCAAAAGAAGGCACGTCAAGATGGAGGAGTCGGATAGGCATGTCTTTGGGTTCTGCAGCTGCTCATTCAACGCCCGAAGCACCTTGACTTGCTTTGCTCTGGCCGCCGTCACCAAGTCTGGAGCCGCCTTCATATTTCCGAGGGCTGCCAATCCAGCTGCGGCGATGATCTCAGAGACTGGGCCCGCTCGCACGGCATCGGATTGGAAAACGGACAATACATAGTTGAATCCACCGTCCAAGGTCCCTGCCCTGGACTCGAACAGCTTCTCGTTGTAGTGCGCAAAGAAATGCAAAACAGCCTCATCATGCAGGGCAGCTCGTCTTGACAGCTGTTGGGTAGATAAAGTCGAGAGCTGGGGAGCAGAGCTATTAGAAGCCAGCGACTGCTCGGGTGGATTGTCGGTCTTTCGATTCACTTTCCGGACGACGAGCTTGGTCTCGTTCCTGAAAAGAAGGTCTTGCTCGTTTCGATAGCCGCTGCATACTCTATTCTTCCTGATGCATTGACTGCAAGCGGGCAGGGCTAGATCGCATCTGTAGTCGGGTGTTACTGGCTGAAATCTCCGCCAGCGAGCTGGTTACCGGAATAGGAAAACACTCGAGGTTCGAGAAGCGATGCGTGCTTACTTGGTACGCTTCTGCCGGCATGGCAGACAACCCTTACTGGGCTTCCCCGAGAAACCCATAATGGACAGCGAGCGTATGAGGTAGGCTCAGGTGGTTCTGATGGTCCTCATAGGTGCATTCGGAGGCTGGAATTGATCTTTCGGTGAGCTCTCCATCACCTTGAGCCCATCCGCGGCCCTCCTCAAGCGTACGGCAGCGACCAGTCTGCGACCTTGTGCTACCGTTCAGTGTCCGAGTTAGGCTTCCGACAAGAGGATCTCATTGGCAGTCGAAGCGGGTGACGTGTGGTTAGCGGACCGGTGTGTACCCGTGCCACTTTGGCGGCCTCCCGGCGCAGCCCTCTGTACGACGCTTGGAACAGCCGGAGTGGAGCCAGATGCAATCTGATAGACGAGTGCCTTCCAATTCGGCGCGGGCGCAGCCTCCAGCATGAAGGCTGGGTGTTGAGGTGGAGGGAATCCTTCCGCCCCTTAGGTTTCGGGAGCTGGCGCCAACCCCTGCGCTGCCGACATTTTCCGGCGGAGCGACCAAAACGCCGGTATGGATTACATAAGCGATACTGGTGTGTATTACATAAGCAGTACACCGCGACTCGACTCTACCCTTTTTCTACCCCCTCCCCAACGATGACCGAAAAATGGTAGAATCCGTTTGACCTGTGCAAAGAGTTGGCTCCTATCTTCACGAGTCGAGGAGAGAATCCACAACTAGCAAGCCCTGGAAATCCTTGCGTTCGTAGTCGACTCGCGGCAGCGCCTGCACGTGCATCCATGGATAGAAGCCCTCCCCCCACCAGAGCCTCCCTACTGATGAGCGAAGCATCATGCAGAGGCGCTGCATACAGTATAGAGATTGAAGCCCAGTAAGGAGAGAGTGTGTAGAGGCGGGCCGAGCTAAGCCCCGGATCTGCAGCTTGGCGAGGCGTTGCCGGGGCACCGACGAATCTGGCATGGGTCGTGTAAACAACCTCACCACCCCCAACGTCATGACTTAGCTGCCCTATTATCGCCCGTATCACTCCCCACCATCAATTCAGCGATTAGCGGGCACACTCGTCTCCTCATATTCCTACGCACTCCCACCGCCTCTCGCTCGGGCCGTCTTTCGCGTCGCAGCCCGGCCTGGCGCGTCCTCTCGCTGTTCAAACAATCGAATGTCGCCCTGCCCTCTCACGCCCGCTGGATGAATATTGAACCTACACATCCGAAAACGTACGCATAGCCGGCTCTGGGGATGGCGCCAGCTCCCCAGCCTCTGCCGATTCGCTTCCCATGCTGGTGCAAAGCCGTCTACTCGTGGGGCGGTGAGGTAAGTTGAGACGGAAGACACAGTTATCGCATACAGCCAACCTAACCGCTCTTTCCAGACTAAACGCGACCTCGGCTTCATAGAAGGAGACCTGATCGAATGTCTCAATGCCGGCGATGGATCGTGGTGGATGGGGCGGTTGAAGCGCGATAGGCGCATGGTCGGCCTCTTCCCCTCGAATTTCGTCGAACTCCTTAGCGAAGACTTCCAGCCATGGAACCGCAACGGGAGCCCCATGACACAACAGAATGGCTCGGGCAATGTATCAAGGCAGAACAGCGGGCAGGCGGTCAAGCAAACGCCACAAAAGGCGAAGACGTTCAGGAAGCCCTTCACCGCATACGCGGCTGCAGGGGCCCCGAACCCGGCAGCAGCAGCACGGGAGATACAGAAAGCTGGCGGATTGTCGCCGAACCCGAACGGAAGCCTCCGGCAAACCAAGCCGTATGCGTCGATGAAGAGGTCGTCAACCGAAAGTCGCGAAACCGCTTCTCCCGCTCCTACACCAAATGCTCCCTCGAATCTTCGCGCAGTGTCGCCTAGACCCACTTCAACGAGACCTGCATACTCTCGAGCAGCGTCGCCAGCCCCTCCCGTCGACTACCAGTCTCACTCGCGATCGCCTTCTCCCGCCCCTCCGGTGCCGTATCGACCTCATTCGCGAGCTGTGTCCCCAGCGCCGCCGACGCAATACCATCCGCATTCGCGAGCTGTATCACCGGCTCCATCCTTTCAGTACCGCGCATATGATAGAGGACCGTCGCCTTCGCCGTATCAGGATGACCTTGACCCGCCTCCTCCGCCCCCGCCTCCACATCGCGTTCTTCACAGCAGAGCGCCCTCGCCTGCACCCCCTCGCAATGTCTACCATACACCCGAGCCTCCTTCTCCCCGGCCGGCAAGCAGAGGGAACTTCACACCATCTCCGTTGACAAATGCGATGAACGACGTCATGTCTTCGTTGCAGGATATGAGTTTGTCGAGGAGTGGGAACTCGCCGGACGAGCCTGCAACGCCGTCAAATATTTGGTCACCGGAAGCTTTCGACCAAGTCTATCAGGCATCGGCGAAGAAGGTGCGTGCACAGACATCGATGGGAATTGGTGGCCAAGCGGGCTTTGCAGATGACGAATTCGACGATCCCTATCGGTCATACGACGACGGACCTCCTCAGGTGCACAACTACGTGCAGCGGATGGAAAGCCGCTTGCGGCGCATGCAGCAGGAAGAAGGTCGCGCGAATGATGAACTCTTCATACCTCCCGATGCGACGGGACCACCGCCAGCAGTGCCTCCCAAAAATTCCACGTACCAGAACAGGCCTGCTTCGTCCACGGGGGATAATCAACCTGATGTGGACCGAAAAGGATCAAAGACACTCCGTCATCGCAAATCAGCATATGAAATAGGGCGCAATGTCTTGGGCAGGACCTTTACAACGAAGACAAATTCGACGACGACCACCCACACGAGCAGTTCTACGAATCGCAGCTTGATGTCCGGGCAGTCCGCGACCAACATGAGTGCGACTAGCGCGGGGAGCTATTACCGCAAGAAGCTCAGCAAAGATAATAGGCCTAAGACTGTAATGGAGACGAGAACCGCGGGCACAGGCTACGGATTTGACGAGGATCGGCCGGAAACACCATTCACGGGTGTCACGTATCATTCAAGTCACGCGTCGCAGCAACAACAAGACGAACCCACAGGCACTCCGCTGGATGGCCCGGATCCGCTAGGTGGACTGACTTCGCCAAAGCCAAAGAGGAGCGGCTTTTTCCGGAAGATGATCGACTCCGCAAAGACACAAGCTGCAAATGCTCGTAGCACGATCGCTTCTGGGTCAATAAGCAGACCGGGCTCCCGAGCGGCAAGTCGCGCAGCCAGCCGTGCAGCAAGTCGTGCAGCGAGTCGACTGGACGATCGAGGGCCAACGGGCATCGCAGGTGGAACTGCAGTGCAGTCGAGTGCTGCACGAGATATGGGGCTAGGTGCTGCGGTAGACTGGGTGCAGGTCCGCCGAGATGTGAACAGGTCGAATTCACTAAGCAAGAATGAGAGATTGGAGCGAGCAGATCGTTGCCAAATGATGGATATACCTGTCATCAACCCTGTCGACATTCTTTATGATTCAGCTGAAGGAGACGAAGGCCTGGATGGACTTCCCATCGCGGACCCCACCGACTTCACTACCAGTGCTCTTACGCTCGTCGACAAGAGCGCCCGGTTCGTCAACAGCATTCCGCTTGGAACGACTCCTGCGACATTGGCGCAGGGATACGTGTGCAGGCCATACAGGAGCGACGTTCAGCGGTTGAGAGCCATCTTCACCTGGGTCAGCGAGCGCATATCCTGGGAGGAGGATTTCGAAGGCGACATCGATACCCGCCATGTCCTCCAAACAAAACGCGGCTGCTCGGAAGAGATCGCCATTGTTGTCGCAGAGATGTGCGCATCGGTCGGACTACACGCTGAAGTCGTGAGGGGCTTTCTTAAGACTCCTGGAGCGCCATTAGATCTCGATAGCGTAGCGCGGCCTAACCACTTTTGGAATGCTGTCATTGTCGAAGGAGAATGGCGCATAATGGACTGCTCACTGGCCGGTCCCACGAATCCGAAGCGGGCACAGTACTCGAATGCCAGCTCACAGGTCGCAGAGGGCTGGTACTTCCTCGCTCGGCCAATGGAGATATGCTACTCTCATGTTCCTCTTCTCCCAGAGCAGCAGCACATCTGCCCACCACAGCCTCACGACGTCTTGATGGCTCTTCCGTGCGCGACGCCGACATATTTCAAGCATCGGCTGCACATGGTCGACTTCGACACCAGCCTTTTGAACCTGGACAACCTCGAAATGGCGCATATCTATATCAACGTCCCAGAAGACGTAGAGTGCGTGGCGGAAGTCGAAGCGAGAGCATACACCCAAGATGCTGACGGTGACCTCTTCGAAAGCGGCGACGTGATCAGGAAGCCAGCCTTAGCACAAGCAGAGTGGATAGGAGGCCAGAAGCGGTACACTGTCAAGGCACTGCTCCCGGGAGATGAAGGCCATGGCGTGCTCAAAGTATACGCCGGACCACGTGGTCTCATGGTAAGCTCCAAGTTATTGCCCACTCTGATATTGTGCGTCCGCTAACCACTTATAGCACTCCAACAAGCTAAACCCCCACTCTCTCGCTCTGGGCCTTCCACTCTCTCACACGGGCACCAACCCTCCGTACTCCTTTTTAACGCTCCATCCCACCCCGCACGCTCAGCGCCACGATCTCTACGTCGCTCAACCGCAATGCGCAAACCTTGCCCTCAACAACACTTTCGTCTTCACCGTCCGCCAGCACCCATCCTCACTCAGCCGCTCCCCTGACCCAAACTCCGGGATCAACGGCCGTGCGTCGCCTAACCCGTTCGCTCGTCCTGCTTCCGCAATGAGTATGCAGAGTATATCTGCTTCGGGGTCGAACTACACGAATCCATCGCAAACGTCGTCGAGCTCTTCTGGCAGTAGCAATTCTATGAAGCCAGCGAAGTTGGCTGTGCAGACGCCTTCCGGAAAGATTATACGGTTGACGAGGAAGAGCGAGCATATGAGCGGGACCAGCGACGGCGATGGCAGCCAGTGGGAGACGGTCATCAAGATCGGCGAGAAGGGCACATGGCGAGGCCTTGTGCTCGCGGACCGGAGCGCGAGGTGGTGCGTGTTTGCGCAGTGGGAGTGTGTCTGATGGATCCACACATTTCTTCCCGGGTGCACTTAGGCGGTGCGATAGTTGTAAAGACTACGAAGGGTGGCTCCAAAGGCTGGGAAAAGTTGTTTGTCTTCTTGATTACTTTTGGGTATATCTTACGGTTCTCATCTTACGACTTGTAATGCTGAAAGCATGGAGTACGATTCAAGGAATGCATCGCTGGCGACGGCCCTTTTGCATCTTGCATTGCTTGGCGTTTGGATAGCTGGGCAGCGCTTTTTCTATAGGATATACGGCGAATCGCCGGGAGGGAATCCTGAATGCAATCTTTGACATTTTGGTACCACGTATTCCAACTACTATTGCGTGACGCCCACTTCCAAGGTTAGCAACTCTAGGCGACGAAACTTGTTTTGGAAGTGATTCAGCCTCCGTGGAACGAGCAAGCCTGCGGCTGAAAAAGTGTCATCCTTGCGGTAGCTCTTCTCTTCCGTTGTGAGGCAATGGGCCAGTAGATGACGACTTAGGGCAATGGCCATTAGTTATATATATTATGTACCGTTTCAGCGAGCGAGACCCGCTCCCATATGCAGAGCCAGCGAGGCAAGCAAAATGAAGACTTCGCTGCTAATATCGCTAGGGCTAGCATGAGATGCAGCGAGAGAAGACAGAAATGCCGGAAATATGACTTGTCAACGCCAATCATATGTCCGGCTCCGCACCAAGTAGCAAAAAGAAAAGCCCCAATCCTGAGAGCCCCGTCCCCTTTGTTTATCCTATCCCCCTGGGTATCATAAGTGCGAGACTAGTCGCTAAGATCGGGATTCGCAATGAACAGCCTCGTGTTCCCCATGGTCATGGTCCGCTCGTCCACACTCCCTCTCCGGTGTAACTCCTCGCTCTTCTTCTTCGCCTGCTCCGGGTCCGGCTTCGGCAGCGACTGCGGCATCGCGCCCACATCGCCGAACTGGCGCTCCCCGCTGCTTCCGCTGCTGGTGCCGGAAAGCCCCGTCTTGGTGTGCTCGAAGTAGTCGGTGGTGTTGCCGTACATCGGGACGGGCGTTTCTTCTTCGAGAAGGTCGCCCATGCCTTCGCCGGGGGAGGAGTTCTGGCCGCTTGGGGGGGTGGAGTTGGAAGAGTGGCGGCCCGCAGCGTTGGCGTAGGCGACGCGACGACCGGAGCCGAGCGAGCTGCGGCCGGATCCTGTGCGGTGGTGGTAGGGTCCTGCGCCCTTGCCGACTGAGCCGTTGTCCTCGCTGTCTCCTTCGTCTACTTCTGAGGCGCTGAGGCGCATGGGCACGCCGCTGCCTACCATGGTGACTGGCGCGTACAGCGACGCTTTCGGGACGCCGTGATGGCGCACCTTAGACCTGACTCCCGCTGCCATGCTCGAACTGCCCGATGACGCACGTCCTGGGGCATGATGTGGGCCGCCTGCCACTTCCATGTTTGCGCGCATCTTTGCCTGTCGTTGCTGGGCGACGATGCGCGGATCCTCGTATTGTGCGCGGTCGCACCACACGGTGGCCTTTTGTTTCCGCATCAGGGCGACGTATGACGTGGGCGAGTTGCCGGAGCGGGCGGAGGACGAGCGTCGAAGGGCGCCGCTGTTGGAGCGGTTCGGCGTGCCCGTCGTGGAGCTTGTGGAGGAGGTGGGCGTACGGCGGAGCCCACTCTGGTACATCTGCGGCGGGTATTGCGAGTTCATGGTGGCCATGGTGGTGGTTGTCGTTGGAGAGGGAGCGACGGGAAACACGCCCGAGCTGGTTGTTCTCGTTCTCGAGTGGCCAGGCTGTGAATCGTAAGGCTGCGGGGGCCGTCCAGCAATTCCCGGGTTCACGATTGGCTTGCGACGGACGGGGAGGGCGCCGTAGGGGTTTGGTTGGGGCGGTTGAGCCATCACGGCGGCCTGCATATTTGAATCTGGGCCCCTCGCTTGGTGAGGCCTTAGGTTGAAACGCCGATCGGCACAGCTGACGTCAAGATGGATGTTTCAAAGGAACGCGAGGGCGGGCGAGTGCGCGTGGGCTCGCGACGCAGCGGGCGCGCGGGCGGAGATATGTATACCACGGTGGTACTGCGATGCTCGTGAGCGTTGGTCAGGCCTTGGCGTGCCCGCTTGCGCTCGAAGCCTCGCAGCCCTGCAGATTCCGAGGCCGCCGCCCTCGACCGCTTCCGGCAATGGCGTGACGACAAAAACGATGCTGCTGGCAGGGCCGCTTGCAGGCCGACGGGGGATTTCCACGCGGATGACTGCAGACAATCCGAGAGCGCGGCGCGGAGCGTTGGTGAGTCGCAGGGGAGCAGTCACCGTCACCGCCGGCGCTGGCGTGCCTCTGCCTTATGAGGACGGCTCTGCGCCAGGCGCTAGACCGATCGAACCACTAGAGGAGGCACGTCAGTCGCGTACACGAGCCATGCTGGACGTATGGACGTATGGACGCATGGACGTATTCAGACAAGCTGAGGGCTCCGCCGAGTCAAGGCCCGTCGGCGGCAGTGAGAGAGAGCTGAGGCTTACCGCTGAGCAGACTCGGGTGCTCGTCCAATCCGGGCGCCGGCGGCGGGAGCAGTGCGCTCAGCTTCGCCAACGCAGCGAGCACAGTGCGCTGGGCGATACGAGGATACAGTAGTGGGAGGGGTGGACGCTTTCTGCTGCCGAGCGAGCGTCAATTGAAGGCGGCGAGGAGGAGCGGCCGCAGTCGCTCTTCTATCTCCCGTGCTTGCCGTGAAGTCGACGATCGCACGGGCGCGGGCGCTACGAGCTCCACTGCGAGCGGGCTCCACTCATGACGACATGCCCTCGTACCCCCCTTTGTATCCCGCCGTCAATTCAACGATCCAAAAACCGGAAATCCTAAGGCCGGCCAGAACAGCCGGCGGCGGAGAGCCTCCCGAGCATCAGCATCCCTGGAGGGCCGCTTGCGACCTTGTTACGGCCCCGGCCTGCTGCATTCACCTTTACGGCCCAAGCATCCCAAGAGGGCAAAAGAAGCTGCCGCCCCCGCAGCGAATCACTGCACAGCGCCCGCGGCGTGGGAAGCCGGACGAACTACCACCTCGCAGCGGCGAACGCTGAGTCGCTGACAGGCCCGTCGCCCGCGTTACATCTGCCAGCTATCGCGGGAAATGCAACTTTGCACATCTTTCTGTGGGCCGCGCCATTGCCGCCGTCCGGCTCTCCCAGCAGACGTGAGAGTGCCGCGATGACTTCAACCCTGGGATGCTGCTGCTAAAATCCCTCGTCTCCATGGCCTGTCCTAATTACCATGCTGGCCCGAGCAAGAGCGATAAGCTACCCCTCACCACCACCACCTGGCACCGGCGTTCAACTCCTCTCCACTTGTTCCAGAGCTCGCCTCTGCATCCCCGTCGTCGTGTGCGTTTCAAGGCTGCACCTTGGCTGTGATAGGGCCACTTGAGCCGCTCGGAGTCCAGCCGGCGCATGCATGCACATGTGTGCGCATCCTTCCATCTTTGTTTCCCCGCCCTGCCGCGCCCGCCGAGCAAGTCCATGATCGCGACTTGCCTCAGTTTTCGTTGATGTTTTCTGGCGTCTCTGCAGCACAAAGGGGGGCAATACTGCACGGCGTCTCTTCACTTCGCTTTTCGCCCGACGGCAGACATAGCCACCTCCTGGAGAGACGGGCCTGAGGCAATTGTGGAGATGCGAAGCGAGTTGATTGATGGCTGCAAGTGTGAAAGAAAGTGTGGCGCGCAATTCTTGCGCCACATCAGCGCCACAGGGTCCGTCAGCATTCCTCCCGCCCTCGAAGCTAAACGCGGAAAGGGTTTGTTGATCTTTGCCCGTTGAATCCAGAAGGCTATAGACCCCGCAGACGTGCAGACGTGTTTTCAAGGACAGTTGTTGGATAAATTTTAGAGCAGCGGAGAAAGGACGCGTACTTTGTTGTCCCCCTCAGCTGAACCATGGCGTAATACTTACCGCTTGACAGCCGACGCGAGTGGGGTTATCGCTCGCTGTTGGCTAGCTCTCATAGGACATTCCGGATACGGCGCACACGATGTACTGTTGATGGTGGTTTCGACAAGACCCAGGCGTGGAACTCTGAAGCGAGAGCGTCTAAGCTCACCGGAATTGCGAGGAATGGACAACGTCACGCTTGCTGATACCTGGGCAAAGTCCACCGCCCCATTGGCGTTTCCTCTGCACCTTCAAAGCCAGCCGTGGTAGTAGCCGAGGGTGTGGTGGAGAGCCGAACGCAGGAACAGCACCTGCGTGGTACGACTGGCGGTGGCCTGATGGAGCGAGAGTGCATCGATCGTGGACTTCCATATTGGGCCTGTAGGTGGTTAATGCTCCGACATGGCCGTTGCGTGTAAAGTTCGGAACCGAGCTCCGGACAAAAGTAGCCTGCCCCATCACGGTACTCGTGTCCGGCGCAGTGGATCTCGTTGGGGTGGTCGCGTACGCGGAGCCGGAAGATCGAATGGCTCCATGGCATCATGACTTCAGAAAGTCCGCGGCTGGGTCGCTGTTGAGGACAATTTTTCCCCACCTTGTTCTGGCAAATCGGCCCGCATCTCAGCTCCCATGTGCCGCTCACCATGCATGATAGCTAGGACTACGTTAGCGAATCTTGCGTGAGTAAGCGCTTGGAGGTACATGTCGCCAAATTCAGACGTGCGGACGTTTGTGTGCTGAGCACAGCGTATATACGAGCTCCAGGCGGGCTGGAGGGTCTGGACCCACCATAGACCACGCGATGGCTGCAGAATCTAACTTTGTAGTACAATTTCGACTGCAGGACCCAGTTCGTTTAGTAGATACCGGGGATGAGCCGATACTTTGTCTGTTTCTTGAATTGCACCCAGTCTTCACCGTACCGCTTTTCGCAGTATTCGTTCAAGATTGGAACCCCTCGTGTCGCGAAATCGGCAAAAAAGAAAGCTCCCTCGAGCGCCCCCAAGATCCATCCTCCCCCGGCGATGGCGTATCCAGCCCTCCAAATCGTGTATGCACCGTAATTGATGTGCCTCGCGAAACTCCACAAGCCTCCCGTGTAAGGCTTACCCTTGTTCTTGGGATCGGACTTGAAGCGCTTTCGCTGGATCTCTGCGATAAGTTCGGTGAGGATGCCGGTGACGTAGAGGACGCTGCCGACAATGAGCGTTGACTGTGGGAATGCAGATTCAGTTGACGCGGAAGTCGCCCGTACGAGGAAGGCATAGGTGTTGATGCTGTTGAAAACAGTGTTAAAGATGCCAATAGCAACAGCGCTGCGTATATCCATTGGCTCTCCGGATAGTGCCGTTACCCAGATATTCTGCTTAACAGCACTTCCGACCGCCATCCCTAGCAGCACTAGCCGGTAAGGCGAGAGCCCTAGACTATCGATGCCAGAGATTCCTGTGTGCGCTGGCAGCCCAGGCGGCAGGGTCCGCACGCCAAGGCGGTGCAGGAAGCCAGTCCCGAGGCCATGAGCCAGGATACCATATTGTAGAAAGGGATCGGCTGCGCGAGCAAGGAAGAAGACGGCTTTTCCAGCCGGTGTCGGCGTGTAGTCGCCACGCGAGATCAGATCGCGCTTCTTGGAAGCTTCGGAGCGGGGGTCATTGGCGACGGGGTCGAAGGCAGGCGCTTTCCCGGCCATTGCGAACGAGGGAGAAGCAATCAGTTTCTAGTTGGCTGTCAGAGGAGTTCTGGGAGCCGTTAGTAGGGTTCAATAGACAACAGGGAGCAATGGCCGACGTACAGATGAATGACGTCTCGAGCCGCACCGTGGGGGCTGCAATACTCCAATGAGTGTTATGAGCAGGTACTGTGAGTGAAGAGCATACGTGAAGGCGGTCACTCCTGAAGAAGGAACACCAACAAGCTCACTTAAGAGAGTATCCAAGCTCGTTGCTCTGGTATCGAGCTTGATGGCGCTGTGGACGTAACGGAGCTCATAGCTCCGAGCTGACTAACGCGCGGCATTCGGTCGTTCAGGGCCGCCGACAAGGCTCTCCGTCCGCAGGAGTGCTACATGGCGGCGATTTATGCTGTTTCGCGATGCTCTAGAAGAAGAGTCCTGCAGAGACGCGATCTACGCGCCTGAGAGATGAGGCGGAGATGTACGAAGGAGAACGATGTGTGAACTCTCTTGATTGGGTATGGTTCATGCGCGTCTTCACATGATGGCGTGCATTAGTGCCGATGTAGACACGCGCCTTCTTTATTGAGAACAATGCTAATAATACACGATCCCCATCAGCTCATTATTCTTTCCCTCCTCACCCTTCTTCGTGATACGGCGCGTCTATAATTGCCCAGCCGCTCTCTTGCATTAGCATCGATTTCTTGAGTCGTTCGTCCAGCAAACCCTGGCCTAGGAACCGAACGGTCGTGGCAGGACACCAACACCGATCGAAGGGAGCGGAGAGGGGGACCGACGAATACATATCCGGTCCTTTTGGAGAGCATTGGATGATTTGGGGCCAGAATGGCTTGTGGGGAGCGAGGGATGAGAGCGATTCGCCCTAGCATGCTACATTCACTACCTGCTTCATCGTTGTCCGAGAAATGGCAATACGGGGTTGATCGGTGCTGCCGTGTTCCTCTGTTCATCGCTCTCGATTACCCGCGCGACTGCTCAGTCCTCCAACGTTCGATAGCGCCCGGCGCTCTTTCCGATTGGCACTGGCCCTGTCCGCCGGATCAACTCACTGGCACAAGCGACTCATGGCCGGTTGATACCATCAGCGCTCACATCTTGGATAACTATACCATTTCTAATGCCCATTAATTTCAACGACATATGCATCCTGTTGGAGGGCGTTGAACAGATCTCGCTCCACCAGCCGCGATACACCCCACGGAAGGAGAAGGAACGCATCCAGGACAGTGTATCCAAATGGTTCATCCGTCATCGGCGAGATCTCGATAGCCCGGCTACCAATGGCAGTGCAGTACTGTCGGCAATATTCCCTCAACGACGAAAGGATCGAGTCTATGGCATGCAGCCCCCTTTGCTGTCAAAGAAGATCACAGCGTTGCTCCACTTCAATCATATCCAGCGAACGCTTTTCGACAAATGGCCGAGCGGATTGCATGGCGATCTCGGCGTGTACATGGCGCGAGCGATAAGACCTTGGGATGGCACCTTCAAGAGGAAGCGTCCCATCCCAATCGAAAGAGTCGACACTCTGTTGACGCAGTTGGCGGCAAAATATCGATTCTCTGATACGGCAATTCAGCAGCGACGCGACCAGCACAAAAACACCGATATCGAGCTGAAGTATATCCTCGACCGACTCGAGTCACAGGAGGCAAAATGGTTTGTGCGACTCATCCTGAGAGAGTATCCTACGATTGAACTCGATGAGTCTTTCGTGTTTGAGCGATACCATTTCCTCCTTCCCGATCTGCTCAAGTTTCAGAACGACTTCGAGGCCGCATTCGGGATGCTGAGGGGAGAACTAAGTCGCTATCCACCTGTTCCGGAATCACCCCTCGAGAAGACGCTGCGGATAGAAGCCGCCAAGCAACTGAAAGCTGTTGTTGGCGTCAAAGTTGGCCGTCCGACGTTTCATAAAGCTTGGGTTAGTATCTTGAAGCGAAAGAACTACTACTTGCTGACCGTTTGAATAGTCATTCAAGTATTGCTTTCAGTTACTAGGCAGTCAGACCTGGGCTGCTGAAGTCAAATATGATGGCGGTAGGCTGCACATCCTTCTCTTCGACATTGGCCCAGGCATCCTAACTGACTTATTAGAATACTGTGAGATCCACGTCGATTTGGACAATGCTCCAAATGATATCAAAATCTTCTCCAAGAACGGCAAAGATGCGACAAGGGATCGCGAAGCTCTTCATAGGTACGCTTTCAATGCTGCTAGGCTCCCACTTATGAAATTGCCTAACTAGTGGTAGTATTATTCGAAACGCTCTTCGTATCGGACGCGCGGACTGCATGTTCAAACGCAAGTGCATTGTCCTAGGAGAAATGGTTCTGTACAGCGACAAAGAAAAGAAGATCCTTTCATTCTCTAAGATCCGGAAGCACATCTCAAGATCCGGATCGTTCATGGGGACGCTGCAGGACTCACTACCACACGAGTGGGAGCATTTGATGATAGCATTCTTTGACGTCCTAATGCTCGACAACGATCCGACCATGCGCATGTGTCTTCAGGACCGACGACAGATTCTCCGAAACCTTGTACGAATCATTCCAGGGCGATCCCAGCGCTCCGAGTGGACCCTTCTCGACTTTAAGACTGAGCATGGCGTCACTGACCTGAAGCAAGCTTTTGCCAGAACGCTTGCTTACCGCCAAGAGGGGCTAGTACTGAAGCCTCTCCATGCTCCTTACTTTCCATTACTTGCCCAAGTAGGGCATCGCCAGCCGGGCTACTTCATCAAGCTAAAGAAAGACTATCTCGGCGACATGGGCGGCGAACGAGATCTAGGGGATTTCGCCATCGTTGGCGCGCGCTTTGACGCACAGGTGGCTCCGAGGACGGATCTGAAGCCACTACACTGGACACATTTCTACCTCGGATGCACAAGCAACAAGTCTGCCGTGCAGAGATCCGGAGCAAAGCCGAAGTTCAAGGTGGTGGGATGCCTCAGTCTTGATAAATGTATTCCAAAGCCAGAACTTAAGCACCTGAACCTCAACGGGTATCTCCACAAAGTCGTCCTTCACCACGACGGATCAATCGAAAAGTTTGATATTGATCATGGCTGCAGCTGTGACCGCCGTATGTCCGTGGCTTTCAAGGAACCATTCGTAGCCGAAATCCTCGGTGGCGGTTACGAGAAGGTTCAAAACGAGACCTTCGAGATGCTTCGGCACCCACGAATCAAGAAGATCCACCACGATCGGACATGGGAGGATGCCGTTACCATGGAGCACCTTGAACGGATGGCGGAAGAGAAGTGGGATATCCCCGGTACTGACAAATTAGATGGCCACGCAAAAGACGTTTCCATCTTCGCGAAGATGTACGCCAAGGAGATGGCTGAATCCCAGGTCAGTTTGTCGGAGTACGAGACCACCCAAGAAACAACTCAACGTACGACTCCGCGCAAAACTCAGGAAACTACACCACAAACACCTATCGATGCTGTCATTCAAGAAACGCAGCAGGCGACGGTGCATGACACCTGCACGACGGCATCAGCAACACAATGCTCGGGCAGCACACAAGGCATAGGCATCCGCGCTTCGAGGGAAGTCCGCATCCTTGTTCGCGAGGACACATCTGAACGACAGGTAACTTCTGCCTCCGCGCAACCGCAAGGAAACATAGCCTTATTGCCTACTCCGGCCTCGACCTCGCGGGACGGCATCCCTTCCACGGGCGAAAAGCGGAGTTTAACAGACGACATGATTAGTCCTCCAACCAGCAATCGGAGGAGAAAGGTGCGGAGTCCACTCAAGGATGCCGAAGGAAACCGGAAGCTGGGAGCATTCGAGTATGACTCCCAAGAGAAGACGATTCATATCTACGCGGAGGATGGGTGGAAGGTCGAGGTACACGCCGGACCGTAGAGGCAAGAGTAGGTTCTATTGATGATACCCCTTTTCGGTAATGCTTTCATATCTATAGAGTCATCTTTCTGTATATTCCTACTATTCAAATTCAGGTTTTGACTGCTAGATACATGCTCTGAGGTACGTGCTCTGTAATACTTTGAGTCACTCCATTCCTGTTGCCTCATCTCAAGCAGCTTTCACATCATCGCATGGGCCGCCCCTGTTCGCAAGATACCCCGCATAGCGCGGTATCAACCAAGCAAGGCGACGTGGAGGGAAAGCCTCAGATATAGCAGCAAAATTTGCACCATAAGATGCGCACTAGAATTGCGGTTGCCGTGGGAAGGTTTAGCTGTAACATTTCACTGGCTCTTCTGGTTGAGAGCATGCGCCTATATAAAGCTCAATTCTCCCCCACCTGAAGCGCCGCACCAAGTTGCTGCGATTTTTGTGCTCGATTCACGCTCGGCATCTCGAATCTGTATCCAAATCACACTACTTGGTGCGTGAAGCTATTGACATGGCTGGTAAGCCTGCGCCTATGCAAACAGAAAGCCGAGCAATTACTAACAAAACAAGCAGACAACAATAACAACAACAAAAACATGGCCAAGCCGGAGGAGAAAGATAGAACTAGTGCCGACTCGCCTGGACTGACTGTAACTTCCAGCGAGACGCCAACTCTACCTCGGGATCCAAGCGCTACCGCAACAGAGCAAGCTCCACCGCAGACTGTGAGAGCCCTAGACTCTGTCTGCGAGCTTGACACCCTGCCATCTACTTCTGCTCGAGCATCAGCGCTGCCCCGGCGCGGCGGTGGCCTGAGCGGGCGTGGTCAAGGACGCGAAGATCATCCAAGCCTCCTCCTCTCGCTCGTCCAAGACTCCGTACCGGATATGGGCCCCAGCAACAGCAACAGCAACCGCAACCGCAACCGCAACCGCACCTCTTCAGGCCCCAGTGCTATAGGCAACCAAGCGGACCAGCGCGCTCAGCGACCTCTGCCAGTAACCAGCACCGGTGTTACAGGTGACTGCGACCTTCCTCCAGGTAAACGACTAGCTCTAGGATCTCACAAAGCCACCGTACTAACTTCCCAGCAGCATCTAACACCGCTCAACTCCCACCAATGCCTCACACCGCGCCCGCTGTTCTACCATCCGGACGCGTCCTAGACTTCGGTTCTCCCGGCGATCCAAACCCTTTCACTCTCCCGAGCCCAGTGGACGCCTTCGGATTCCGCATCTGCCCGCCGCCTAGCGAGTCCGACTACCAGGCCCACCAGGACAGCTACGACTCTGAGGCAACCGAGACCGAGGATCGTGCAATGCGAGTAACCCGGCGGCAACCGTCACCAGATCCTGACCGCAATCCGTTCGTGGAAATGGACACGTTCGGCCAGCGCAGCGGTCCACCGGTCGCTGATGAGGAGAGTGTGCGGCAGCTTGCGCTGGCTTCGGATTCGCAATACCGCGGTGGTCGTTGGCAGATTCCGGAGCGCCAAGGTCGGGGTGGACGGGGTGGACGGGGTCGTGGCCGTGCCTTTAGGGGTAGGCCGGTGTCGTTGGACTTGGGACGTGGTGGTATGCCGTCTCGAGGTGGATTTGGCAGTCAAGGAAGCCAAATTAACCTGACCTACGATAACCCTCCTCCTGGTGGCTTCGGCACTCAGTCTATCCCACACAGCGCCGGATATCCTCCCATCTCTACTCGACCTCACCCAATGCGTCCCCCAGGAGTACATCGCTTCCCTGCGGCTCACGAACCTAGCCTCAGCTACCCGCGGGGAACCTTCGGTGGCTGGCCTGTGCTAACTAGCCCGACGTATCCTTCAGGAGTTTACGGCGTCCCTGGTGCCCAGCCCGGCCCGGCATTTCCTCCAGGAGCGTACGGTTTCGGCGGCTATCCGCTCATCCAGCACTATCATCCTACGGCTGCCCCAGGAGCTGGTGGTCGTCCTCCGATGCCTGCTGAACACCGAGTCAGTAGCCACGCGGTCGCTATCCGTGAGCCTGCGCGTGCTGCTCCTGGCCTGGATCCGAGCGTTACGGGCTTCGTCCCCGCGACCTCAGCGACTTCTAGGGCAACTCAGCAGCCGCCGTTTGAGAGCAGCGAGGGTCAGGGCTAGACCTCGAGGCGGAGGACGAGGACGAGGACAAGAGCAAGGAGAGGGTGATCGACCTAACTTAGGACGAGGACTAGAGGCTATGGGTTGGACTGATAATCACACAGCTTGTCATATAAGTCTAAGAGGCCTGTTCTCCCTGACAGACGGGGCTTTGACAAGATACCATAGGACATGAGATATTGGGACGTGTGATTGAGCCCGAGAAAACCGTATATACTGCTTGAGTGCCGCACACTAACTGCACAGCAGCCACTAATACTTACGCATACCAAGATGTAGAAGACAAAGTTTGCCACGGGGCAGTTTAGTACCCGTCACATGCTCGGATCCATGGTTTCCCAACATTAGCGCCAGAGCTTGCTACAAGCAATCGTGTTAGTTGTCGCCCACGTACATACTTTACAGAGTAAAAGCGGGCTGAGCTCCAGTGCAGAGACTTCAGGAAAAACAGCAAGGTAAAGGGGCACAGAGCTTTATATTGCTCCGGGGAAACCATGAGCGGATCTTAACCGCACATTCAATATGCCGGATGATCTCTCTCGGCTATGCCCTCTAAACCGGCCCATCTGACCAAACCAACAATTTCGCCAAACAGAGATTCGAAAGTCCCCAAGGCTTCTAGATATTCCCCATATTCTCCCAATAACAAGGGGTGCAAAGTCGAGTCGATCGTTCTGGTTAGCGACTCAACACGGGTTCCCTCCCCTGCCAAGCTATGCACGAGATCTTCCTATAGAAGAGCCAAGATCTTTCTCCTTTGCATCCACTCCTATATTCCGTAACTCTTGAGTATTTCCATCGAATAGCAAGCACCACCCCCCCCTGCCTCTGAATCGCTATCCCCGGCATCCATCATCCCGATCCCGAGCCGACCCATGTTCGCACATCCCCAGCTACTGTGTACTAATGTACCCCGCAGCCACACCCGGCCCCATGCCATCATCCACCCGACCCAATCCAGCAATCCCTTCTCAACGGCTTCTCCTGCACGGGTAAAATAACCGCCAACCCCAGCGCAGCTTCCTGTTCCTGACTACGCGCATATCGATGCGGCTTTGCGACCAGCGTGCCGCTTACCAGTATTACCTGCCAAGTGCGGTTGGGAGATGTGGTTCATAAAGGAGCGGGGCCCGTCGTTGCGGGCCCTCTCGCGCGCATCTTTTTTCTGGCTTCCCTCGTGAGGAAGTCCTGCCCTGTCCTGTGGAAGTGTACGAATTTGAAAGATGCGATTGTGCGCGTGGAGAGAACGCGCGGGCGCGGTGTCGCTGGCGCTGCTGCTGCTGCGTGTGAGCGCGCAGAGTACGCCGTATGACTGGGTGGATCCGCTTATTGGGACGATTAATGGAGGTTGGTAGACTGCGAATTGGAGTCTGACGAAGGGAGGAGAATTGACGAGTCGCAGGCCATGTCTTTCCCGGCGCGACACTACCTTTCGGTGCGTTTCCCCACCACGACGCTTCTTCCCCTTTCATTCAAGACGCACAGGCACTGATCGAAGAATAGGCATGGTAAAAGCCGGACCGGACGTCGTGGGCGAAAACCAGGGCGGCTTCGCATCCGACGACAGCGAAATCCTCGGCTTCTCGCACATGCACGACTCTGGAACCGGAGGCGTGAGTCCAGTCTACCCCTTTACCGTCCATCTCCCTTCTTTCGTCCTCGATCAGTCCCCTTCTCCACCTTCCAAAGCGGACTAACCATCGCAGGCCGCCTCCCTCGGCAACTTCCCCATCTTCCCGCAATCTGGCTGCCCGAACGGCGACATCAACGCCTGCAACTTCACCTCCTGGGAACGTCTCACGCCCCGCGTAAATGGCAGCGTGCACGCGCGCCCCGGATACTTCGACATCACGCTCGCCTCGCAAATCCGGACGGAAATGACCGTCTCAAACCGCACCGCTTTATACAGGTTCACATTTCCCTCGACGCCAGTCACGCCCAACACGCCGCTAAACCCGCTCATCGTGCTCGAGCTCCAAGACCTTCCGCAGACGCGCAGCGACGGCACCATCAAAGTCGGGGCGAATGGGCGGCTCACGGGCGGCGCTCGCTTCATACCCAGTTTCGGAATCGGCTCGTATGTGAGCTACTTCTGCGCTGATTTCCATGGCGCGAGCTTGAAGCGCAGCGGCGTGTTTTCGAACTCGCGCGCCTCGGCTGAGGCAAAGTTCTTCAGGGTGCTTGGGGCTGAGACGGAGAGTAGTCCGAGTATACGACCTGCGGGGGGTTGGGTGCAGTTCGAGAAGCCGGATAGTAACAATCAGATTGCCGCGCGCGTGGGGATGAGCTTCATCAGCGAAGCGCAAGCATGTGCGAATGCGGAGCGCGAGATCCCCGAGTTCGATTTCGACGGTACGCTTAAGGCGGCCGAGAAGGCTTGGAGCGATAAACTCGACGTGATTAGCATCGAGCCTGGGGGTGCGAGCGATGTGCTGCAGCGCGCGTTCTGGAGCGGCGTGTATCGCAGTATGATCAGTCCGCAGGATTATACGGGTGAGAACCCATATTGGAGTACGCCCGGCGAGCCGTACTATGATAGCTACTATTGCATCTGGGATAGTTTCAGGAGTATCCATCCGCTGATTACGCTGCTGGATCCGCACAGTCAGACGTTGATGGTGAGGAGTTTGTTGGATATCTATCGGCATGAGGGGAAGTTGCCGGATTGTCGGATGAGCTTTTGCAAAGGTGCGAATGACTTTCTTACTGTTGCGGCCCTGGTAAGGCTGACGGTGTGCAGGCTTTACGCAGGGCGGATCGAACGCCGACATTGTCATCGTAGACGCCTACCTCAAGAACATAACCACGGGCATCGACTGGACCCTGGCCTACGAAGCGCTCGTCTCCGACGCAGAAATCGAGCCGCGAAACTGGGACGTCGAAGGTATACTCATCCCCCTCCCATACTCCGTCTCTTCTCTCCAACTAACACCACCGAGGACGCGGCGGCCTCAGATCCTGGAAGGAGCTTGGATACATCCCAACCGAGAATCTCGATCTCGAAGGTGTCGGCACCGAAACGCGCAGCATCTCGCGCACCGTCGAATACGCATACAACGACTTCTGCATCGCGCTTCTCGCCAAGGCGCTCGGCCACACCGCCGACTACAACAAGTACCTCACCAGATCCGGCAACTGGAAGAATATGTTCAAAGCAGACCAGAAGTCCCTCATCAACGGCACAGACACGGGGTTCACTGGCTTCCTGCAGCCACGCTACATGAACGGCACCTGGGGCTTCCAGGACCCGATCTTCTGTTCTCCCCTGATGGACTTTACTGGCTGTTATTTGAATCCAAGCGGCGGCGAGACCTACGAAGGCCCCGTATGGCTCTACACCTTCTTCGCGCCCGGCGACATGGCGACGCTGATCCGCACGCTCGGCGGCGCCGAACAGTTTGTCAAGCGTCTCGATTTCTTCCACGAGTCGGGCATGTGCTACATCGGCGACGAGCAAGCCTTCCTAAAAGTCTTTCTGTACCACTACGCCGGTCGGCCCGCCAAGTCGGCCGAGCGCGCGCACTTCTACATCCCCAGCCAATTCAACGACAGCCTGAACGGCATCCCAGGCAACGACGACAGCGGAGCTATGGGCTCCTTCGAAGCGCTCACCATGATGGGCATATTCCCCAACGCAGGGCAAGACGTGTACTTCATCACGCCTCCGTTCTTCGAATCGATTTCCATCCGCAACGGCCAAACGGGCAAGACGGCGACGATCCGGAATATCAATTTCGATCCGAGTGGGAAGAATGTATATATCCAGTCGGCGACGCTGAATGGCGAGCCCTATACGCGGAATTGGTTGCAGCATAGCTTCTTCCTCGAGGGAGGGACGCTGGAGTTGACGCTGGGCACGAGTGAGAGTGCTTGGGGGACGGGGCCTGAGGATGTGCCGCCGAGTTTGGGCCCGTTTGGCGGTGGGAATGGGACGGCGAATGGGACACAAGGGGGCATGGGGAGGAGGTGGGAGATGCCGAGGTTGCCGAGGTTGGAGTGGGAGAGCTGATAGGAGGGAGGTGGAGAGTGTGATTGTTGTGCAAAGGTCGACTGGCCCCGGGGATGACTGAAGGTTTGCATGCTTACTGTACATAGCATACTTCCTAGTACCATCGTAATCCAATAGGCAATACTAGTTTGAGGTATTCAGTGGCCGTTATCAATGGCATGCCTCCTCCATAGCCGCGCCACAATTGCCCCTGACAGCAAGGCACTGTATCCACCGTCTGAGACCATCGAAGGGAAGGATTAATGTTCGGCAGTAGGCTCCCTTCACTGCAAAGCGGAATCTGCGGAGTCTAGATAAGGCTGCACCCAAAAAATCCCGCAATCAAGGCTATGTATAGCCCGTCACAACTGGTATCGATCGGGCGGTAGGGGAAACTTGACACCGTCTGTGGCAGATCCAAAATGGCTAGAATTTGCTCGTGGCCGTGCATTCTCGGATTTACCGGCGCTTTTATGCCTGCGTATTTGATTTTTGATTTCTAAGCGGACTGTTGGGGGTCCGGCGATCCTCTCCACGCCACAAAGACACTCCAATCCTGAACATGATCCGATGATAATATTCCTTGCTACGGAGTGTTAAATATCGAGGCCCGGCAGAACGTCAATACAAAGACAACTTCCTCAGACTCCTTTAATATCCCCCATCACACCCTTCTATCCGTCTCTGCTTCAGTCCTGCAACAACCCTGTCACATCTCTCCAGGAAAGTTTACTTTTTCAAACAATAACAACAAACATGTCGAACCTCGACGCTGCTCAGCTCTTCTCTGTTAAGGGGCTGGTTGCTGTAGTCACAGGCGCTAGCTCCGGTTTGGGCGAAGTCATGGCGCATGCTCTGGATGTTAACGGCGCAGCCAAAGTCTTCATTCTCGGCCGCCGAGAGTCCAAACTCAAGGAGGTTGCATCGAAAGCGGTGTGTAATGATTTCTGATCCTCCCCCCTTAAGCTGATTGCTTTTTAGATAAATGGTTCTCTCATTCCGGTCGCATGCGATGTGAGCTCGAAAGAATCCTTGCAGGCTGCAGTGTCGACAATCGAAAGGCAGACGCCATTTATCAATCTTCTTGTCGCCAATTCGGGCTACCTTGGGGAGGTTACCGGTATGGCCCCCAGGCCGGCAGAGCAGACTGTTGGTGAACTTCAAAAGGAGCTGTGGGACAAGACAACCTACGAAGACGCAAGTAAAGTTGCTAGTACCAACATAGCCGGATCGTATTTTACTTTTCTCGCCTTCTTGGGCTTGCTGGGAGTTGGCAATACGCACCCCGACAGCGTAGGAAAGAGTGGACTGCTACAGAGTCAGTTCATTAGTACCACTAGTTTTGGTGGCTTGTGCCGAGCTGAAGCTCCTAGCTATGTCTACAACGCTAGCAAGGCTGCTCTGAACCACTTGACGAAGACTTTGTCATCGGAGTATGCCAAACATAGCATCCGGGCCAATGCGATTGCCCCCGGTATGTTTGTCACGGAAATGACGGAGGTATGTGATAGAAAAAAAAAAAAGGTCTTTTGACCGTTGAGTAGAAGCTTACATCGGAGTAGGCCCACACCCCAGAGGGAAATCTCAGCGCCGTCGGCTCTATGCCGTGGCAAGCTATTCCCGCTACGCGAACAGGCACAGAAGAGGTATGCCAACACTTCAGTCTGAATTGATCGAATGCTAATGTTTCTGCAAGGATATGGCCGGTGCTGTGCTTTACTTGGCATCTAGAGCAGGTTCTTTTGTGAATGGGTGCATCTTGCTACCGGATGGTGGAATGCTCTCTGTTCGCCCTGGTTCCTACTAGTCACGCCGTCGGACTAGCTATCACTCCTTGACGAGCAAGAGCAAGATGTCGTCGACAAAGGCCGTGGAACGGCCAGAGGAGATCTTTCCCAACGACAACCATGCGAACCGGAACATTTGAGGGGCGTATATACCGCATGCGCAATATGTTTTGACTGCTACACTTGGCGCAGGCAGCGTGAGCGTAGGACTAGACTTGCACGAGAGACTTGGAAGGTGCTTGATGAGTGACGGGAGATATGACGAGGCACACGAGCCATTACGAATAGCGCTGGGAGAAGACAGAAGGCGCTGGAGAAAGAGCACCCCTACACCTTGACTAGCGTACACTACCTGGCTTCCTAATTCTATTAGCAGCATCGCTATGGTGTTGCCTCGACCTTGCGTGAAAGGGCGAGCAGCGGATACCAGCGTGTGCTTGGCTCAGAACATCTTACTACAATCGCAAGTCGTTGCTCGGCCAGCGATGCAAGGTGCCCGCTTCATCACCTCATCAATGATGAGGCGATCGGTGCGGCCATCCCGTTTCGATATCAATATATCGCTTGTCCTCCTCAATGATGATGGTAGCCCTGTTAGAATTGAAGACGGTTCGTACAAAGGGTTGGACAAATAGTACAGTACCTTCATCATCCGCTTCCTGATTTGCCGTCATCTGTCGAATTCAAAGCGTGCGTATCACGAAAACCATTCAACCCTTTGCCTATCGGGTTGGCGTGGAGTATCTCCGACCGAGTCGTCATCGTCGGCCGACGTTGCATTTGCGGATCGTTGTAGGGGCAACGTGGGAGCGCATAGGTAACCGAAAATGGAGTGAGGTGTGACGGAACGCTGAGAAGAAAGACAATGTAAAGCTGGCCAGGAGGCTGGTCCGGAATAACATCGGCACTGCGCGTCGGCTCAGCAGATATGCCGAGCGCCGAATGATAGCACAATATATGCATCTAGAGTGGCCACGACTGCCTCCGGACGCTATCACGCATCGCTCCGCATTGATTTGACACCCATTGATTCACCATCGTGGCTATAGCAGGAACTTCCTTCAATAGCTGCCGTCCTCAAGGCCCTCGCCTCCCGATGGCGTAATGCTGCGTATTACCGACAAACGGGAAAGGCGGATCGGCCTGATAGCACGCTGTGTTGATACCTGGTTCGTGATAGGAGGGAAGGAGGTTCGACAGGAGGGTATCCAAAGGAGCGGGTTCGATTGGCAGGTTACAGCAACACCTTGGGCTTCTGGCATAGAGGTTGAAACAAGCTTCGGTCCGTTTCGATTGCCGACGCCCGGTGAGGTTAATCGCGCATCCAATTTTGGTGATATGCATGCGCCGGCAGTAACTGGGAAGCCAGGCTCTGCTTCGCAGCGACGCAGTCACATCCCAACTGGGAAGGGCCGGTGCGGACTATCCGCTGCGTGCGATTCGAGCCATCAATATGCTCCATCAGCTGTGCCTCCGGTGTCATTCTGGGATAGCTTTTTAGTGGGTCATAGCGGTGAATGGGTTGCTCCTGGCTGCAATGCATGCGATCGATGATGATGTGGAAATGGCTTCTGTCTCTGTCCGGCAGATGAGGTCGAAATATGATTTTACGTTGACTCCCAGTTCTGAGTATTGCCGTTAGTCTCGCGCTATCTGAAACTGCCTCAAGAGCGTGGTTTGGGCGCTGAGGTCGGTACTAAGATTGTTGGTGAACGGTCGCGTTCTCGAGGTACGTACCTACGAGTGCCGCAGATGGCGTGAGACGAGAAATTGTGGCGGTGCGGGGATCTAGCGGATCTGGAATCGACGGAGTTCGTCCTCCAGATTTCCATATTGATGAGGCGACATCAGGCGTTGGTTCGAGCGTCCGACGCTGCAAAGCATCAGACGTCTCGCGACGCCTCTCAACCAATACCACTGCACCAAAACAAACATAGAATAAGCGGGGACAGTACGAAGGCCAGTTGCCTGGATCAACGCTGTTCGTGACGAAGGCATGAGGAGACCTCGAAGCCATCCGAATTTACCGACCTCAGCACTGCACGGCCCCGCCATGCGAGCTGCCAGTCAGCTCAGTGATCGTCGTCGGAAAGCCGGACGGGACCTCGTGACGGCGGCGCATGCGTCGAATAGACTGGAAGCGTCGAGCCTGGACGTTCGTGACGTTTGGACAGCTTCGTTCCAAGAATTTCTATGCCGTAATTTGGTACATGGGCAATGCTGTCATGCGAGGAGGTACCGTGGTTGCGCGCAGCTTGTCGCGAGACTTGACAAGTTGTGATACAGCCAGTGGATCGCATATTGAGATAGCTGGGATGCTGCGATAGATAGGGGAGTCGTCCCGTAGGAGCTTTTTGGTGTGGCCGCTTTGCTGCGGTTAGAGTCGCGTTGGAGGGGTCGATAAAGAGGGGTGTTACAAAGTAGTTGCAGAGACCTTGCAGATTCGAAACGGTCGAGGTATTTGGTGTCTGTCTAGACTACTTTCCTTGCATTTGGGCGATAAGCTGAGAAGGGATAATACTGGTGGCGCAGCTGTTGGCCCTGCAACCTCAGCGACGGTGCATGCAGCAGTCTCAAAGCAGCAAACGCCTCGTTTGGGCGTGGCCACGGGTGTATCCACAGCGGAGCCGTGGTTGAGGCAGGTCGTCATCGTCAGTCGATATGGCATTATTGGTTGCGTGCCTTTGTGTCATCGCGCTGGTTCCAGAAACCGCACAGCCGGAAGACGTGGCGAATCCTCAGCAAGGAACAGGCGCAACGGCTCTGGGCGTTAGTCATGGAAAAGCAGAGCGTCCACAAGAGGGCATGACGCTACATATCGTGAGGAGACACGTCTCTGCAAGTATCGTGGAGAAAGCCACTGTCGAGTGAGGGAGACGGCCAGGTCTTGAAATCAAGGAGCCGGCATTGGTGTAAATCCGTAGTTGCAGGAGGGAAACGCACGAGGCCGAATGGGTACTGGTGGTCAGCGGTGCCCCTGAGATATCGTGGCTTTCCCCAGGTTTTTGTTGGTCGGGAGCGGGTCTGGCGGTGTGTGGCAGCAGAGTCGAAAATGGCGCAGCTAGCCCGATTGATCACGCTCCAGAGTAGGATGGGCCCCACCGCCAATGATGGCGTAATACTGGATCGGATCGTGATGCATGGCACTGGGTTACCATCGGTGTCCGTGTCTGAACTTATCATTAGACTGCGATTCGTGCTGGCCTGGCGTTGCGGCCGGATCGGTGCTGGCCAGTGTATAAAAGGATCGCTGACTGCTCCTCGCAAGAAGCAGCAATCATCGAGCCCTATCCTCAAGACTCGTCTAAACTCGTCTAAAGACCAATCAGTACGCATTTCAGCCGGGATCGACGCCAGAGAACTATCCTCACTCAAAGAGCGAACTACTTTGAGCCATTCACCATGCCTCATCTCCCCTTCAACACGACTCCTTCTCCTTCGTCTTCTCCCAAGACCGCAGCCAAGACTGCACCTAGCCCGCCTTCGATAGTTCTCCATCCCGCTTCGGGTATACAAGATCGCTCAGACAAAGGCTCTTCGTCTAATGTGCACACAGGCAGTGCGTCAAAAAAGGAGCTGTACAAGTCGAGCGACGACATGGCGGCAGCCTACCGAAAACGCTACGCTCAGTACCTCGCCGCGACCTTCAATATGTCACTCGAGGCGGCCATGGTCGAAGCCGACACGCAGCTCGCGCCTCGCCGGTGTTCAGACGTCTCGGAAGCGGAGACGTTTCGGGAGCGCTGAGAGCTGGGAGCTGAGAGCTGGGAGCTGAGGGCTGAGAGCTGTGTCGGCGGGAGCGACTTACGACTTATTACGACTCTGCATTGGGAGGGGTTTGGGTAACGGCATAAGGCCCGGGCTACATAGCGGCATTGTCCTGAGATAGGACAGAAATAAAAAGGGTGTTTTCTTGCTTGTGCCTCTGGACTGTGAATTTGATGATGGTTGCGGTCATTGCTCCAGGGCTGGTTGTTACCGACGAGTCAGCCAATACCTAATGCAGGTTGGAGGTTGCAGGTGACAGTGCTGGGCCTAGACCACGGCAGAAGCGAGCCCCGTGGCCCGAGGCTCTTCGCTATCGATAAGAGGCCGCCGTGAGTGAGCCATTTTTCGGATCGGATGAACCATTGTGCCAGAGTGCAGACGTCTCTCGTTCACGACTCCGTGACTTCGTCGGGAAGGTTGAATCCTCTGCTATCTCCCTCGCATCGGGATGCGAAAATCGCTTTTCAACTCTGTACCACGCCGCCCTGCATGCCTCGGCATCCCCAGCCCGCTGACAGCACCCGACTGGTCCGGTGGACAGTCCCTGGAAGAGGACTCTCGGCGGAGTATATTGAGAAAGTTGGATGACTACCAAATACACACAGGTGTATGGCGTGGGACTGTCGACACGCGCTGGGGGAGTCGGCTAAGCTGGGTACCGGTGGCATAGCGAGAGAAGCGCTGCGGTCGACGTGGAAGCGGTGCTTGAAAGCCATGGCTCGCGACGCCTGGGAAAATTACGGCTAGCGGCCCTGAAAGACAGCTGATAAAGCGGACATGGCCAATGAAAAAATAGCTAGGGAAACGGATGTGGACCGGCGCGGGACTTTCGCCAACGTTGAGGAAGGCGCATGCATGTTCGATGCACTTCTTCACCAACAGCGGAATGGGAACAGGGCACCCAACCAGGACCGACCAGCTGCATGCCACGGCGAGCACCGTGCTGCCAACTTCCCGGACGCTCTCGGCATCGTGGCTATGCGCCGTGCGTATCGAACGACGGAGCGAAGGGCATAAAGAGACGTCTTGGAATCGTCAGCCAAGGGCCTTGTCGCTCTCCGGTGCAGAGGGGCGGCGAGAGGCGGCGAGAGGCGGCGAGCGGAGGAGGCTCAATCGCACAATCGCACACACAAACCGCTCGGGCAGCGCGCCAGTCCAGAGCGGCGTTTTCGCATTCATCGTCACCGTCGTGGTCCCAACGGGCGATGCAGCGGAGCGCAGCCCGTGGGGTGCCTGCAGCGATGTGCCCGTCCCTGACTGGCGAGGCCTGGCAGGCGGAAGGCGCGAGCGAGGAATACCAAGACGCTCCCCACGCTTGTCGCCGGGCTAGCGATGCGTGACCCCGCCCGCCAGTGGGAACACCCAAACCGCTATATCTTACCCGCGCGACGCCCTCCATTCCTACCCACAACCACACCTCCGGTGTTCTATTGCATATTGAATGGGTGAAACCGAACTGCCTGCGGTCGAGGAGACGTCTCCTCAGGATACAGAACCTCCTATACGACCCTACCATGGATCGGCTGCTACACACCAACCAAACCGCCCCGAGCCAGCATCACGCGACGACGGAAATACCTCGTCGTTCACACCTTGGCACACCCTCACCGCAGAGCAGGTCGCCGAGGAGCTGGATGTGGTTATCGGGTGCGCTCCTCCACCTCTCTGAGAGCCCGGGAAGGTGCTAACCCCGTCACAGCAATGGACTCAGCGCCCTCGAAGCGGACGCTCGCCTTCGGCACTATGGACCTAACAAGGTTAAGGGAGCTGAAGGGCTTTCTCTGTGGGCGATTCTCATGAGGCAGGCGTCCAACAGCCTCACTCTCGTACGTGCACTCCTTCTCATTGCCCCTTCCGACGCTTCCGCCTGCAAGTGGCCAACATGCAGCGTGCCCAGAGCTAGGCCACAACCGAGATGCGCACCCTCACATCATATATACATCGACATGCAGTCCGGATCCCACTAGATGCATCTCCAGCTAGCATTTCGACAGACAGTCCAGCACGTGCTGGTGCTATCGACTACCAGCATGCTAACCCGCGTGCATAGGTCCTCCTCATCACTATGGGATTGAGCTTTGGCATTAGTGACTACATTGAAGGCGGTGTTATCACTGCCGTCATTCTCCTCAACATTGTCGTCGGGTAAGATAGAATCAACGCTTTGTCGCCGGCTGTGGTTAACTCATGCAGATTCTGGCAAGACTACAAGGCCGAGAAGACGATAGAATCACTCAAAAAGCTTACTGCGCCCGAGTCCTTGGTCATCCGCGATGGAGACATCATCAAGGTCAAGGCCGTGGAGCTTGTGCCCGGCGACATCGTCCGGCTGGCTGCTGGTAACATCGTCCCAGCCGATCTACGGCTTGTCGACGGCGTCAATGTCTCGACAGACGAAGCCTTCCTCACTGGAGAAGCGCTGCCTGTAGACAAGACCCCTCACCTCATCTTCAACCAGGATGTTGGCACTTCCGACCGAACAAACCTCGCATATGCTGGAAGCGAGATGAAGCAAGGTCGATGCACCGGTATCGTTGTCGAGACCGGAATGCGAACCGAAGTTGGACAGATCGCACAGATGCTGCGTCAGAAGGGCGACCAGTCCACTACCCAGACTCCCTTGATGAAGCTCTGGAAGAAGTTCACCAAGACCGGGAAGTCCATTCTTGGACTTGATGGAACCCCCCTGCAAATTGGCCTGAGTAAATTCGCCCTCTTGCTTTTCGCCCTTGCCATCCTGCTTGCCATCATTGTATTCTCTGCAAACAAATGGCAGGTGGGCGGCGAAGTGCTCATCTATGGTATTTGCGTCGCCGTGGCCGTCATCCCGGAATCGCTCATTGCCGTGCTCACCATCACCATTGCGATCGGTGCCAAGGCTATGGCGAAGTCTAACGTCATTATCCGTGTCTCCTCGGCCATTGAGGCAGTTGGTGGTGTCACCAACATTTGCTCCGACAAGACGGGGACGCTGACCCAAGGCCGAATGATTACACGAAAGGCGATAATCCCGGGGTTTGGGACATTGTCCGTTGAGGACACTACAGATCCTTACAACCCAACCAGCGGCTATGTCACTCTAGACGGCGAGCGCCTAGACCAGGATGACTACATCCCGAACACGGCCTCCACTCGCTTTCTTCGAACCATTGCTCTCTGTAATGAGGCGAAAGTCACCCCTTCGGTCGATTCGTGCTCCTCCGTCAGCAACGAAAGGAACGAAAAGGACCTCGCTGCCGGTGTCCTTAGTGATGATGATGGAGACACCGATGCTTCAACCCTGCAATCTGCCACCATCACTCGCCCTACCACGGCCTCGGGTCAGAGCACGATGGGATCGCGCGGGCCGTGGAAGGCGAATGGAGAACCCACCGAAGTTGCACTGCAGGTCCTTGCTATGCGTTTCAACATGGGCAAAGAGCAATTGCTCGCTAGCCTAAACGTTGCGCTTGCCGCTGAATTCCCATTTGATTCGACCATCAAGAGGATGACCGTCGTCTACGAAGACAAGCAAGCCGGTCACCTCGATGTCTACACCAAAGGTGCCACTGACTTCATGCTTCCATGCCTTGCTATCCCCGACGACGAAAAAGCTGAGATGTACAAGACGGCAGAGTCGATGGCTAACAACGGTCTCCGCGTACTCTGCATTGCGCACAAGATCTTGGCGCTCGGAACGAACTTGCTCCATCGCGATGCAGTCGAAAAGGATCTGAAGTACATCGGTCTCGTCGCCATCTACGATCCACCTCGTCTCGAAACCAAGGGCGCCGTTCGCGAATGCCAAATCGCAGGCATCACTGTTCACATGCTCACCGGCGATCATATCGGAACGGCTGAGGCTATTGCCCGCGACGTCGGCATCCTGGATCCCACTTTACCTCCCGAAGAAGCCAAGAAGGCTGTCATGCTCGCAACGGACTTTGACCGAATGAGCAATGAAGAGATTGACAGAATGGACATGCTTCCCCTAGTCGTCGCTAGATGCAGCCCTCGCACGAAGGTCAACATGGTCTCGGCTCTCCACAGGAGGAAGCGCTTCTGTGTCATGACCGGCGACGGCGTGAATGACTCCCCAGCACTAAAGAATGCGGATGTCGGCATGGCCATGGGTACAGGCAGTGATGTCGCGAAAGATGCTGCTAAGATGGTTCTCACAGATGATAACTTCGCCTCGATCGTCAAAGCGGTAGAGGAGGGTCGTCGCCTGTTCGACAACATCCAAAAGGTAAGCCACCCACCATCCTCAACCAGAACTGTTGATGCTAACGCAATCAGTTCCTCATGCACCTACTCATCTCCAACATCTCCCAAGTAATCCTCCTCCTCATCGGCCTCGCCTTCAAAGACACAGACAACCACTCTGTCTTCCCGCTGTCACCCATTGAAATCCTCTGGGTCAACCTCATCACCTCTTCGTTCCTCGCCATCGGCCTCGGTATGGAAGAAGCCCAGACAGACGGCATGTACCGGCCGCCACATGACCTCAAAGTCGGCGTCTTCACTAAAGAACTCATCGTCGACAAGTTCATCTACGGCTTCTTCCTCGGCAGCCTGTGCCTCATGAGCTTCTCTGTTGTGGCGTATGTCGGGCCAGGTGGCGGCAACTTGGGAAGTGGGTGCAACGAAGGGTGGAATGAGAGCTGTGACGTTGTGTTCCGCGCCCGCGCTACGACGTACGCTACTATCACCCTCCTCCTTCTCGTTACCGCCTGGGAAGTCAAACACTTCTCCCGCTCGCTGTTTAATCTCTACCCAGACTCGCGCGCACCACCAGGCCTGTCCGTCTTCCCGACCGTCTGGCGCAACCGCTTCCTCTTCTGGGCTGTTACTGCCGGCTTCAGCATCATGTTCGCCATCGTTTACCTACCCATTATCAACCGCGAGGTGTTCAAACACGCCGCCATCACGTGGGAGTGGGGTGTCAGCTTCGGCGCTGTCGCCATCTACGTGGCAGCTATTGAGAGTTGGAAGGCGGTGAAGAGGAGGTTCGGCATTTGGAGTGGGAAGCATAAGGTGCTTCGACGAGAGGATGCCGAGGCGAGAGTTGGAATGAGAGGTGGCGAGGTGAGGGAGAAGGCTAGGAACTAAACCTGGTGGAGGGTGTTGACGGGAACTGATAGACAGGGTGTGGTGTGTATGTGGAAGAGGAAAGGCGAGGGGGATAAGGGAGGGAGGTATCAGACTGACATTGCACTCGTTGGGAGGTTTCTGTCATCTTGGGCGTCGACGATCTCTTCGGCCGTTTAGAGCTCTCTGTTGGATCGACCCTGGTCTGTCTCTACCGGGGTCTCCTTTTGATGGTTCGGTTCGGATTCTCATTCATTCATTTAGCTTCACGGTCGCTCCAGCCGCATGCATGCATTTCTAAATAGCAAAAAAAACCAACTTTGTCGCTCCTTAGCCTTTGCTTTTCTTTGCTTCTCCCCATCTTGACAACTCGTGCTAGATAAGACATCCTTCTGCTCAACACTCACACACACCACTCACATCACACCCCTCTTCCGTGAAGACCTCCTCCGACATGCCATACGCCACCTTTCAGCACCACTGCCCTGCTTGCTCAGCCCGCCTCGTAACGGCTTTCGTCGCGTAGTAAAGCATCGTGCCAGGCGGCTTCGCACGTGCTCAGATGCTAGATAGCAAGACCATATATATCCTCAGCACCGCTCAACTCAAATCTTTCCCGTCAAACTCGATGAAAGCGGCGACTCATTCGCTACCCGCACGTGGCAGTGGGGACACCCACCCAATCACCGGCGAGAATCCGGGTTGACTACGGGGCGCACCGTCTCTGATTGGCCAACTAGTTTCAGCTAAACCAAATTTGGGGGGTGGATTTGTTTGGGTCGATGCCTCCTCGGGGAGCGGCGGATTTCTTGCAAGGGGAAGGCGAAGCTAAAGCTGCCAGTGCGTGTTGTAATAGCGCGAGGAACTGCTGCTGCGCTCAGTGTTTTCCTCCATGGGTAGTTGGGTTCCTAATGTTGCATACACCAAACCACCTTCCAAGGTTCGCATAGTCCACGCAGGTGATGGAAACTCCTATGTTCATTTTTTTTCTTTGTCATTGACAATGTACCTCTCTCTATCCATCAGAAGAAAGACCACGTAAGCACAGTCGTAGGCCCATGGATATAAATGCTTTTCGGTACAACTCAGATTTTATCTATCCACCTGGCTCAGGCCTAAAATGAGCTATACATAACCCTATTTACCCCTACCGGTCGGAATCTGGAACGCGATCGCCGGCTCGCCGTGCGCAAACGCCTTGTCGATGCGGAAGTAGCCCTTGCGGTCGAATTGTACGATATCATCCACCTTGAGCTCCGCAACATTACAATCGGCCAGCGCCTTCGTCCTGGTCTCTGTGTTCGGATTCAAGAAGTCCTCCAACTGATCTCCCTCCTCTAGCTTATCCTTCGTGATCAGATAATCGAAATCGACGAGCTCCACCGGAATTAAGTTCTGATCCGTAGACAGCCAGGTGACCTTCTTCGAGGTCTTCTTAACATCGCCCTGGAGATGCAGTTCGAGCTCGAGAGCCGTCACGGTTTTGAAGCCTGAGGGTTTCGCGAGCGGGTTGATGGAGTGGCTGATCTTGCGCACGATGGCGTTGCCCCAGTTCATCAGGGTGATTTCCTCGTCTTGGGCGAAGGAGGCGGCATCCTCTTGCTCCATGATGATGGAGGAGCTGAAAACGACTTTCTTCTTGCCGAGGTTGGTGTATTTGGCGTGCTTGTCTTTCTCCTCGGTGATGACGCCCTCGCGCGCACCGATGACAGTGACGGGCACCTTGGCATCCTCGGCGATGGCGGTGTAGCGTGCGGCGATCGGGTCGATGTACTTCTTGTTTGTTGCCCAGAAGCTGTACCAGTCGAGGTTGACGATGTTCTTGGAGGGTCCTTGTTTGAGGATGAACTCGCGGAGCGCCGGGATAGTTACACCTCGTCGTCGGACACCGCGGACGGTCGGCATGCGTGGGTCGTCCCATCCCCAGACAAAGCCTGAGTCGACGATCTTGGTGAGCTTGCGCTTGGAAAGTAGTGTCCTAACGAAGTTCAGGCGCGCGAAGCCCCAGTTGTAGACGGGACGGAGGCGCAGGGCCTTGAGAAACCATTGGTACTGAGCGTCGCGGTCGTTGTACTCGGTCGTACGCAGTGCGTGGGTGACGCCCTCGATTGCGTCGACGATGGGACAGCAGAAGTCGTACGTGGGGTAGATATTCCATTCATCGCCCGTCCGGTGGTGCTCCTCGTCGCTGCAGCGGTAGATGACGGGGTCGCGCATGGCCTTGTTCGGGTCGTCGACGGACATCTTCGCACGGATGCACCATCGCTGGCCCTCCTCGGTACCCTTCTTCATCTCCTCGAAGCGCGCCAAATTGTCCTCAACGCTGGAGTCTCGGCGCTCGCTAGGAATGCCCTTCATGCGCTCATCCCGCATCTTCTCCTGCAGAGTGTCGTCCGCGTACGCATTCCCCTCCTTAATCAGCTGCACGCAGTACTCGTACAGCTCCTTGAAGTAGTCGCTTGTGTGTGAGACCTTGTCCGCCTTGATGCCCATGAGCGCAAGGTCTTCGACGATGGCGTCCTGGAACTCTTGCTTCTCCTTGATCGGGTTCGTATCGTCGAAGCGGAGGAGGAGGGTGCCTTTGTACTTCTCGTGCGCAAAGTAGTCGTTGAGGAGCGCGGCTTTGGCGTGGCCGATATGGAGATAGCCTCTGTTGTACTATTAGCATCCGCAAATTCGATTGGGGACCTAAGCACCTACGAAGGCTCGGGCGGGAACCTCGTCACAATGCCCGTCCCGTCCCCAACGTCCTGAAGTCCAATATCAAAGTTCGCACTATCATCCTTCTGCTTTTCTCCATTGTTGTTCTTCTCCTTCGGCCGCTCCGGGATGGCGGCTTGTTGCGGATAGGCCTCCTCAATGTACCTGAACCAGCGGCAGAGGTTGGGCATGAGATTCTGCTTGATGTACGCATGCGCCACTCGGTTTCCGCGCAACGTCTGCCAGACCGTGGTATCCGCCTCGGTCAAGCCGTAGCCGACGATGTGCGAGCGGAGGGTGAGGTGCGCGTCCAGCTCGGCGAGGGAGGGCTCGATTTGCTTGAGGTTGAGGGGCTTCAGAGCCTCGGCACGGTCCTGCCATTCTTTAATCTGGGCCTCCATGCTGCGGAAAGGTTGACTGAGGGCTCTACGGGAAGTGCAATGGGTTCGGGGGTGTTGGTGAGGAATTGGAGAAAAGGTAGGGCGATGAGTCGAATTGTTTGGCGGGGCAAAGGTGGCGGGATGGATCAAACAGTGCAAACTCTTATCTTATCGCACTGTACTGTACAAACCTTGGAAGGTAGCCAGTCCAATAATAAGAAACTCACGGGGAGAATCTGGCTCTGATACTCTACTGGTCACATAAAACTGATATCGCTATAGGGATGCCTAGTAATCGTGTCTATCAGGGCAAGGTGACGAGCTTGATTCATGGGCACAAGGACAACAAAGGGGATATGGTTCGCCATGATCCAAAAGATTGCTAAAGGAATCACGAAGCAGAACAAAAAAAGAATTCAGTACGGGAATTTCGCTATTTCGTCACGTCGTTGCTGCAAGTGCGTTCGGAACTCGGACGCCCAAGCCTTCCGGGCCGAACACGTGAAGCCGAGCGCCCACCCCGATTCGGCAACGGTCCCTGCCAAGATGTCCGAACGGGCCTCCGAATGCAACTTTTTGATTGATACTTGAATGCGCGGCGCCCCTCATTTCGCCATGGACACTTGATTGCGAACGTGTGCTGTTATGTCGAAGACGCAGACGAGCACCATGGCGCAGGCCAATGGCACGCACAAGCTGAAAGGGAAGAGGGCCGATGGAGCGGTGAAGAGCGGGCCGAAAGACGAGAAGACGGATTATACAAAGTGGAGGCTGCAAGATGACCGTGGGTGCCAGGTCTGGCAGTACCTGGAGAGCGATGAGGAGGCGCAGAAGTGGCCGCAGAGCAGGGCAGAGAAATATTTCTTGGGCTTGGACACGGTGGGTTTGCCAACCCCAACCCTCCACCGACAATTGCTTCTCCAACCGTTGGGGCTCGAACGACTTGAACAGGAGCGCTAATGTATGATTCTGTAGGGCCTGCCCAGCCTCCCGCCAGCCAAGACGCCGCTCCAATCCGCTGAAAATGCCCTCTCCTTCTTCTCGCACCTCCAGCTCCCATCCGGACAATGGGGCTGCGAATACGGAGGCCCCATGTTCCTCCTACCCGGCCTCGTAATCACCTGGTACGTCACCGAGACGCCGATTCCGCACTCGCGCGCCGTAGAAATAAAAAACTACCTCTTCGCACGGCAGCACCCAGAGGATGGGGGCTGGGGACTGCACATTGAGGGCGATAGCAGCGTGTTCGGGACTGCGATGAATTATACCGTGCTGAGACTGCTGGGCGTAGATGCGGAGGACGAGCGCATGAGGAAGGCGAGAGCGACGTTGTGGAAGTTGGGCGGTGCTTTGAGGGGCCCGCATTGGGGCAAGTTTTGGTTAAGCGTGCTTGGGGTGCTGGATTGGGATGTTGTTAATCCGGTGCCGCCAGAGCTGTGGTATGTATCTGGCGACCATCTACAAGGCATATACGAGAAAAGCGTACTGATGGCTTTAGGTTACTTCCTGACTGGGTGCCAATCGCCCCCTGGCGGTGGTGGATCCACATGCGACAAGTCATGCTGCCCATGTCCTACGTCTACTCCAAAAAATGGTCCTACCCCATTAACGACCTAACGCGCCAACTGCGCTCCGAACTGCTCACCCAGCCCTACGAGAGCATAACATTCGGCAAGCACCGCAACGACATCGCCCCAACCGACGACTACCACCCCAAAACCCTGATCCTTCGGATCCTCTTCTGGTTCCTGGCCACTCTCTGGTTCCCCTTCTTCCGCCCCGACTGGTTCGCCAAAAAGGCAGAGGACCACGTATGGTGGCTCATCGAAGCCGAGGACGAAAACACCTGCTTCGCCAACCTCGGTCCCGTCAACGGCCCCATGAACACGCTGGTCGCGTACATCCGCGGCGGACTAGACTGCTGCGCCTTTCGCGAGCATGTCAAGACGCTGCCCGAGTTTCTCTGGATGAAAGACGAAGGCATGCTCATGAACGGCACGAACGGCGTCCAGGTCTGGGACACGGGCTTCGTCATCCAAGCCTGCGAGGCTGGCGGCTTCACCAAAGATCCCAAATGGCAGCCCGTGCTCACTAGAGCATTAGAGTTCCTGGAAGACCATCAGATGCGCGAAGAGTGCCGCGACCAGCACCAATGCTATCGCCAGCAGCGTAAAGGCGCGTGGCCCTTCAGCACCAAGAAGCAAGGCTACACGGTCAGCGACTGCACCTCCGAGGGCCTAAAATGCGTTCTCCTCCTGCAGAACCAAAAGGGCTATCCCAAGCTTGTCGCCGACGACCGCTGCAAGGACGCCGTCGACGTGCTCCTCACCATGCAGAACAAGTCCGGCGGCTGCGCCTCGTACGAGCCCACGCGTGGCTCCCATAAACTCGAATGGCTCAATGCCGCCGAAGTCTTCGGCAACATCATGGTCGAGTATGACTACCCGGAATGCACAACCGCCTGCATAACCGCGCTCCACATGTTCCAGAAATACTTCCCCGACTACCGCGCCGACGAGATAAAAGCCTTCAAAGCGCGCGCGGTGGACTATATTCGCGCGGCCCAGCGCCCCGACGGCTCCTGGTACGGCTCCTGGGGCATCTGCTTCACCTACGCGGGCATGTTCGCGCTCGAATCGCTCGCCTGCGTCGGCGAAACATACACGACGTCCGAGCGCGTTCGCCGAGCGTGCAAATTCTTCCTCGATCGGCAGATGGACGACGGCGGCTGGGGCGAGACGTACAAGAGCTGCGAAGACGGCGTGTACACGCAGCATCCGCAGTCGCAAGTCGTGCAAACGGCCTGGGTTGTTATCGGCCTGCTCAAAGCAGAGTATCCAGATCGCGAGCCGATCCAGAGGGCTCTGAGGTTGATAATGAGCAGGCAGCAGAAGAATGGGGAGTGGCTGCAGGAGGCGATTGAAGGCGTGTTTAATAAGTCTTGGTAAGTCGCTCTGCTCTGATTGTGGCAAGGAAGGAAGAAAGACTGACGCTTGTGCTAGCATGATCTCATACCCGAACTACAAGTTCATCTTCCCCATTAAGGCGCTGGGCCTGTACGCGAAGCGCTTTGGAGATGAGCCCTTACTGTAAAGAGAGGACTTGGCTGCTGATAGAGGGTAGTTAAAGGTCCAGAAGGCGACGGAGATACCCGTAATGTGGACGATGGATATGCATATAGATGAACCGCAGCTTAATACTAATACATCGCGTCAACATTCTGCAGCCTGGTTTCTACAGCACGCCTCTGAGCGAGCAATTTTCATATCACATGCACATATTGTTGGTATCGTGCTGTACATTCGCAGATATATTTTAGTATCTTCTGCGAGCGCTATGCGCTTCGACGACACGCTTATGAAAGCCTATCCTACCAAAACTCCCCTTCCGCAACCAATTGGTACCGCCAGCCATACGCCGTCCCATATGGTACACATTCGCAGAGCGAGGCGGCTCGCCGAATCGCTAAGCTATGCCTGTACGAAACGCCAGAAGACCAAAACACCAACCACCCTGCCCTCGTATCCTGAAAAAGCCTTGTCGTAACGACAACATCCACGCTGCTACTCCTCGATCAGAGCACCTAGGATGAGGCTCTGAATGATGAACTCGTCGCACGCGATGCGCAACTTCTTTCCCCCCGCCATACCCGAGCGGACCAGCACCTCGCTCTCCGCACTCTCATCTCGCTTTCGCTTCCTGCTTCCCTTCTTCTTAGGCGCCGCGCTCTTACTGCCTCCGAAGAGGGTAGAGGCCGCTTCAGCAACAGCGTCTGCACCACCATCAACATACACCCAGTCCCACTCCCCGTCTTTGACCAAGGCTTTGGCGGTCGCGAGATCCTTGCATGTACCCACATCTGCCGGACCGAGAGCATGCGTTAGGAAAATATATGGCTCCTTGCGTTCGACTTCCTTCTTCGATCGCCCGGTGATGATGAGTACGGATTGATTGCGAAGCAGTAACTCGCGCTCCTTCACCATCTGCATGAAGCTGGTGTCTTCCGCGGTAGGATCGTAGATAGACATAATGCGCGAGCGCACGACGCCCTCAGGATCGAGATAGGTCGACAGCCCAGCTGGGAGCAGGTACTTCACAAAGGGGAGGGGCCGAGACGCGGAGAGCGAATCTTGGATCCAGCGGAGGTGCAGAACTGGAATGTTGAGGGCGAGAGCCTGGAAGTGCTTTGTGCGGCGCGAGTGTGAGTCTGAGATGAGCGCCACGAACCCGAGATCTTTGTATTCGCGCTTGAGCAGCAGTCCGTCCAGGCCGGAGACGACCTTAGCCGTTCCTTCAGATGACATGGGTGCATCCGATGCCTCGACGTCGAAGAGCTCGTGGAAGCCGGAGTCGAGGATCTGGCCGCCGTTGGAGGTGATGAGCCGGGTGATAGCGTCTTTGTCGGAGGCGTCATTTGTGAGGGTAATCGCGAAGGCCATGTTCATGAAGGAATTGCCTCCAGACAGGACCGAGGAAGCCACCGAACCAGTGCGGGTAATCGACTCTCGCAGGAGGGAAGGCCCAGCAGTGCTTCGTCTAGGGTAGGTGGGGGTTGGCAAGCCATCAGCAGTCCCTGGTGTGGCATGGCGGGACACAGATGCGCTCGGAGTCGACGACGACGAGAACTGGTAATATCGGTCGCGAATACGAGACCACAACTGGGTAGTGAGATAGATACATCCCATTGGCACCGCAATGTGTTTCTTTAACGCATCTGCTTCGGGCGCAGGCAGGCTGTCCCTCTGCTTCTCTTCCAGAACAATTGTAGAATAGCCGTGTCGATCCGTCAAAGGGTATTCCTCGCTGGCGTTCGGATCGATCTTATCTTTGAAGCCGACTACGACATACGTATGCTTCTTCATGCCAGTTACGTCCACTTTGACTAGGTCCCCATCGCGAAGATCGAGCGCCCGTATCTGAACACTGTCTGACGTGTACATGTTGCCATCGTCGAAGCGGACGCGGAGACGGCGGGCATCTGCACGACCGAGGCAGGTCGCGGGATAGTAGTTTTTGCCCGGCCAGAAGGCGAAGACGCGATTCGGGACAAGAAGCTCGCCCGTCGGAGCCTCGCCAGCATCGGATGTGGATGTAATAACATGATCTGATTCGTTAGCCTGCGGTGTGGGCCGCGCAAGTTCGTCCGCTTCGCTGGTATGATCGTCTGCATCGCGCATCTCCACATCGCCCTTCTGAGTCACAATAGCGGACGACGGCGGTTTAATGGCTGTAGAGGCTTCCGGAACAGTCGACTTGGGTGGCGACTTCCGCGGGGAAGTCATGAACAAGGCCCTGTTGACGGGCTTCAGTGCACCCTTCCGAGGTGTTTGCGGTGTGGAAGGTTTCAGCAGCTTCCTTGATTTGAGGGTCGCCGGTTGCGCAAAGACAGCTTCCTCCCGAGCACGCTCCGCGGCCAGTGCGCCTTGTCCCTCCCGCTCGCTAGCCGAAGCTAATGGCGATGAGATCTCCTTTCGAACATTTTGGACTCCCTTTAGGGGCGATGTAGAAAGGTGATCGGAAGGAGGATCAGTGTCTTCAACCGGGCTGCGAAATGCCTTCTTCGCGCTGTATGTGATTTTGCGCTTCTTGATCGGCCGGGTTGGAGAAGAGCCCGATATCATATCCTCGAAAACTTCATCGTGATCTGCAACGAAGCTAAGCTGTGGCATCTCGATACCGTCCAAATCCGTAGAACGTTGCGTCCCAGGCTGATTGGCAATGTCAAGCAACGAGCGAATCTTGGGTGCCTCTGGGGAGTTATCGTCCACCCATGCCTTGACGGGGTCCTTTGAGAGCCTATTTGACTGCGAAGTTGATTGTTGCTCTTGCGCAGTATGAAATGGCTCGGTACTGTTGGTCTGATTCGGAGCATTGCTGTCATCGACGGTTAGCCCCACCACGGGGATATTACCCTGTGCGCCATTCTCACCCTCCCGAAAGAACGATGGTTGGGTCTCCTCGAACATGTCTGTCTCCGGCACAGTGGACTGCCGCTGGTTTCGTCGCGGCGCTTCGGGCTTGCTGTAAACATTGTGCGACCCTTCCTCGGGATGACTGGATCGGATTAGCTCTTCCTCTTCATTGTGAAGATCAGGCGACCCTTCACGCTCCGTCGTCTCCGGGACCTCGTCATCGCTGCGCACGTCACGATCAGGTATGTTGGGCTCCTCAGGCTCCACATCTGCACCTGCTTTCTGAGCAGGGTCCCGTGATTCCACTTCTTCATCTCCTGCATTGACCTCATCTTTCGCGACAGGGAGATCCTCCTCGTCATCCATGTTCACGTCTTCGCTCGCAGCGGGCGCCTGGCGTAGCTCTTCCTCTCCTTCGCCCTCCGAATGCTCTTCATAGGCGTGTTCGTCATAGGTGATGTCCTCCGGCGGAACAATTGGCGGACTGCTCGGAACTCGTTCTTCGTTGTCTTCAGGAAATACGCCATCATCGTGTACCCTATCTAATTGCTGTGAACTGGAACTTGGCGGCATCGGGGGTATTGAGGACGAGACCACTTGGCTGGTGTACCCTGTCTTAGCACGCATGGTAGTTTGGTTGATGCTGTATTGGTTGCTAGAGGGCGAGGACGGGAATCGAAGCGGCTTGGGCGTACTGCCGGGTTCGGCACTAGGGTCCGGCTGGGAGTCCATTATGATTTCGGATTCTCTTCCGCTTCGCAGCTTGGCTACACCCCGACGAAGAGGCTGGGACGCGGGGGCTCGAAATTGCGACTCGCGTTGTATTTGCAAAGTAGGGCTTTCTGATCGAGTGGTGTTGCGCGCAGACTGGCCGGAAGGAGTACGCGTAGGGTGAGAAGAAGTATTGGGCACCTGAACTTTCGTGACCCCGCTGCTGTGTTTCACTACGGTGGCCGGAGTGCGCGATACGCGTGCGCTAGACAATATATCTTGTGAAAGTTCGTCGGGTGAATCGCCTTCACCATGTCCATTCGCTGGCTGTGACAACTCGTCCGGGGAGCCGTCGTCACCGTCGGAGTCATGAGAACCATCGAATGCTCTTGCTCTTGAAGACCTTGTTTTCGCGGGAGAGACGTATGTTGAACTGATCGAAAGTAGGCCGCGCTTCCTGCTCTGTCGCGAAGGGGCCGGGGTAGATACGCCCGAGAGAGACCTCGCCGCCTGTTGCTTGAATCTCTCCTTTGCCTTCCGCTTTTCGAAGCGCCTCTGGACTGCAGTAGGCTCTTCCCAGCTTTCCTGCGCACCCGCCGAAGTCCGGTTCGTTACCTCACGTTTCCGCCTCTCTTGCGATTGCTTCATGGTCTCATAATCGGCCTTCGGCTCGCTTGAGGATCGAATGGCGGGACTACTCCTTCGTGGAGCCTTAATGGGGCTAGACATTGGTTGGACCGGGCTCGATTGACGCGCATTTGTGAAGTTTGGAGAAGGCCGCTGGAAGACCGGGTCCTCGATCGGTGCGCCTACGATAGGCGAGGTTCCTGCCTGTGTAGCATTAAATGCCTGTGTCAAAGACATGCCATTGCCGTGTCCTTCATTGCCAAAGCCAAAGAAAGCAGACGCAGAGAGAACTGTGCCCGGCGTCGCCTCCGTCCTTATCGCAGAGCTGAGCACGTGGCCCTGATTGTCCCTCTTCTTGCTAGCAAGCGCCGGTGTCTCGAACTTCAGCGGACTCGTCGGCGGTGGCCCCATTCGCGATTGGATCTCGGAATCATCGTGGATCACGGTGGGACTGGTGATGACCGGGCTGCGTCGCTCTTGACTTGACGATACCAACTCGACGCTGTCCGTTGGCCGGTCTGCGCTCTCCTCGGCCACATCGAACAAGGGCTTTGGGCTCGGCATACGGTTACTGACACTCTCCAATATGCCACTCGTATACTGTCTGAACATTTGACTGTCCGGTTGTGTGTCGCCCGGAGCGTCGGCCACGCCATCAAAGCTCTGGAACATCTTCGCGGCTCCTTCCCTCTCCTTCACAAACCCCGTGCTTGTTGGTGCCGTGTTACGCTTTGGTAGACTTGGCTTGACATGTCTCGGATCGATTTGGACGCGTCGGGGCTGCACTGCGCGTGGCGGGTGACCTGAAGCGTCCTTGGGGTGAGGGTTAGGTGACGGGTTAGGTGACGGGTTAGGCGACGGGTTAGAGGCCTGACCCGTTGTTGTCGAGGTTGCTGTCGCGTTGGCGTAGGGGTGGCGGTCGGGCGAGGCAGTGAATTGGACCGGGCAATCGCTGCCTGCCCGTTGCCTGAGCAGTTGAGATAGCTGTGAAGGGTCCTGGTGGCGGAGTTTAGTGAGCTGCGATAGCACGATTCATGCATCTGCAGAAAGCGACCGGGGTGTCGGGAGTCCGCGCGCAATTGCATCGAGGGTGCATATAAGTGATAACTCACATCGTAGAAGTCGTCCTTCAACACAGTGCATTCTTGCGACTCGGTGGAAGCCATTGCGAGAGCCCATCGGAGCGAGCCCGGCTCGACGTGGGGATTGTGTGTTAGATTTAGCCTAGCCACAAATTCTCCGGTTGGTCGCGCTGTCACGTGCCGATTTAGGACGCGAACCTTGGGTCATTGGAAGGTGTTCCTTTGTTTTCATGTGCCCCTACGAGGTCGAACACGTCATATTGAATCATCATCAATCAGTGAGCGATGCATATGTGACAATCAGGACCGCAACAACTTTGCTTGGGCCAATAATCGTGGTAAGGACCGACGACCACGTTTCGATCAAAGCGTCGGGTTTCTATCAATGGCGACGCGAAGCCCTTACGTAGGGAGGCATTCAGGCTATCACCCCAGGACTTGTGGACCTCAGAGGGCCTGTGGGTGTTCTGAGAATTGCACGTTATCCATTGATCAGACAGGAAATTTACAGTACTGCCTCCATTCAGTCTTTCCATCAGCGGCCACCTGGTTCCCCGCAATCCCTTTAACCTCCTGCCTTGTGCTTCACTCCTTCCTCCGGCTCCAGCTGCTCAACCGAAGAAGATATAGTACGCCGAGCAAACCATTGTCAATCCTACCGCGGTCCAACCCGTCTGCACAACCGTCTTGTTCTTGAATCCTAGCCCAACATCCCATGTCAAATGCCTAATACCATTCAAGGCGTGGAAGAAGAAAGGAAACGCGGCCACAGACTTCGCGGTAACCTTAGCCCACACAGGCCACGCCGCCACGGCCGCGACCATGGACGGTGTTTCGAGATGCCAGCCGAGCGTTGGGGCAGCGAGGTACGCAATGCCGAAGAGGTAGAGGCCGCCGCTGAGCATAACGCCGGTGATACGGTTCAGCGACGAGGCATACCAGGTGATCTGGGGTTTGTAGATGGAGAGATGCGGGGAGACGGGACGCTGGAGGCGCTGTTTTGCGAGTATGTCTTGCGCGCCTTGCTCGTTAACGTGTTCGGTAGCCGCCCACCTTCAATTGACATTAGCATTGTGTCCCTAGGGGATGGCGCGATAAAAGGGAGAGCTGGTGATGCTGTCATGAGCTGCATACCTCCGCTGCATCATGCGCCCCGCGGACTGGACTCTGAAGCGGGGGGCTGCCGCCCGTCGCAGGCCGAGTTGGAATACTCGCTGAGAAGACATAATGCTCAATCCGCGACCGATTGAGCTGCGGGAGAGGGGAGAGTGTCGACGGTGGTGGTGATGTCGTCGTCGTCGTAAGTTGACGGTGGTTCCTTCGAAGCTCGGCTGTTCCTCGAGTTGCCGAGCAGCCAATCAGCCGTCTCCGCTTAGTCAACGCCTGCAACACACCCGAAAACTTCTCGCGAGAGCAGCGCCCTTCTCTTCACGGAACCTCGATATCGCCGCAATGAGCCCCAGGGCATCTGACTTGGCGGAGTGACGGCCTGTCTGCTGGCGTTATGTCAGTGGACTTTGGAGATGAAGGTTCCGCGAGAAAAAGCCCGTAGTTAATCGCTCATTTGGCCTCTCTGTGGTTGATGTGGGTTTCATATCCAGGGCGACATAATGAAAGAATCAATGTTTAGGAGCCATCGATCATATTGGTATGGATTCTCCGCTGCGTTGAATGTCCAAAATCAATTTATTTATCAGAAATCCTCCATCAGTTGCTGTGCCCTCAGACCTCCCCCGAATCCAGTTTCCAGTGCGATACATCTCCAAGGGGTGTCAACGTTGCCTCAGTCCCATCTTACTCCCTAAATTGGCTGAGCATGCATGTCGTGTGCTCATACAACAACTCATTCACTCCCTGGTAGAGGTGCCTTCTGGTGCTGCGATGACATCGATCCCGCACACGCAAAATTTTACTGCCCGCCATCTCAACTCCACCCTTCCAACATCATGACCACGAACGCCGCTACGTCCAAACTCCTCGCCTGGTGACACTACTTAAACACGCCCAACCCCTGAGGATTCGTCCCGCGGAATGGCGCCCCGGAGCTTTACGTTGGCCACGTACTCCAATCTCGGTCTCCCACCGAATTCGTACATCTACAAAATAACCTCGACCTCGCAACGCCAAGACCCTCTAACATACTCGCGAACCGATGAACTGGCTGTCATATCATCCGATGACTCGCTCCGATTTCTTGATCCGGAAACCCTTAATGCCCTGCCCAACGGCGTCGTCAAAGACGTAAACGAAAAGGTCACGTGTCTTGAGCGCGTCAACGATTCTTCCAGCCATTTTGTGGCTACTGCGGGAAGAGATGGCCTAGTCAAGCTCCGCGATAAGAGGAGCAGAGAAGAGGTGATGTTGATTCAGAGCCGTGCGCATATATTCGCCCGCTGCTGAATGATTGCTGATTTAGCATAGCACACAAACTGATCTCATCGCTCGTGTGCGATTACCAGAAGAACTTCGTGGCAGCAGGCATCGAGAATCCGGACGACGGGCCCGGTGTTTCTCCAGTCTACGTATGGGATACGCGCAACGTCCAGAGACCATTGCGCGAGTTCGTCGAGTCGCATACGGATACCATGACCGACTTGCAGCTCCATCCCACCCTTCCAACCCTCCTCCTATCAGCAAGTACAGATGGGCTTATCAACATCTTCGACACGAGTAAAGCGGACGAGGAAGATGCACTCTACCAGGTCATTAATCATCGATCAGCAGTCGCGCGGGCTGGTTTTATGTATCCGACAACGGACGTATACGCGATGGGTACCGATGAAACGCTCAGCTTCTACGCTCTGCAGAACCAGGAAGAAGAGAAGGAGGAGCCAGCGCCGAAAGCCTTTGGCGATGTGAGGGAGCCACTGGGCTGCGACTATCTTGCTAAGATGCATTGGATGGGAGGCGAAGCTTATATTGCGGCTGGGAAGCATAGGTATTCGAAACGTTTACCTTTCACTCTGTTTGCATTAGACTGATAATTTGCAGAACCAGGTCTTTTGAGCTCTTCCCCGTCCAGAAGGGGCAAGTAGGGCCACTTGATTACACATACAACTCTGCAAGGAGCATTCGGCTACCAGGCGCTCATGGCGAGGAGATTGTCCGCGACCTCTTCAGTGACATTCATGTAAGTGGTTCTTTCCTTTACACTCCCGACTTTCTCAAGGGGTGGCAGCCTCTAATCCGTCACAGAACCACACGACGTACACTTGCGGCGAAGACGGTTTCGTCCGGGCATGGAAGTCACAAAGCGACGACACAATGGAGGTAGACGAAGCGGACGAGCTGAAGCAAAAGTCTCAAGACAAGAAGGAGAGGCGGAAAGAAAAGAAAGACAAGCAGAGAGGAGATAAGGAAGGGAAGAAAGGCAGATACAAGCCATACTAAGGGGACCAACAAGCCTAATCGCCGATTTCTCGCGTCCGCCACTTTCCGCGCATTCACGGTCTTCTCCGACATCTTCCCGCTTCAAATAATTCATCACACCCGGCTTCGAGGATTATATTATTTCTGAATGGACTGCTTCTGATCACAATGGCCTATTTTTGTTCTACAACTACCCCCTCAGCTAAAGCTGACGTATCTTTTCTCCACTCCTCCTCAACCCGCCTCCTTCTTGCACATATCCTCCGTCCACGGCGACCAACACTCTAATATGCATTTGGGGGAGGCGTGCAGGGATTCCAGGATATCTAGTAAGTTACGTTCATTGCCAAAACCAATCCTGCACAGATCACCCGTGAATACTAAAGCAAACCTTAAGAGGATGCCTGCAGGATACTGGAAATGTTGCGGAGACGACTAGAATAGCTAATGATGAAATGAAAGTAACGTCACGGAGGATACATGAGGCCCTCTAGTATCTAGTACTGTCGCGTTGGAAAATGACGTGCAACACGGGCTCGCTTACTAAATCAAGAATAGGGCTCTGGTCTCACTTCCTCGCTCCATCTTCATTTCCATATTGCCTAGCCGTGACTCGAACTCCCGCTGCGCTATCTTATCCCGCTTTGGGAGGTGGTCGGGAATGCGTTATCTGGCTGCGCAAGAACCTTGGAAGAAAAGTGCTGCGACCCCGCACTGTGTTACCGTTCCGTCAAGAGCGAGCTCGGGCCACATAGCCTTATACATTATTCTAGGCGTCGCAGCCAACCTACTTACTAACTCCCGATATTTGACGAACAGCAATATTGTGTGCCCTTGCATTGTCTTCCCTTACGTTCTTCTTCGCATTGCGACTCCCAAGAATGGATGAGCACCCCGAGACGTGGTCGCTAGGCGCCGTCACCCAGGACTGGGTATCCTCGCGACTGGAGCCTATCTCGAAGGACGCATCAGTCCAGGATCGAGCAATATCGAGCTGGTGTCGACTAGTATACCAAGTCACGACACAGGAATTGACTGCCTCGCCATCTGCTCGAAGAAGACTGTCTGTAGAGCACATGCTGTCTTATCAACTCCTACTAGACTGGTGGACGGCGAAGTATCATGACCCAGCTCTGTCCATCGCAGGACTAGCCCGTATACTTGGAATAAGTTTCTTCGAGAACTTCCTACAAGGGGATCCAAAAGACATTCCAGCCACTTGGAACGAGGTCATTAACGCCCGATTGAAGACAAGGCTGGCGACCAACAGCCTTGCTCTTCTTACCGATCCGGCGTTTCGAAGGGAGAACATCACCGCGCCACGAGACCTCGGAGAAGGCTACCATGACCAGCTGTGTTTGCTGTTCAAGGCCGAGTTTCTCGATCTGCCGTCTTACGACTGGAATTCAGAACCACAAGCCACTATTGATGCACGCCGCAACGCTAGAAACCAGGCAGCCATCAACGCATATTGCCAACAGTTCGCCTGGAAGACCTTCTGTTCCTACCGCGTTATGCAGACTACTGGCCGGGAAAGAACGCACTCGGTTTTTTCTAGCCGACATACTAGCTCGTCGATGCCCAATCTAGCCTTGAGAGGACCCATAGTCAACCCGTGCCCATGGATCCAAAATGAGGATGAGGAGTTGGATCTCCCTTACTATCTGTGGGATATCCGGAAGAGCTGCACGATAAAGACGAGTTGCATTAAATTCAATCCCGACTACATGGCCATCAGTCATACATGGGGACGGTGGGTAAAAGGTCGGCCAATTTCGATCCCTGGTGTGCCTTGGAAGGTACCACAAAATAGGCGTTTCAATGTAAGAGACGTTGGAGCAATCCTTCGGCGCCTGGTTCACAATACGCGTTGTGGAGTAAAGTACGTGTGGCTAGACTTGGTATGCATACCGCAAGATGGATCAATTATTGCAAAGAACGAGATTGCCCGGCAGGCCAAGATCTTCCGGAGTGCGAAATACGCGATGGCGTGGTTTAACGATATCGGCAAATTCGAAGGACTAAGTCGCATACTAAACTTCGCGTCGCTTCATCTCCTACAACTAGCCGGCGAAGAGGAGCGATCTGCCCTGGCAGAGGTTATCGACATGAGCAAGTCCGCAGCAGGAGGAGCACACAGCAACCTATATCACGTGGATCCGGAGCGACCAATGCATGGCGACGCCAACCCGTGGTTTACGTCGTTGTGGACCCTTCAAGAGCTGTGTCTCCGGCCGGACATGTGGCTCTGCGGAAGTGAAGGAAAGATGTTGATGTGTGACAATGACGTTCCAGTACCGCTGTGTGGAATGATAGCACTTCTGGGCCGGTTTACTGGAGAGACAGACACTGCATATCAGAATGAACTGTACGGCTCTGAGCCTCTCTCTGGACTGCGAGATCTTGTGTTCTGGTACACCCAATCCGGACTAGAAAAGCTGTTGGCCTTGGACATTGCGTCCATTCTATCACTTGGGGAAATTCGTCACTGCACCCAGAGACGGGCCGAGGCCATCATGTCTGCACTTGGAGTGACGGAATGGTTTGTCCAAGCATTGACCGCACATTCAAATGCGGAGGCGGAATTCGAGAAAGACCTCGTTCTTGGGAAATATCCGTTAGCCTTCGTCAAAGAGTTGGCCACGAAGCATCCAAGACATTTCTTCGCCGCGGTTGAGCACTTGCACTGGGATGAGTCAGTCCAAACGTTTGTTCTCGATGCTTCCAGAGCAGGATCCATGTTACCATTCGGTGGCATTAGGGAAGGAGACTTCACGATAAGTGCAAGGCTTCTTGAGGAATGGTGGACCAAGAGCGCAGCTACCGTTCACGACACCGTTTCAACATGGACAGTGGAGGCAACTGGTGCAGTGCGCATTCCAAGAGCTTGCGTGATTGACACATCAACAGACGTTCCTTACGAGCTTCCCGCATGGTGGGCCTACCGGGAGAGGTCGACAGAAGCGGGTGATGCAAGCCTTTCCTCCGCCGCAGAGTCAAAAGTTCTTTGGCAGGTTGATGACAAGTATCTGGTCAACCTTAACCAGTGGATGTCAACAAGAACAAGGCCATCATATGCAGTCTTGTTCGACTATTTTACGGTTGTATTGGAGGATGAGGATACTCAAGAATGTCTAGCTGGATCGGGAATCATTTTGGAGACATTGGAATCTGGAATGCTTCGTAAAGTATGCCTCTTCTGTTTTCAGGAGATTGTGCCGCGTATCAATGTCGCGGAAGTTAGACAGTTGGACTGGTTAGTACTTTAAGTAACTTGTAGAAACGTACTGTACGAAGAAGCTAGAAGTGCTGCGACCCCGCACTTTGTGTTACCGTCCCGTCAGCGGTGTGACCGTTATCGCTCCTGCTGCGCACCTCCACCGACTTCCCTTAAGTGTGCTTCAAGGGTACAGGAATGGACTCAGTCGGGCGATGCGATGGCCTGGGCAGGCTTCGCTGAGCGCGTCGTTGATTGAGACGTTAATCCGATTGACTCAGAACGGGTACTCGAAGTAGGCTAGGACCTACTCACTTCATACGAGCATGAAGAACACGCTCAAGGAGGCAGTCAGGGTAAAAAGAGGGAGCGGAAGCATGCTATAAGGTCGTTTGTCATTGATAAAAGAAGGTACATCAGAACCTGCCATCACCCTACCATTCTATACACTAACGCCGACTTACAAACAAGACAGAGACAGTGAAAGATAGGAAACCGGGTCTTGGGAAGAGAAGGAAAGCTACTTCCTCAGGACGACTTCCTTGCTTCGCTGTGGCGCGACATCAACTGGCCTGGGGAACAACTCTACGGTGGCATGGGCAGCGCGGGCAATCCTGCTTCGATGGAGGCTGGGTATCTCGATGACGAGTTCCATAATGTGTAAGGATCTGATCGTACCTACACACAGCTACGCCGCAGCTCTTCTCAGGACACCAGAAGTCTGTATGGTTGGGGTCATGGAAGGTCTCGTAGTGCCGGTCGTAATCCTGCATCTTAATGCCATCTCCCTTGCACGGGAGGATGTGGCAGCGACATTCGTTTACCCCCTTCTCCCGGAAGATCCAGATGGACCCGACGCGGACCTCGTCGGTGCCATAGGGCCTTGGTGGATGCGGATCTAGCGCTGGTTGCTTGAGCTGCCAATCACGGAGAGGGTCGGTGTTGATGTCTCCAACGTAGGAAACACGGCGGACGCCGCTGTCCCTATTCTTGTAGACAAAGCACGCGACGAGAGTCGGTTGAGGGAATTCGAGCTCGGTGTCACCAAAGAGGAGGCGCACCACGGGTGTCGGGCTGCCTCCAACGGATTGAGGAGTAGCGTTGACATCGAACCAGTCATTCAGATATGGAAGAAGTGAGGAGCTTTGGCATGCCCTGCCGCTCGTGAGTCCATCGGCAACCTGGATGTTGGACAGATCGGCGCCTCCAAGAGATGGGGTCTGCGGTGAGGAAGTGTAGGCACCGAGCACATTGACTGGGCGTAGAGGGACGGAGCGAGACGGATTCTGATCCGGGGAAGGGGACAGAGTATGTGCTTCGAAGCTCTGAGCTGCAGTTGCGCGAGCAAAGAGGATGTCGCCAGGAGGAGAGCCACCGAAAGACGGAGGATTCGCCCCAAAGACACTGTCGTTCGTTAGCCACACATAAGCGTAGATCAGGGGTAAAGCACTCACCTGGTTGGTTTAAACAAATTAGGGGCAACCGTTATGTTTCCATACGTAGATGGGCCGGAACCGAGCGGATCATTAAGAGAGAGCGGAGGGAAGATAGTATCAAGTTGATCTAGAGTGCTTCCGTTCAGGTTGTTGAAGGGAAGACCTTGGTTCTGATGGGCACCTGGAGTGCCTCCGCCGAAAGTGCCTCTACCGACGCCGTTGCTCAACGTGGTTCCGAAGCCGCGACCGGACGGTGTTTGATTCCGGTTTGGTTGAGAACTTTCGTTCGGGCTGCTGATTGGAAGAGCTTGGTTCGTAAAGGGATTTGGCGTTCCACCGCCGAAATTGGTAAAGCCAGAGCCGTTCTTCGACATGATCTCGAGATCGGAGCGGAACCGCTTTTCGAATATGTGAAGAGTTGGGAGATATCAAGAAGTATGATGGATTTTGCTACTCTGAATGCGAGGGACAAGTTGAATGCGGATGAGATGGGGCGTTCCAAAATTACACTAGACGTCTATTTTATCCTTCTCTCTTGTGCCTGTGGCATCGAGCGAAGAGCACGCAGACATTCTCAGAGTCCCGTGGGCGAGATGGCTGTCTCAGCGCCTATTGCCCACGGCATAGAGCTGAAAGGGACAGGGAAATATCATGAAGAAGGTCTGAGATGTAGCGAAGACCAATAGAGCTGTGATCGACAGCTTTGGCACCTTAGACACCTGAAAATGGGTCAACTTTGTCTCGCAGTGGTCGATAAAGCGTTGATTGTGGTTTTCCACGCGCCCCTTCTAGGGCTGTGCGAACATGTGGTTTCTGGGCCCTGGGCTCATGGACTCGTATTCTTGGACTGCAGGACTGCCTCAGGCGGAGCGGAGGTGGGCATTTTGCTGCGTCCTTCTCCGGGGCTGTGCATCCTTTTGACTTGTAGTATGGTTGATTGGCATGTTCGATGGAAGAGTTCCTGGGCTCCTAGAGCTCAGGTCCTAGCTCAAGCTTCAGTCCAAGTCACTTGACGAAACTCACCGCGCTGCTCGATACCTAGGTACGATGCCGAGTTCCGACTTCGTCCGAATTACCGCAGCACTAAAGAGTGTTTTCGATGACAGTGTGAACGTCTTGCGCCGTAGGCACATCCCTAGCGATGTACGGCCTCAAGTACGGAGCCGGCTTTCTCCACGTACTTCACTAAGCTTCCACACTAAACATCATTCTTGTATTCCTATCTGGGAAACACAGTCGCACATAAGCCCGTGGCTTCGAAAGCTCGTAGCCTGTCGTAGTGCCGGCAACGCTACGCGTCTGATCGATCTCCATCCATCACTGGCGTGGATCTATCCGGGAAGCGCCGCGCCCTCGGCTGCTGACCCCCGGCTCACCCCCACGCCATAGGCTCGCGTGCCGCCCGTCAGCGAACAGCTTCCACAGCCTATGGCCGTGGCAAAGGGAGTCCTTCACTCAGGCTCCAGTGTTGACGACAGTGTGGACAGATCAGCTGTACCTGAATGCCGAAGAGTCATATCCTTCGAGGCCTCGGCATAGGTGATGCTGGAGGCCTTCGGCGTTGGAGATGCACGTCATCGCAACGCTAAACAAACCCCCTTGCAATGAGTGCAGCGCAACATCTTGCAGGTCGCCTTTGTACCCTGTTTCTTCCCTGCGTGTTACTGGCCAGCCCTACGCTGATAACCCTCACAATGCACCGCAAAGATGCAATTCTCTACAATGAAATTCCCATATTCAAACCAACTTCGTCATGAGCAGTAGCGCGAACGAAAACTTGCACAGGCGGCTGACCACTCCTTGGCCGTGGCGGAGCGTCCGTTGTGAAGTCGTCACAACGACCTTGAACGTGAACATATTCAGTGGCTGCCTATGTCGCGCTCGATATCCTTATTTGATCAAAAAACCCCAGTGGCTGACCGGATGCGCTTGCTATCAAGGCCGAGGGAGCTTTGGGAAGTGTAAGCCAAATCAGGGTAGAGAGAACCGCGCTGCCTGGGACTGGGAGAGAGGAATTCACCGTTGGGGAATGAACGGAGAGGAAGGCTGGTGAGGGGAGGAGAAGTGGGGGTGGCTTGATCTGGCAGTCCACAGCCTTACATCGTGCTCCCTCGTAAGGCAAGGAAAAGGAAGAGAGAATGCGCAAAACAGACATTGGAAGGAGTGAACGGCGAGCGTTTTCAATAACTAGCTACTTCAATCTTCGCAATAATATCGTCGGTAGCGATAGGTGGATACCGAACTACACTGGTCCAAAGCTGCGGAGAATGGATGAGTCATGGTATTCGGATGTTCAACACGCACGAAACCTGCCTTTTCAAAAATTGATCTCCTTCAAGAAACCTTCAAACGTTCCGAAGCCCTCCCATCCACCAACTTTCTCCACTAGCTCATGACTGCTCTTGACTCCCGCTTTCGCTCCAGACCCGTAATAGTCATACTCCCGGATCATCATCAGATTATCGAACAACTCCTTGCTTCCTTGGTAGTCCTCAATCGGTGCCTCATGGAACTCGCACTTCTTTCCCGTAACGTTCTCCACGGCTTTACATACTTCAAGTGGAGTGAACCATCCTGAAGCAGCGAGGGTATGCTTCCCAAGCGTGGCCGAAGGGTTCGCAAGACAGGCCGCAACGAATTTTCCGAAGTCTCGCGGCACGTCGAGCATCGGAATCGCGGTGTCTGGATGGAAGAGCCAAGAGAGCGAATACGACTGCCCGCTTTTATCCGGCTTAATCGAATTCGGAATATTCGACATAAAGTACGCTGGGAGGACGAAGGATGCCAGGACGCCCAGCTCTTTCACGTAATCTTCCACCATAGCCTTCGAATCGAAGTGGTGCAGGTTGACGAGCTTGCCCTCTGTGATCCTGGACACGTAAGGCAGCGAGGACCAAACGAGGTGCTCGACGCCCGCTTCTTTCGCTGCATCGGCAAGGTTCTTGCCCTGCATCACTTCGTGCTCGAGGGTACCCTTTTCCCAATAGTTCGTTACGCCGAAGACAGCGGAAGAGCCTTGGATGGCGGAGAGGATGGAGGATTTGCTACTGAGGTCCGCCTGTAGAGGTCAGCACGCTATGGCAGCGACGAGTATGGTGGGAATGGGGAGAAGACGCACCTGTACCATCTCAACGCCTTTCGCGACCATGGCTTGCGCATCAGGTTTGTTGATGTTGCGGGTTATGCCGCGAATTTTCCATTCTTTCGAGAGCGTAGGATGGTTCAGGATGGCGCGGACGACGGACCCTCCTTGGTTGCCTGTGGAGCCGAACACAGTGATGAGCTTGGTCATCTTGAGAGATCGAAGCATGCGGACAGATGTCGATAACCAGGGGGAACACCAGCGCTATTTATACCTCTCATGGTGTCTTTGTTCATGCAGACAGAGTTTCGAGATTGCTGCGGGCTAAAGAGCCTCTTCATATCACATTGGATAAGCATTGAGTAAGGCCCACTAGTTCGCGAGAGCTTAGTAACGGTGGAATAAGCAGCTAGATTCTTTGAGGCTGGATGTGAGAGGCGGGGGAGCGAGGCCAAGAGTTGGCATTCACCCCGCTTTCTGAATTAATGTTTAGCGCCGGGATCGGCCTGATTAGTCACCGACGCTTGCTTGATGTTCCACGATGAAAACATGCACTTTCCTCTGACATCTCAATGGACTTGAAGACATGGCGCCTCGCGCGCACTCTTTATTTGGCGACGACGGTAAAGTCGATGCCCCCTTTTAATAATCTCAGCCGTTAGGTTAGCACGTGGCTGGTACCTACTTGTTGCCGGATATAGTTACTACTTTACGTGACCTGGTTATATATATATATAGCTATATTTCTCGTATTCTTAATTAATTAACTTATATCTTAATACTCTATAATTTATCTAATAGTTATAAGCCTAGATTTGCCTACTACTATAATATTACGATTACAGAATTAGGAACAGGGTTAGCTAGCCAGGACGGAGGAAACGGCAAGCTAAGCCCGGGGTTACAGAACAGAGGATCACGTGCAAGGTTACGGGAATAATTAGGGTTACGTAACGTGGATTAGATAGATCGGGCGGATTAGAACCTAATTTAAGAGATTAGACTCTAATCTAGAAGATCTATAGAAGCTAGAGCTATTAGCACCTAATCTAGTTAAAATAACATATATATATAACTAGAAGAAGCTTACTTACTATAGCTTCTTATAGTTATTACTTTGTATATTAAATTACTATAGAGACTTGCGAATTAAAGTATTATTACCTTTACCTCTTTATTACTAAAGATCTAAGCCTAAAGTATACCTCTTACCCTCTCTTATAAAAGTAAGCCTTAGTCTTAGTTAAAAGAACAGCTTATAATAAAATAACTACCTAACGTTAAAGAGTAGAACTATTATATTAATAGTTAGAACCTAATCTAGAAAAGCCTAGGCTAGAAAGCTAACTATAAAGAAATAGATTATAGAACTCTAACAAGTTATTATAGTACTCTAGAAAATAAGCGTTTAGTAGGTAGAAGAGCTAGCTATAGTAAAATAGTAGGCATAGGCTAAGATCGCCCTGCCTTAACGCTTTAATAGTAAGAGAGAGAACCTTAATATATTTCTAGTAGCTATAGAACTCTACCTATAATATAACGCTATAGTATTTCTATAGAATAAAGATAAGATTCTAGAAGCTATAATAAACATAGAAGAGAAAGCTCTTACGTAGGCTAAGCTCTATATATTAGACTAGCTAGAAAATAAGAGTAATATAAAAAGAACACAATAGTCTATAGACAAAATTTTTAAAAGCTAGACTAGGTTTATAAAACACCTTAGAGAAACGTTTAGAGAAGTTAACGTATATAAAGTAGTCTAGAAAAAACTATTCTAGCTGCAACAAACTAGATTAGCCTTCTAGTATGCGGCTACGTTTAGGTAGCTAAGCGCTTATCTAGACTAGAATAACCTTACGCTAGCAGGACTCTTCTACAAAGAATTAAAGAAGTTAGTTAAGAATAACATTACGTATACTAAGTAACCTAAGAACCTAAGTAACATAATAGAAATAGTAGTAAAAATTAATAACTAATAGTATAAACAAAATCTAGAACGTTAATAGAGTAGAGATTACTCTATACTACTAATAGTTAGAACTAAATAACTATAGACTATGTTCTAAGAAGACTCTATAGACCTAGACTAGGTTAAGACTCTATAGAAGAGAAAGCAAACTCTAAAGAACAAAGAAAAGGCATAATACTTTAAGAAAGAACTATGCCTAGCCTATAGAGAAAAAGAACACTTCGCGCGAGAATACCTAAAGAAAAAGAAAATAGTTAGAATAATCTAAGTAGACTATAATAGTTTTATATAGATAGCATGCTATAATAATAGCTATATAATATACTAGAGAGATAAGGTTAACTTAGAATAGTACCTAATAAGAGTTAGAGCTATTATACTAGAGTACTCTATATATACTAAACACCTTACTCTAGATACTATCTAATAACGTATTAACACGTAATAGTATTAGATGTGCGTAGAATTCTATAACGTATAGAACTATTAGTATATATACTAGAATATTCTATTTATTAATAACAAATTCTAGAAAGCATTAGACGCTCTTAAAAAAGTAGCTAGGTTAGTAGAATACCTTATAGATAAAGAAGTGCACACGTATATCTAGAAGATATACTAAGGCTTCTCTATAAACTACTCTAGAGCCTAGAAAGCTAAGTAATAGTAACTAAGATGCGTAGAAAGAGGTAAGTATAAGAATCTCTTCTACAAGGTACACCTAACTAAACTATTATAAGAAAAGAAACTCTCTAGACTATTTATATACAATTAGAAAATTAAAGCACGCCTATAGTAGAAGCTATATTAGCTGTATAAAGGTAACTATCTAGGCTACAACTATATATACTAAGCCTACCCCCTAGTAATCTATAGAGAGAAAGGTAGAGTAGTAATTAAGACAGCTATTAGCACCTAGAAACTAGATAAAAAAGAAATCTAAGTAGCTACGTACATAAACTCGCGCTCTAGAGAGAAAACTAGCTAGATAGTAATACCTAAACTAGTTAAAGAAACACATAGTAAGAAACACCGCGCTAAACTATAAAATTAGTGCGCTATAGAATACTAGTACTATTAAGAATAGTACTAAACTATAGAATAGATAGCCTAGTACTCTAACTACTATACGCTTAACTATAGATAGTATTTTCTAGAATAGAGGTGCTTGTACTATAGAAAAAAGGCTAAAGATAAATATATAAAACTCTACTAGACTATATACTTACTAAAAAGATACCTAGTATATATAGTAGAAAAGAAATAGAGGTTAACTCTAGCTACCTCTTTAAAGTTAAAAAACTAGTAGGCCTCTAAGACAGAGGTCTAGCCTAGAAAGGCTCTATTTAGACTATAGGTAAGATTATTACCTTAAAACCTAGAACGCTACGCGTAAAAGCTATATTAGAAAATAAAAGATTTATAGTCTACGTAAATAGTAGAGTAGTAAAAACGTATATTTCTACTAGCCTAGTAAAACTATAGAATATACTATTTTAAGAAAAATAATAGCTATACTAAGTATAACTTATAGACAACTAGCTACCTACCTTTAGCTAAGAATAGATTTACTTAGAGACTAAGGCATAAGTACTAGATATCTAGAGAATATAGAAATAATAATTCTATAATATTATAGAACTAGAAAATATAAATATACTTCTAGAGCTAGATTAGCTATAAAGATATAACTCTAATATTAGTTAGATTAGGCTAGAACTCTAGAAAAAGCCTAGAGTAGTATAGAAGGCTAGAGTAAGATACTACCTAAGAGCTTACTAAAAGCTAGAGGTAAAGATTAGAAGAATATCCCCTGCAAGTTTAACAAAATAGGCGAAAAAACAACCTTAAGACGTTAGCGTTGTATAGATACAGAAGCTGCAACCTAATATAGAGTAACTACCTTAAGAGGTTAAGAAAGACTATAAGAAGTTTGCGTTGCTATTTAATAGATAGAACAATAGCGTTCTACCTAAACATAAACTATAGAATTATAAGATACCTATAAAAGATAAAGCTACGCTAAAACTAGAACCTATATACCTACTTAGCTATAAGTAAAGAGAGAAACTATAAAGACATCTAGAGAGACTTCTACGTAAAGAATATATTTAAGAAAGCTAAAGTCTAATAGTCTTACTAGTACTATTTATACTAAAGAAGAATAGATAGCTAAAACTATATATTAACTATAGACAGCTTAACTAGGTAACTTAAAAAAATTAATATCTACTACCTATAATCTTAGAGCTAACAGACTAGCTTATAGAAGTATAGTAGTTTATAAAGTTTAATATTAGAGAGGGATACTATAGAATATAAATTAAAAAGAGATATAAGTAGAAGACAGCTTTTAGAATAAGAGAAGGCCTATATAAATATCTAGTTATACTATTTAGGCTTACTAACGTACTAGTAATATTCTAAAGTATAATTAATATAGCTCTATACAAGTATATAGAAAGGTTTACTATAGTCTACCTAGATAACGTACTTATATACTTAAAGAGAAAACTAGAAGAATATAAGAACTACGTATAAAAAATACTATAGAAGCTTAAGAAATACAAACTTCTAATAGCCTTTAATAAAAGCGAGTTCTATTATATAGAGACTAGCTACCTAGAATTCTATCTAACCTAAGAGAGAATCTAGATAGAAATAGACAAAGTTTAGGTAGTTCTAGACTAGCCTATACTCTAAATAGTAAAAGAAGTATAATTCTTTCTAGAATTTACAAACTACTACTAGAAGTTTATCTAAGAATATTTATAAATTATAATACTACTTATAGAGGTTACTAAAAAGAACTAAGAGTTTAGATAGAAAAACCTATAATAATAAGCGTTTAAGACGCTAAAATAAACGTTTACTACTATACTACTACTACAAACGTTTAATAAAAATAAACTAATATAGGTTAAGATAGATATATTAGACTAAGCTCTAGAAGTATGCCTTAGCTAACCTAGAGAAGATAGTAAGTACTAACTATACTTCTTCTACTTAAGAAAGTTCTTAGCACTAGAACTTAACTATAATATATATAATAAGAAACTTATAGCTATTATAGTAGTAATAAAAAAATAGAGAATATACTTAGAAGACGCTAAGTACTCTATTAACGTAGTATTAGACTATAAGAACCTTATAGCGTTTATAACAATAAAAACGCTAAATAGATAATAAGTTAGGTAGGTAGAAACGCTAGCTACACTAGACTTTACAATTTAATACT